ACTGAGTATGTCGTGGTAACTACCAGTAGTTCGGTCCCAGATATTCCAACTACTACCATCCCAGGAACTTCTCCAACAACCTACCTTACCACCATTACTACTGGATCTATTCCAGTAACCGAATACGTCGTGGTCACCACTAGTGTGCCAGATATTCCTACCACTACTATTCCAGGAACCTCACCAACTACTTATTTGACCACCATCACCACTGGTTCTGTTCCAGTAACCGAATACGTCGTGGTCACAACAAGTATTCCAGATATTCCAACCACCACCATCCCAGGTTTATACCCTACCACTTACTTAACTACTATTACCACTGGCTCAGTTCCTGTCACTGAATTCGTGGTAGTCACTCCACTCCCAAGTTCTTGGTCCAATACCAGTTATCCTCCTCCAACTGAAAAGATTGACACCACTTTCACCACATCAACTTTAACTCCACCATCTGGCCCAATAACCACGACCGAAACCAGTACTACAGTTGTAACCCTTCCATGCGAGGCATGCCCAGGAGGATTCTCAACCAAAACTCAAACAAACATCATCACCACTACTCTTCCATGTAAAGACTGTGGTGAAGGTAACGACAGTGGTTCAAACGGAGATGGTCCTCACGGAGATGGTGCTGGAAACACACCTAACACACCTGCTCCTGGGTCTGTTGTTACAACATCAGGTTTTGAAAACTCTGGTTCTACTTCCCCAAGTGCACCAACCCCAGTGAACACTTATGAAGCTTTTGAAGGTGGAGCTTCTTCCAAAGCTGTCACCTCTTTCTTGATCATGCTTACCAGTTTCTTATGGTTTGCTTGAATCTTAGACTTTATTATTGGATTTTCATTTTCGTTTTAGTTTTTTATATTTTCGGGACGTCATAGTCTTTCTTACCTGGTTTTAATGTATTTCAATTACCAAACGTCATCTTATCGTAAAATTTCTAACTCAGCTACTCCAGGTTTTCTGATAGCTCAAAGGTTTAGGACCTGAACTCTTTTTATCCTTAACCAATGTTTGTTGGCATTAGCATGAATCTAAAAAACCTCTATGAGAAATGATTTGGTTCGATCAGTTGAATAAACTTGAGGAAAATCGAATTTCAAAAAATTGGTAGGTACCTTAAGAAGTCTTAACACGTCTTATGTTAGAGGATTTGAGCAAAAAGATGAAGGCGTGCAGAAATCAAAAAGTACGCTCATAAACTCTTCCCGGAGAAAAATTCCGTGTTGAGCCCGCTTGGCCAAGGGGTAAGGCGCTCCACTCGTAATGGAGCGATCGCCGGTTCGATTCCGGCAGTGGGCACGACCATTAAATTTATCCATATCATTTTTGAACGTCGTTTTTTTTGCATCCGTGGTTGTTGCATTAGAGAATGAAGAGTAGTGTCGAATAAGAACTGCAGTCATTGTATATATTATGGGTTACGTAGCTTTTGGTGGAGGAGGTACTGGTGAATCACTAGTGGTAGTGTTGTCAGTATCCTTTGATTTTTCCAACTCTTCATTCATGTATGAACTCAAGTCAACCGTTGGTCTAGTGTGCTTTTTCTTTTTGGATTTTGGGGGTGGTGCTGTCATAGAAGGAGGAGGTATTGATGCCATTGGGGTGAAAGAATTTTCTGATGGCGGAGCGATTGGAGTTGAATTATATTGATAGTCGTCTTTATTCTCGAATAACACGTCGTCAGTCATTTTTTCATTTTCAAACTTACCAATTACCTCTGGGATTCTATGTAATAATCCATAGCCTACGTCACAACCTAATATACCTTTATTTTGACCACTACCCCAGAACTTCGTTAAATTCACCGTCACTGGTCTTAAAATGTCATAATCATGATTATAGACATACAATGTGATAGGAACAAAATTATCTTGACATTTCTCCAAATTGTAATTATAGTAGTTTAATACTGTTCTTGATAACAAGGATTCACCACCTTGGGACAACAATCCTTTCCCATATGGATCATCAGGAAAAGCTGAATCACATCCAATGATGTAGTCAGAATAAGGAATCAATTGGGCTTGGAAAGCTGGAGATTCTTGGTGAGTATTAAGGATTCTCCATACATAAGTTGCCGTATTAAGATGTTGAGATTGTAAATTGATACCAATTTTTTTGAATTCTTTAGGAATCAAGGAATTAGATTGGTGATCTTCGGTATCCAGCGAGTCAGAAGCTTCAAGTGGCACGTATAGTTGTCTCATAACACCCCCTTTAGCATTCCAAACGTCGATGATCAAGTGTTTTGATGATTTGGAAATATTCTGTATTTCTTGGTGAATGGCATTGAAATCCACCATACTTGCTTGGTCCTGAGTGGCATTACCTCCATAATTGATAGTTCCGTCATCGTTTATGTTATAAGGATAGTTGGAAATAGAAGGATTTAACATAGGTAACTCATGATTATTGATTCTTATGATATAATCAAACCAACTTTCTAACCCGAGTTGTTGACCAATTGAATGAGGTTCAACCGAAAGAACTCTGAGTCCATACCCCCTATTATTAAGCTGTAAAGTATTCTTGAAGTAGGAATCATCAGAAGGCTCCTTTGTGTCGAATCTATCGACCAACTTTTTGGCAAAGGAAAACATCGTTGATGCGAGTTGAAGAAAGCTGCGAAAGATCTCACAGTGAAATACACAGAGATTTGGGGATAAAAAGATATCAATACAGAGATCTGGGAACATAAGATGTTAAAGCGTAGAAAATACAGAACAAACCGAAACATATATAATACAAACATAAACTCATAAAGAAACTAAACACTGTTAGAAAGACCACCAGAGAAGGCTAAAGACCAAGTTCTACTTTGACCATTATCCAAGTAAGTTGATTTAAAATCATCTGATGAGAAGAAATCATAAGATGATTCAGGATCAAACAAAGCTTGGTTCAATCTGAGAATACCGGCCCAACCATCTGTCAATTTACTGACGAATTTGGTGATATTTTCATTCCATTCTTGTTTAACGTATTCAGTACCTCTGATTAAGGCAGCAGCAGCAGTCATTGGAATCATATGGATACCATGGACATATTGTGGATAAGTATCGGCATCACCGAAATAAGTTGTGAAAGCAATTTTGTTATCAAAAAGAATACCAGTGACTTTATTTGGTTTAATTTCATCAGGAACAATATCATTATCATCACTGAAGTAGAAATAATCGTTCATAGCTCTGTTCATTACAGCTAACATTAAATCACCTCTGGCCTCCATAGAATCATCACCAATGACTTTACCCCATAATTTCATACCATAAGAGAAGTGATAATCTTCACTTGAACTTTCTTCATTACGTCCATCATTAGAAGCGAATAAACCAGCAGCCCATGAGTGACCAGCAAACCAATCAAACATTCTTGAAACGGGGAAATATCCATCATCTTCACTTGGATTGGCAACATCTCTAACCAAGGAATTAACCCATTCTTTATTATCATCAGCCCATGAACCACCAAGTTCTTTATCAACGTAACCAACAACGGCAGCAGCATGAACAAAGTAACCATAATGGAAATGATGATCATTATAATAAGCACTACCATAATCTAAACCAGTATCACCACCCTGAGAAGCAGTTGAAGTAATACCTTTGTATCTAGTATCGTACATCAAAGGATAATATTGCTCGTTTTTAGTGAAAGTACTGAAAGCATCTTTCATATCACTTAAGATATCTTCAGCAAAATCTTTGTCACCCAAAATATCATGGACGACTAATAAAATATTGGCGTACTTATCAATAACTTTACCTGAAAAATAATTGGAGTTCATACCGGCAACAGTCAGTTTAATATCGACATTCAATTCATCTTGAGCAGTTGAAGCAATTAATTTCAATTGATCTTTGGTGTAACTTAAATCCTTAGACATGACAGGAGCCCATGGTAAGAAATCAACGTTTGAATTGATAGATTCTGACATGGTTAAAGTATTTGATAAGAAACCAGTCATTTTACCTTTAGTGGTGGAATACAAAGTAATTGGGGTTTTAGCTGAAGCAGAATCACCTGAGATAGAAGCAACATGATGAGGTAAAGCAAAAACCATGGTATTACCTGAAGATGAAGTACCTTTAACATCATAATTGAAAGAATAAGTAGCTGATGAACCTGAAGATGAACCAGATAATGAAGCTGATACAGCATAAGCACCAGCAGCTTCATCATAATAACCGTCATTACCTGAAGTAGGAGCAACAGCATATTGGATGATCAATCCATCAACAGCTTTAGAACCCTTAAGATTGAAAGAATCTTTAGCAGATAAATCGAATGATTCACCATTTGGAACATAAACGTAAATAAGATATTGAACACCAGTAAATAAGGTAGCTCTATATTTCAAGATGTTTTTCAGTAAAGCATCGGACTTTTCTTGTGATAAATCGGAGAAACCAATTAAAGTGTTGATTAATGGAGTCATACTACCATGGTAAATGGAAGTAACAAATCCCATACCTTGAACGATAGGAATTTCAACATAATTGTCACCAATGCTTGAAGAAGCAGATAATTTAACGGTGGTAGACATAGTCTTGGCATCATAAACACCAATATAATTGTCATCTTTAGTTAAAGAAGTGGCACTGATTAAGACTTCAGGATTGTTTGTAGGATTGTAGAAATATGAATCACCGTCGTTATTTTCATTCTTTGGACCGAAGATTCTATCTGAGATATTGGTGTGTTGAATACCAAACCCGTAGTAATCTTGAGTCTTCCAGAACATACCATAAGGATAAGACCAAATCATACCAGTTTGATCACCCAAGATCAAATTAGTGAAGAACTTGTTGGTTTGTAAAGGAATATCATCTTCAACATTTTCAGGAAGTGCCAAAGGTAATTCATCTCTTTTGAAGAGAGAATTTGGAGAACTCTTTGAAATAGCTTGGAATAAATCACTAGCAGATGAATCGGAGGGAATCTTAGCAATTGATGAAGGACTAGAGCTTGAACTTGAACTTGAACTTGAACTTGAACTTGAACTTGATTCTGAAGAAGATTTGGATCCACTTAAAGAACTTGAAGCACCAGCGGAACTAGAGGCTCCGGAAACACTAGTAACAACACTGGAACTCATAATACTCAAAGAAGCGGATGATTCATCGAAGCTTGATTCTGAAACCATTGAACTTGATACGGTAGTATTAAGATATTTAGCAATAGGAGTGACATATGATGCTGATTCAGAAGTACTTGAAATTCTTAAATCAATGGTTGAAGTGGTAGCAGCAGCTAAACTGGAAAAACCTTCTGATCCAATCGAAGTAGTTGAATTACTTACATAGGTTGAATTTGAGTTTGAGCTTGAACTTGATTGAAGTTTAGCAATGGTTTTAACATCTGAAAAATCTTCATTGATAGTCTTGGATCTAGATTTGGAAACAACTGAACCAGTAACCAAAGGATCTTTTGAGGTGGTTGGAACAGTTTCATATTTGGTGGAAGGAGTGTAAATAGTTTTTGGAGTTTCAGTAGCTTTGAAAATGGTCTTAGTAGTTGTTGGAGCAGACTTGGTAATCAATTTCAACTCTTCAGAATTATCAGTGACAGTGTCATATTCATAAATAGTTGATCTGACTTTTGAACTGGAGGTCGTGTCTCCATCAACAACTGTGGTAGGAGTACTGGTAGTTTCAGCATCATCATAAGTGATAGTAGTTGTGAAAAGGGAGTAAGCCCAAGTAGTATAAATATAAGGAACTTTTTCAGTGTTAAGATGAGTAGTACAAATACCATCTTTACAATCTGTTACAGTATTATATTCTTCGGATTCTGTAGAAACAGCATAATTAACATTTGATGAGGAAACCACGGTTTTCACAGTTGGTGACACACTTGGAGATGCACTGACATCACCATTAACGAATTTGATTTCAATACCGTTGTTTTGATTACTTGGATTTGCAGCTAATGCTGATTCAATGGCTCCCATAAACCAGTCAGGAGTAATATAATTTGTGTGAGTAATAGTTGTAGTAACATCATCATCACAATTTCCAACTTTGAACAAATAGGCAGCTACTAAACCTATTAATATACGATTTATCATTATGATCGTGAAGTTTTATTATTTAATAAAAGATAGACTAAGTTAGTGAAAAGAACGGATAAACTTCAAAGATCTTATTTTTAGTTGAGAAGAGATTTTAGATTATATATACTTTGACCAAATCACCAGCATTGATGATTTTTCCGATCCACTAAAAAATAACTGCATCATCCTCATCACAATGTATGTATTGTATAACGGAATTACTATGGTTTTAGTGCTGGATGTTGGGATTTCGCAGCCAATTTCAACCAGCCATTTTTTTCGCAACCATTGTGAAAAACTGGCCATTGGCCCAATTAGTGGTGGAATTCACCTGGTTGCGTTGGCAAGGGTCAGTATAGGTCCATTGTTTGAAGTATTCTGGATTAGCGAGGGATTGAGCTCTATTGATTTTGACGATGCTAAATTAAGGTACATTAATTTCATTGATATGGTCGACCAATATTGTGATTCGTTTAGTATTAGTGATTATGATTCGTTTAATCTTACTGGCATTATGATTTGTCTACTTGATTTGCTGGATTGTTGAATAGCCTTTTTAGTCCGAGATCACGTTGAATTATTGGGTAAACCTCGTTTAGGATTTAAGAAGTCGTGAGTGGACATATTTTCGATCTAGGAATAAATCGCCCAATGTCAAATCACCTAAACGAATGATTTTCTTCCAAATCGTATAAATTCCTTATCCAAATCGAACTAGCTAGTCACCTGACTACAATTCCCTTATCAACTCTCACATTTAACCCCCTTTCTCTTATCGGAAAAAAAACCCGCGATTCCATGGTTAAGATAGTGGTAGTAGGAGCTGGAGTATCTGGTTTAACCACTGCTTTAGAGCTCAGTAGAAGAGATTCCACTTATAAAATTACAGTTGTAGCCAAGAACTTACCTGGTGACATTTCTGCTGATTATACATCGCCTTTTGCAGGAGCTAATTGGCATTCTTTTGCAGATCATGATGATAAGGTGATGCAAGTGTACGATACCTATGGGTACAAGAGATTGATGGATCTTGGAGAGAATGATCCCATGAGTGGAATTGTATTGATGGACAGTTATAAATATTTCACTGATTATTCCGTGGAAAAAGAGGATACTGAAGACCCTTGGTTCAAGAAGTTGACGGGTTTGAGACCTCTTTCTAAGAAGGAATTACCACCAGGAGTTTCTAAAGGTTACAAATTCAAAGGTCTTACTATCACGCCAACCACTTATCTTCATTATTTGTACTTGAAATGTTTATCTTTGGGAATTGTAGTTAAGAGGGTGGCGGCAATAGAAGATATTCTGGAGGCTTTGAGTTTACATAGTTTAGGTAAAGCTGATCTAGTTGTCAACTGTACTGGTCTTTTGGCTAAGCATATCAAAGGATACAATGATACAAAGGAACAATTCGGTGTTAGAGGTCAGATTCTTCATGTAAGGAATAATTGTTCCAAACAATTTTCAGTATCTCCCCATGATAAGGCACAAGAAGATAGCCACGAATCACTTTATATCTTCCCCAGGAAGGAAGGAGGTTGTATAATCGGAGGATGCTTCTTAAGAGATTACGATCATACCAAAGAAGATCCAGAATTGACCCAAAGGCTCATCAAATATGCTGTGAAGTATGCCCCAGAGTTGATAGATCCCAGCTACAAGAATAACCCTGACCATATCGATATTATCAACGTCAATGTGGGTCAAAGACCTTTCAGAGATGGCGGCGTCAGGGTTGAAATTGATAGTGAACATAAATGGTTGATTCATAATTATGGAATTGGTGGTAGTGGATACCAAAGTAGTTATGGTTTGAGTGCTAGAGTATGTCAATTGGTTAGGAAGTCATTGAAACTGAATAGTAAACTTTAATATACATTGAATCTAGAAATATCTATGGGATTTAGGTCCACATGGTCATAGCATCGTTAATTCTACCCAGTCATTCTGATCATTACGACCAAAAATAACGTTTACCCAACTCTGTATAACCTATAAGTAGCAATATGGTATTAGTTACATACTTGACGGATCAAAACATCGAAAATTCTTCTTCCAATCTGTTTAGCATACTTCTTTTGATGGTCCTTATCGGTCTTACTAGCGAAAAATTCCCCAGCTTTACTTTGTTTTCCACTGAGAGGAGTTGGACTGTCTTTATACTTATGAGTCTTGACTTGAATGTCTTTATAGCCGAATTGGGGCTCTACAAACCCAGTGTTGGATGGTTTCTCTGGTACTGACATGGTGCAAATTTCACTTGCTGTTTCAAGTGTGCGATTGCTTAACAATAGGATAAGATTGAGATGGCAGCTGACACGGTGCTGGCGGTGGCTTAGGTCCGAGAGTTATGAAAATTGAGCACTGATAGAGACAGTACCTTAAGGTTTATTGTGATAATGTCATGAGATAGTGAAGAAGACTTATTGGTGGATGTATTCAAATAGACCATATCTGTGATAAACTGTATGTTTCTGCAGCCGCACTGGTACTAATGATGGTACTATGAGTCGCAGTAGATCTACCGCCATATCTGGTACCATATTTATCGCATTTTCGCAGTGAAAAATTTTACCAATGAAACCTTCCACAGTCTTAGGCTTTCAAAGCACTGCCGTTAATAACTTAAGAAGACCATGGCAAACATTCAAGAATGGTGAATTATGGTACGGTCTCACCAAGCTCGGTTCTAAGAGACATCCTTTAACCACCAAACAAGGAAATAAGAATTTTTACAAAGGTACTGGATCAGCAGGTATGGGTAAATTAGATAAATACGGTAATTTCATAGTGAACTGGTCTAAAGTCAGAACATATGTCGTACCAACAGGATTAAATCAAACATCATTAAAACCCTTGGTTAGTCCAGAAATCCCACAAATAGAGTCAAGATATGTTGGTTATGCTGATGGGCCAAAAGATGTTGAATTAGCCTGGAAGAATATCAAAGATTTCATTGAATTAGGAGAAAACTATGATTACAAAGACTTGGATAAGACTGATTACTTAGAAGAATTTGTCAATCCAAAGGTTGTAGTGGATGAATTACCAGAAGAAATCACCAAATAGAAAGATGAAGAAAGTTGACCCAACATACAATATAAGGAACACTGGGAAGTATTATAGCACATAGATTTAATGTAAATAGCACAACAGTTTGCTTCTCTAAAAGTAGGCATACTCTCTTGTATTTTAGACAAATATCACGTGACCACCAGATATTGAAGAAATCGCGTAGGTGCGTCTGTATTTTATCATGAGTTCTCCTACTGAAGTTAATGATACTCCAATGACTTCACCTCCCAATACACAAACACAACCTGAAGCATCAAATCCACCAAGGAATGATATAGAGGAAGAAGAAGATACCGTGTCGTTACCATTATCCAAGATCAAAAGAATCTTCAAGATGGATTCTGAGTATACTGGAGCATCTCAAAGCTCAGTATATTCCACCGCCATTGCAACAGAATTATTCATCCAATACTTAACAGAGCAAGCCGTAGCTATGGCTAAGTTGGACAAGAGAAAGAAGCTTTTATATAAAGATTTAAGTAACGTGGTATCGTCGCAGGATTCATTGAATTTCTTAGTGGATACTGTTCCAAAGACTGTACCTTTGAAAGAGGTTTTAGACACCGCCACTCAAGAAAAGATAGAACAGCCTAAACCTCAACCAAAAGTTGATATCACCAACATGTTTCCAAGAAAGGAGGTAAAGAAAGCAACGATAACTGATTTAGTTTCTAATGATTCATAAGAGTTCTACGTAGAATTAACGATTATATATACAAGTTTCTCTAGCATACCAGTCTGAATCTAAAGATCACTATGTTTCAAAACCCAAAGAATGTTCCTTGCTTGTTTGCCAAGGTTCTCGGGGATACCTAAAACCATTAAAAGTTTCATTATTTTAATGGCTATAGTATCAGGGATTATTCTTTCATAATTGTTCAACCCTGTGATCAAGTAATCCAGTATCAATTGTTTATTGGCTGTGGTGAGGTTTTTTGGGTTGAAAGTTTCAATGGTTTTGAACAGATCAATGAATTTCTTACCCAAAAACATCTCATTCTTGAACTTATCAATCTCTAACATCAAGGTCAATAACTCAAAGATAGTAGAGTTTTCAACGATTTCAAATTCTGACCAATTGGATATCAAAGGAAGAAGTAAAGGGTAATTGGTGGTTAATATTGGATACACGTTGATTAGACAGTTGATGATATAATTCTTTAAGGATGGTGAAGGATGGGAAAGTAACTTCATTCCATAGATAAACACTCTTTGAGCTTGGAAATATATGTCTTTAGGAATAACACAATCCCACTTATCTTCTGAATCTTTGTCATTTTCAGGGTCTTGTTCAGGTTCCTCTTCTTCATCATCAGAATCTCCATCAATCTCAGAAAATGGGGTATCTGGTTTTCTGAAGTATTCTTTATCTTTGTCATATTCAAAAGGGTCAATGAGTTTCTTAGACTCATCAAGTAGATCTTTGAGTTGTTCAACAGTGGTCATTCCCCAAGGTCTGTATAAACTTGAAGGGATATCGATGAACTTCTCAAGAAGATAAAGTTGTCTGATATTGTTGATAACTTCATTGAACACCATGAAGAAACCTTCCATCAACACTCCATAACCATGGTAAGAATCTATAAGGATGAACAATTGATCTATCAAATCAGATAACAGATTATTCCTGATCAACTCCTTACCTGAAATCTTAAGGATGATCAAAAGGATTCGAGTCAATGATGGTTTGAGATCATTAGAAGACAACTTCAAACTAATTGAATCCACGAGATATGTCAGGTTATCCATAATCAAAGTTTCCATGGATGAATCATAGTAATTGGAAGCGATCTTGAGTAAAGTGTTTTTGGAGAAGTTTTCAACGGCTGGAACCGTAAGTGATTCAAACAACGAATAAAGGTAATTTATAAGGAAGTTCTCTTTGAATTCGTCCTTTGGTAGGATGTTTGATAGTTTCCCCATAGTATCTATAGCTATCCCCATCTTTTGAATCTCCTTATTGTTACTGATAGTTTCGGAAGCCCTGGTGGTGATAGTGGTGAGTTTATCTAGCTCTACAGATTCTATAATATCTTGACATTGATTACCTAGTAAATAGGCAATTTCCTCATCATCTTCATCGTTTGTTTGATCTCCAAAATCGAGGAACTCATTAATATCGAATATTTCGTTGAACAAGTTGTTGGCAATCCACAAGGACATTTCATCGTCAATGAAATTATTGAGTAAACTGACTTTGTCGATAATAAGATCATTCAAGAACACCACGAACTCTGTCAATTCAAGTTCTACAGATTTATGGATGTCAGGAATGATTCTAGTTTCTTCGGGTTTCATTGTCCAGTTAGTCAATGTGAGTTGTTTGGATGTGGTATCTCTGTATTGGAATTTTTTGATATTGCTGGCATTGACGTATGGTGGTAATTTGATATCGTCAAGCTTGTTATCTTCAGGGTTGATAATGTCTTCATCTACTTCGTCAGTAGGATTTTGGGCAATTCCTGTAGGATTCTGAGTGTTCCTGAGAAGATCATTCAAGTTATGGAGAGATTCGTTCTCATTAGAAACACTTAAAGCCTTCTTTATTGCTTGCAAAACATTGAGTATGATATCATCGTCGTGGATTATGGAAAGATGTGTTTTCAATGATATGAAGTACTTAAGGATTCTTTCCTCATCGAAGGAATTCATTATAAGAGGTGCTTTATCAATCAAATCATTCAATTTGTTCCTCACAAAAGTAGTAGTCTTTGAATCGTCCTTCAAATGAACGAAGAAGGGTATTTCACTCAACAGTTCCTTCTGTACTTCCATGGGCAACTTCCCAGTATCGGGGTAGAACCTACAATAATTCACTAAAGATAAGTTATCTAGATGTACAGATAAAATGTCAAATAAGCTCCAGTAACAATGATATAACAAGTCTCTTGTGAACTTTAAGACACTGTCAAACACCTGTGTCTTGATGATTTTCCTGCTGAACATCTTTTTGAATAATGACACCAAAGAAAGTTTCAATTGTGTGGATGTTGCTTTTAACCACGATTCGTTCCTGAAATCCCCAGAATCTAAGGTGAAACCTACGTCACCATCATCCAAATGGCTCAAATCTTTACTGATGAGCTTCAACCCTAAGGCTTCATCATTAAACACCTTGATTATAGCCATTCTGAGGATATCAAGAAGCTCACAGGTTACTTCATAAGTAGTATTTCTTTGATAATAGTTCACCACGGCTGAAACAATCCCTGGGAAAACTCTGGATAGTTGTTCATCAGATATGGAATCCATGATCTTCTTCAACCCTTTGATATTCATTCCCACATCTTTAAGGAGAATCTGAATAATCTCACTCAACATAGTCAATTTCTTGATATCTTCAGTGTAAAAGTCTTCATATACGATGATCGTATAAAGCAAGTCACTAGCTTGTTGACATTCACCCACTTGCTTGATGAGATAAAGTATCACAGGTAACAAATGGCCTATAAGTTCTTTGAATCTATTATGAGGAACCCATGAATTCACTATCAAATAGTCAATTATCTGTATCATAGCCACACGAGCATTGGATTTACTGCTAGAAACGTCATGGGGACTGTTTAAGTCTCTAGTGGCCAATTCCTGGTTTAATATAGTCGAAATAGGATAAAATATATAATCGCCTACATTAGGTGAGATAGAATAATATCCAAATGATTCCTCCTTATCCTTGATTAAAATCTCTTTCAACTCAATGAGAAGATTCTCATTACCACCTTCAACCAACTTGACACAAACTGGTTTGATCTTCCCAAACAAATTCGATGATATCTTCCTTTCTATATCATTATTCATTAAAAATAACCGTTTGATCTGACTTCACCGCGACTAATGGTAGTAATAATTCCTGGGACTGAAATTTACGTCCATGGAAGTAAATTTCCAACCGCGATAGTTAAATTCAAACCTCACAAGAGAAAAATTTTTCAAACTACTCAAAGACGTATGTGAATTGATCTGTCTTGTGAGTACCAAGGATAAGAGAATCTGGAACTTGGAATAACGTGATATTCTATTTAGTGATGAGAATTATTATATGGAATATCAAATTATTAGTCGGGTAATTTCAACTATTACTTTGATGATCGAGTGAAAAGATACCTCTTATTCTCATACTTTATGAATCCTCAATAGGGGACACTCATAAGGCTTTCAGGTGTTACAAGATAGTTACTAACTCTTATAGAACAATGACTAGAACCTCCGTATTAGCAGATGCTTTAAATGCCATTAACAATGCTGAAAAAACTGGTAAAAGACAAGTTTTAATCAGACCATCATCCAAAGTTATCATTAAATTTTTATCAGTCATGCAAAAGCACGGTATGTATAACATATGATCCACCGAATTGATAACTGGATGACAAGGGTTAAGTCAGTCCCTTTTTGTCTTTTAAGTATTCGGAAGAATAATCGAGGAATCTTACACGATGTAGGTTAAGTTACACCTATGTTTTTTATAATTCTTCAACATTTTTGAACTAAAATAATACTAACTTCAGGTTACATTGGTGAATTCGAATATATTGATGATCACAGATCAGGTAAAATCGTCGTTCAATTAAACGGTAGATTAAATAAATGTGGTGTTGTAAATCCAAGATTCAACGTTAAATTCGGTGATATTGAACAATGGACCGATAATTTATTACCAGCTAGACAATTCGGTTATGTTATCTTAACTACTTCTGCTGGTATTATGGATCATGAAGAAGCAAGAAGAAAACATGTTGCTGGAAAAATTTTAGGTTTCGTTTATTAATATAGGAAGATTACTGTGATTTCACTCTGGGGGAAACAATGTGGTGATTTTTACCTGTTGGATCTTGCTCCTTAACTCTTTGATTGATCCTTTAACTATCTAACCAACTGAATGTTCTGTTCTATTCAATGTCTCTCCGTGCAAGCAGTGGTCTGCCAAGTTCTGTCTTTTCTCTTAACTTGTCTTGAGCAAATCTGACCATCGCGCATTATGGAGAGCTTGAAGTTCTTAAAGACCACTCTAATATGGACTTTGAAAGCCGGGTGTTTGATCCATCTTGTGAATGAAAACCTTTATGAATTCAATGAAACTCGTGGGGAATCAATGTTACCCACTTTACAATCAACCAATGATTATATTCATGGATTGAAATGGTTTAGCTATAAGGATCTAGATATTGGAGATGTCATTATTGCCATTAAACCTAGTGATCCCAACCAAAGAGTTTGTAAGAGAATAACGGGAATGCCTGGAGATATCATACTAGTAGATCCATCGTCATCATCTCCTTTAACTTATAATCAAACAGAGATAGTGAAAAATGATGGCTTCAATAAGTTCATAAAGATCCCTAAAGGACATGTTTGGGTGACTGGTGATAATCTTTGTCATTCTCTAGACTCCAGGTCTTATTCTGTGTTACCCATGGCATTGATAAAGGGAAAGATAATTGCTGCTAATTCTCTCAATAAAGGATTTATTAGTGAAGATGGGGACTTATGGTTCTGGAACTTTAGGAGGATATCGAATCTCTTTATATAGAAGATGGAAACCACGAACCTCTTTATATAGAAGGTAGAAACTATAAAATGTATATTATGAACAGAATTGTTGTGTAGTTCTTTTATTTCGTCTAACATCTGCCAATTTTTCTTAAACCTGCTAACCATCTGAAAGTTCCTGATCCTAAAAGAATTGAAGGGATGGATAAAAGGAAACAATGGAACATGGTTGTAAAAATGGTTTGTCCCAAATAGTAACGTACGAAAACAATTTCAAATCCTACGATACATGATAAGAATGAAGCATTGGTAGCTAATTGACCTCCACTAATACCTTTGAAATTGCTGAAGATAGTTGGAATAGAAAACCAGGTGGCTACTATAGCTAAGAATACCACAGCATTGAAACCAATGAAAACTATTGGGAAAATAGGGTTAATGGTTTCAGGACTTGTTCTGAAAATATGATGAATTTCTGGCTTGAGACCGATTCTTTCGTGATATTTATATGGAACCAATTTCTTGAAATCTTCAGTTGGAACAAGTTCTCCCAAGTTCTTGATCAAATTTTCATGACTTGAATCACCAATGATTAATTTTATGATGATTTTATCCAAGTTTCTGATGTTTAAAGGTAATTTTGAAGCTGGAATGGAAGCTTTCAAAGCTTTTTTAGCTACGTTGAACTTAGGGAATAAGGAGAAATCTAAACCATTACCATTACCTAAGGAAATGATCATTTGATGGGGTTGGGATTGAATATCTTTCAAGTAAATTTCAAAATCGATCTTATCCTTGGTTGATTCAATAGGTAATTGTTTGATCTCCAAGGTGGAGATCTCACCGTACTCAATTGTCTTTCCATTGACGGAAACTATGGCCTTGGACATAGACACGGCCCATACTGTGGTGATATAGAAGACTATCAGTAAAAACGTTGATGGTTTCATGGTCGACGTGTTTCGAAAATTTTCCGCGCCAAACTTTTCCCTGTAGCTTGGGCTACATGGGCGGTGGCACGGGTCGAGAGTCTGGCGAGAAATACAGGTATATTTAGGTGAATTAAATTTAGCTTTACTGGAGTAAGGTGTCCTATATATAACAGCTGAAGATCACAGTAATGAAGAGGTTTCTGCACGTATCTAAGTGATCTGTAAAGCTTTACCTATCTAACAGTTCCAACTCAACTGATTTAGTATCCTATAGACTCATCGTCTGAATTGACATGTAAATGAAGAGTATCAGTTCTTAATATTTCAGCAACATCAACGAATGGTCCTGAAGTAATCTGAGCCTGGTACCCCTTATTTCTCTTCTTTCTCGACCAGAACTTCAAGAACGACCAATTGATATCAATTCCACCACATATCATCATCATCAAATACCCTATACTCAACACTATTATCAATACTATAATCACAGGTAAAAGTATAACTGACGTTAGTGCCACTCCCAAGACAAAACCTTTGAGCTTCTACTTACTTAAACAAACAAATGAACCTATAGAACAACAAACTAAGATCCATAAACTAATGAACGATAGTCCAAACATGTTTGTGGATTATGAGAGAGATCAAGAGATAAAATCAAACCCCCGCTAAATTCAAGAAAACCGGTCTGGAGAAGAAATTCCCACCCAAACCAACCCCAATAAATTCATCGATGGCATCAACACCGTCTAACTACCAGATTCTAACCATAAACTCCGTCCCTTCCATCACGTCCATTATCACCAAATCCAGTCGCGGTGGGTGAAATTTTTCAATGCAATTCTTAACTGCAAAAAGTCTTTTATATATAAGGATTATTCTCCTTTTCACTGCATCCTTTTGGATGTTGACAGATGCCAAATCCTTGATCCACTCCAATTTCATCCTTTTATTAGGTCAAGCCATGAATTTACCTTCAATTCCTATAGAAGATAAACCCATCAATGGAATCATCAGTTTACTTTTATTTTTACAAGGAGTGCATGATTTGATCCCAAATTTAGCTGATAATATCCATTATTTTGAAACCATCGTCCCAACAAGATTGTTCTTCTATTTCTGTCTTGGTGCTTATTGTTATTTATTCGAAGATGAATATTTCAGTAATAACGTAATCTTTGTCTATTCATTCTTAGAGATCTGGGTCAACTTCTTGATTTATAACAATTTAAGAGATGAAAAATTCCACAGATTGAAAGAATATATCAACGAACATGGAGAAGAGTTACAAAATAGTGAAAACGATAAAGTTAGAGTTATCGAAGATTAGTAAGTATTTATAGTTTATTCTACAAAGTTTTTTATGGACCAATCTAAACATTGATCAACTTCATCTATATCATTGAAAACCAACATTAACACATTACCACCATTCTCATTACTCTTCATATCTTCATAATTATCAAACCTGATGATATTCACCTTAACGATCAAATTCACCAAGATCTCTCCACATGTGAGTGAAAGACTGATCTTGAGATATTTGCCCTTATTGTTCAACACTAATTCAAATGTCGACACCGGCTTTTCTATGGACTTTATGAAAGCATTGGATGTATCATTAATGTTATCGAATTTCTTCACCTCTAATTGTCCCATCTTATATGATTCTATCTTATCGTTGATTATGGTAGTGATTTTTTTGAAGTTCAATTCATGATTAATAGTCCCAAGCAAAGCTCGGAGTAACAAAGGATGTGAATTGTTCTGTTTGAATTTGGTGAAGTTGGTAGGGATCTTTTGTTTTAAGTTAAGGTTATATTTATAGTACCCACATAACATTATTTTGAGGAAATTAAGTATGAGATCACATTTATGGTCATTTTCTTTGGTTTCAAGCTCAACTTCCATATCATCAGTATCTTCTTTATCATAATTGACTGACTCTATTTCGATCAACTCGTCACCTATATCGATTAAGATCTTATTAGATACCAATTGAACATTGTAACTGATCAATACTCTGGCTTCTCTGAGTAAATTGTAGAACAAATCATCTTCAAAGATAAAGAATCTTGACATCTCAATTTGTCCAGTAAGATCATCACTAAACTTATTCTTGAAAGTTGATTCTCCAGTTATAACAAAATCATTATCTTTCTTGGTTAAAATCTTAACTCTGACGAATTTATGATCTTTGTTTATTAATGGATGGAAAAGAATGCCTCCAGTTTCATCTCGTCTCAAAACTGCTATACCTTTATCTGAATAGTTAGATCCACTATCACCATATCCATATTTCACCCCTATAGCTTTCTGATTGTTCACAGGATCTCTCAATTTGATAAGAATCTCGTTATTGTTGATGATTTCATTTATCATAGACCAGTACTTCTTATCTTTCTCAAATGATTGCTTCAACTCCATAGATTTATCTTTCAAGAGCTTCTGGATCTTATTTATGGATTCGTGTCTCCATCCTTGACCTATAAGACTATTATCCTCGGTATGTTCTTGAGTGTTATGGAGTTTATTTGAATTAAGTGAACCTAATGGGACGGTTTTAGATAAAAATGGTGATATGGTAGCTTTGGATAAATTTGGTTTCGATGATGATAAAAGTAATGATACCAAATCCAACGATAAGGAGGTTTCATTCAAAGCAAGATTGATGTTTTTAGTAAGTTCGTTCTTGAGTTCATTAATCTTTTCATCTTTCAACTCTTCTTTCTCTTCAACAACTTCGGGTTCTTTTAAAGAAGTTTCGGTCAAATCAAGGAAAGATCGTTTCTGAAGGATCTTAGGGATGATTTCAGCTATGGAATAATCATCTTCGTTCTGAATGAAAGGATCTTTCTCGCCAAAAAGGCCTTCATCTACGAGTAAGTTGATGAAGCTCATAGTGCGATTTTGGGATTAAATGTGAGGTTGTGAGAAGTAGGATTTGAGAGTAGGGAAGACTATGAATAGGAAGTCATTGAAAGAAAGACCATGGAAGGCTCAAACGAAGCCCATGAGAAGTTCAGAATAACCTCATGGAGCTCATGGGAACCTCATAAACATGAAATAAAAGAGTAAAGAGAAATATCAACATTAGTCTAATCCATTAAACCATCTAAATCTCCATCTTGTAAAGCTTTAATCAATTCTAATTCATCATCATCAATTTCTTCATTAACCTTCAAGTTTTCTGATGGATATCTCATTGATTTAACCAAATCATTATACAATTCAAGACAGAAGTTAATTCTAGAATCAAATTCTGATTGAGGTAATTTGGTAGAATAAATATCTAATAATTCTTTAGATTTCATGAATCCCTTTTCATTATTAATTGAAGCTTCAATGACATTATCTCTTATAGATTTAGCAATGATATATTCAGTTGATTGTTCAGAATCCAAATTCAATTTGATGCAAATATCTTTTAAAGATATTTTAGAATATGATAATGAAATAAGACGAATACCAGTCTTAATAACATTTTGATGTAATCTTAAAATTAATGATAAGTTATCGTCATTAATGAAATCTGTACGGTAAGTTTTAATAGCATGATCAAATAATTTCAAATCCCCATTTTTCACTGCTTTAGTTACCATCAAATAAGGTTCAAAATTCCATTGATTGGTTTTAAAGATCTTTAATTCTGGTATATCACCCATTAATAATTCAATGATAATATTTAATTTGGTAGCTGATTGTAAGAATCCTAAAGATAATTTTGTTTGAGGTGATTTTCTAATGGCAGTTATACAATATTCATTGGCAATAGAATAATTCAATTGTATGGCATGAATCTTAGCTAAATAATAGTAATATCTACAACTTACGGAATTTGAACATTCTGGGAATTGGATCTTTTCAATAAGATTAATAGCTTGGTTGATATCTTTAGTAAGAATGTAATTTCTTAAAAGTAAAGTGATTATACAACCCATAGTCTCATTATCATGTCTTAAAGAAGAAATCTTTAAGAAAGTAGTTAATACTGGTCTGATGGTTAATAAGTCATCAATCAATTCTTTAGTACGTGATATATAAAACCAGATCTTTGCTTGAATCAAATCTAAAGTTCTACGGTTATATACTTGCATTAATTTGATTACTTCATCATTAAAACTATTCAATTCATCATATTGTTTGTTATCTAAATAGTAAATTTGAACGAGTAAATGGATATATAAGTCAACTTCAGGGGAAATTTCATCTTTATCGACATCCATTGATTCATTGATTAAACCAAATTGATTCAAGTAAGGTCTGGAGGTACCATAAACTTTACTGATAATTGATTCTAAAATAGATTTATCTTGACTGAGTTTTTTTCTTAAGGTACCAACACCTCTCAATACTTTAGAAATGTAACGATTGTCGAAGGTATTGGAAGCTTTTGCTAACAATTCGAATGATGATTCTATCTCTTTGACTTCCATTGCCACTGATTTTTGTGCGAGGTTTGGATCTTGAGAAATGGTGTAAGTGGTGAGACACGACTTTTGATAGAGGAATAGGCTAGCTTACGGGCTAGTACACAGTAAGCTAGTTATACAGTAGGGTGAGTAAATAGTAGGGTGAGTATATAAATGGCTAACTGCACAGAACCAATGCATACAAGAGTACCGAACAAAGCATTCAACAGAGCTTTTAACGGAGCATCCAGAGCTTTCAGAGTAAACCTCACACAAGTCAAAATACATTAACAACAACCAGATTGGTTATTAGAAGTCAAAGATTGACCTCTCAAATTAACATTGGATTTATTATTAGTATTATTAGTATTATTAGTCATTTGAGCTTTAATTTGTCTGGCCATAGTATAGAAAGCTTGTTCAACATTGGTTGAAGACAAAGCAGAAGTTTCTAAAAATGGAATATCTAAAGCATCAGCAAATTCTTTAGCAGCAGTATATTCAACAACTTTCTTATCAGATAAATCAGCTTTATTACCAACTAATAATTTCATTACACCTCCGGTAGCATATCTATCAATTTCTTGTAACCATTGTTTAACATTATTAAAACTTTCTTGATCAGTAACATCATAAACAATGATGATTCCATGGGCTCCTCTATAATAACTTGAAGTAATAGTTCTAAATCTTTCTTGTCCAGCAGTATCCCAAATTTGTAATTTAATAGTTTTACCATCTAATTCAATAGTTCTGATTTTGAAATCAACTCCAATAGTTGAGATATAATCTTGGGTGTATGTATCATCGGCGAATCTCAATAAAAGACATGATTTCCCAACACCTGAATCACCAATTAATAATAATTTGAATAAGTAATCGTATTCGTTATTCATGATAGTTATGGGTTACTTTTTTTTGGGAGAAAATTCGATAAATTTGATGAAGAAATTGGATAATATGATAATTCTAGTGGTTAATTATACAATAATGATGTCTTCAATATATTAACGTAAATAAATTGAATGATTTAAACAGATATCAAATGGATAAAAATGCCAGTGATTCTCCTTGTTGTGAGATTTCGGTGAGATTGCCATCAGACACGACTAACCGAGATGACAGAAAAGGGCTGAAATTGACTATCTGAAAGGAGTTACCAGAGGTGATGAGGAATGGTTATCGGGGTCAATGGTTACGGGGTGTATGAACTCAGAGTATAAAATTTCGAATGGAAACGCTCTTTTCCTATATTCATACACAAACATCTAAATCTCATCGATTTTAGCAGCCTCTTTGGCAATAGCCTTAGCTGATTCTTCACTAGGTTTACCTTTACCTAACTTCTTTTTAGCAATTCTTAACATCTTATAAAACCAGAAAACATTCAAACTATTCAAGCAAATGTTAATACTTAAAAGACAAATAGGGAAGAACACATTGATCATTCCCAAAGTTCTATATAAATCAGTTGCAACCAAAGAAACTGCATAAAAACCCCAAAGGATTCTGACGGAAAAGAATGTAACTAATAATAAGATCCCGTTAATCAATACCACATTGTTTGGAATGGCACCGGCAGGTAATCTGGAAGCAAAGAAATTCATATTGACAAATGGAGTTGATAATTCAAATAATAAGAAAGCAGGAATCCATGGCATACAAAATGGGATCATAGTAGTTGAAAACACATAAAAGGCTGAAACTCCGTGGAATAAAAATCCAACTCCAAAACTCTCAAAATATTTGATACAAACAAACACATCCCATAAGAAGTATCCTACTGCTAATGAAGCAACTAAGCCTCCGTAAGATGTATAACCGAAAATGGATGATTCGGCATCTTCGACTCTATTTTGATAATAACTGTGATTCCACATTGGAGCGAGGGAAGTTATAGATATAACACATTGAACCATGGATACCATGTGAATATCGAAATTGATTCTACCTTTGAGATTTAAATCGCTATAATTCTTACCAAAAAGCTTCTTACTGGCTCCTGGAGCTAATGCATGTATCACCATGTAAAATACAAACATAAAAGCCATTTCATGACTATGTCTTAACATATAATTTGAAGAATCTTCCCATGGTGAATACTTTAAGAAAGGATCGTTTTCAAATACTGGTAAAAAAGGGATCATTTTAAATGGTTAAATATGTATAAAAAACGATGTCTAATAAATCTACTAAGGTAAAATTCAAAATCTATTATTAATAAAACTCAATTGTTCTTCTGTCGTTGACAATTAACCGATCAAATCCCGGATCCTGTTGACCTCCTATTGAACTACTACAGTCGCGAAATCCTCGTGCGAAAATTTTTCAACAACCCAACAATGTATGAATTAGTTTGCTTAGGAAATCCTTTATTGGATTTACAATTAAATGTCGATAAAGCTTATTTAGAAAAATATGACTTAAAAGATAACGATGCCATTTTAGCCGAAGAAAAACACTTACCAATCTATGAAGAAATCTTAAAAAACCCAGATTTGATCTTAGTTGCCGGAGGTGCTGCTCAAAATACTGCTAGAGGTGCTCAATATATCTTACCACCAAACTCTGTTTGTTACTTCGGTTGTGTTGGTAATGATGTCTATAAGGATAAATTAGTTGAAGCCAACTCCCAATATGGTTTAACTACCAAATACATGATCGATGAAGAACATGAAACTGGTAAATGTGCTGCTTTAATCTACCAACACCATAGATCTTTAGTTACCGATTTAGCTGCTGCCAACCACTTCAAACCAGAACATTTCGATATTCCAGAAAACTGGAAAATTGTTGAAAATGCTAAAGTTTTCTACATTGGTGGTTTCCATTTAACTGTTTCTCCAGAAGCTATTGTTAAATTAGGTAAACATGCTGCTGAAAATAACAAACCTTTTGCTATTAACTTATCAGCTCCTTTCATTCCTCAATTTTTCAAAGCTGCTTTAGATCAAGTCTTACCTTATGCTGATTACATTATCGCTAATGAATCTGAAGCTGAAGCTTTCGCTGGTGCTTATGAATTGCAAGATAAAGACATTGTCTCTATTGCCAAATACATTGCCAAATTACCAAAAGTTTCATCTAAACCAAGAACTGTTATCTTCACTCAAGGTACTGAAGAAACTGTTACTGTTTCAGCTGAAGGTGATGATTTCGTTATCAACAAATTCCCAGTTCATTTATTAGAAGAAGGTAAAATTGCCGATTCTAATGGTGCTGGTGATGCTTTTGCTGCTGGTTTCATTGCTTCAGTTGTTGAAGGTAAATCATTAAATGATTCAGTTGATGTTGGTCAATGGGCTGCCAAACTTTCTTTACAAGAAGTTGGTCCATCTTTCCCTTTCCCAAAGCAAACTTTCGCTTAGGCTAACTATTAGGTTAACCCCTAGCTTTCATTTCAACATGGCGTTCATTGCATTAGTTTGTTTTTGGGATTGCATAATTCAACATTTGTGCATTAATATATGTTTTAGACTGGTTAATATTTCCTCTCCACCCTCCTAGTTCTTTGTTCTTCTCCCCCAATAGTCTTGGGGTTGTGATGGATCTCTGGTGTCGCATGGTATGTATCTCATCTGAAAATTCGCGATGAGAATAACGATGGTTCTGAGAGATCATTACTTCAAACTTGGTTCAGATATCCCTGAAGAAAGGATTCAAGGGGCCGTGGACTTGGTCAAAGAATTAAATGCTGAAAATAAAACTGAAGAGTGGGATTATGCTTTAAACAGACTCATTAAAGGTTTGAATACCTCAAGACAAAGTGCTAGGTATGGATTCTCAATGGCTTTAACTGAAATCATTCAAGAATTAATCACCAAAGATGATTATGATTTAACAGTTTCTTCTTATTTACAGAAAGTACTTGATATCATCGAGGTGGCTAAAGGGAAAGGAAAAGATGAAAGATCATCATTGTTTGGAAGATTATTTGGATTCCAAACCATCATCAACTCCCAACTTTTAATAGAAAAGTATGCTTCGAAGAGTGACATTTTCAAGTTAATCGACTGCTTTTTCGAGTTAAGTGTAGCTAAGACTTGGTTAAGAGAAACTAGTGTATTTTCATTGGTACAATTCATTGGAAATTTACAGACTAATCCTAATATTGATGAAATTTATGATTATATTCTTTCCCAAACCAAGAAGTTCAACTTATCTTTGACTTCTGAAGGTATTGCTATTTATCTCGTTATTCCCAAGATTGCTGAAAACGACTGGAAGAACAATTATCCGCTTTCCAAAGGAAATATTCCAGTGTTGTCTAAAGTCTTGAAAGAAAGTTATGAAGATAGTGAGTTGAAAAAAGGTAGTTGGTCACCCAGATTACATTTTGTATGGGACTTGATCATAAGCAAACTTTTGAACCAACAAAATCAATCAGTTGAACATGTCAATAAGAAGAGGAAAACAAATAAACATAAAGAGCCGGAATTCATTTCTTTGAAAGAGTTCTGGATGAGTATCATTGATAATAATTTCTTTTCTGACAAATCTAGTCATGAAAGAAAGTATTGGGGTTTTGAATTATTTGAAAAACTCTTCTCTTTGGTTAATGAACAACAAATAGAGTACATCATTACACCTAACTTCATCAGATGTCTTATTAACCAAAGCAGTAAGAATGAAAGAATGCTTAATAAGAAGTCAGTGAAAGTATTGAACACTATCAAATCCGAATGTTTGAAGACTCCTAATAAATCATCCTTTACGATCAATTGCCTTATAAGCAGTAAGAACGGAGGATGTTGGAATTTTGATCTTTTAACTAAATCAAAGACTGTGGAAAGCTTGATTAACCTCAAACAAGATAATTTGTCAGTAATTGAATTGATAAAGGACGTCATTCTCAACCAGTTCACCGAATCTTTGACTGAAGGAGAAGGTTTGAAAAAACCAGAGGATAATATACAGAAATGGTGCTTGAATAGTTTATTACAATTGGTTAAAAGTAACAAACCTTTCATCAAGAAAGGCAATTGGGTAAAGGATGTGCTCAATGTGATGTTACTCCATTCTTTCTTCAAGAATACTTTGATTGTATCCACCAATACCAGAAACTTATGTAAAGAAAGATTAAACTCCATACTAGGAGAAATCATCAGTATCAAGAATAACAATTCATCATGGTCTTTATACTGTATTGAACAAATCAAATCTGTTGACGGTGAATTAATAGACTCTTTTGATGAGGAGTTAGATAAAATCCGTGGTCTGTGTGAAGATATGTTGGATACTATAAGTCAATTACCCGAATCAGACAAGAGATATAATTTCGAATTACTTTTCTCCATGGTGTTATTACAGATTTATAATGGAGATGAAGATAGTTTTGAATTGGTTGATGAATTGAAAGTTTGTTATGAAAAATCCATGGAAAATGATTCTGATTCTTCTTTGATCTTAACTGAAATCATTCTTTCTTTAGTATCAAAGAAATCCTCCCTTTTGAGAAAGTTTTCTATGATAATCTGGGAAAACTTGTTATGTCAAAAGGACGAAGGAGCTTTGAGATTAGACGAAGGCTGTTTCGAATTGTTATTCAGTGTGTTGGAAACAAGGGAAAATAAAGAAGGACAACAAAGCCTTTTTGACGGCGAAGAAGGGTTCCAAGATGGCGACGAAGATGAGGGTGATGATGAAAAGGAAGACGATGACGAAAATGATGAAGAAGAAGAAGAAGAGGACGACGATGATGACGAAGATGAGAGTGAGGACGATGACATGGACGAAACTCAAGACATCGACAATCAAACCAACATCAAACTTGCTGAAGCTTTGGGAATTCCACATTCTGGTGAAGTCAAATTCGAGGATTTATCAGATGATGATTCATCCTATGAAAGCGAATCTATGGATGATGAACAAATGATGGCTATGGATGATAGGTTGTCTAAAATCTTCAAAGAAAGAAGGGATATTCTCAGTTCCGCTGAAAGTGGTAACAAACGTAAAACTGATGTGTTGGAAGCTAAGGAGAATATGATCTTCTTCAAGAACAGAATCGTTGATATGTTGGATATCTTTATCAAACACAACGAAGGTGAAATGATCAATTTCTCCATGATCAAACCTTTAATCAAATTGATTAACTTAACTTTGGATAAAAATCTTGCCAACAAAGCCCAAAAATTGATCAAAACCAGATTATCTAAAACCAAAGTCACTGAAGTCAATGATGAGAGTATTGATGAACTCCTTGAATTGGTCAAGTGGTTACACGAACTGATGAATGGTAAAGCAAACATCGCTGCTGTTCAATCATCAAATCAATGTTCTATCTTAGTGAGTAAGAATGTTATAAACGTCAAACCTCAACTCATAGATGATATTATGGATATATATAGTGATTCCATGAAGAAATGGTTTAAAAACAAAAAGTCCAATATTCAACCAGGGTTATTCTTCGACTTTATCAATTGGTTAAACAGTATCAGGGGAAGAAACTAGAACCAGAGATGTCAATTAAAAAAATAGTCTAATACATTAACAGAACATAAAGAATTCAGAAATAAGCTCTCAAGAACCTCTTTAATCAATTTTTGGAACAACTCTGGCCCCTTGGAAGAAAACTCTGGCAGCTGACCCACATCCCATTAAACATTTCATGGGTTTGTCACCACTCTTATCTTCGTCTTTCAAGCTCCACCCCTTTCTATCACCGAATTTAGGCTTATATTTTTTATCGTAAACGTCTCTATAAGTTCTATGAGGTTCGAAACTTTGAATATATAACCCATCATTTGGATCTCTCATGTATTCATAAAACATAACCAAATGTCTTTTAATCTCTTCAGTTATATCATCAGCTAATCCATCTTCATTACCAATGTATAACATATAATCAGCTAAGCCTTCAATAAGTAATTGAACGAAGTATGAGGAATCTCTCCAATAACGCTTATCCATATCATAATCCCTATCATAGATGATAGAATTTCTGTTGATAGCAGATTTGGCAATATCGGTAGCGATCTTCTTCCATTTTTCATCCTTAGTGTAATGATATAAATGGGCAGCACAAGATAATGGGGTACCAGCATTGTAACTCCATTTCGCATCATTATGCTTATCAGAGGTATCTTGAATACCATCCCAGAACAACTTATCGCTAGGATCTTGTAAAGTATTGACTAACCAATCAGTACACTTGATAGCAAAATCAAGATAGACCTTTTCTTCATTAGGAATGAATTTGGCAATTTGTAAACAACATTTAGCAGTTTCTGCTGTAGTACAAGTATTAAGATAAGCATTATTCAAATGCCATTTCATACCACCTTTATTCTTAGCATTTGGATTGTCATTCCATCCACCCATTAAGAATCTAGTCAATTCTCTACCTTGGTCAAGGTATTTCAAATTACCAGTAACTTCATAAGCTGTTAACATAGCACTACACACTTGAGCATCATCATCGTAGTAAATATCTTTATCACTACCATTATTTTCGGCAGCAGAAAATCCTTTCAAGTGGGGATTTTTATATCTTTGGAAAGTATCGATAGCTGGGTCAATCAATGGCACCAATTCTTTATAAATTCTAGCACCATCAACTACTGATTGTACAGCAACTGAAACAGCCCAAACAACGAATTTTTCGTTATTGTAACATCCAGAACATTTTTCAGGGGCAATGAAGTTACCAGCTGATTTTTTGTAATATTTAATCCAAAGATTTCTAACGATGTTGTATCCTTCTAAATTGGGGTTCTCTAAAGTCATGATAGTTGAAGTGAAATTTCATGATTGCTGTTGCGCAGTGAGATTATGTAGGGAAATCCTTTGTCACTGGTGCGAGTCTTGGAACGAGGCTGGGGCTGGAAATAGTGAGAACAATGCGCTACCCATGTGGTATGAAAACACCACCATTATCACCTGAAAGTGAATCTGAGAGGATCAATTGAAGTCCTATAGACTCTTTAATGTGAGAGGGTTTATCCAAGACCGCTTTTGTGGTGAATTACATAATTATTTTTTTTCAACATTTATTTCTGATTTTTGCATTTTTTGTTGCTTATCTGTGAATTTTGCAAATAATCAATATGAGATACAAAGGATAGAAGTAGGTTGTTTGAATCTTCAGTTAAGAAGGTGTAGTTCACTATTGAGCGTCTCACACATATGAAAACAGCATCCCACCTTTTAAACCGTCTTCAATTTCATCCAATCGGAATCTATGGTGAAACAACTGAAATCCAAAGCGAACCTGAAATATGCGGCTGAGATTGCTGCAAAAAATAGAGATAGCGTAAGATATCATTTCTTTTCATTTAACAAAATACTTTTAAACTTATACAGTCGGTTACTTCTCATCGTCACTGACATCGTCTCTATAACCATGTTTACGAATTTCTCCTAATCTCTTTCTAGCAGCACTTAACATATTCTCCAATTTCAAGATTTCAACTTGTTGTTCCATTTCGACAGTCTTTCCTTCATAAGGAGTCAACTTACTCAAATCCACGTCATTATTATAATAATCACTCTTGTCCATTAATTTTTGTACTTTAGATACCAAAGCTTTACAAGCAGATGAAACAATAGTTGAAGCAGTTTCTAAGTTATCTTGAGTTTTACTGACGAAATTAACTTTGACTCTGGATGCTGCCACTAATTGAGCTGTTGAAGCAGCTACCTCGTTAGAAGCTACAATCAATTGTTCATGGGAGTTGGTATCACGGAGAACACCATCAGCAGTTTGAATTAAAATATTAGTGGCTCCAGCCACAGCTTTGGATGCACTAATTAACCCTTCAGTCCATCTATTGTTCTTCTTGTAGAAATCAGTACGAGTTTGGTTACCTCTAGATTTACTAACAATTTCTCTTTGCGATTCAGTTGATGCTTTAATCAATGTAGAAACTGCTTCAATAACAGCTTTGGCTGCTTGTAAAATAGCTTCATGAACTTCAATATCACCACCTTTAATGTTGGCATCCGCTAATAATCCTTCAAGGAATCTAGAAGCAGATTGAACAGCTTCAGCAGTTTGTTTCATTTCATCATCAACTAATTTATCCAAGTTTTTCAGTGACCAATTAATGGATTTATTAGATGTCAAAGTTTCAACAAACGTAATGAATTGTTGGAAAGTATGTTGTAATTGAAGATTACAATCAATGACTTTATCAATCTTGTCATCTTCATCTTTGAGTTTATCCAAATTTGAAGAAAGAATGTCAGTATAGTAACTTTCGGTGTCATCTAAAATATCAGATACGAAGTCAAGAACTTGTTGTTCAGCATCTTGAGGAATGGCTCTTAAAAGACCTTTAGCATTAAGCATAAGATCATTGATAGAAGTGGTTAAATCAGAACTAGTCAAAATAATAGCAGAATAAGAAGAATCATCTTCGTAACTACTTTTGCCATCAACAATGAAACCGTTGAAAACACTAGCAAAATCTGAAGATAAATCCGAACTTTGTTCAATGATGGATAATAAATATTCAGGTGAAGCATTTAAATTACCTGCTTGGATTGGAGAAACCAATTCATGTTTGGTGGATTGGATTCTTTTGATGTTATTGTTTAAAATCAAGTCAACTAAAGATCTGAATTTTTCGACGTTCTTCAAAAGAATTTGATCGATTTCAGCATTAACAATATCTTCTTGATCATTCTTAGAGATAGCAAGTTCTTGTAAAGCACTATCTAAAGATTCTTGAGCAATTTCTAAATCAATCTCTTTTTCTTTCAATAACTCTTGAAGATTTCCAGGACCTCTTTCAGCTAATTGAGCTTTCAAATCATCCATCTCTTTTTGATGAGTGGCCATAATTGATGATAAATTCATTGATTGTAATTTACCTGATTCATTAGATTGAGCAGTTAATTCTCTAACTTCAGCTTTCAACTTTTCGATTTCTTGATCTTTAGTACCTCTCAATCTATCCAAATCTAATCTGGCTCTATCTCTTTCTCTGATTAAATCGGCCAATTCAATGTTCTTAGATTTCAATTCTTTTTCGAACTTCTCCCTCTTTTGGATTGATTCTTGAGCTGAACTAATCTTTTGTTGAATTTTCTTGAATCTTGCTAAAAGATCAAGATGTTCTTGACGTAATTTGGAATAGAGTTTGGCTAAAGATTCATATTTCTTTGACCAATTGTTGATTTGTTCTTCACAAACTCTTAATTGTTCATCTTTAGAAGCTACTTGTTGAGTGGCATTGTCATTTAATTGATTCAATTCAGTCTCTAAGCTTTTAACTCTAGCATCATATTGTTGTAACAATTGTTGATCATTATCATATTGATTTTTAAACATCAATAAGTCATTCTCCAATTCAGAAACTCTTGATTGTTGTTGAGTTTGTTGGGCTTGGATGGCTTGTTGTTCTTGTAAGAATCTTTGCTGTTGATCTCTTTGCTGTTGTTCAAAAGCTTGTTGCTGGTACATTTGAGCTTGTAATTGTTGTTGACGTTCAGCTTCCAATTGTTGTTGATATCTTTGTTGTTCTAATTGTTGTTGATCAAACATTCCTGTTTGTTGTAACATCATCAGTTCAGTAGGTTCTGGAGGAGGAATTGATTCGACACCTGTTGGTTGAGATGAAATTTGAGGAGTTGATTCTTGAGTGATAGGTCTAGAAACATCTCCATTAGCATCAACTTTCAAACTTGGAGGCGAACTTGGTAATCTTGGGATTGTCACCAAAGTTGTTAAAAATTTAATGGAATTACAATCAACGAAAAAGTCTCTTAAAACAAAATGTTGAGAATCAAATCTATCAAATAATGCTTGCAAAGCATCATCATCACCCAATTGTTGATACATGGCTCTTAACATTGAAGTACAGAATTTGTAAATACCATAAGCTTCAGAAACCAATGGTATCAAAGCTGAAACCTTACATAAATTATTAGGAGTTTGATTGATGGTTGAAAATACAAGTTTTTGTAATTCTTCAATTGAATCTTGTAAATCCATCAATTGAAGAATAGCATCATACCCTTCGTTTGGATCATTGACTGCTCTCAAGGAAATGTATTCTTCATATTCAAACATACCATTAAAACTTGGATTATTTCTATGGAAGTCTAACTTTCTCAAGATGAATTTATCATACTGATTGATTAATCTCCCATAGGCATTACCATGACTAGGAAAAACTGATGCTAATGAAGCAATGAAATCTCTATTACGATAACCATCTTTCAAAGTATTAGGATGACCTTCTTGTAAAACTTTATGGATCATAACTAAAGACTTGAATAATTGAATTTGATCACTTTGGAGTGGTTGGATCTTAACGGCATTCCAGAAGGCTCGGGAATTCTTATGGTCCCAAGTATACACAATACATGCTCTAACGTGTTTTCTTTTAGGTGGTACCTCTTCAGTACTACAAGCTTTCTTGACACTTATTTGAAGGTCAACTTCAGCACGACTCATGGTTTGGATGTCGATAGGGGAATGGGTGAGCACTTGAGGTTGGCGCGGGGATCACGTGATGTCTTGGAAAGATTAATTATAGAGATAAGAGATTTTATATATAAGTTGGAAGTTTAAGAGAGTTTCAGATGGACTTATACATTTACAATCTGCAGTTTCTCCTTGGGCAGACCATTAAACACTGAAAATGAGGGTGAGAAACAGTTTTTCTTTGAATCAAAAATGTCATTTAGGACACCTATCAATTTATTAACTCAATGCCTTCCGTATCTGGCTTTACCAAAATCGAAAGGTAAATATCTATATTTGATCATGTGTTGGATTTGTCTTCTCATAGTTAAGGTAAATAAAATGATGAAATACATCAATAAAATTGGCCAAAATACTGGAATATCGAAAATGGTGAATAATGATAAGAAGATTGATATACATACAGCTCTAGTGGCATTATACCAGAATTTAAATTCAGGTAATCTTCTGATGAAAGGTCTAAATTCCTCATCTTCTGGATTTGGATCTTCAGATAATCCCTCTTCAATAGATTCACTTTTCATTTCTTGTTCTAATGAAGGATCGAATTTTGGAGTCAAAAAGGCCAATAATAAGTTCAAAAGGTAGATACCTAAAGAATAGCAAATGATATACCATCCTTGAGATAAAACAATCCTTAACATGAATATAAATAATAAACCAGCAAATCCACACCATCTATATAATGTATGAGGAACTGATCTATCAACAAAAGTTTGGTAGGTCACCAAAAACTTCTGGAACTCTTGATAAGCTGGAGTAGCCTTTAATTTATCTAACTGTTCTTCCATAGTTGAGATCAAATACGTTGAATAATTTTTCGAGTCGCGATTTTACAAATGAGGTCCAACTGAGATATATATTTACAAGAATGTTTATAATTGGTTTAAGAAGGCTTCTTTGGTTCTACCGATTTTGATGGTCTTTCTTAAGGTGTTATCATATTTGGTGATAACTTTACCACCTTCTGGAATACCCTTTTCAGGATCAAATACTGTTTCTTCAACAGATTCAGGTAATACTGAAGGTAAATAATCTGAGGTTAAATCAGCTCTTTCGACTTTATTGAAAGCTAAAGGTGTGGAAATTAATTGTTCAATGTGTTTTTTATCTTCGGAGCTGATGACTTTGTTCTTGAATCCATTCAATTTCTCTTTGATATCATTCCTCAAAGCTGATCTTTGTTCTGAATTCAAGTATTTGGTTAATTGTTTGGTACTGAAATCAACAGTAACGTCTCTATCTAATTTTTCAGCCAATTTAATATATTTTTCTTTCAAAGTGGTTAATTCTTCTTGAGTGATCTTATTGTTGGCCAATAATGATTTCAATGAAAGTATATAGTTGAAAGTGGATTGTTGGTTAGCATCTTCGATTGAATGATCTAATCTGATGAGCTTATAATTGTTGACCAATCTTTCAATGGCCAAGGTGGCTTCATCATCTGATAATTCTACAAATTGTGATAATTGTTCTTGGAATGTGGTTGATAAAGCTTGGTCATGATGAGCTCTCATTTGTTTTTTCTTGGTGAGTTCAGCTTGTTGTAAGTATTCTTTTCTTGACATACGTGATTCTTCTTTCAAAGCTTCAGCTTCATCGGTTATTTCAACATAACCAAATCTTCTCAATCTTGGGTCAAAATGATCTTTAGGTAAGGTATAATCTTTCTTTAAAGCTACACCCACGTACTTTCTCAAAGGATGGAAAGGGTCATAGTAAAACTTGACGAATCCTGGTTCTAAGGCAAAGATAGTATGATCTTTACCAATACCACAATTTTCTCCTGGATGGATTTTAGTACCTCTTTGTCTCATTATGATTTGACCTGGAGAGACAAAATTTCCTTCAAATACCTTTGGACCTAATCTTCTACCGGCAGAATCATTTTTATTGGTTCTTGAACCAGCAGCCCTTTTGGTGGCTGTACGGACTTGAGTTATGGATGTCTTTTGCAATCCTTTGGTTATGGAGTTGACGCTAAACATCGATGAAAATTTTTATCGCACTGAGATTTTTCACTTTCAGTATGTGAGAGGAAAGGAAAGAGTGTGTATTGAGACGAGTGAAGACGATTGTGTTGGTGGGCATTCATTGAATGACTTCATAGTTTATTTACTATATCGTTATTTTGTAAAGAATTGGCTTAGGTCGTTAATTATGCCATCAACTAAGGCTACCCATTCTTCAGGTGAACCTCCCTCATGCCATAGTTCACTAACTTCTGACACTTCAGGCCGTTTGAGCTTCACTAAACATTTTACACAATCACCCACTACTGCTGTTTGGTCAGATGATGACCAAAAGTCTTTATTTTTATTGACTACCGTTAAAAGTCTCTCTTTGTAGAAAGGATCTAGTTGTTTGTCTTTTCTTTTTCCGATATTTTGGTCATCAATGAGTCCTAGCACAACCATGGAATAGGCAAGTACTGCTTGACCTTCTTCATATTCTATGTAATCCTTTTCAAGCACAGTTCTGAATGATTGAGTGAATTTCTCGATAACCTCCTCTGGTAGACTGTCTAACGCTTCACATGCAGAATCGTCATCAAACACATTTGGACCAAATGTTCCCATTTTCGAAATTCTATATAAACAGAGATTTCCAACTTCATTTTTATTTTGATATACGAACATTTCCTGTACCCAATCAGTCTCGGCAGTTTTGGACTCATGAAAGGTCAGCAATGATTCCATCAACCACGGGGTACCATCCATCTATACCATCAGACTCATTCCATAAATCGTAAAGTTCTGATACTTGAGGTTTCTTGATTCTTTCCAAGGCATCTATACATTTTTTGACCAAAGGTTTTTGATCATAACTTGCCCATTGGTCTTTGAACTTCTTTTCTATATCTACAACCCTTTCTCTATAAGGTACACCCAACTGTTGATCACTTCTACCATCTATCTTTTTCATATCGATAAAGGCTATCATGATCATGGAATAAGCCAAAGCCTCCTGCGCTTCTTCACTATCAATATATTCTTCAGTTAAAACGCTATCGAAACATTGTTCGAACTTTTCAAAAGGTTTGTCCATTGATTGAACGTAGGCAAGAGCATCACATGCCATGTCATCGTCAAACACTTCAAAACCAAAAGTTCCCATTCTCTTGGATTTTAGGTGGGGATATGATTGGTTTTATACTAAAATTTACGAACTTTTCCTGCACTCAATTTCAATGCATCTGATCATAAACAGAGCTTTCTTGGTCCATTAACATTACGTTGGCTCTGAGTAGAGGCTAAGATTTGTTGAGAAGAATAATATAGAGATTTCATAGGAGTTCATTGAATGGTAGAAGTTCTGTTATTAGGATAATACTTTGTTGCGGAATTAACAAATCTGTATTCATTTACACAACTTCAGTCAATGGAGATATTTAAGGGAAATGTGGGTATCAAATATGCGTGGCTAACTGCTGTTTCGACAGTTTGCTCGATCTAAAACAATTTACCATGACAATCGGTTCTGGTTTGGAAAGCTATGGATTTCAAACACCGGCTTTAGTTGGCCGTGGGCCCACAAACGAGTTCATCATGGAAATAGATCAATTATGTCATTAATCACTTTCAACCATTCGTCAATTGACCCGCTTTCGTCCCATAATTCATAAGTCTCCGATACCTCAGGGGTCTTGATCTTGTCTAGACATTTCTTACACTCAACAATATGATTACTAGTACACCACTTTCGTTCATTGCCAGCAATTATCCTTGTGATATCATCGATATAACCAATTTTTAATGCAGAATTGACCAACTTGTCAAAATCAATCAGTGCTAAGATAATTAATGACAATACTAAGATTTCTTGTACCTGATAATGATCTATATCTGATGACGCAAGAAGCTCTTCAAAAGTTTGATCTAACTTGTATACTTCATTCCCAGTCATAAATACGAGTATGTCACAAGCTGTATCATCTTCAAACACATTAGGTCCGAAGGCTCCCATCCTACTCGGTTAATTGACAGAGTGGACCTACTAGGAGTGGTTGCGAAAGTGAGAAAACTTTTCAATGCGATTCCTAAGACACTTCAGTACAGACTTTAATCTTTATAAGATTCTTAGTCGTAACAGTAACAACTTATCATCTGGAGTGGTAGGGTTGGCCAATGTTGGTAAGTCGACTTTTTTCCAGGCCATAACGAAGACCAGATTAGGGAATCCAGCCAATTATCCATTCGCAACCATTGAACCTGAAGAAAGTAGAATTGTGGTTGAAAGTCCTAAACTCGATAAGTTGCAAAGTATTTATAAGTCCAAGAAGAAGATTCCTACAACTTTGAAAATTTTTGATATTGCTGGATTGACTAGAAATGCTTCTAATGGTGAAGGATTAGGGAATAAGTTCTTGAATGATATTAAACAAGTTGATGGGATATTTCAAATGGTAAGAGGGTTTAAAGATGATGAGATTATTCATATAGAGAACAACGTTGATCCTGTTAGGGATCTTGTTATTGTTATGGATGAGTTGATCCTTAAAGATTTGGAATTCATTGAGAATGGTATTGATAGATTGAGTAAGAATTTGAAGAAACCGGGCCAACAAAAGGATTTGGTGGAGAAAGAGTTGAAGTTACTTAATGAAATGTCTGATTTGTTATATGATGGGAAGAAGTTAACCAATTTCAAGTTCAAAGATATCGAATCAATTGAGATGATCAAGAAATATAATTTCTTAACCATCAAGCCAACTATTTATCTTTTAAATGTAAATGAACAAGATTACTTGAATGATACCAATGAATTCAAGGCAGATATCGAACAGTGGTTGGGAGAAAATTGCCCTAATGATAAATTAATGTTAGTTTGTGCCAAGTATGAGAATGATCTTATCGATTCGGAAGATGGAGGGGTGAGTAAATTACCATCTATTGTACAAGAAATGAGAAATTCTTTGAATCTTATATCTTACTTTACTTGTGGAGAACAGGAAGCAAGGGAATGGACTATTAAAAAAGGTACTACCGCAGTTGATGCTGCAGGATTAATTCATAATGACTTGAAATCAAGTTTCATTCTGGCTCAAGTATACAAATACCAAGATATAAAGAAATTCAGCGAAATTAACGAAAGTGAATTGAAATCCAAGGGAATTCAACATAGATATGGGAAAAATCATGTAGTTGAAGATGGAGATATTATCCTTTTCAAATCAGGGAAAGGGAAAAGATAGAGCACAATAGAAGCATTTGTACATATAGAAACAAAGCCTGTAAATAGATTAAAAAGATAGAAACAGAAATTACAATGACCATTGGGGTAAAGTCTTACTTCATGTGAACTCTTTCACAAAATTTCAACCCCATACAATCTTGAATGACTCTGTAAGTGTTATGCAATAAAAACACTGCCACTTTCAACGATAACCCCAGGACTTACTCCAAAAAAAACATTCCTTTGCACTAGAGGAGACACACGATTCCCCTTTAGGCAAGTCTGAATTTCGCAGTCCATCACACGACCTTTGAGAATTGTCGATAACGATAGTGACGGAACCTACCAAAGTTATCTTACACCGCAAATCTAATTAGTTTTACCTTCACTTTCGATTACCACTCATCGATAGTGCTTTTATTAAATATAATACCTGTTGAAAACCAGCCAATAGAAACGTCGCATCAGGCATAAAAAAAATTTGGACGTCATTATACTTTGACACAACATCACCATTTTATGTTAAGAAGAACCATCCAATATCCACCAAAAATGATTCTGTCAGTGTTCGGATACTTCTTCGGAAGAAAGACCGATGTTAATGGTAATTTAATTCGAGAATACTCCACCAATAACAAATCATTAGATGTGAATTCTTTTAACCCTAGATTACAAGCAATTTTTAAACAATTAGATTCTATTTGTCCCAGATTCACGTTAAGTACGAAAGAAATAGAGATCCTAAATGATCCTAAACAATTCTATTCCACATTAAAGACCAAGATTTTGAATTCTAAGGAACGTATCTTCTTGAGTAGTTTATATGTTGGTAAAGGACAAAAAGAATTGATTGATTGTTTAGGACAAGCGTTAGAAGCAAATGATGATTTGAAAGTTTCAATCTTAACTGATGCCTTAAGAGGTACCAGAGAAGCACCTAAAGAATTTTGTTCTGCCAATTTATTAGTACCCTTAGTGGAAAAATTTGGTAAACACCGAATAGACATTAGAATGTACCATACACCTCATTTGAAAGGTTTCACCAAAAGTTTGGCCCCTAAAAGAATTAATGAAGCTTGGGGTTTACAACACATGAAATTATATGGATTCGATGATGAAATCATTTTATCTGGTGCCAACTTATCCGAAGATTACTTTACTGATAGACAAGATAGATATTATGTCATTAAAAACAAATCTGTGACTAATTATTATAATTCTATCCACAACGCTGTCAGTTCATTATCTTATCAGATCCTTCCATCAACTAAAAATCCATCAGGATTCTTGATGGATTGGCCAACCAGTAATAAATCTTGTGAACCTCATTTAAACATTGCTAGATTCATAAACGATTCTTCCTTTTTATTAGAACCTTTGTTGAAGCAACATGATTTAAAGAATTTCGATGAGTTCAATGATGAACATGAATTCGATACTATCTTATACCCAGTATCACAATTTACTCCATTATTGAATCCAAATAATGATATTTCCACAGAAAAGCCGGTGATTTTAAGACTTTTAACTTTCTTAGATTCTCCTAAAATCAAATGGTGGTTTACTGCTGGTTACTTCAATATGTTACCAGAAATTCAGACCAAATTAATCAATGGAATGGCCGAAGGTTTGATAATAACAGCTTCAGCTAAAGCGAATTCTTTCTATAAATCCAGTGGTGTATCTTATTATATCCCAGAAGCTTATCTTTTAATAGCCAAAAAATTCTTACAAGACATTAAGAATAAATCAAAGGAAAATTTAATCAAATTATTTGAATGGCAAAATGGTGTGGTCAATACTCCAGGAGGTTGGTCATATCATGCTAAAGGTATCTGGATCACAACCCCTGATGATCCTCTTCCTTCTATAACCATTATTGGATCTTCCAATTATACTAAAAGAGCTTATTCTTTAGATCTTGAAAGTAATGCTGTTATCATCACTAAAGATCCAGAATTGAAACAGAAAATGAAAGACGAAATCGACCATTTGTTACTCCATGCCAAACAATTACATGTAGAGGACTTTGAGCCAAAAACTGTAGGATATGAGAAAGATGAAAATGGTCAAGAGATCATGGACAAACCCATTAAAGAAGTTAACCCCGATAGAAGAATCAGTTATGGTGTTCATTTGGGACTTAAGGTCATTGGTGGCAAGTTATAGAGCCCGTAATATATGTGCATTAAATTCCTAAACTCTATGTAAATTTGACTCAACCCGTTGTCCTCTTTTTTGATATTTCAATATCACCATATTTATGCTATTGGCTATTATGTATATGAATGTTGGACTATTTATGGGTCTGGAATACCAAGGAGTATTCAACTGCCATAATTTCGTCAACATCATCAGTCCAAGAGCCATGAAATTCCAGTTAATGTACTCGTTACTAACGTTATTTTGAAGAATGATAAAGTTCATGAGACCTTGGGGCCATAACTTGAAAAATCCCGCCTGTTGGTGAATCAAATATAGATCCTCCACAAGATCAAGAAGGTTCAATGTGTACCGACTTCGTAAACTACAGAATAATATCCACATCAAGATGACAAAGTTAATCAATAGGAACCCCATACATATTACACTAACACTTTGCTCATCACGTTTGGTGCCATATAACCGATAAATCTGATTTACCATGGCTCCCGATATAACCAAAGTTGGTATTTCTACCAACAGTTTCATGAAACTCAAGTTTAAGGGATGTACTGGAGATCTTAGATTGTATAAGGTCTTAATGTGAGGAATCAAATATGCTAATTGATACGCCAAACCCGTGAGATTTTGTACCAAAGTCAACACCACAAAATCAAATGATATACCATATATAGATCCTCGAGTTTGGTTATGTTTCCAGAGCTTGAACAATGCCACAGCCTCAAGAATCGATGATAGCACCATTATCAATTGAGGAAGTTTTTACTGATAAATCTCTAACCTTCGCACAGCGAAAACTGACACCAAATGCTGAACATTGAAGGGTATTGGGATATCGTTATATCGTCCCTACAAGATATCTGTAATGCCAACGAGTCCACTACATTTGATGATTTGTATCTGAAATACTTGGATGGAGGACTTCCAACGGATTTGAAAGAGTTGAATGCTCTAAAATCGTCAGTTTCTGATCACAAGTCCAATATACAGACATCGGCAAGAGTGATCGAAACCTGTCAACAAAACTTATCCACATTGATAGCCAACTTACAAAAACAAGGCAGAGCATCCAGGAATAATTCCATATCCAAAGAATCAAAAACAGTATCTGGTAAGAAGCAGAAGAAAGTAGGAAGACTGTACTACACGTCAAAATATAATTCCCTGGAACCGGTTGTTTTAGGATCTGAAGTTGCCTATAAGTTGAAGAACCGTCACGGAGAGGAATGGATTCAATGTGAGGTGACCAAGATCCTTGGTGATGGTATGAAGTTCGAAATAAGAGATCCTGAACCTGATGAAAACAATAATCCTGGTCAAACTTTTAAAGCTAATTATAAAGAAATTATATTAATAAGCCCTCCAGGACAATCATTCCCAAACTATCCTTATGGGTTCAAGGTTTTGGCCAGATATCCGGAAACCACCACTTTCTATCCTGCCGTTGTGGTCGGAACAAAGAAAGATGGAACAGTAAGATTAAAGTTTGATGGAGAAGAAGAAGCAAACAAAGAAACTGAAGTTGATAGAAGGTCAGTATTACCGTTCCCAGATAAGTAATTCATGAGCCCTTAAAGGTCCCTTAAATAGTGTAATATATAATGTGTATTAGTAGGAAGCTCTTCCGCCGCACTCACCGCATATTCTAGGTCTAATTTCTGCGAGTTACGGACCTAAAAGTTCCCATGCTAGTACCATCGTCGCAGTAATCGGGCCCATCTCCTGCCGCACTTCAACGTCGTTGAAAAAGTAAAATTTCATCTGTAATGGACATTGATGATTATTCAAGAGTATGTAATGTTTAAGATCCAGTTGGTGGCTGCAAGTTGCATATTTGAAAATCTCCAATCCAATCCTTGGAAGGTCTTCAAACTATGACTCGGATCTTTGGCCCCAATCCCACAAAAATCCAACATATACTAACAATGTAGGATCGTGAAAGATCTCCAGTAAGAAATAGATCCCGTTCTCCTACCAGAGGTAGCGACAGGGGAGGTGATAGAGAAAAAAGTGACAGAGGATATGGTAGAGATAGAGACAGCAGAGGTGGTTACAGAGGCTACGACCGAGGTAGAAGAGGTCGTGGTGGATATTCTCGTGGTGGACACAGAGGTAATCACAGTGGTTACGGTGGTTACAAAAGAGATTATGAAAGAAAACCTTATTCAAACTACCAAACCACCGAACAAGCTCAAGAGGAATACCGTGTGAAGACCGATAGAAATTATGACAATTCGATATTCATTGGGAACATTCCTTATGACGTTGACAGACAAGCAGTTTCTGATATCTTCAAGAATGATTTCAACGTTGTAAGGGCAGATATCGTCACCAACAGAGGACGTTCCAGAGGAATGGCCACTGTTGAATTTGATTCCAAACAAGCTGTTATGGATGCCATTCAAAAATTTGATCATTTCGAATATAGAGGAAGAGAAATCTTCGTTAGACAAGATTATCCACCACCAGAAGATAAAAGACAAAAAGAATTCAAACCTGTTGAAAGGTCGGCCCCTGAACAAAGTTATAATGATGGATATAGTCTGAGATATGATCAAAATAGTAGATATGGAGCTAATGGAGGTAGAGCTTTCGATAAAACCAGTCAAGGAAAGCAATTACCAGCACCTGAACCAGGTACCGAAGTATTCGTAGGGAACTTACCTTTCTCCATTAACTGGCAAGCTTTAAAAGATTTAATGAGAGAATGTGGTGAAGTATTGAGAGCAAATATTAGAGAAGATGATTATGGACATTCTCGTGGATTTGGAACTGTTGTTTTCAAAACCCCTGAACAAGCTACCATGGCTTTGGAAAAATTCCAAGGTTATGAAATTGAAGGAAGACAATTGACTTTAAGACCAGGTAAAACTGATACTAGAGAACATAAGAAAGAATTTAAAAATAGTGAGTTTACTGATGGTGTTGAAGGTGATGGAGAAAGAAGCGATACCATCTATACTGCTAATTTACCTTTCGTTACCAGTGTCGAAGATTTATACGAATTATTCGAAACTATAGGTAAGGTAGTAAAAGCCGAATTACAATATAATACCCGTGGTAAACCTTCTGGTAATGCCGTAATCCAGTTCGAAATGGAAGACTTGGCTGATTTGGCCATCAAGAACTTGAACAGTTACAATTATGGAGGAAGAGACTTGGCTGTATCGTATGCTAAGAGACCTGGTGCAGCCAGTGTGGTAGAAGAGACTATGGGAGCTGAACCTGAAGCTATAGAAGAAGTTGTAGAAGAAGCCGTAGAAGAACCCATGGAAGAAACTATGGAAGAATAAAATGTATATCCCCTATCCCGTGATTTTACTTATGACTCTGTTGTTTATTGCTCCTCTATTGTATAGGTCTATTGTCTAAGATTTTTGGTGCCAGACCTCGCTAACCAATACCGTCCCGCCCTAGTAGTTAGAACCACCCCGGCACGAGGTTTGGTATAAACGCGAAATAATAATTAGGTCACTCCCAACTGTAATAGCTAATGAAGGCATCCACCAATAACGGCATAGTAGATGGTTCAATTGAAACCCACGGGTCATTTCATTCATCATTGACTGCAAAGCATTGGTTGATTATTGGTCTTGTATTGATATGTATCCTTCTATTCCACTTTAGAAACCGTATTGGAGAGTTCCATGATCGTTTAAGAATGGGTAGAAGAATGAGATATGTAAACTTGAATGACGATTTCACTGAAGATGTAGAGCAAGGATTATCTAGTAGAAACTTTGACTTGACTAATAACGCTGGCGATTCAAGAGAAGGATTAAATGAGGAACAAAAGGAAGCTATAAAGAAAATCATGAAAGATAAAGGTATCAGTTTCGATCAGGCAAGATTGGAATTCACTAAACAAACATTTGGCTCAAACGGTGTTGGACCTGATGGTGTTCCATTAGATCCTAAGGTGGTTACTTTCAGTTAAAGGTCATTTCGAATGATATTTTGTTTTGATAAGGATAAAAATCGCCGAGTATCTAGGTATAATATGTTTCATATGATGGTTGTTCTCTTAAATCACCGGTATGGATAATAGGGGTGAACAGTTGAAAGATAACTGTCCTCCAAGACCAATTTAATTTTTTATATTACATAATTGCTTATGTAATTTTCAATTTGGATGATTTATCATGTGACTGTCGCGTGACATTCTCCATGTCGATTACCTATTTCAGATAGTTTAACAACATTCCATGTTTTCTGATCTAAACCCTGCACCTCTATTCTTAAACAACTTCACAGAACATCCACGTCAGATAACCAAAAAAAATACAAACTCACCGGTCGTGTTGTCAATTACTTCTTATAAATTCACTGTTTCACTTCACAACTGATAATTATGAGTATATATCAACGGTATGCTTCAGGTGAAGCAGAGGCAGGTGTGAAAACTCCAGGAAATGACGATGCCATCACCATCTTCCCACTTTCAGGACGTTTAGAACTTACAAAAGCTAGTGATTTTGCTTCCAAAACAACAGAAGAATGGATCAATATCTTCCCCAACGCTGCATACTTCTGTGGGTATGATGAAAGTCTTTTCGGCCATCTTATAATCATGGTATATGAAAACCCACTCACTGAAAGAATATGTACAGTTTCTATTACCAAGTTTGGGGTGACTTTATACAATGATCTTATTTTAAATGAAAACTCCAGATTCTTCCCAGCTTGTGAGAACTTACTTCCAATACATAAAAGTTCTAAGGTCAGGAAGGCCTTGGCCATCACCAACTTGAAAAATTACAATAAGCTCGTCAATCACCCAGGAAATTTCGACATTACCAGAAGATGGGATGAGACCACAGCAGGAATTTTGGCTTCCAAAATGAATCTTTTGGTGGATAAAAAACCTAATGAATTCGGTAACAAACTTCTCCAAATGGGTTTGATTACCACCCATTCTATGAATTCCTACTTATTTGATGTAGTTTATGATAATGATGACCCAAAGAAATTCGACGATAATAACAAATTGGTGTACTTATTGGGAGATCAATTGGATCAGCTTTTCGATCCATTGTTAGAATACAGTCCAGAAACTTTAGAGTCAACATATAACATTCCAAGTGGCTCATATGATATTCCCAAGACTAATGACAAAATACAACTCATTGTGGAGGAATTGATAGGAATTCAAACCAATTTCACAATGAATCTCGTTAGTTTACTTCAAAACTTCATCATCCCCCTTAGAATTTTTATCTTATCATCATCAGACGCTAACGGAATCACCAAAATTAATCATGTATTCCCTCCAACCATTGATGAAATCACAAGAATAAATTGTGTTCTTCATGATTGTTTAACTCGTGCCAAAAGTTTTGGTTATGTCGAAATTTTCAAAGTGTTTGGTATGATCTTACCTTATTTCTACAAACCATTCATACGGCATGAGGCCAATCTAAAGAATTTCAAGGTCAGATTCAATCATTTCCACAAAAAATACGAAGCTAGAATTTTCAAGAGTAAAGATATCAATCCCACAGACTTTTCAATTAATGCCATTGATTCTATTATCACTGGTTCATTATTAGAGTTACCTAAGTTGAAGTTGGTACTTGTCAGACTTTATGAAAGTGTCACCAAAACCACCACCAAAGAGGAACTTTCTACAATCGACTATTATTATAATATGGCCATTAATATTATCGATGCTTTTGGCGGAGAAGATAATGAAGTCAGTCAATATCATGCTGATAATGGATATAGCCATGAAAGATTCAATTCCAAAACAAGAATTTTCACTCCAACAGGTAAAATTTTAACAGAACTCGCTACAAATTGGCCTACAGATCTTCAATATGGATGGCTCTCACGTAAAGTCATAGGAATTTTTGAGCTTAAAAACATCAAACCTTCCAATGAGTTGTTTTACGATATTGAAATCCTTATAATATTCTCCGACCACCTTTTATTCCTCAGAATTGTTGATGATACTTACTATGTTCAAGATAACGATATGAAGAACTTGATTTCTATCCCTGATATTTTGATGCATTCGTTGGTCAACGAGAAACCACTTCCTACATTATCAACTTTCCCAAAAATGGAAGTCAGCTATTGGTGTTCTATCAATGACGTTACAGTTACTACCTACAAAAGTTTCTCATCTACCACTACCCTGGAAGAAGACTTCCTTAGATTCTTTATTGCAAATAGCGAGAATGCCACTGATGATTCCAACTTCTGTAGGAACTATGAGCTCCTTAAGTCTAAAAAAGGATTCGAAGTGATTGAACTTGTTAACAAAGCCAAAATCCTCAACAAGAAACAACCATTCCACCTTTTTAGATCCAATACTTCCAACTTGAGTTTATACTCCACAGCTCACACCGCTATTAATTATGATAACGAGATCGTTAAATCACCCATCGTGTTGTTGCTTAACTTATCCACTGATTCTGTGAATCATTATTTCGAAAAGAATCCTCAAATCTTCCTCATTTTCACAGTCAATTACACTTTTGATGGTGATGTGCAATTGATCGGGTTCAACAGAAACGGAAATGTGGAAGTCAATGAAGTAGTCGCTGATCTGGAATTTCAAAAAACCTTGGGATTATGGATGGGTAGCTATATTAATAGTTATTTCAACAGTTTTACAACGGTGACAGAATTGATGATTAGAAGTAACCACATGGATTTGGAATACTTCTTGTTGCAATTCCAAAGATACAACAGTCATGAGGTTAGGGAGAAGGTGAGAGAAAGAGTTAGAGAAAAGGTAAGAGGTAAGAAAAACAAGAGTGTTGTCAGCACAATTGAGAAGGAATTACCCAAGAATGTCGATCCAGTCACCGATGAGGTCTCCAAAGCTGTATTATCTGAATCGCAGATTCCAGAAGTCGATGCTGTTAAAGTGAAAAAGAAAAGAGGATCTTTCTTCAGACGTCTCTTCGGATCTAAAAAATCCGCTGATGTGGAGTTCAAGGAATTGTATAAACCACAACCAACCTTGCAAGTGAATAGGAAAAATTCTGTTTCAAATTCAGTCATCGCTCCCGTAGTTGTGAATGAAACCAGTAAGCCCGAATCATCCACTGTCCCAATGTCAAAGGAAGAAAGTTACGACGATATGGAACCAAACTTCGATAACACAAACTCCCAGCACCTTCGTAATGTCTCCAATGCCGAGACAGTCCAATACATTCAAAGCCCACACAAGCCTCAATTACAATTCGTGAGTGAAGGTATGTCCACACCAGTAGACAGTTCTAGAATTTCTCCTCCATTGGAAGAACAACCTCCTTTAAGTCCAATGGATATGGAAGTCAAGTCCGTACAACTGCAAAAGATACAACCTGTTGAGCCTGTACATCAGTCATCACAAACAGCCCCACTCCTTACCATCAAACCCAAATCCAGAACCAAGACTCAAGCAAAGGAAAAGAATCCACCCAAAATTCAAAACTCAGGTCCTTTCATCAAACCTATTACCACCAAGCCGATTGTTTCCCAACCACAAGCCAAACCTCAACCCAAAAAACCTTTCAAAGAACTTTTTGATTCTTCAGAAAGTCTTGATAAGAGACCTTTGAGCGAAGCTTTTGAATCCGACTTTGAACCTGATGAATTTAGTAGAATTGCCCAGGAACATTTCAAACTACCATACCCTGAACCTCAACCTATTGGGTATGAAACACCTATTCAGATAACTCAGAAAACAATGACATCCCCTGGCACCCCAAGAAATCCATCATTGGATGTAAAGTCCAACTTTGAATTCCCTCGTAATGACGGTAAAACTTTTAGTGACAATGTTATTAATGATGCAATTATCTCAACTCAATCAGCTATGACTAAAGACACTGAGCTTGCCTCACCAGCTTTCACAAATGATTTGGATTGTGATGATGATGAAGCCAATTGGATAATATTTTCCAGAGAATCATCCACTAATTCCTTGGTTGGACCAATTTCCAAATTTCAATACGCTGTACCTAACTTCAGTCGAACTAGTTCCCAAAGAGATGGTAGTTTTGCAAATGCCATTAGGGATGTCAGTGCAGCAGATTCTTTCAGAGCACAGATAGAATACTTCAACTCACAAATTTCTGCAAAAGAACCTGAAGGATCGGTTTCTTCCTTCACCCCCTCAGAAGTAGCTTTGAATTTCAGTAGAGAAATTGAACAGAACTTCTCCAGCTCAGGTCCCAAAGGATATAAATACGAAACAGCTCCAAAGGCTAAACCGGAAGTATTCAAATCTGATTTCAGATCTTCTAGAAGAGCATCTGATGCTAATGAAATAGCCAAAAGATTTAGTGGTATGACTCAATCTAGTATTGATGACGATGAATATTTTTCTCCTGAAGAATTCACACCGAAGATAAAGAACAAGGAATTTGAACACAAAGGTTTCGAACATGGCTCATTTTCAAGCGAAAATACCATCATCAATGAGTTATTAGATCAGAAAGTTCCAGTTGTCACAGGAGCTTCTGGTGTTGAAGATGATGGCAAGAATGATTTTTTCTTGAATCAATTTGGATCCATGGCATACTTGAGTGATATCTTGAATGGGAATGTAGAGATTTAGATTTTCAAATGTCAGCTGGCGACAGAAAAAACCAGACTATGTAGAAAATAGATTAATGCTTAATGTTTCATGTTTATAAATTCTCAGAGATAAAGTGCTTTCAACAAATTTTTATTTATTAAGTAAAACCCCTGATCTACTAGCGACCTTAAGCAGATTCTCTTAAAATTCTTCCCACAGCTTCAGCAACAGCATCTCCAACTTCTTGGGTACTACTAGTACCTTTTAAGTCAGCAGTTCTGATATCTTGATCGATAACTTCACCAACAGCCTTTTCTAAAGCTTCGGCTTCCTTCAACATATCTAAAGATAATCTCAACATCATAGCTACAGATAAGATAGTAGCTACTGGATTGACCTTATTAGCTGGTAAGTCTGGGGCAGAACCATGACATGGTTCATATAAACCAAAGGCTTTGTTGGTATCTGGTAATGAAGCTAAAGAAGCTGATGGAAGTAATCCTAATGAACCAGGAATAACTGAAGCTTCATCAGAAATGATATCACCAAACATATTTGAAGTAATGATGATACCGTTTAATTTCGAAGGACTTTGAATCAAAATCATAGCAGCTGAATCAATCAATTGATGTTGAACCAGTAATTGAGGGAATTCTTCAGCAATGGTGGCATCAACTACTGAACGCCATAATCTGGAAGATGCTAACACATTAGCCTTATCTAAAGACCAAATTGGTAATGGAGGGTTGTGTTGTAAAGCCATGAAAGCAGCCATTCTAGTAATTCTTTGAACTTCTTCAACAGTGTATTGTTCTGTATCCCAAGCAGTAGCTTTATCTTCACTATCTTCTTTTTCTAATCTTTGACCGAAATAAATACCTCCAACTAATTCTCTGACAACAGTGAAGTTGGTTCCCTTAACAATTTCAGGACGAAGGGGACTTAATTCTAACAATTTTTCAGATACAAAGTTACATGGTCTTAAATTGGCATATAAATTAAGTTCTTTTCTGATCTTTAATAAACCTTGTTCAGGTCTGACCTTACCGGTACCCCATTTAGGACCACCTACAGCCCCTAATAATACAGCATCAGATTTTTTAGCTGCTTCTAAACTGGCATCAGGTAATGGTTCACCAGTAGCGTCGATAGCAGCCCCACCAATTAAATGATGGAGGAATTCGAATTTGACATTTTTAGGGGAGTTGGCTTCGATAGCTTTAAGAACCTTAACGGCTTCTTCGATAATTTCGGTACCTACGTGGTCACCTGGTAATAATGTGATAGTTTTAGTTGACATTGGTGGAGGTGGAAACTTGGGGGAGTGAGCGGTATATATATAGACAGCCGGTACCGGCGTGCGAATTTGACTCACTGATCCGTCTGTCCACCTGAGAGTAGTGCGAGCGGTGCCTGTTTAGGACGATACCATCACCACAGTTGGTGGGAGTTATTTACTACCGCTGCTCACTAATACATAAATCTTTAACTGCCAATTTTCCACACCAGAAATCTCCTTTCGACCTGAAATTGAGCTAGATTTCCCCTTATACTTGTAGTGACACACTTGAGATATTTTTGGATGATTTAATTTTTTTTTATTATGATTTTTATTAGAGTTTTCCAACTTTTATTTTTCTTCAGATATGTACAAAACTTGCAAAAAATAGCATAAAAATAAATCCAGAAAAAACGAAAGTCAGCAGATCTTGAAGAGATAAGCACTGTAAAAGCATATATTAAATACAGGCTCAGGAGGGTCGACAAAATAGCTCCTCAACATTGATAATCTTGTTGAAGACATTTAATACCCAATTCCTGAAAATTGACAGAACCTAATGTCCTGTCCATTCGATACTATTCAAATCAATCCCCTCTTGGTGCATTTCCCATAATGGTGACAATTCTCTTAAGAATTCCACTCTCTTATTAACAACATTGATAACATAATCGATTTCTTCTTCGGTAGTAAATCTTCCAACACCAAATCTGATGGAAGAATGAGCTAAGGTATCATCAGCTCCTAAAGCGTGTAAAACGTATGATGGTTCTAATGATGCTGAAGTACAAGCTGAACCTGAAGATAAAGCAACATCTTTTAAAGCCATAATCAAGGATTCCCCTTCAATGAAACCAAATGAAACGTTAACACATCCAGGATAATGTTTTGATTCATCAGCAGGACCATTAAAGAAGGTTTCAGGAATGGTCAATAAACTGTTCTTCAATTTGTTTGATAATTTGACGATATGTTTCTTATCGTAATCCATTTCTTCAGTCATGATTCTAGCAGCTTCACCAAATCCTGCAACTAAAGGTGGGGCTAAGGTACCTGATCTTAAACCTCTTTCTTGACCACCACCATTGATAATTGGTGATAATCTGACTCTTGGTCTTCTACGGACGTAACAAGCACCAATTCCTTTAGGTCCATAAATCTTGTGAGATGAGATTGATAATAAATCAATATTCATTTCATTGACATCAATTGGAATTTTACCATAAGCTTGAGCAGCATCAGTATGGAAGAAAATTTTGTTTTTTCTACAAATATCTCCGATTTCTTTGAGGGGTTGGATAACACCAATTTCGTTATTGACAGCCATTACTGATACTAAGATAGTATCTTTACGGATGGCGTTTTTCAAATCTTCAATGTTTATTAAACCTTCTGAATTGACAGGTAAATAGGTAACATCCCAACCGTTTTCTTGGATATATCTACAGGAGTCAAGTACACATTTATGTTCAGTTTGAGTAGTGATGACATGTTTCTTTGTGTTCTTATAGAAGTTTGTGATACCTTTGATGACCATATTATTGGACTCGGTAGCTCCTGAAGTAAAAATGATTTCCTTTGGATCGGCTTTAATTACATTAGCTACGTACTCCCTAGCTTTTTCAACCTCTTTATCAGTTTCCCAACCGTAGGCATGGGTTGATGAATGAGGATTCCCGTATAATCCAGTGTAGAATTGCATCATTTTATCCAAAACTCTTGGATCAGTTGGAGTGGTAGCTTGTAAATCCAAATAGATGGGTTTGGTACCAAATTTTGAAAGGTCTCTTCCATCAGCGTAATCAAGACGGAACTCAGGATCACTAACGTGAAGTTCTGGAATTGGGGTGGTAGCCGCGATAGGTTTAGACTGGGATAAATACCTTAAGGACTTTAAGGACCTTGGAGCCAAGGTCCTGATAGTTCTAGTGATTCTAATCATCGATGACTAAGGAATTTGTGCGAATTCTCAATTCGGTATCACACAGTTTCAGTTGGTCTCATATGGTACTACGGATCGTTGACGTTTCGCACTTCGCGCCAGAGTCGGAGTGTTGCCGGTGTCGTGCCGAAATCCTATGTCTATTAACTCTATTTAATTTAAGAATTAAGTATCAGTGTTGGTGTTTTCTTTGTAGGTTGATATCTTCAATTATCTCTAGTGTGAGTGTTGTCAATTACAGCGAGAGATTGGTATGAACAACCTCATAACAACCTAAGAAAATGGCTCCTCCAGCACTAATCCAACATGTTCTAGGTACTATACCTCTGAATAAAGCCCCATAACCTTCTTCTTTGACTAATGTTTTGATTAACTCAACAGCACCAATACCTTCTTTACTTAACATGATTCTAGTCTTGATAACGTCTAACGGGGTGGTTACAGCAGCTGCAATACCTCCTGCTAACGATCCACATAATGACGATTGCAAGGAATTGGTACTCCAACGTTTTTTAAAGTACTCATATAAAGGGAACTGTATGACGGTGAAAGGGATTTCTCTCATGATGGTGGAATTCCAACCTCTGTATAAACCTCTGATAACACCTTCACCTGATTGATTGGTGATAATATGTTTGAAATTGGATAATGATGAAGTTCCCATTCCAGTTTGGGTTCTTTGCTTTATAACTTCAACAGGAACTCTCACTAAACAAGCTGCTATTTCCCCTAATGATGCAGATATCATATGATTGACAGGTTGACTAATGGTGGTGGGTAAATAACGTTTCATGGAATCGTAAGTGACGAAAAATAGGGATGCTGATGGAGCTGAGCCGACTACACAAGAGCCAAGACCTTTATATATCCCACGCCATCCCCCATTGTGGAAAAATCCTCCCTTGGCTTGTAATCTAGTCTTAATAGTATCTATGGGGAAGAATACTAGATCGGTGGATGTACCTGCACAGGCACCACTCTGAAAGGTTAGCAAGGGTAAAAATTAATAGAATTCAAAAGCAGCATCTTGGAGTTCATGAGGAGGAACCTTCAATGCCATTGAGAATCTTAAAGGGTAATAAAACATACTATTAACGAAAGGTAGAATTGATCCATGATGAAAAGTTTTCGCATCCGAACGGGAATGGTGCGGCAGATAGTGCCAGCTGGAGCGGGAGGTCTGCAGTATCAGCGACACAGCGACATTATAGACATTTTATTTACATTAATCCTATTTAGTTTATCATGAAGATGGTAGCTACCTGGGTACCACGATCTTTTTGCTTCCTACCCTTTTCACTTTAGCGTACTTCAATAACAAGCTTTCAACTTTCTTGTTGACTACAAACATCTTCAAGTAAGGTTCCATATCTTCGAGTTCCCATTGTCCAGTACAGGCAAATAATTCTTTGATTCTCGTACCAATGTCCATGGAAAGTTCTCCACCATCCAAATAATGCAATCCACTGTTTTTATAATACCAACCTTTCAACAAGTCCAAATTAATGGGGATATTATAGAAATTAGGTAAATAATTCTTCCATACAAGATAGAATTCTTTTGTATCTATGGGTTTCTGGAGGGACTTGAGGGCTAATATTCCATAGAACATAGCAACCTTCTCATTATTGACTCTGAATTTGGAGGTTTTAGGATCAAAATCACAAAATTTGTGAAGTACCGTGGTGACAATATTATCAGTTACACGAGAGTCTACTCCTTTCAATTCCGACAGTATGGTTGTTTCTTCAATGTTGAACTCTTCGCTTTTGTAATCTATCTGTTTGGTTATCACTAAAGTAAGGAAAAGGTCCACTACTTCCTTGATGAAGTCTGGAGATAAGATACAAGCTCTACCTTCTATTTCACACCCACCTATATTGAACCAATGTTTGAAAAATTGGTTCTTTGAAATGGCTGAATCGTTCAAAAGGTCTTCCACCGAATAAAGTTCACCGTAAGGAAGCTGACCTGTGAATATAGGAATATCAGCCGTATTGATAGAACCATCAATGGCCACCACCTCATACTGATACGGGAGGTTTGCTTTACCTATAAGACTTCCGGGACGTGTGGTTTCATCCATGAGTAGCACGGAGTTGGTTTGATTCATCTGTCTTAATCTCCAGGTTTTGTCTGGAGATACCATCACTAAATCTGCTTCATTGCGGGAGGATTTGATTTGAATTGGATCTTGGAGATTCATGGCCTCAAGTACGTCGGGAGGGAGCTGGAGTAGCTTATAAGTTGTAACATTGGGACGTAGGTGTTGATATACTGGAAGTTCCATACGCGTTGGTCTGAATTAAAACTGCTAGATAAAATCAACCGCGAATTGGTGTTATTCGGTCGAAGAGTCATGGGATGTGGTTTGAAATTAGTGAGAAATCGCCCTAAAACCAGAAGTGGAAAAGTGATTATAAACCACTATTAGAGGATACCTCTACTTTTACTGACGTAATCGAACAATGTTTGACAGATAAACTACAAGAATACTTCACTAGATATATATTGTACCATTAAATGCATAGAGACTATAGATAGTGCTGCGTTCAGATGATCTTCACCAACACTTTAAATACTAACCAGACTCAACTAATTTTGTTCATCAATAACCTTATCAATATCAACCTCACTTAATTCCACATTCCCAGCTAAACTTATTCCTCTTTTGTTTTCGACATTATATTTCAATTTGGCCAATTTATTTTGAGGTCCAAACCCATTTACTGGTAAATTTAAGGTGAAAGGCATTAACCATTGATTAATTCTTTTGATGTTTGAAGATAAACTGATTAATTCTTGGATCAAATCTTCAATACAAATCAAACCTTCTTCTTCAAATTCATCTTCAACCAATTGATTGTTATCTAATTTAACGATTTCGTCATTGATTTTGACATTGGCTCTTTTTTGGAACAATTTTCTAATGGAAATCAATGAAGGTTTACCACAGACAATATAAGGACTGATTAATTTCAATAATTGTAAAACATTTTCATTTAAAACAACGAAAACACCGCTATTGATTTTATGTAATTTCAAAAGGTTTAAGATTTTTTGAGCTTTAGGAGGGATTTTGACTCCCTTTTTGTGGTTGGGTATTCTGATAAGGAATAAAAGTTTAGGTTCAACGTATTCTTCAGCATTGGAAGCTTCGAATTTGGTGATATTCTTGACTCTTTTAGCTTCTAACTCTTTGGTTTTGTAGTTTGAGATAAGAGTTTCAGCACGGATGAATTTCTTAGCTTTGGTTTTAGCAGCCTTGGCTCTAGCAGCATCACGTTCTTTAGCTTGCTCTTGTTTTTGTAAACGTTTGAGATCTCTATCTTTCCTTTTCTTTAATAAGATTTCAGGATTGGAGTTTAAGATGGCCATGATTGATTTTTTTGCGATGAGATGGGAGAGAGAAATATGCGAAATATTTGAGAACACATCACGTGAATAATCACGCGACTAATACGTGAGATATTTGACATATTCACGTGATGTATATTTTGATATATGGAAATGTATTTGTGACGTCACATTGTAAGTAAATCAGGAACCATAGCAATACAGATCGTCAATACCAGAAGCATCGTCCATCTTGTCGTCAATACACAAGACTTGGCCAATGATTTACAAATGGAATCACATCATCGAGGCGGTGGACCGGTGCCAGTGATGGGGCCAGCGTACAACCAGGATCAGATTACCCGGCCGCGGAAACGTCCGTGTCGTCAGATCTATTGTCAAGGGTCTAACAATAAGAAGTAAATAAACAGATCAATAGGGACACTGGAACCGAGAACTAATGGCCAAAGATCATTGGTTTTAGGTATCTATTTGGAGGCAGTTCATCCTATGGTGGAGAAATCAACAGATCACCCCTCAAGGCACCATCAGGAGTAAGACGCGGTGGCTCCCAGACTTTCAATTCCCGCGCCAACTTGGCCCAGGACGGTGGTGCTACAGGTCGTGCCAGCTCGAGGCAGCGGGCCCTGGAATGTCGCAGATCGTTTGTTTTGGTTAAATCTTTTTTTAACTCCAACTACCACCTTCAACTAAGTCTTATGAATTACTTGTTCGAACTGGACTACTCCTCGGGGTCTGGATCATCAGTGATGGCGACTGGATCACCCCTACAGTTGAGGTTCGACGATACCTTCGACTACGAATATTATGAGGATGAATTTCAACTTCAGCGGCATGCTTCGGCCCCTAGTTTATATCAAGAGTTTGATCCTGGACTCGGGCTAGGTCAGAATATCTTTCAAGCCCATGGGGGTGCTGGCACAGACCCTGGCTTCTTACTGTCCATGGGACTAGACACCCTGGGCCTTCAATCATTACAAACATTACACAATCAGAATCCTATGGCATCAGACAACTTACAGCCAAATTCACTTCAGGCAACTTCCCTTCATTCGACTTCCCTCCCAGCAGATAATCTACAGCCTCCCAGTTTACAGTCATCACTTCCACTCCCTAGCAACATTCCTATCACCGTCCCTTTGCTGAATAATATTTCTGGGATGACAAATATGACAAGCTATCCGACACTAATGCTGTCCCCCAGCTCCCCCGAGAAGAAATCTTACGAAGATAACGAACTAAAGAAACTTGCTTACGACAATTCCTCCCGATCATTTGAACATTTACTTGCACATCCCATAACATCTCCGTTCATTTCAAAAGAGAATCATAAACAACTCCTAGGTCTTATTTGGCTCCTTCAAAACTGTGAAACCAATGCCACCGCTGTGGTACCACGGAATAAAATCTATGCCAACTATGTGCGTACCTGTTGTCAACACGGTATTTATCCCTCCAGTTCCACTAATTTTGGTAGACTCATTAAGATATTGTACCCCAATTTGACCATAAGAAGATTGGGAGTTAAAGGACAAGCCAAATATCATTATTGTGGTATCAAATTGGTAGATGAAAGTGGGAACGAACTTCTTAGATCACTGCCACCAGCATTGCGTGATCAATCGACAGGAACTCTGAATTGGATATATTTCCCCGACCTTTTCACTTCATTGACATCCAATTTCAACGACAAAGTCATACTCCCCAATATCTACTCCTTCATAGACCCTGATGAATTTGATAACGACCTCGTAGATACATTTTTCTCCATTTATCAACTCACAGGGACCCTCATGGTGAAGAATTTCCGTCATTTTCAACCCCAGAAATTCTTTGAAAATTTCCATAAATTCCAGAACATCTTATCAACACCCATACTAAAACTTTACACGAACGCTCAGCTACTTGAATGGGTCAAATATAGTGATCGAGTAATTTATAAGAAGATTTTGATCATGATTTTGAGCTTATTGATTACTCGGTCCACCGAAGCCTTGGAAAGTATCAAGACTTTTGCCCTGGAATTCAAAGATAAATTGTTTGAATCGTTTAATAAGATTCTGAAAGAGTTTATCGAGTTCAAACTAAAGAATTCAGAGTTGTTCGTAGATCTTTTGAACAGATTAATCAAAATGGTAGAATTCGGATATAAGTTTGATACTATAGAAATCGAATTCAATACTAAACTGGTGGGAATGGTACTCGGACGAGTTCCATTATCTCGTTCTAATGCCCAAGTTCTTGGACTGAAAATTCTGTCACTCGAGCTTCATGACCTGTTCACAGAATTTATACTGTCATTGAACACATGGTACCCAGCATTAGAAAGAGTTTCGCCACGTTTGTTTGTTCTGGTAGTAAGTATGACATTGAATCAATTGAGTAGAACTAATCATCCTTTGATGGCGTGGTACGAGATAAAATGGTTCATAGAGAACTATTTCACAGTATACTTCGAGATAGGAGGAATGGTTGACGACAGTGATTTTGAAGGATCACCAATGAAGGAAGGTGAAATGGACCTTTTGTTTTTGTGAAATTTTTCAGTTTGTGGATGAAGTCCACAAATGTATGCATATATATATATATCCTTATAGGTTCTTTTTATCTCTATGTTTGTTATAAATAAACCCGATTCCAGTTTAAGGGGCTTGGTTAGTACCAGCGCCATGGGAGCCTTGCAGACGATCTATCACTTCCAACCTCAGTTTTCTTCTACTTTAGCCCGAGGTTACCCAATGGCTGAAGGGTCTACTGAATTTGAAAGGCTTGTCAGTTATGTGAAGTGGGTGCTATCCAAAGATAAATCAACATACAAAGAGCTCAAGGGAGGCTTCTTTGACTTAATGAGTCACTATGAAGACTTCGAAACTTCAGCTCCCCTTGCTTACGATGACTACACTAAGAGAATTGCTTATACCATTCTCATCAATGCTTTCACCATGATCAATAGGTACCGTGAAGACATTGGCTGGGGGTTGGACTTACAATTCTCCCTTATCAATCATTCGTGTAATCCCAACTGTAGTCTAGTTTATAACCATGAGTTTCAGTTGATCACCACCAGGGAAATCGGACAAGGCAAGGAATTGACAGTGTCTTACGTTCCATTAAACATGCCACAATCTATCAGAAAGAAGCAGGTGAAAGAGAGATTCTTCTTTGACTGTCAATGTGGCTATTGTAGGGCAGTTCATGATTACTACTTCTCATACAACTGTCCGTGGTGTCATATGGTGGTAGAGGACTTGACCTTTGAAGGACTATTACATGACGTGAAAGGTGAATTAGCTACATCTGTGACTTGTAAAGGGTGCAAAAGGGTCATTCAAACATCCACCGTGAAGAAGATACATCGTAAGATGACTACCAGCTACCTTCTCGAACTCCACCCTCAGTTCAACTTCGGTGACGAAGACTCGATTGTCACCCAGGTCAGTCACTTGCAGCCAATTTCAGTCGATGAAGGCTATTGGAAGGACTGTCAAACACTTCTAAGGTCAGGAATCGTTCCAAGTTATTGTTATCCTTTGAATGTGATTCTTCCTAATATTTATACCACAGAACCTGAGCTTCAAGCCCAGATTACTGCCATTCTTACATTTCAAGGCTGTGTATTCAATAGAATTGAGCTTAACTATCAGGTCAGGGAGTTCGTGGTACAGGTAGCCGAAAATGGACCCTCACATTTGGCATCTTCGGTGGTACCCTTAGTAGAGAGAATCAAAGGTTTCTTCAGTGACGATGAGGAGATAAGCTATCAATTGACTCAGATCCAAAAGAAATTTGCTGGAGTAACTTCTACAGATCCTTGGAGCACTTTGAAGAGCATCTTATCGAATAATGGCGTGGCATATAAGTGCAAAGGACAGAGATTATGGGTTCAAATGATAAACAGAGTATTTATTGAAATATAAGTCCCTGGTATAACTTCATTCCGAAATCTGACACAGTCAGACGGTGGTACTGCCACAGGCATCCACTCAATCCGGAAAACTGGCACATACCAGAGAACTGGTACGCATTAAATTCCACTAGACATCGTTCAAAGCTACACAAACAGCACCTTTATGATGCCCATTATATTGTCTTACAGTCTCTGAGTTCGATAAGTCCCACAACCTCACATAATGATCACTACAAGCAGTTACCAAATAAGCACCATCAGCACTGAAAGCACAATCCCATACCCATCGCTGATGTCCTTGTAACGTCGTTTCCAATGAAAAGTTATCTTCGGTAGACCAAATTCTTGCTGTATGGTCAGCAGAACATGTTGCAAGGTGTTTCATATCTGTGGATAATAAAATTCTAGTAATATATTTCAGATGAGATCTGAACTTGGTGATAGGAGTAAGGGTGGTGGTATCCTTATTGTTGGCCATGTTCCACACGTAACAATTACCTTTGTTATTTCCAGCTATAAGCATCGACCCATCACTGGCCACCGTAAGGGAATTGATGGGTACATCGTCCTCTGGGATAAGATGATGGGAACATTTATTTTCCCCTAAGTCCCAGATCCTGATGTTTCCATCCTGATCACAACTAAGAAGCTCTCCCTGGTTAGGGTGGATCACCACTTCGTTGACAGGACAGTTGTGCTTATAACTTCTTTGCACCGATGGGGAACGAGCGTCCCAAACCTTTACGTAACCGTCTTCCAGACTGGAAACCATCCATTTGTTCTCTATTTGAAAGGCTAATGATGTGACATTATTGGTGTGACCTTCAAAGGTCATCACGGGATTGGAATCGGCTTGGTTGTTCCCACTATTACCTATCTGTCTGATATCATATAATCGGACGTAAAGGTTCCCAGCAGCAGCGAGATAACGTTTATCGTTTGTTATCTCGAGACGATTGACCTGGGAGTCTGTGTGTTGAATGGTACGGGAGCATATCCCAGTTAAAGCATCCCAAAACCGGATAGTATGGTCGTAACCAGCAGAAGCTAGGATTACTGACATTGAGTGAGGAATTTGTACAGTGCGAAGATAGGTCGCGCTATATCTGGCGGTGCAAGACCCTATAGTTGTCGCTACGATTCAGTCGAGGTCTCCCTAACTCACCGCCAGAGATTTTGCTTACTCACCACTAATGATTTTACTACAAATCCCACTAAAGTGGCTAGAGATATTACGAGAGATGTCCAGAGATCCACTACTAAGCACAGGCCAATCATTGGCCACAACACTGAAGTCATCTATACATTAAATACTAAAAATATTGGTTTATCATTTGTTTTTGTTCCATAGTCAAACTATGAGGGAAGTCCACTTTATAAGCTATGTGGAAATCACCTCTTTGACTTGGGGTCTTACTTATAGGCATACCCAATCCTGGGTAAGTATTGACGGAAGTTGGTTGGATTGGAGAGGATCTACTCAAAGGTATTCTTCTACCGTCAATGGTTTGGATTTCTTTATCAAATCCACATAATGATTCTTTGAATGATAATGGGATGGTGACTTTAAGGTCATTACCATCTCTGGTGAATACAGGATGAGGTTTCTCTTCCAATACGAATTGGATGGTTTGACGGGCTTGACATTCGGATTGCCAGTCACCTTCATTCTTGAAAGTGATCTTAGTACCAGCTTTCCATCCTGGTCTGACACCTACTTCCAAAACCTTGGATTCTCTTATACCATTTTGATTTTTACGGTTGATTTTCAATTTTTTGGTAGCACCAGTGAAGAGGTCTTCAAGGGAAACTGCTAATGGCATAGTAACGGTATCAGGTTCAGGTCTTTTTCTTCCACCTCCCATACCACCACCAAAACCACCAGGCATTCCACCCATTCCACCAGGCATACCACCCATTCCACCAAATGGTGAGCCACCACCAAAACCACCATCGTCCATACCGAATCCTCCCATTTGTGAAAAGATATTGAATGCATCATTTTGACTGAATCCTCCACTATGGAAACCTCCACCGAATGGGTTCCCTCCTTGTCCTCCCATTCCACCAAATCCACTGCCACCAGCAGGAGCATTACCACGGGCAGCTTCTAATCCATAATCATCATAAACTTGTCTTTTATCACCATTGGATAATATATCGAAAGCTTCACTTATCTCTTTGAATTTTTCTGTGTCTCCAGTGGGCTTGTCTGGATGATACTTCAAGGCTTGCTTACGGTAAGCCTTCTTGATTTCAGTATCAGAAGCCGAAGGGGAGACTCCCAATAAGTCGTATAATTTAGTTTCTCTAACCATTAAAGATGAGGGAGATTGGTGGTGGTTTTATGCGATTTAAGTTGGGGGAGAAGTTTCTGGAAGCTTCCAGTAGAGGGAGGGAAGGTGGTGCGGTAGGGCGGAAGGTGGTTCTAGGGATGGTACGAGAGGTAGTGTGATTGAGGAAGAAATAGTGCGATAGCAATCATATAATGGTACCAGGAACAGGGCACCAATGGTACCGAGAGACACACAGAGGGATTCGAACAACGGTGAAGAAATCGAACCACAGCTCAGTACATTAACTATAAAGCCTTCTTTTGTCTTTCAGCCTTTCTTAAAGCTCTTCTTCTGATGTCCTTGTGCATGCTATAGTTCAAACTGTTGGCGACTTTGGAATAAACACCTACAGTTTGGTCGATACCAAAGTGCATCAAGGCATGAGACCAGTAAGGGGTGGTGGTAGCAAATCTTTCTTGCGCACCATTTCTACGTCCAAGTTTAGATAAAGTGGCCTTAACGAAATTCTTAGGATTTGGGATCATGAAAGAAGTTCTTTTGATCTTGGACATGGAGGAAGTAACTAAGTAACTCAACACAAATTCTACATCGACATTTGGTAATTCTGCGGCCAAACTAACGGACCAGTTTTGTAAGAAAGCTTTTGAACCAGAATAAACTGCTAAGTATGGGGTAGGTAATAAACCACCGAAACTTCCCATAGTGACAATTAAACCTTTAACCTTGAGTTTAGCGGCAGTATCATTGATAACTGGTACCACGAGACGGGTCAATTTCAAAGTGAAGGTAGTGTTGATGGTGATAATTCCCTCTAATTCTTCTAAATCGGTCTCAGCAAATGGTACGGGGATGGAATGTGATCTACCCACATTGTTCACTAATACCGCGACGGGTAAGGATTTAATGGCGGTGAAGATCTCTTCGTCGGCCCCAGGTTTAGTGACATCAACAGCAACAATCTTGGTTTCAACACCATACTTTTCATTGATCTCAGTAGCTAAGGCTTCTAACTTACTTTGAGTACGAGAAGCTAACACGATGTTGAATCCTTTGGCAGCCAATTGCTTGCTGAATTCTAAACCCAATCCATCGGACGAACCTGTAACTAAAGCCCAAGCTCCTTTCTTACTACCGTATTTGGTGTAATTGGTAGCAGGGAGAAGGAAATCCGCAATAAGGGAGACAGTAGATAAACCAAGGATGGTTAATTTGATGGTTCCAACAATGATGGCAGGTACAAGGAAGTACTTAAGGTTACCGTAATCTTCAAACATGGTAAAGTTTTGCGCGGAGGATTTGTGAAGATTTGTACGCGCAGCCCAGGGTAGTGCGCGAGAGTAGTGAGAGAATCGGCCGATATGGGGACCCAACAAGATGGACCCAAATGGTACCAATTCGCGGTAGGAAATTACGCGGGAGGAAACTACAGTACCACTCCGTGGTTTCTATATTACAATAAACTCAATTCCAGCAACTTATCTCCATTAATCTCTACATTCAAGCTTTCTTTTTCCAACTGGATATTAAGGACGTCGTATTCTCCTGCCAATTTATCGGCTTTTACACGAGCCTTCACGATTTGTTCGTCCAAGGTATCGATATCTTGAAGCTTTTGTGCCAAAGTGGTGTCTGAGATCTCCAAGTACGTCGTTACTGGGTGAACAGGTTTGGTGGTAGTTTGAACCGATGGGGTGGGGACGTGATGTTGTGTCTGGTGGTTGTGACTTTGGCTTTGGCCTCGACTGTGGCTCTGGCTATGGTTCTGGATGTGATTATTTTGACTGGTCTGACTATGATGATTCTGAACATGGTTCTGGCTGTGACTATGGCTCTGATTGGGGTTTTGTGTAGCATGATTATGGTGAGACGGCTGATGATGGCCTGAAGGTTGGTAATTTCCTTGATGTGGACGGGCGTGGGAGCCATGGTAGTACAGGCTAGAATAATGGTCGTATTGATCATACTGGTAATCTTGATTGTCGTAATGTTCTTGACGGTACAGGTCTTGATACTGACGGCCAGGATAACTGTCGTAGCCATAGCCTCGACGACCTCGACCTCTATAGTTACTGTAACCTCTGCCTCTTCTTGGGTATTCACTCATGTTGATGGAACGATGGATTGTGCGAGTTTTTGACTGCGATGGCCATGTGAAATATCAGGTGATACATCACATGAAACTCAGATTTTGTGTTATCCTCGCACAGTAAAACACAATTCCTTATGCTTCCATCAAGGTATGCCCCACAGGGGATCTCATACAACGATAGTCGACGAACCATCACTGTGGGATCTAAACCTCGCCCCCCAGAATACATTCTTACCAGGCTCCAGCAGCGTATCGAAGAAAATGACTCCGATATGATGGATATAGACTACTACGAGACCTACATGATCTCAGATCTTCTACAAAATCAAAGGGACCAGGAGCCAAGGGAGAGTACCGATGCCATGGAGCTATATGCTGCCAGTTTACAGAACGGTTATCGACCTCCAACCACTAAGTCCACCAAGTCCACCATGCAATCCATCCCTTCGACTCAGTCCATCCTTATCATAGACACTAACTTCATGCTATCCAACCTTAAGATGTTAGATGAGATCAATAAAAGGCGAGACCAGTACAACTTCACGGTGGTGATTCCCATTGAGACGATACGAGAGTTGGACGGGTTGAAACGAAGTGACAGATTGGTTGATTCTAAGACCATAGGAGTTTTAGCTCGATGGGCCAATGATTGGATTTATGCCCAATTGGCGAAAGGTGCTATCAGAGGTCAAGATTATAAGCAGAGGATTGATAAGAATAGTACCCAGGACGACAGTATCTTGGACTGCTGTCTTTGGTTCAAACAAAACACTGAGAGTTTGGTGATCCTATTCTCTAACGATAAGAACCTTTGTGTTAAGGCATTATCTAATGAGATCTTGACGGTGAGCTACAAGGAGGGCATGGATGCAGAGCTTATCTGTAGTACGATCTATGAAGAGAGTATTCATCGAAATGGTGGTAATTCAGGCGTGAATGGCGGTGATCAAGGCATGAATGGTGCCAGCGATCCAGGAATGAATGGTGGTAACCCAGGTATGAATGGTGGTAATCCAGCTATGAACCAAAGTATGAATGTTGGTACGCCACATCCCGCCATGACTAACAGTACAAGCCACATTGAGACGGTCGCTCCAGAGATAAACATGAGAGACCACCTCACCCGTCAACAAGCAGTTGACATTGTATATAACGAAATATTCATCCTCACCAAATCAGTCATCCACCACTGCATGGAAGAAAGTTTCGGCGAGGACTTAGACATCATCAGAGGATATGACCCCGATTCTATCCGTGATTTGCAAGATTGTAAAGAAATTCTCGTACGATACTGGCATACGGTGTTCAGACAATTTGTAGGACGAAGAAAAGACCTTGAAACCTTGAGCATAGACATTCATGACATGGAGGATGTGTTGGATGGTTGGAAGTTCGTGTTAAAGACGTTGTATCAGATCTTGGACGACCGTCAAAGGGCAGCGTTGGTGGAGATCTTTGAACGATGGGATGAGCTTATCGTTTCTTGATAATGCCCTGAGGTTTCTTACGCTTTTTAGGCAGAGGCCCCGTGTTTAAGGAATCAGTGGGTCCGGTTACGGAACCATTAGGTTCAGCTTTTATTGGTTTGGTAGGTTCAGTACCGGATTCAGTAGGTTCAGTCTTGATGTCAGGTTTGTCTGAGGTATCCCGTTGATTATAATTTCGTTTATGACGATGTTTACCCCCACCGTCGTTTAGTTTACCCCCATTTCCATCACTGTTAATAGAATTAATCTCCTTCACTACCTCCCCCATATCTGTGACCCCCTCTACCTTTCTGTCCTCGAACGACTCTAGTTTGAAGTCAATGCCCTTCTTCCTCTTAAATACCGTCAAATTATCGAACCCATGATCCTTGCAGTACTTCAAGTAGTCGTCCTTGGCCTGAATCATGGTTTTTAGGTCCAGGATTTTACCAGCTAAGGAGGCAATAGCACGGTTCTGGGCCTGGAGGTAGTGAAATATCATCTCTGGCCCTTTGGACAAAGTGAATATCCATTTAAGGTCACTCAACTGGACCAGAACCTCCACCACCGACTTATGGTACCACCCGGGTAAATCTAGCACTGCTAGATCCAACCCATCACCACCATTGACCCTCAGTTTCAAGTCTTTCAAGAAATATTCCACTGCCTGGTCATCTACACCATTGAAACCCAACCTTTCTAGGGCCTTAGGGATATCATTTGGACCCAATGTCTCACTAAATGAAACCATAGCTTCAGGAACCACTATTCCTACAGTATAACTCCGGCGAGCAACGTCTACGTCCACTCCTACTACCACATTACCTGCTCTCACTATCAGCCAAAACATTCGCAATGTACGCACTCAACGATCCCCAGACCTTAGCAGAAAGGGTGGGCCAATTGGCATCCAAATCGTCCAAAAGGGTGGTTATAGGCATAGCAGGTATTCCTGGATCGGGGAAAACCACCCTTACGGCGAAAATGTGTGAACTTATGAACCAAAAAGGATTCAAAACTCAAGGAATCTCTCAGGATGGGTTTCATTATTATAGACAACAGCTTTACCTTATGAAGAATAGTCGGGAAGCTATAGAACGAAGAGGAGCCCCGTTCACGTTTGATGCTGTGAAGTTCCTTCGCTTGGTAGAGAAATTCAACGATCCTCAGTATAAAGATACGGAGATAATGGCACCGTCGTTCGATCATAGTAAGAAAGATCCCATAGAGAACGACGTGGTGATTCTGCCCGACACAAAAATCATTTTTGTGGAAGGAAACTATTTGGCATTGAAAGATCCCGTATGGAAGGAATTGGGAGGTTATTTCGATGAGATATGGAGATTGGAGGTACTGATGGAAGAAGCTAAGGAACGGTTAGTGGAGAGACACTTAACGGCTGGGATTTGTGCAACTAGGGAGGAGGCACAAAGGAGAGCTGAGGACAATGATTTGGTTAATGGGGTATATATTTTAGAGAACCTGGTTCCTGCTACGATAAGTATTTCGTAGGTCAGAGTGGTGCCCATGTTAGTGCTACTAATATACTAACCGGTGCAAGGGGAGGAGTTCAGTGCTAGTCCGGTACAACCCAGTTAGTGTAGTGAAACAACCAGAGAGGTCAGAATTTCAAATATGCATACATTTTCTATTTACCGTGATGGTAGACCCATCACATTAATCAGCGCCCCCTTGCGCTACCTTAGGCCAACTCACCTTACAACTCGCCTCCTACTTAGGCTCAACATTATACCTCAACCTTATACCCATAGCAGCCAATTCAGAATCTAAATATTTAAGTACAAATGGTATAGCAATTGTAGTAGTATCACCACCTCCAACAAATTTCTTACCTTGACCATCTTCCCAGATTTCAGATTCACTAACGAATTTACTGGTCTTACTGAATTTGGTGGAACAACTTCTACATCTTACGCTTGATAACTTACCAATCTTGGCCACGGAGTTTTGTGTAGATAACAATGAACCACAACGTTTACAGATAGATGATTGGGTGTAATCTGAACAATTCAACAATCTATCTTGAAGAAGGAAAGCAGTACCATGACCAATCAAAGCATCTCTTTCCATTTCTCCCACTCTGATACCACCAGATCTCTTTCTACCTTTAACAGGTTGCATAGTAAGAGAGTTAACTGGACCAGTAGATCTGACTTGGAACTTATCATTAACCATATGTCTTAATCTTTGGTAGTAAACACATCCGATATAGATATCGGCTCTTAATTCTTCTCCAGTAGCACCACTGTACATTGGTTCATTACCGTGGTAATTATAACCAGCACGGAGTAATTGGTCCCCGAAATAATCTGCAGGAGTATCGTTTTCATTGAATTTCCATGGAGTAGCATCTTGAGCAATCCCGTGTAAAGCCCCGGCCTTACCAGCCAAACTTTCAACGAACATCCCAATGGTCATACGAGATGGGAAAGCATGAGGGTTAATAATGACATCAGGTTGGATACCTGTTTCACTGAATGGCATATCTGTGGTTGGCCATTTACGTGAACAAACCCCTTTTTGTCCATGTCTACTACTGAACTTATCACCAATGAGTGGTTGTCTAGTGACACGGTATTTGATGGTGATTTGTTGACATTCTTCATTACCAACTTCACTAGCAAGAAGTTTAACTTCTTCAATGTATGCTGGTTCATTGGAATGGTAGGTTTTGACTTTGGTTTTACCTACAACATCATCGAAGTAAGCAACAATTGGGTCACCTTCTTCGACTTTAGAACCAATCATTGGTAACCCATCAGTATCCAAGGTATTTTGCCATTCTTCTGGCCAATCATCATCACCAAAACCGAAATGTTGAGTAGGAGCTTCACCCTTTCTACGTCCCATTCCAAGATCAACTTTCTCTACCTTATAAACAGTACCATAACCGAAACCTCTTTCATCAGCGGATTTATTAATGATCATGGCATCATCCATATCATACCCGGTATAAGAGATAACAGCTACCACGGCATTCATACCATTAGGGAAGTTATCCATACCATAATCATCATAAAGATTGGCCTTAACAATTGGAGTTTGACCAGTTTGAAGACGATAAAGTTTGTTATCCGATCTATGGACCAATCCAACACCTGGAGTTCCCATAGTTTGCTTACCCATTTGACATTGGTACATATTTCTTGGAGATTGATTGAAATCGGAGAATGGAGTTAAGTTAGCAAGAATACTCAAGATGTTAGTAGGAGATTCTTCCACGTGACTATGAGTATTAGATTCAATTTCTTCAGGAGTAACGGCAACATTGATGTAAACTTGTTCGAAAGGACCCAAATAATCGGTACCACTGGTTGGAAGATAAGTTACAGGACGAATCATTCTACTAGCACCTCCGAAAAGATAAAGACCTGGGTATTGACCTTTATTTGAAGGAGGTACGTACCCGATTTCTAAATCTACGGGTAAATTCTCTTGACCTTGAACTTTCCAGTATCTTAAAGTATCGGCAATAACCTTACCTTGTTGATGAGTAGTCCAACCGATGATTTTACCATCCAATTGGACACAACACATTGAAGGACCAGCACAAACAGTATTGGCTGACATGACACCAAGTTTACTCAATACTGAAGGTACGGAGCTAACATTGGAAGGAATGGTGGTGATTTCACATTTATGGGATAAATGGTTTAATAAACCACAAGGTGAACCATCAGGGGTATGAACAGGACAAAGGAAACCCCAAGATTCGGGTAATAACTTTCTGACGGTGGTGGTTTTCAATTCGGCGAAGAAACTACCTCTATGAACCATACGGAAATGAGCAATGAATCTATGGAAATTAATCTTTTCTGCTACCACAGTATATCCACTGACTTGTTGTAAATCCAAACCTGATTGAGATACCAAATTCCCCGTACTAAGGAAATATTGTAATTTTTGACCGATGTTCTCGTTGATTCTTTGGAATACTCTGGCGATATATTTACGTTCATTGAAGTTAACTTTAAGACCTCTGGTCAAATCTGATTGTACTTGAAGTTTGAAGTTATTAAGATATTCTTCAATTTTCTCTTTAACAATCATTCCATAAAGGAAACCTCCAAGAAGGATTTCTTGATGTTGAGTAGCATCGGGATTATCAGGAGAACAATCTCCACTAACAAGAGAATAAAGTTTTCTAATCATGAAAAGGATCATTTTGAACTTATCCATGTTTGTGGTGGCAGTACCATTAAGATGAACCAATACGATCTTTTCTAATACGATTTTACCCATTTCTATATCACTTAAATCAGGAGTACCATCGAAAACTATACGGAACTTATCACCTAAGTAAGCTAAAGTTTCTTGTTTGGAATATAAACCATAGGTTTTATTATAACTTCTTAATAAAAGTTCTAAACGATCAGTAAGGAAGGAATTAGATAAATCATCACCAATAATTCCGTCGAAGATTTCTCTATCATTGGTTTCAATCAAAGCTTTCAAAATCATTGATACTGGGATAAGATATTCATTTTTCTTCCAGGAGAAACGGAAAGTAACATTTCCGTCATTTAAATAATGAAGAACATTAGTTTGGGATGTTTGATCGGGTCTAACACACCTAATTTGGATCCCATATTTGGAATAACTAGGACCTCTATTACCAAAACTGGGTCTAATAAGTGCCATGGCATGATTACGTCTTTGTACAATTAACATACGGATCAATTTTTCAATCCCGTTAACAATGAAATATCCTCCTAATTCATCACTTTCTTCTCTATGATCAATGAGTTCGGCCGGTGATAAGTTTTGAAGATGACAACGGTTGGATTTTAACATTACTGGGAGTAATCCACAATCTCTAAACTCGGTGACTTCTGGTTCATCATTTACGGAATATGCAACCTTTAATCTGAGCTTTCCTTTATAACTTATCATTCTTTCTCTACATTCATAAGGTAAGGTTTTTTGGTTGATTGATAATTTGTCATTGTTGGGGATGGTTGGTTTGGTGATTTCCACCGCATCTACACGAATACGGAGTTTGTTACCCAATCTATCGGTATCAACAGAATCAAACATGGTTTTATAGCCAATGTCTTTAACTGCCATGTTCAACAAACCTTCATTGGAATCGTTTTCAACTAATTGATTGAACGACCCAACATGAGGAGCCACGGCGGCTTCTAACATGGGATAGGCTGACTTATCCTTAGGAGGGTTTTGGAAACGTCTTTCCCTTTCTAAGGTTCTGAATTGAGCAGTAGTCATGATGAAATTTTTTCTGAGATGAGATGAAGATATGTGAAGGTGCGACCCAAGGGGAGGGAGGTTTTTGGCTGTGGTGGTACCAAATGGTGCGAAGTTATATTTTCTACTACCGGCTCATCGACCCACTTTGGACCTGGGGTGCGAAAAATATCCATCGAGCTCCAGAAGAAGGTTAATAGATTAAACGATACCAAAGGGCCAAATCAAACACCTGACTTATCTCAGAGAGTGAACGAACTTATCCTAGAGAGTGAAAGATTTAACTAAGGGACTTAACCAGGGAACTGAACGACTTACCATGGCCAACAGTAAATATGAATACGTCAAAGCGTTCGAACAAGAACATTACCTTCTACCTGATACCTACATTGTAGTGAGAATCGATGGTAAAGGGTTCCATAAATTCAGTGATAAGTACAATTTTCAAAAACCTAACGATGTTAGGGCCCTCCAGGTGATGAATACTGCTGCCAGAAACCTCATGAACCAATTCCAAGATATCGTGCTAGGGTATGGTGATAGTGATGAGTACTCATTTTTGATCCGAAAAGAATGTGTGCTTTATGAACGGCGAGAGATGAAACTAACGTCCATTATATGTTCAGCCTTCACGTCGTACTACTTGGCGGAGTTCCAGAACCATTTCGAGGTGAAAACCAGTTTCCTCCCCATGTTTGATTGTCGCTGTGTTTTGTATCCTACCATAGAGAAAGTTAAGGATTATTTCCGTTGGAGACAAGTAGACTGCCACATCAATAACTTGTATAATACCAGTTTCTGGACATTGGTGCATAGTGGAATGACCAACCAACAGGCTGAGGATCGTTTGAACGGGACGGTATCATCAGATAAACATGAGATCCTCTTTAAGTTGGGTATCAATTATAATAATGAGCCAGAGATGTTCAAGAAGGGAACGGTGTTGGTGAAGGAGAAGGAGAAACGTTGGGTGGTGAAGGAATATCATGTTGATGTGGTGAAGGAGGAATTCTGGGAGAAATACACTCCAGGATGGATATAGAGGCAAGTAGTGCTTATAGCTGCTTTATAACGTCAGAGGCTCCGCAACTCCAGAAGCCAGAGAGCTTACATCATTTCTTATATAACGAAATATATTACAAGTATTTATACACAGTAGAAATAAAACGAATGGCTTAAAGCCAAAAATTAAAAACCTTTATACCGCCCAACGGGGCAAAACCTCCCCCGCGGGCCCCTATTTTCATTTTCTTTACCAAGATACAATTTGAATGTCTGTGGAATAGAAATCTGTGAGTTTGGGTAACTCCCATTCCACAATAGTCTCTATGTGGTCGAACAAGAACTTTTCATCGTTGATTTCTTCGATGTCACTATCGCTGTCGAAATCAACAGTCAAACTTTCAAACAGTTCGAAGTCATTGGTGAATACTGGTGTGGTGATGGTAAAGCAGTAGTTAGAACCATTGTTATTATCCCAGAACTCCTGGCCCTGGGTCCGGTAACTCACCACCAACTCTATGGATCCTGATAATCTGACGGGGGAGGAGAAAATGAATTCATCGTATTCTCCTTGACTCTTTAAGTATCTGAAGTCATTGATGATTATGCTGGATCTCCATTTGTTCTGTGAAAGCTTCAAGCTAAGTTGTTTATGGTAAGCGAGGTTCTGCACCGTGACTTTCCCCATCAACGTATTGTGAACATAATGGATGTCTGTGAGTTTAACTATGGGTTGATGTTGTGGTTGGAAGTTACGACTTTTGATGGTGTCGTTGATGGAGATGGGAGCTTTGGTGGTATGGAAGACCTTTACGTCATTAGTGGGACTGAAAGACACTCTTTTCATCATGTGTTTTGAGTCGTGAATTATGTGATATGTACTTAATTAAATGTCTGATTTGAATAGTCTAATGTATGTATTTTGTGTCTTGCTTATCACTGATGTGTCTTGCTTATCACTTGCGTTTATACGTCTTGTGACTTATGGTCTTGTTGAACTTCCTTCTATCTCGAAAAAAAATAAACCCTGCAAATTTTTTCTCTTTTATATCTTCTGCAGGTTCGCCTGAGTGAAATTTTTCTTAATTCAGTTAAATTGGTGTTCCTTATTTATAGAAGGATCTGGAGAAACGAAAACTGGAGTAAGAAAACTGGAGATTCCGGGGAAACTGGAGATCTCTGTATGAACTGCAAATAATGTAGTTCATGCCAAATCCCAAGTATTTATATCAAAAATCACCATCATCAGACGCGTTTTGATAAGCTGATTTGTAGCTCAGGTGATAAAAAAAAGTGCAGTGTGCAGAATTTTTGGGGGGGAGAGAAAATCATTGCAGATCGCTTCCAACATTTATTGACAACCGAAGACATGACGAAGCGGGAAGATGAGGAAGCGGAAGCGATGGCATAAGAGATGGCCCTTGAGTGATTCAACGAATGGTCTCAAGCCCAATCTTTGGGTAGTGGTAGGTCATGGATTTGAATCAACAACTCCTTACCGTGCCCCCCAAACTTTAATCCCCTTTGGAGTTATAATTCTATCACCCCATTTAAGGCGAGAATGGGGTCATATTACATAAGCCGATCGCAGATCAATATCTCAACAAAAAAAACTTTTCTCAAAGGTCTGATTATCTAAGAAAAGAATCGGATTACATAAGCTTACATAATCAATAGTAATTACGAGGATATGATTACATAAGCTTATGTAAGCTTATGTAACGGGATGATCTCCGAATAGAAAAAAAAGGTTTAAATATCTTAGCCTTTCTTGCCTCTGAGGTGCCTTAGTCTAAAAGGTGCCTTAGTTTGAGAATGTTGAGAATTAAACTTGATGACATAATTGATGCCTCTGATTTTATATTAAACTATTTATTAGAATCCTCCTTTAAAGTGACAATTCTATTGAAAATCAACTCATCTTCACTATCTTTATCTAAACAGAAATAACCAGTTCTCATAGCTTGAAATCTAACAGTTTCTTTACCACCAGCTTCATCAATATCAAACTTACCACCGGTCTTAATGTTCAATGGAGACTTAGCTTTGATGTCATCGAAGTTGTTTTCAATTAAAGCATTCTTGAGTACAATTTCTGATTCTGGATTAATATCATCTAAGAATCCTGTTGGATGAGCTGAGGGGTTTTCACTATTGAACAATTGATTGTAAATTCTTACTTCTTTGATGGATTTAACTTCCCCTTTAGGTAACCAATGGATGAAGGTTTTAGGTTTAACTTTCTTATCGTTATCATAATTAACTATAAGTTTAGTCACATGACCATTTGAGTCACGCACGACTTCCTTTACACTAATATTAAAAGGAACTTTAACTAAACCAACAGGTTGACCTGGAGCTAAACGGAAGTAATCTTCATTAAATTCATCACGATAATCATCAGCATCGATATAAATATGTTTTTTAAATGTCAATTTACGTGAAGTAATTGGACCTCTTTGATAAGGAATTTCTACCTCTAAAGCAAAATCTTCTTCCACATTATCTACTTCAATTTCAATAGGATTAAGAAGCATCATTAATCTTGGAGTAGTCAAATCCAAGTATGATCTAATAGAACTTTCAAATCTAACAATTTGAATATTAGTAGTTGAAGTAGTAACACCTAAAGTATTGATAAAATTCAAAATAGCTCCTGGTGGGATCCCTCTTCTCTTGATAGCTTCTAAAGTATATAATCTTGGATCATCCCAATCACGAACATATTTCTCTGTAACCAATTTAAGAATTTTTCTCTTACTTAATACTGTACCAGTTAAATTCAATCTTCCATATTCTCTTTGTGCTGGTCTAAACACTTTCAACTCATCACATAACCATTCATAACTTTCTCTACTTAATCTGAATTCAGTAGTACATAAGGAATGAGAGATGTTCTCGAATGAATCTACCAAACAATGAGTGAAATCATAAGTTGGATAAATCTTCCATTTATCACCAGTACGATGATGAGGAGTATTTAAAACTCTATAAGCAACCAAATCCCACATTTGTGGATTAGGTGATTCTAAATCTTGTTTCATTCTTAAGAAAGCTTTACCCACTTCATATTCACCATTTTTCATCTTTCTAAATTCAGTTAAATTTTCTTCAACTGATCTAGATCTCCATTTGGAAGCAAATCTTTCACCTCCTAACGTACCATCTTCTTTCATACCCCTTTGAGCTTTAACCTCTTCAGGGGTTGAATGATCAACATAGGCTCTACCACATTTGATCAATTGTTCAGCTAATTCGTATAATTCATCAAAATAATCAGAAGAATAAGTGATTTTCCAGGGTTTGAACCCTAACCATTCGATAGTTTCTTTGATCTTGGTGAAATAGATTTCTTCTTCAGCTTCAGGATTAGTATCATCGAATCTTAAGTAACATTTCCCGTTATGGTAACTAGCATAACCGAAATTAACCATAATGGCTTTGGAATGTCCAATATGTAAATACCCATTAGGTTCGGGTGGGAATCTGGTCCATACTTGACCTTTGGTGACATCTAAATGGTGAGCCATTAATTCAGGATACTTTTGAGGGTTTTCTCCAGGTTTATGTAATTCTTTAAGGAACCCTTCAGTAAACATAGTTCTTTCTTCTGTAGGTTTGGTGGTATCTTTGGTAGCAGCCTTGGCTTTAGGTTTCTTTTCCTTCTTCACCACATCTCTTTCATCTTTAGGTCCAATAGTGTCTAAGAACCATTGATCAATAACCGGCTTGAATAAACCAGCATTGGCCCATTTCAATGCTTCTAACTTTCTTACATCTCCCATGACCTTAGGTAATAAGGCGTATCTCTTGGATTCGATTTCTTCCTTTCTAGTGGTTAAATAATCAGATATAATGGTCTTCACTTCCTCATCGCTAACTTCAATACCTACACCACTGACTTTTTCCATCTCTTTCACGTCAGGACTATCAGTAGAGTTGACGTATTTCACAGCTTCATCCAATTGTAAGGTGGTCTTCAATCTTCCGTCTAAAACTCCATCAATAATCATGGGGTTGGTACTTTTAAGGGATAAGCTATGTAACATAGCAATCTTTTTATCATCTAAACTGTCGACTCCTTTAGAGGTACAATAATCAACAATAGAAGTGAAGTTTCCCAACACTTTCTTGTTGTTCTTGATTTCTCCAACTCTCTTGTCGGTTAATCCAAAGGATTTGAACTTTTCAATGGTTTCTTCCATGGTTGAAAATTTTCGCGAGCTGTCAGTGTTAAGACCTGGATGGTGGACTAGTGGTAGAGGTTTGTGGGGGAGTTGTGGCATTAGAAAGTTGATATGTTAAAGAGGCTGGATGAGTAACTCAAGGAGTGTTCGGTAGAGGTGACAAAAGTTGAGAGTGGAAATGACTCACCATTGCTCTCAATGTGATTGATGACTCTTGAAGAGTATAATGTGTCCTGAAGATTCTTTTGAAGACTCTGTGAGTTGACTCAAAGCTACCTTGGAATACAGTGTTTCAGATTGTTGATACCCCTAACCCCATCAATATTTCCCTGGTATTCTAGACCTTGTTTCATATTTTGTTTCACGTTTGTTTCATATTTATGTCCCAATCAGTTACCCGGACATAAAATCACATCTCTTCTTTTACTATAAAACCCAGCCCTTTCCTGTCTTCTGATTCAAACATTGACTTCTGATAGCCCCCCATACTCCGTCCCTTACCAAGGCATCTATTCATACTACTTGGGCCAAAACATAAACACTGGAGTTAACTATCGGACTTCATTTAAATATGCGCACCTACCCCAAATCTCTAATGAAAGATATTACAAAGATAACGAAACCCGCCATAGCTAAATCTCCTCGTAAAGCTAAACCCAAGTTGTTATACGAAGATAACCTCCAACATGTTCAAATTCTGAAATCTTTACCCAAAGCTTTTATTGAGTTTCATAAACCCCATTTCATTAAAGGTGTGAATCATATCTTAAAGGTAGACCCCAGTCTTTATCCTGTAATAGTCAATGAAAACTTCAAACACTTTGAGAACGATGAAGATAACAGTATCAAGTCCCAGGTGGTGGTAGATGAGACAGAAACCATCAGAAAGTACTGGCTTAGTTTAATTTCCAGTATTATATCCCAACAGATCAGTGGATCTGCTGCTAAATCTATCTATGGAAGATTCGAGGCACTTTTCAAAGAATCTCCCAACCCCAAAGAGCTTTTAGAGATGCTGACGGAGGACCTTAGAGCTGTGGGGTTGAGTTCAATGAAAGTTAAGTACGTTATTGATATTTCAGAGAATTTTGGTAATCCTGAAAACCCTCTTACTTCCATCAAGTTCTACCAGGAATCATCATTGGATGAAATAGTAACCGAATTGGTGAAATTGAAAGGTGTGGGAGAATGGAGTGCTAAAATGTTTGCTCTTTTCACCCTCAAGGAGTGGGATGTTTTCGCTGAGACTGACTTGGGAGTTGCCAGAGGTGCTTCCAATTACTTATCGAAACGTCCAGAATTATTGAAGGACATCAAACAAGGGATTTCTCAACATGAGGATTTAGTGCTGATGATGAAGAAAAAGGGGAAATTTTCTAACGGAGGAAGTAAGAGAGATTGGATTGCTTATCATGAAGCGTATTATTTGTATTTATCTTTAAAGTTTGCTCCCTATAGATCGATCTTAACATTACTTTTTTGGCGACTTTCGGCTACCAATGTGGAGGTCTTAGAAAACGATTAAATAATCATCAATAAAACAAGAGCCATGAATGGAGGAGATAATCTCATGGAAAGGTTCTCTCCGATGATCTTGATTCTTTGCTCTCGTCTATTCTGGTCCATTATCTCGTTCAATTTGAGTTCTATTTCCTCATTAGTTAATTCTCCATCCAAGAATTCAAGCTGTTGAGGCTTGAATCCTTGATTAAGTAAGTATTCTTGAAAACTACGGAAGTCTATTGAAACCTCAGGGGCCTTAGATTGATGGGTGAACCTTTGGAAGCTCCAATCTTCGAAATCCTTATCTTCTTTATTCTCCTGGATGACTTTTTCTGTGAAAGAACGGAGATTTCCGGAATTAAGTGAATCCCCATAATTTTTTATCGAAGTTTTCAACGTATCGTCACCACCAGAAGGTAAGGATTTCAAGTATTCCTGGATGAAACTATGAGATGAATGAAATTCATAATCGGAAAGTGGTACCGATTCTATTGGTTCTGCATCAGCCGATGCTATTGCCGTCTGTAAAGAAGTACTAGCTGCTGTCAAACCATCAATACTTTCAATAGAATTAACCTGATCAACTATTGGATTCACATTACTGCCTAAATTTGTAAATCCCATTGCTCGATCATTCATATCGTGTAATCTAGACTGACCAGCGGCCCTGGAGTTCCCCAAAACCTCCAGTGACTTTGTTTTCAACATCTTGAACTTACTGGCAATTCTAGAATCTATAGGAATCTTTAAACTAGATATCATACAAATATATATAAATATAGGAAGAATAAACATAGTGAGTACAAAGTCCATTTGTAAATACCTCACAACTTTTATCCTCACCCTTTATCACTATCTCCCTCCCCCAACTCTCTATGATCCCCTCGTAACCATTCCTATCAACTTCCAACTTCAACACAGCTTGCATTGGACTTGGCTACTTTTAGTTCAATCGGGGGTACCTGCATGAAAATTACTTCTTTTGGGATTTAGTACCCGAACCCTCTTCGGTTCCCAGTGAGTTTAAATTTTGTGTTACGAAGGGTCAAACAATTTCTCACAACTTTGGAAAGTCTCCTATTATGTGGTACCACGTCTTAAGTCCAACGTCATCACCCCTTACTGCCTAACAGCCTCCCTAACTCCCCGTCAAGCCTCACATTTCATACTGGTACAATTTTGGTCCTAGCACGACGTCCAGATGGACTGAAACGACCAAAAATAGAGATGTATTTGATGATATTCAAAGGCGATTTTCTCCGTTGGAAAACTTTACTTGCCCTTTAGATACTATAAATATTCCATAAACCTCTCCAAAAATGCTAATATCGCCTCCTAATACCCAAATAACACCCTCCACCGCTCGGTTGCTTATTAAAACTCAATTCGCACTGGAAAAAATTTAAGGATTATTTTAATCAACAAAGAGGTTCTTTATCCATTCGTTGAGTTCAAATCCCCCAATTCCTTTCACTTCAAAAGGTCAAATACATCATTTGGCTATTACGTGAACCTTTCAAAATTTCCCATTCGCAAATTTAAGTTCCGTTTAATTCATTCGCTTTCCTAAACGTACTGTTAACTTTTCACTTCCATTTCATACCCTAGATGAATCACAATAGAAAGAATTCCATCACTTCTATCTCCACCACCGGCAGCATGTCCCAGCCCAGCTTTTCCCCATCCTCCATGAGATCCATGTCGACGAATCAGATCATGACCATTGATAATAAATTCACCAGAAACAAGAGGAAGTCCAATAATCATTTACCACAGCAGAAACCTCCAAATCAGAAGGTGGTACTGGGTCAGAAAATGATGCTGCTGAGTTACCAGGGTCAGCCGGGTCAACCAGGACAGTTCCCTGGCCAGCCAGCACACTTTCAAGGACAACCTCAGTTCCAGGGCCAACCAGGACAATTCCAGGGCCCACCAGGTCAATATCAAGGACAACCAGGACAATACCAAGGACAAGCTTCTAAACCTAGAAGTCCTAATCCCAACGAGTTCCACAAAAACCAAGGTACTTACTATTTCCCCAATGGTGAGATCTTCAGACCAAGAATCAGTCCTGCCAGAAGAAACAGACCAAGCAAAATCAACTATGTTCCACAAGTCAATAACAGACCTCCTATGGGACAAAGCAGAGATGTTACTCAACAAAGACACGAGCAAAGTCCCGGTGGTCCTATAAGGAATAAATCATTTCCTGTTCCTTCGTCAACACATCCTGAATTACCACGGTCTCAATCATCTTCTAACGTTAAGACTCAAATGTTTCAACAACATTTGAACCATCAGATGCAAATGAACCAACCAGGGAAGTTACCTCAACAATATTCATCACAATATCAACAATTCCAGAACCTCCAAGGTCAAGGACAACCACATTCTGGCCACCCTCATGGTCAACATCCTCAATACCCAAGTCCACATCCTAATCAAAACCATTTCCAAGCTCCCAATGGTATTCTTCCCTACGAGGCCTATCAACAGTTATCGAATAACTCATCGTCCACGAGTCTCAAGAACTTACAATCCAACAATCTCATTAAATCGTCCATGAACAACTCCGATCCTTCGTTGAAGAAGAGTACCAGCTCCGAAAGAAGTACCACCAATACCCCTCAGACTTCCATCACCAACTCTATTGATGAGAAGTACGTGGAGATTCTTAGGGACGATTTCGATGATATCAAAGAGGTTAGCGAGAAGACTCCTGAAGTGAAGATTCCTGAGATCAAGAGTCCTATCAAGACCCCTGAACCAAGGTCAGTAGAAGAGTTCTCCACTCCAACCACAGAAGTTTTTGTTACACCTGACAGTTCGCCTGTTCAGTCCAAGATCAGTTTGGATGAGGTGATCAGAAAGAATGAGGAAATGCATGAGTTAGTACAGAAGGAGTTAGCTGAACAACTGGTTGAAGAGTCTGAAGTCGAAGGAGCTCCATCTTTAAGAGAAGCTCCATCTTTGGTTGCACCTTCTTCAGAAGAAGCTCCATCCTTAGCAGTCCAACAACAAGTAGAAGCAGAACCAACTCCAGAGCCATTGAAACAGTCTCTTGAACAAACCCTTCCAATCTTGAACGATTACCCAGCTCATGATTCTACTGAATCTTCCCCCAACTCATTACCAGAATCATCACCTTCACCTCATTCAGTGGAGCAAGTGATCCTTTTAACTCCAAAGAAAGAGTTCAGAAACGACCAATCGTCATCTTCCACGGTTAAATCTTTCCCTTCACCTTCTTCCAGTCAATCTTATGATGACGACTTGATCAATGAGTACCGTGAAAGTCCTATCAAGCCCAGTAACTATAAGTCACAAACGTTCATTGACACTGATGAAAAAGTTGAACGAGAATACACCAAGCTACTTGAGGATGAACAACAAGTTCCTAAAAGAGGTGATATCAATTTCTATGAAGACAGAATCACCAAACACACTCGAGCCTCCCTGAACTCCTACAAGGAAGAAGATGACTTACCTTTACCAACTATCAAGTATAGTGATAAAGAGTTGAAATTGCCTAAGACTCCTGTTGATCGGGATGTCGAGTCAACTTCGAGTGTTGAGGACGTGGTGAAGCCTGATTTGATGCCTGTTGAAACAGAATCGGTGTACTCTGATGATAGTTATGCAGAAGGAGACGAAGTGATTTTGACTGAAGATGTACCTGGGGCTGCCGGACAAGAGGCTGTTGTACCAGATACTGTTGTACCCGAGACTGTCGCACCAGAGACTGTCGCACCAGAAGAAGCTGTGGTTACAGAGAAGGTGAGTGAAAAAGAGGTGGATATTCCAGAAATTGAAGGTACTGAGACTGAAGAGCCTCTTGTAGCTTCCCCAGTCGAAGCAGTTCAAAAGCCTGTTGAAGTTAATGGACCAGTGCAAGTTTCTGAAACCTCCCAGCCAAAAGAAGTCACAGAGTCTACCGTTGACTCTAAAACTGAACAGGCCGCTATAGTACCACCCAAACCTAAATCCATGTTGGACGTAGTTGATAAGCCAGCCGCCAAACCTAAATCGATGTTGGATGTGGTAGATGTCAATCCAAAGGTCAAGGATGTCAAACCTAAAGACACCAAGCAAGACACCAAATCTAGCAAAATCACAGACAAATCCACCAAATCTCCCACTCCAGTCAAAGACTCACCAAAGACAAAATCTGATTTCAAAGAAAAATTCAAATCCAAAGACATCCCATTAAACTTGAAGTTATCACCCAAGAAACTCAACTCGATCTCCAGATTAAGAAAGAAGCCTCCTTCATCAAGTCCTTTAATCGAGAGATTTCTCGACCAAAAGAAAGAAGAACAAAAGAAAGAGTCCAAACTTGATTTGTTCTTGCTTCCCGAAACATCTCAAAAGAGTAAATCGGACGACACCCAAAAGAGTAACTCCGAGAAATCATTACCTTCAGTTCCTGAATCCAAAACTTCAAAATGGAAGAAAGTGTTCAAGAAATCCGAAGAAGAAGATTCAAAATCAATTCATTCAGAAAGTTCCAAGAAGGATTTGAAAGAGAAATTGAAGAAACTGAAAAGATCATTTTCTTATAAGAATCTTCGTCTCAAGAAGGAAGAACAACCTCCTTTACCTGATTTATCTTTCGAACCCGACAATTTGACTAGTCTTGAAGTATTATCATCTCCTGAAAACAACCTTTATTCCAATCTTGATGATATGGATGTTGTTTTACCAACCATTGAAACTGATGATAATTTATTTGATGATATGTTACATCAATTTGATGAGAAAATGGAAACTGTTGGTCGTAAGAACACCATCAAACCTGTCAAACTTATAGATCCGTTCTTAAAAGATGATGAATTAACAAAAGATCAAATTAAAGACCAACAAATCATGGATGAAGAGATTTTAACCCATCATAAGAATCTTAGTGATGAATATATTGATGATAACTTGAAGTATTTGAAAGATGAGTTTGTTTACTTGGATAATGACATGAAATCCTTCAACGAAGTTAAATCCATTACCAGTGAACATGAAGAGGAACAACTAATTGGTGGAGCAGAAGATTCCTTCACCATCGATAATGAACAATTGAATAATCTTTTCAATAATATCAATGACTCCCAAAAGAGGATCTTACCTATGCATTTAAGATATATCAAACAGTTCAAGGATTTCCAACAATTGGAAATCAAAACCAAGAAATTTGAGATTTTGACCCAAAGGGCCAAAAAACCCGAGATCTTGACCGTTGAACCTGCTATATCCAAGAGAACAAAGACCTCTTCCAATAAAAGAGTTCAGTTCTCTCATAAGATCTTTGTCAATGAAACATTTTCCCCTGATACTTATTCCAGATACAACAAGAAAGTCACTCAGTATACCTTGACTGAACCGGTAGAAATTGCCAGAATCAAGAATGAATTGAATGATTATAAATGTAATGAGATGTTGGTTCATGAGAGATCTCAGAACAATACTCATTTCTTTTACTAGCTAAAATATATATTGCATTTTGATGAGTCTCTCAGTATGTAGCAAATATGTCAAGATCTTCTACACTGCTCAGGACTTTCGATTACTTAAGAGATTCTCATATATATGACCCTTTATGTATTCATGCCTTTTATATATCAGGATCTATCACTCACGATCTATCACTCACGACCTATCACTTACGATCTATCATTCAAGACCTATCACTCACTAAATGTCATTCAAGACCTATCGCAACCTATCATTCACTACACTCACGACTGATCGCTCATGACCCTCTATATGTACTATAACTATGGTTGGACAACAACAAAGGAATATGATAATGTTCATCACTTTCAATATTGAATAAAATCTCTACAAATGGAAAGAACGTCTTGCTCTTGTTTAACCAAAAATATTTCCCAGTTAAGAACTTAACCTTATAAACACCAGGCTTTAAAGTTTCCCATTTCATATTGTCTATTCCTAAATGGGATAAGTCTGCTGAAGGATTGAAGTTCCAGTTTTTTATCCTTCCATCTGCATCAGTCTTTCCCATTGCAAATGCTTGATCATTGTTGTTACTGTATAAGGATTCGTCATCGGCATCACTGACAATTGGTGACACATAATACAATTGACAAGTAACACCAGCAGCTGGTTTACCTTTAGTAGTATCTAAGATATGACAAGTTATATGATCCATTTGATCGCATTCTACCGAATCTTTCATTATTTTGAGATTTGTTATCTGCTTATGTAAGTGCTTATGTAATCAGAATAATTCAACTCAATTAGTTTATGCATTAAAGATCCATTCTATTCGTTTACGATCATAACGCCAAAGATGACGCTCCTGGAGTATGATCCATTCGATGATACCATTCAAGATCTTGCTAGTAACATTTATATGGTTTTGATTACAGTAGATTCTGGAGAAATTCTCAACATTGAAACATAGGTTTTCTACTTTAACTTGATGTAAATACAGTTTTACGGAGTCTTTAAGTTTCGAAAGTTCTTTCAGGAACACAATTTGAGACTTGGTGGTGACTATAAGTCTCATCATTACCAATTCGTGTCTCAAATAGTGAAAAAGCTGATACTTCTGATTCAAAATCTCAGATGGAGTTCCTGAACCTCTTTTAACCGTCATTTGAATCATTAGGTGATCATTGAGTTTATTATTGATCATAGGATCGTTATAAATTTCTGTCAATGACGTTGGTTGACAATTTCGTTTGAGTAGAAAGATCAAGATTTCCGTCAAAAGTTGTGATTCGGTTATGAGCTTAATTTCCGGACTTGTTGAGTGTGTTCTTGAATGTGTTGTCGGATGTGTTGATGGTGATAAGGCTTCAATGTCAGAATCCAGCTCTGAATCTAGTTCTATTACTTCGTTGATAACTATTTCTCGATCATTATCGGAGTCCAGCTCCGAATCTATCTCCACCACTTCATCCATATCTACATCTCTTTTGTCTTTTTCACCTGCCTCCAAGATTTCAACCTCCATATCTCCACCTCCAAGTCTTTCGTCATTCATAAATGGTGGTATTAAATTTACCTTATTCGTGGGGGGTTTATAAGTCCAAGGGATTCTCAACTTATCACGGGTTTCGAAACATTCCTTCCAATGTCGTATTTCTCCCTCTAGATCGGTCTGTAACAACATCAAAGTATCACAAACTATTTCTTTACGATAATACCAGTAAACCTCACCAGTTACTTCGACCGTCCTACCTTCACATTCCAATAATTGAGGGAACCATAATTTAGCATCAACTTTAACTCCAATATTCAGAGCTATTCCTGAAGAATCATCGATATTTAACACCACAAAATTCTTCAGTATATCATCGAATTCCTTCACCATCAAGGATTTCACAGTGCCACGGACTTTTACCTTCTTCAAAGGGTGATTATTGATCATAAACCATCCTTCACGCGACATGGTTTGACATTTGGATCCATAAATCTCCTTAAGTCGAGCCGCTCTCACAATATCTATTACGAATAACGTCATGGTAGCACCATAATATGGCGATAAATGGAATAGTTCCATGGAATAAAAGCTCACTGTCGTTCGTCGAACGATATGACTTTCCCCAGGACCAAAATCACACATAAGGAAAAAAGTGCGAGACTATACTCATGGCTTTATTCGAAGTAGACTGGGACATCAAGTCCAAGAAAGTTGTGTTTGGAGATACCAACGATAAAGAGAAAAGAGAGAAGAAGAAAGAAAAGAAAGAAAAAAGACAAAAAAACAGAGAACTCAAGGAAGGAAGTCATGAAAAGAGAAAAGAAGTGAGAGATGAGGGAGATGAGGAACCTAAGAAAAAGAAGGTAAAGGCTATTAAAGATGTTAAACCTTCCCAAGATAGTACGACAGAAGAATCCCAGGACCATAATATAATGGCCATGGCACCAAACACCAAACTTACTCCATTACAACAGAAAATGATGGCCAAATTATCAGGATCTAGATTCAGATGGATCAATGAACAATTGTACACCATCCCTTCTGAAAAAGCTTTAAAGTTAATAAGTCAACAACCATCATTATTCGATGAATATCATCAAGGGTTCAGATCACAAGTCCAAGGTTGGCCAGAAAATCCCGTCAATGTATTCGTTAACCAATTAAAAACAAGATTCATTAAACCTATAAATGCCCCGGGTGGATTACCTGGGATCAATAGAGAAGTTGTTGTGGCAGATATGGGATGTGGTGAAGCACAACTATCTTTGGATGTTTCTAAATTTGCTACCAAACAAATTAAGAAGGGGAAAAAGATTGTAGTCCATAGTTTTGATTTAAAGAAATCTAATGATAGAATCACTGTTGCTGATATTAAGAATGTTCCTTTGGAAGATGAATCATGTACGGTAGTAATTTTCTGTTTAGCACTTATGGGAACCAATTTCATCGATTTCATTCAAGAAGCTTATAGAATTTTAGCACCCAGAGGAGAATTATGGATTGCTGAGATCAAATCCAGATTCAATGAAAAGGATAAAGATGTTGGACAAGAATTCATCGATGCTATTAAATTACAAGGATTCTTCCATAAGAACACTGATAACTCCAACAAAATGTTCTCCAGGTTTGAATTCTTCAAACCAGCAAAGAATGTGGTTGAAGAGAGAAATGAAAGATTGAAGAGGAAGAAAAGATTTGTCGAGCAGGAAACTGAGATCGAGGAATTCAAATCCAAAAGAGAAAAACAACCTGAAGGTGAATGGTTGTTAAAACCTTGTATTTATAAGAGAAGGTAAGAAATGTAATCTATATTAAAAACCTCTCATTAAACGATTTCTATGTGTTGGAACTTCTTAACAATATCTAAGACTTGTTTTTGTAAATGGTCTTTTCTAGCATCATCACACCATGATCCTTTGATACCATTGATGGCGATTTTACCCCAATCTTCAACGGAGAATCCGAAATGTCTGTGGACTTCGAGATAATTATCCAAGATATATCCACCAAAATAAGCTGGATCATCAGAATTAATGGAAAATGGGATATTCTTCTCGAAGAACTTATCAATAGGTAATTGACCAACATGTTCAACTACTTGTAACTTAACATTGGATAAGGGACAAATACTTAATAAGATTTCTTCTTTAGCTAATCTTTCCATTAATTCATCATTTTGATGAGAATTGATCCCGTGATCGATTCTAGTAACATTCAAATGATCTAAAGATTTTGAAACATAAGTATGGTCACCTTCTTCACCAGCATGAGCAGTGAAACCTACATGAGGATATTTGTTTTGAAGATATTCATAAGATTCAGTGAATAATTCTGGATGATTAGGAACTTCGGATGAATCTAATCCTAAACCATGAACAATACCTTGTTCAAAGAAAGGTGCGGTAAGTTTAACAGTGTCTAAACAATCTTTTGGTGGTAAATGTCTTAATAAACACATAATTAATTTATTGGTGGTACCAAACTTGGTATTAGCATCCTTACAAGCTCTGTTAAACCCTTCAACTACATGTTTAACATCAATGCCTCTTTCTAAATGACCTTGAGGATCAAAGAACACTTCTGAATGATGACAGTTATCCTTATGGGCTTTTTCGAAATAAGCTATAGCTAAATCATAAAAATCTTCTTCAGTGATTAAAACACTCATTCCAATATAATAATGATCTAAGAAATCTTGTAAGTCTTTAAATTGGGAATATCTGACATTACAACTTTCAATATCTTTGGGGAACCATTGAGGAAATTCGATATTATTTCTTTTGGCTAACTTGAATAATAATTCTGGTTCCAAGGTTCCTTCTAAATGCAAATGGTGTTCACATTTAGGTAATTCTTGTAAGAATTGCTTGACTTCACTAGTTAATTGGTATGACATTAGATGAAAATTTATCAATTTATCAATAGTGTCAAATGTGTCAATGCGATGAGATGCGAGATAGGATGGTCCGACGGAGAGTGATAGGAATGAGAAGAGGATGAGAGTTGGGTCATAAGATGTATAGAGGTGATCTTATTATAAGTTTTCAGCTCCGGAACATTAATCCTTTGTAACAGATCGTATAATAGCTTATCATTTTAATATAGATCAAACTGATTAGAAAAAGAAATTCTACGCACCATTCACTTCCATTTGTCGCTAATTCTCTCAGATCTCTCCCCAACTGTCGCAAAAGTCTCCCTAACTCTCACACACTTGAAGTCTCCACATGCGACTGAACTGCCTCTTCTAAATATAGACCACACACAAACACTTTCTGATAAACCCGGCCAAGACGTTATCCCACCGAACCAATCATCAATCTCAATGACCTTTCAGATCATTCATACCCCCTGAAGTTTCAGATCATTTCTAAATATAGTCAAAATGTTCCTATACAAATCTCCAAGCCTTTTATTCCATGACCATTAAATCCACCTTTCCTACTAGCTTACTAATAGTCCATACCGGCTATTTACTCTATTCTACAGCTCTTCCACCGCCACCATATGTTTAAGCCCCCAACTACCGTACCGTTGTCCCGTCTCCATCATTCAGCCTTTTGTTTACCTTCCGCGAACCTGATCCATCGTCAAGACTTAAGATCGAAATATTTTCCCTAAATCGTTATGAGTAGATACAACTACGACGACGACCCCTTCAACGCGTACCATGATGATTACACCCACCCCCATCACCATGCCAGTCAGCAGGGTCACCAACAATCCAATCAACAGTCCCATCATCAGACTACTCAGAATCAAGGTACCTATAATTACAGAGAGAGAATGCCATCAGATAATTCCATAAATTTCCAACAACCTCCTCCAGTGTATAATAATCGTAATGAAATGGGAAGTTATGACGACTTCACCAATTACTACGACGAATCCGACACCCGACCACAGAACATTTTCAACACCAATCAGCATTTAAGCACCCATCATAATCCATTTGAATCATCATCAGCTGAAAATTTACCTGATTTACCCCCAAACCATTATGAAATGAATCAGTATGATTACCAGTATACTCCCAATGCTCATTATGCCAATGAATATAATCAAGCATTTGTTCCTCATGTTTATGATGAAGATGATGACGAAGAAAGAGATTTCGATCAAAGGATTCAGTACAATGATTTCGAAGGAGATCATTATGACTTAAACACTGTACAGCCACCACCATCATTTGTGGATTCACCGTTCGGAGAAGAACAAGAATTTGAAAAACCTCCAGAAGAAGAACCTGTCAGATCCAAACCACAAATTGGTGTAGCTACGGGTTTAAACGGTCATTTGGTGTTAGATTGTCCTGTTGCCGATGAATTACTTCGAAAATTCCCTGATTATAAACATGACGTCAAAGATGGTGGATTATCAAGAGAATTCGCTTATATGAGATATACTGCTGTTACATGTGGTCCTTCTAATTTCTACAAAGATGGATATATCTTAAGACCAGTACATTATCCCCAACCCCGTCAAACAGAGTTAATGGTAGTAATCACCATGTATAATGAAGATGACATTTTATTAGCTAGAACATTAAAAGGGGTATTTAAAAACATTAAGCATTTAGAATCAAGAACCCGATCATCAGTATGGGGAAAAGATTCATGGAAGAAAGTAGTGGTTTGTATTGTAAGTGATGGACGGTCTAAAATTAATGAAAGAGCTCAAGCATTATTAGCAGGTTTAGGTGTTTATCAAGAAGGATTAGCCAAATCCCAAGTTGATGATAAACCTGTTCAAGGTCATATGTATGAATATACTACCAGAGTAGGGATTTCTTCAGTTGATGAAGTAGTCAAATTGACTACAGAGAAGATTGTTCCGGTTCAATTACTTTTCTGTTTAAAGGAAAAGAATGCTAAGAAGATTAATTCTCATAGATGGTGTTTCCAAGCCATTAGTCAAGTTCTTGATCCTAAAATTGTGGTTTTATTGGATGCAGGTACTCAACCTACAGGGAAATCCTTATATCACTTATGGAAAGAATTCGATAAAGATCCTCAAGTTGCAGGTGCTTGTGGAGAAATCAAAGCTATGTTGAAGAAATCAGATTTCCTTAAAAATCCAATTACTTATGGACAAAACTTCGAGTATAAAATTTCAAATATCTTAGATAAACCCACTGAATCTGTTTTTGGTTTCATTTCCGTTTTACCTGGGGCTTTCTCTGCTTATAGGTATGTTGCTTTACAAAATGATGTTAATGGGAAAGGTCCTTTGGAGAAATATTTCAAGGGGGAATTTTTACATGGATCAGGAGAATTAGATCCTAATGATGATGAATATGTTTTGAAATCTACTCAATTAAAAGAAGAAGCCGGGATCTTCACATCTAATATGTATTTGGCTGAAGATAGAATCTTATGTTATGAGTTGGTAGCCAAAAAGAATTGTAATTGGTTATTAAGATATTGTAAGAGTGCAAGTGCTGAAACTGATGTACCGGATAAATTAGCTGAATTCATTTTACAAAGAAGAAGATGGCTTAACGGGTCATTTTTCGCTGCTATTTATTCATTGGTTCATTTCCCTAAGATCTGGGGTTCTTCTCATTCTATTGGTCGTAAAGTTTGGTTACATATTCTTTTCGTTTACCAATTTTTGAATTTGATCATTTCTTGGTTTTCTTTGGCTACTTACTTCTTGGTGTTCAGGATCTTAACGACGGGTTTAAATGATTCAAGTTTAAATTTTGCTCCAGGTAATATTCTTTCCGTTATCTTCCTTTGGTTATATTTGGCATCTTTAGTTACAACCTTCGTCTTAAGTTTTGGTAATAAACCAAAGGGAACAGAGAAGTTTTATATTGTTATTGTGATTTTCTTTGCCATATTGATGGCATATATGATTTTTGCTGCTATCTTTATGGCAGTACATTCGGTTCAAGACATTTATAATTCCAATACTAAAATCACTGTATCATTATTCTTTACCAATGCTAAATTTAGAGATTTGGTGGTGGCTACTTCATCAACCTATGCTTTATACTTCTTAGCATCATTTTTATACTTTGAACCTTGGCATATGTTTACTTCATTCATTCAATATCTTTTATTATCGCCATCATATATCAATGTTTTGAATATTTACGCTTTCTGTAATATTGATGATATTTCATGGGGTACAAAAGGTGATGTTGGTGCTAAAGATTTAGGTGTGGCTAAAGTTAGAGATGATGGTACTTTCGATGTTAATATTCCAATCTTAAAGGAAGAAATCAATCAATCTTATTTGAATCAATTAGAGAAAATAAAGAAACCTATAGTTGAAAGTACCGGTGATAATGTTACTTCAAACGAAGATTATTATGCCTTCATCAGATCTATGACGGTTTTGATTTGGATGATCTCAAATTTCGTTATTGTAGCTTTGGTCCTTCAAACAGGTGGTTTAGATCAATTTGGTGGGGCTTCAACAACTACTAGAGCTGACGTTTTCTTAACGGTGATTTTATGGGTAGTGGCTTTCATGGCGTTGTTTAGATTCATTGGTTGTGTTTTATATTTAATCCAAAGGTTCTTAAGAAAGTTCAAACAATCAACTAGTTACAAACGTCAACAAAAAGGTTTACTTTAATACCATATTTTACGAGTATTTCTTATCTCATTTTATGCATACTTATGTCTTATTTCATGTATCTCTTATTTCCATCGATTTACTTTGTGTAACAGCTTATGAAACAGCTTTTGAAACAGCTTTTGAAACAGCTTATGAAACAACTTGTGTAACAACTTGTGTAACAACTGTGGCTTGCTGTCCGATACATCTTTTTTATTTGTCATTTGTTTTATTTCAATTTAACTGTTAAAACTTTATAGTGTACAGAATTGTAAAATTTACCAATTCGAAAATTAAAGAAAATTCGAATGAATAATCAACAGTAACTAGCTTCATCAAATACCTTATACTGTAGCATTACAACAATGCCGAGCTCTATGATCCATCCCTACTGCCAGTATACACACCATGGCACCGATAGCCAGAAAAGAGCTTGCGGTGATATTACATATTTTCATACTTCAATTACAACTCAACAAAATTAACTATAACCATTACGACTTTCCCGAATAACCAAAAACATCTATCATTTAATTCTTACCAACACCACATAAATCAATCTTATTTTTTATCATAGTCACGTGCCTAGCGCGTGTAGTCTCACGTGACTTTTCTTAGATTGCTTACGTAACTTTTCTGTGACGGCTGCAAAAGGGAGAAAGTCGATGACGAAAACCTCCAAATTAAGGCTGAAGTGTAACTATTTTTCAATGAATATTTGACTTAGTCAACTCTTCCTTGAGACTTTGTTACTTCGATTATTTTAATCTTTCTTTTTCAATCGTGATCTTAAATAATTCCTTGTCTGTAGAATTTACAAAAGCTGACAAAAATTGTAGAGAAATAAATATAAGAAAAAAGTAAATAATTCAAATTCTCATATTTTTCTGTCGGTGATGCAGTTCAATAGATTTTGGAAAGGGTTTCGTGAGTTTCTAACTACTAATGCAAGGAGAAAATAATAGATCTGTTGATGTTAGAGAAAGTCGCATGGGTGAGAATATCGTTAGCAGTTTATTTGTCTATGTGAGTTGGCTCATAGTATTTAAAGTGATCTCAGCAAATTCAACACTTTGATTTACACAAAAACTATGAGTGATTCCATCTATATCGCCCAATTCAAACAATAAATTGGAATTTTTTTCATCAAAGTATCTCGATAATATATAATCTCTCGTATTATCATGGATCCAATGATCTTTGAAAGCAAAATAAGTCCAGATCTTGATACCTTCTTTGGATAATCCAAAGAACCAGTCATTCAATTCATCATCTTGTAGGATCATATCCAATTCATCAACCACTAATGTTAAAGCTTGTCTGACAATTCTTGGAGTTGTGACCAATTTAAAAGATGCATCGATGGAATTCTTCAAAGATTGTTCCGACTTGGAATCCCTTACCTTTGGTTCATCAAATATTATTGAGCCAAATAAATATTTGATGAAACTTTCACTGAAAAGACCCAAAAACCAACTAAAAAGTAATCCAAGTTTAATTATTGGTAACCATCTATATAACTTTTGGAATTTTTTACCACTGTCTGAATCTTTCAAGTTGACGATAGTAGGGCAAATCAATCCTATGAATTTAACCTTCAAATCATCATCTATCAATTTCTTTATCAATTTTTGCATCACAAAAGTTCCCATTGAGTGACCTAAAAAGTGAATATTGCTCTCTTTATCTACCAAATCTTTGATGATTTTATATTTATGGTCAATCTGGTAATTGATATCATAATATTCTTCATTATCATATTGATAATTATGAGTAGTTTGGTATCCAGCATGTGATAGGCAATATATTTCAAAATGAGGGTACTTTTCATGGATCAAATCTAAATACGTTATATAATATTCTACCAACCCAGGATTTCCTGGGATAAAAAACAATATATCTTTGGCTATCCCATTGGCATTGACCACATTTTGGCCTTCAGCTTTGATATGATAAGCACTGGTGGATGGAAAACCTTCAAGAGTTAGTAAACTCATGAAAATTGCGAAAAAGTTGGGCCTCTTAAAGCTTAAATGTTGGATGGTTGTCAAAGACAAAATTTAAAGTATTGATCATTGTTTTTGACTACCAAATCATCATTGTCAATGATATCTCTTTCGTAATAATGTAAGTTATTATGCTTATCTAAAAGAATTATCGTTTGAGTTCTCGTACCATAAAATCTACCAGTTGTGGGACTTTTGATTTTAATATGAGTATCTAAAGGTGGTACAAATATGGTATTTCTTAACCCAAACATCTGTTCAGTAAAAGGTTTATCTGTAAGTGATTGGTCAAAAGTATCTGTGCTCAAAAGTGTGAATAATTTATCAACCAATTGTTGTTGATTAAACTTGGTAGTTTTAGTCTGTTGCATTAATTCATGTAATAAATCCACTCCCTTATTAACTTTCTCCCATGGTTCATAAAATAATGAATTCGATAACCCCATAGTTTGTTCTTTCATATGCAATCGACTATTATTATCATTCGAGTCATTCAATTGAACTGTTTCAAATATAGTTCCTCGATCTCCCTTATTACTGATGATATTTAACTTCCCAATTTTGCCATCCTTCAACTTCAATTGACCATATAAGAGAGAAAACCCTCCAATTCTTTTCAATTCTACTGGTTCTTTACTGCCAATCATGGTGGCCAAGGAATCCCCTAAATTATCATACCATGTGTCATCATCTTCATTACTTGTAATATAGTTAATAGGTAAAACTCCTCGACTTATTTCACTTATAATATCACCTTTTTCTCTATAATTGACCAATACTGCTAATCTACCACTGTCATCAACACCAATCCAACTCCCATGTTCAGATCGACCGAGATCCAACGGGGATAAGATCTTTTTGTTGCCAGCTGATCTTATATTCGCAGGTAATGTAGGTCTCTGGAAGAACTCATCTCGATTAGATATCAATATAAAGGGATAATCCTCATGTTCCACGGTACTAAGAAGAATACACATTGAAATGGGGTAAATCTCAAATTTGCGAGGTTGCAAAAAGAATGAGTGGAGAGATCATACATCACATTAATTCCCTAAACTAACACTTTTTTATCACCTTCCCAACTTTTTACTTTCAAAGATGAACCTTGATCCTTTGAAGTTCCAGAATCATCGAATTGAAGTCTTGGTTTCCAACTATAATCATTATCGTTGAAAACGTTCTCAATCAAATAATCAGAATCATATTCTTGATTCTGGTACATGAATTGTTTTTCATATCCATCATCAAAGTCATCATAGAAATAATTGGTTTCATTTTTATATGGATTAATAGCAGTTGGGCTTTGACGATAACTATGAGAAGATGAACTCGACATATTATAACTTCTGTATGGTGTTAAAGGTATAACTGAAGGATTGATTTGCTTAGTTCGGGTAATAGGTTGAGATTCTTCATAAACTTGAGTTCCTTTGAAATAATCCATACTACTTAGAAATCCGCAGTCTGGTCTAATATCAGGATCCCAAGTTAAACAAGATTTCACTACTTCCGATAATCCTTTATATGCACGAACAGGGAAGATATTCTCAATGGTTAATCCTTGCTCATAGGGAAATTCGATTCCTAGATTCTTCGCCAAGATCGTGGCTTCTCTCCAGAATCCTCCCATAGGTATGAAATAATTAGGATAATATCGAGTGTTGAAATAATTGTTGTTGAGACTCTCTTTAACATCACCTATATCTGGTAATGAAGGACAACCCAAAACTTTGAGTATTCTAACCAACTGATCTAATTCAGTAGCTCCAGGAAATAAAGGTTGGAAATTTGCTAATTCAACAGCCACCACTGCAAAAGCCCATATATCAACAGCTTTTGATTGCCATTTTCTTCTCAATAAGATCTCAGGTGATCTATACCATCTGGTTGATATATATGAAGTATAAGGATTCAAATCGCTATTACTTCTACTTAAGCCATAATCTGCCAACTTGACAACATAATTATCATCCTTCCTTGAAGGTGGAATATTTTCATCATTACCAAAATATTGAATTGTTGGTATAACAAGAATGTTCTCAGGTTTGATATCCCTATGGAAATAATCATGTTTGTGAATATGTTTAATGCCATCAAGCACTTGACTTAAGATACTTTTCAAAGTTTTTTCACTTAATCGAGTATTTCTTCTAGAATTGACCAACTGTAATAAAGTTTGATTCATGGACTCCATTATGATATGTAGCTTGAATTCAACCGGATCAACAAATATTTCAAACACTTGAATTAATGATGGGTGAGAAGGCATTGATAAGATGAATTTTACTTCCTTATTCTTCATATATTCTTGTACATGTACTCTCTTATTCATGATTTTTATTGCTACTAATGGTGATTTATATTGAGCACTCTCTTCCAATGGATCTAATAATGTTCCATACATTTTACCATTAAAAGATCTGAATTGAGACTTATCTCTTATACTTTTGGCCAACATAACAGTTCCAAAACTACCAACACCCAAAGGATTGATGATTCTATAGTTTTCATTCAATGATTGAACGGGAATTCTTTTGGTTCTGTTATAATCAGCAAAGACATTAGTTGGTGTCAAATAGTTACTAATTGAATTCATCATTATGGATAAACCTGATATGTTGAAGTCTGAGTAGCCAGTTGAGAACTGACAATATGATACACTAATCTGGCCAACAAAACTCTTCTATCAACACCTATTGTGTACTCAAAATAGTTGGATAAGTTAAAAAAAAAATCCTTTTTGTGGAATTGGTATCAAAAATAATCTTTTTGCAGCATTTTATCTATCGTATTCGACCGCGCACGACCTTCGATTTTTGTGTAACATCGATTAGAGAAATTTAATAATATATATATGTTATACTATAAGTATGAGGTCATTATCTAATTCGTCAATTTCATCATCATCCAGAGACTCAAAGTCAAGGATATATTGGTTTTCGGGGTTCGTATCGGTATCGGGTGGGGGAAATAGTTTATGAGGTAACACTGTATAACTATTGATCAATGCTAACGAAGGAGTTTGTCCCAAGGACTTTTCCAAAGTTACTTTCGAAGCAAGATGGAACAATCCACATCTTTTCTTACAGGAATTATATTCATAAAAGTCAGGACATGTGAGATAATGATAAAAAGGGCATTTTGTCCCTCTTTGGCAATATCCATTGATAGCAAATGGTCTACATCCCCAAATTTCAAATTCTCTATTGTCTGAATGTTCAGGATAACTATGAAGATATTTGCAATTATGGTTGGAACATTCTGTTCCAAATCTACAGGTGGGAGTATTCCAATTGTTAGGAGAGTGTGAATATAAACAATTATCAGAAGTACAACCCTTACCCATAAAATGACTACAAATCCTAACTCTTTTAGGATCATGGACTTTCGTGCACACTTCTCCTTTAAAACAAAACCCTGTTCTGCAATAAGTCTTACAGAACTCTATTTCATGCTTGATTTCACTATATAGGTTTCCGTTCTCTGCTCGAGAATACATCTTATCGTTCCATTCGACAGGTTTTGTGGATGTCATTCTCCATAATGTGAGTGGAACTAATACACTGCCGCTTCTAGTTACGGCATAACAAGTACCTTCAATGCTTACTCTATCACAGTCATCGCATTCTACTCTATTCTTCCTAATCCTTTGTGTATGCTTCTGTATAAATTTGGCTTTAGCACTTAGTACAGGTTTTTTATTATAATTCTTCAGTATTTTACCTTGTGAGACTTTTGGGGGTTTCTGTTGAGCTGTTTTGAGTTTCAGCCTTATCAAATCATGTGGGAATGGAGAATCCATTTTCTGATCTTTGATCGGACCTATACTTGTGTTCACCATTTCGGCGTTTTCTATAAGTGGAAGGGTCATTGGAAGTTTATTCAACCATCCAGGCTTGATCTTCAGTTCAAAGAATGGATGTAACTTTATGCCATTATTAATATTCACCTCTTCAGGTATTCTGGATTTGGAATGTGATGAGGTATCTTTGTTATCTTTACTCACCACCCCAGGACTCGAGAATTGGTTCGTTTGATCCAGAGATTGAATCATATGGTTACCCATAAGTTCGTGGTGTCTTGGTCTATCCCTGACAATCATGACACCCTCATGAGACGCTATAATGTCCTGTAAACTATCTATGTGTGTCTTCATATCACAAACATTTTGGTGCGAAAAATCTATAGATATGTCTACTAAGCAGAGATTACAATTAGCACAAAGTTTAGCGGAAATCATACCGTTGGATCCTGAAACATGTAATCAGATGATTGATTATGGGATGACTTTAAAGTCTGAACTGGAGATATTCGAACATTTCTCCAATATGTTAGGTGAAAGTGATGCTACTACTGAATTTTTGATGAAGTTCATGAGTATAAAGAATGATAAAAAAGCCAAACCATCTATTCCAGAACCCGTAACACCTCAGGCTGAAAAAAAGATACCAAAGAAAGCATGGACTAAACCTGTGGAAGAACCTCCTAAAGACACACAGAAAGTTAAAACCAAAAAACCAACCTCCACTATAACGTCAGATTTATTAAAAAGTGAGGAGAAAGAAGACAAGAAAGATACCAAAAGATCTCGAAGACGAAACTTGGACAACCTCAAAGACCTAGAACAATTGTTGAATTCCTTAGAGGTATCGAACTCGAAAGATTCATATAAAGCATGTTACTGCAATGCTACTAGACATCCATTATTCGACATTGCACCTAATTGCCTTAATTGTGGGAAGATCATATGTGCCAAAGAAGGTTTACAACCGTGTTCATTCTGTGGACATGATTTGATCTCTCAAAGTGAAAAGCAAGAAATTCGTAAGATTCTCCTTCAAGAGAAGCAAGAATTAGAACTTAAATCACCAACTGAAACGCCACCACCAGAAACGAAACATAAAGCTAAGAAAATAGTTATATCCATGAATGCTGGAGAAAATCTTTGGAAAGCTCAGGACAAAGCTTTGAAAGCAGCTGAAGCAGAGAAGAAATTACAGCATGATAAGGAAAAGGAAGAAAGAGAAAAAAGAGAAATACAATCCCAGCAGGAGAAGGAATTACAATATTACAGTGATATTAGTGACAAAAACCCCGACTTGGTTGCAGCACAAGAGAGATTGAACACTTTATTAGAGTTCCAAGAAAATGGTACTGAGAGAACAAAAATCATCGATAATGCCGCAGACTACGAATTGACATCTAACACTGGTAATATGTGGTTATCGGCCACTGAAAGAGCCTTAAGATTGAAAAAGCAACAGAAACAATTGAGGAAATATGAAGAAAATGAAATTAAAAGAACTGGGAAAGGTAAAAGAACAGTGGAAATGGTCATCAAGGATGGGAAAGTTACAATGGTGGAAAAATATGGAGAAGATAACGATCAAGAAGAAGATGACCAAGATATTAAAGAGTTGGAGAATCAATTGAAAGATACCAAAAGAATCCATGAACAACTGTTAGCACAGAATGTTTGGGATTATGAAGCTGATGAACATAAATGGGAGAAACCAGTTTACGCCCCTAAAGAAACCACCAAGCAAGTCGAAGACTTACCTGTTCTCAAACCAAGAGTTCAATTTGATAAGTTTGATGAAACAGAGTTGGTTGTTAATAGTTATTAATATATTAATGCTGTTACCTTCTTCTTCCCCAATTCTTATTCTTCTTATAATGAATTTTCATTCTCTTATAATTATTATGCACTGGTGCCACCATTCTGACCTTCTTTGTTGGTTGTTGTTCCTCTTCACTTTCCTCACTGGCACTTTCAACGTTATCATCTATCATTTTCTGTATCTTCAATTCTTCTTTCTTTTCTAGTTTTTCCATTTCAACATGAATATCTTTATCTGCAAGTTTATCATGATGTGTTACTTGTGTTGGCTTCATCTTATATCTTCTTGTAGTCCTCTTTTGAGTTTTAGCTCTTCTTCTTTTAGATGGCAGGGCTGATACTTCTTCACCTTCTTCTTCGCTTTCTTCATCGTCTTCGTATTCCTCTTGTTCTTCTTTACTTATATTGATACTCTGATGGGCTTGAAATACATCTAGAAGTCTTCTGTTAGTTCTTTTGATCAAAGGAGATGGGGATATTTGAAAATCTACTAAAGGTTTTGAATTGGGGGTTCTTACAGGTGATGATTTGGGATCAAATGGAGAATCCTCTTTTTCAAAAGGACTTTTCCGATCAAACTCGAATCTCTGGATATTTCTATTAAGGTATTGTGGAGTTTCAAAAGATAAAGTTTGACTTTTTGAAGGTGTAGATAATGATTTGACTGGACTATCATTAGCTATATTAGATATTTTTTGCATGAATGATGATTTATTCGACCGGGAACCCGAGTGGAGAACATTGGTATCAATGACCTTTACTTTAGTTGGGGTTTTAAATTCTGCTTTCATAGGAGTTTCCACCAAAGACATCAGTTTTAGTTTCAAAGGAGATGATTCCGGAGGTGTTAGTTTCATATCAAATATCGATAAGACTTTCCCTGCTCCTTGTGGTGTAGGTCCAAACTCAGAAAATCTTGTAACCAGAGGACCTTCAGTCTCTGAATCATCGTCAGATAATCCTTTTATGTTATCTATAACTTTAGGTTTCTTTGGTGTTTGTTTCTTAGGTTGAGTTTGGGAACTAACTGGAGCTTTCAATTTTCGATATCTCCGATAAAGTTGATCTATTTCGAGATTCCCCTTGACATCGCTTTTACTAGGAGGATGTCCTCGTGTCTTAATGAAGTTCCTCTCCCATTCCTTAATCTGTTTCTTTACAAGGACAATGTCTTCACTCATTGAGGGCTGCAAAAATAAAAACGCGTAAGATCTTACATTATAAACTATTTACAAATTGGGAAATTTTATCAGTGTGGGAGAACCCAGGAATATCAACAAATTTAGCTAGAGAAAGCTTTAAATGTGAAAACTCTTCAGGTGTGAGTTGTTGGGAGTGAATGTTGAAGGATTGTATGAAGGGTAATGAAACAGATGTAGTGGTGTCCCAATAATTATTGAATAATCGATTTATACCTTCAATGTCTTTCCTTATAGCAAGGTATACAAGAAGACGAACCCAATGTTTGAGCTGAACTTCATTCTCAAGTAGTGATAAAGAAACATCCCATTCATTCCAAAATCTATCCCATTGACCTGCATTACCATAATTGAACATTATAGTTTCTTTCATAGGTCTTGTGAACATACTATTATGAAGTTGAAGATAGTTTTGTAAGAATGAAGTAGTGTTTCTCATCCCTGTACCAGATAACTCAGTTTGGGGGAATGTTTCGTTATAGTAATCAAAATCGTTGTAGATGGTAGCATCGATTATTGAAGGGGAGATGTTTGTACCTGTGGAACTCAATGAGAATAAAAGTGGAATTAATTGAGGAATATCAATGGATTCACCTGAAAATCTGTAAATATCTTGAGCAAATGATGACAATAAGTCATATTTGATTGAAGGTTCAGTATCGGAATCAGAAAGTATTTTCATGAATGTCATCATATCTGAAGTTCTCTCGTTTTCATTCATCTCTATAGCTACAGAAAGATCATTGTACTTTTCTTTGATGACCGACGATACTTGATCTAAGGTAATTTTGGGATTTATCAAATGTAAAGCTCCATAGAATTGTGTTTTGAGATTATAATCATTAAGGGTTGGTTCTATAGTTTTGAAGGCTGTTTCGAATTCTTCCATTAACTTGGTTGTTTCTGATTCTTCAATACTCCCGATTTCAGAATCCATTAATTTCTGGTAGGTGTTGGTTATGTTAAACTCTCTAGCAGTTGTGTGGAAACCTCTTCTCTGTAAGAAGAAATCTGGCATGTTTTTACCAGCATAAACTTCATTCATATAATCAGTATCTGTAGAATCTAATTCTTTGGTATACAAATCATCTTTTCTTTCATTGATCCATAAACTTTCCAAGTCCAACTCTTCTCTTCTCTCCTTCGTAAGGATGTGGATGTTAATATCATCAACATCAGTTCTACACATTATCCAAGAGTTAGCAGCTCTTCCATAAATATTATCAGTTGCTGAAGGTCCTTTATTTGCTCTTCTGAGCATTCTTCTTCTTATTACTGGTTTTATAGTCGATGATACTAAACCTTCGATGTTGGAATGTTTCTTGAATTCATGTTTAATGTAATGTTTCAATTCGTTACCTGCTTTAAATACATGTTTATCAGATTTACCTGTGGAAACTATCATATAACGAATAGGTTGATTTGAAATATGATTAGGATGATCATCATCTAACTCAGCCAAATCAAATAACTTTATATCTTCCAAACCATATTCTTCTGATAATAAAAGAAGGAATTTTTCAACTGATGGAGGAGCATTATTAGGTATTTCGGGAATGGGTGGTCTTTCAACTTTCTCCAAAACCTTTTCACTCTCTCTTAAATACCAAGGAACATCTTCAGTTCTACGTATAGCAGAAGAATTTATTGTTCTTAGAGTATATACCACTCTAGGAATCAATCTGTTGACACCTCTAAGACCGACTCTGGACAACATAGTTTGACTTATAAGTGAGCACAAATGAGTGAGATCGAGAGACATCATCGCGACCTCATCTGAAAAATTTAAGACATCATTATGGCTAAGTTAGTTCATAACGTACAGAAGAAGCAACATAGGGAAAGATCCCAAACTGCCGACAGAGCCAAATTCGGATTATTGGAAAAGAAGAAAGATTATAAATTAAGAGCTAATGATTATCATAAAAAACAAGCAGCATTAAAGATCCTTAGGAATAAGGCATCTCAATATAATCCAGATGAATACTATCATGCTATGACCAGAAAAAGAACTGACGATAAAGGAATACTTATAGCTGATAGAGGAAATGATTCATTAACCACTGATCAAGTGAAATTATTGAAAACCCAAGATTCAAACTATGTTCGTACTATGAGAATCAATGAATTGAAGAAAATAGAGAAACAAAAAGGTAATTTGGGATTCAAAGCTACTGGGAAACATACTGTGTTTGTGGATAGTAAGAAAGAGCAAGAAGAATTTGATCCTGAAGAATATTTCGGAGTCGATGAAGATTTATTACAAAGAAGAGAAAATAGATTAAGATTAGAACAACTTGAAAGTAATAAAAAGATTGTAGTTAATGAGTTGGATGAAATACAAAAGGAAAGATTATTGGAGAAGAAGGCCAAACAATTCCTGAATTTAAAGAAAAGATTGGAAAGAGAAAGCCAATTGAAGGGAGTTGAAGAAAGGATGGAACAACAAAAAGAGTTAATGAAGAAAGGTAATAAGAAAAAGATTGTTGATGGTAAAGGTAATGTTCATTTTAAATGGAAGAATCAAAGAAAGCGTTAGTTCAGGAAAAGCATTCAAAAGTCATCTCTGTATATTAGTTTCATATATCAATCATCACTATTCAAATTTCTATTCAAATAATCTGAAAACAAGGTAATTATTCTATCAGTTTGAACACTTCTCATTCTATTTAATCCGATATAAGTTCTTCTGATTCTTTGGAGTTGGGAGATACTTACAGGGTTTGGTGGTAAATCAATGTAAATTCCTTGAGGATTATCAATAACAACTCTACCAATCCCATTCAATTGTTGATGTTGTAAAACTTTGGAGATAACATCTTGAGTTTGTCTTTCTAATTCTTGTAAGAAATTGTTACCCGAAGTTGGTTTTTGTAAAGTGGCAGCATTTGGTGGAGGTGGCCTTTTCAATACCAAGGCATCCCATATTTCATCTACTGGTAATTTTTCATTTTCATCGGATGAAGCGATTGTAAATAATGGAGAATCCCATCTATTAGTATCCACAGGTTCTTCATATCTCATACATAATTGATCAATGAGACCTTCGGGCCATTGATTTTCTGCTGTTTCGTTCCATTTGTTCAGTTCTTCCTTAGAATTAAGGATATGAAATACACAATGGGGGGTTAACACACCTTTAGCTTCACAGAATAATTGATATCTAAATCCTTTAATATAACTTAAAGAATCCAAAATGACAAATGTTGTTCTACTCAAATCTCTTCTGACAGCTGATATTTGACTTCCTCTATCTAATTTTTCCGTTAAGGATTCTCTATATCTTTCTCTGGCGATTCCAAGATTATCATCAGTATGATAAACTATATTATAATTATGACCTGGGGCGTTTGTTTCTTTGGCTTTTTCAATCCTTTCTTCTAATGCAGATATTAATTTCTTAGCCCAGGTTGTTTTACCTGAACATGGGTATCCAGTGAACGTTATTAATGGCATAATATGGAGATTTATAGGTCTATCACTTCAAAACCGATGAGATGAGAATTCCGCGAAGACTTGATCTATTATGAAGTTTATACCTAGAACAGTGTTCCCCAAGTATAATGTACCGTTGGCCAACTTGAAAGGTCATCAGAGAGCTGCATTATCGGATCTCATGCACTTAGCTCCTCAAATAGATTATGTGCTCGAAGTAAGGGATGCTAGGGCCCCGTTAGCCTCAGCTAATGGTTTGATCGATAAAGTGTTAGCTAAGAAACCTAAAATGGTTTTGTATAACAAATTAGATTTGGCAGTCACAAAGCCCAAACTAATAGAGAAGTTTCACAAGGAAAGAAATGAAGATTGTATGTTTTTATCAGCCAAGAATACCTCAGATGTTAAGAAATTAGTATCTAGATTACAAACCAAATTCGGTACTTATGAAATACCTCCCCCTCTAGGGTTCAGAGTAGCTATTGTAGGTATGCCTAATGTTGGTAAAAGTAGTATGATCAATTCTTTAAGACAAATTGGAATGAAATTACGAGACATTGTTACACAAAAGAAATATAAAGTAGCAAGGACAAGTGATTACCCTGGATTGACTAGAAAAACAAGTGAAGCTATCAAAATCAGTGAAGACCCTTTAATTTATATTTACGATGCTCCAGGTATTATGGTCCCCAGTGTTAAAGATGCTGAAACTATGATCAGTTTAGCCTTAATTCATAGTGTTCAATCAGAATTAGTTGATCATTACATTCAAGCAGATTATCTTTTATATTTACTTAACCTCCAGAACCCCAGTGGAAAGCATTACAGGAAGTTCATTGATCATCCTACAAATTCTATTGATGAGTTGTTAGTATCTTATGCTAAGAAATCCAAGAATTATCAGGAGAGTAAATTCAATATCGAAAACACTGCCAGAAATTTCGTTGACCATTTCAGAGTTGGTTATAAAGTACCTTTTGCTATGCTCGAGAAAGACACACTTGTAGAATCACTGGAGAAATGGAATGATATATTGAAAACTGAAACCAATAGACTCAACGAATCTCCTTTGATCAAGGAATTGGGTCAAAGATTAGGAGATGATTATTCTGGGATGTCTAAAAACAGAAAGAGAAACGCTAAAGACAGGAAAGCTGATTTGAACAACATGCTTTTCAAATTATAGTTTTCAAATTATAGTTTTCAACGAGCTTTTATGAACCACAACCGACAGAACCTAACGAACGGAAAGAAAGGTCAGACTCTAACGAAGAGACTAATGAAGAGTGACGAAGAGTGTAACGAATTGTATATAGTAACCTAACTCAATAAATCATTAATATCCAAAGGATCCTCTTCATCCATCTCAATTTGTCCTTTGCCTGTACTTCTAACATAAATCCCATTGAACTTTTCTTTCTTTTCCGATCTACCTTTACGATGTTTATAAGGTTTAACGATCTTAGTGAGTCTCTTGGTAGGTAAATATGCTCTCTCGTTCAACTCAACCAACCAATCATCAGCTTCTAATCTCCTTAAAACATTGCTAAGATTAAATAAGTTGGAAGATTGTTCAACCATATGGTTGCTTATGAATTCAGGGTCAGAAAGGAATTCATTCATATCTTTGGAAAGTGATTTCTTAATGATCTTTGTAAGATTAGAATCATATTTTCTTAAAGCAGGTGAATTGATAAGTAACTTTGAATCGGTATCTTGGGATTCTACGACATTACTAATTCCTTCGTTAGCAGTCAACGTAAGTTTCTTATTATCAATCAAATAAGGGTCACGTGATTCACTTTTGACAGAATCTAAATCTTTGGAAAGAACAAACTTTTCCATAAGTTCTTCATTGATTTCATCCTCGTCATAATATTTGGGCTCATCGGTTTCGAATTCTTTCTTGGGTAATAAAAATGGGAACCTGCCCATCTTTTCATCTTCTCTAAAAGGTAATCTCACCATAGATAACCCAAATACATATTGTTGGTTTATCTTCAATTTACAAGGAATACCACCACAAATTTGTACTTCAGCAGTACCTTTGGAAAAATCCACATCCTTGGCAACATATCTTAATAAAACGATGGAGTCAGTTTCAATCAATGACTGACAGAAGGCCGAAAATCCAACGAAATTCTTTGTAGGTCCATCACTAGGTAAAATATAATTACTTTCCAGGGTAAAGAAAGCAATAGGTAAGTCATCTTTATGTATGAACCCTAAAATGTCCATTGAACTTGAGACAGGTAAAATAGAATCTTTCTTCAAATCTTCTAACATAGCCAAAAGATCATAATTTGAAAATTTGAACCCACTTACAATTTCTTGCTTATCAATAGGAACTTTTTCAATCTCCACACCTTCTTCGCTCTCTTTGGATTTATCTACGGTAATGTAATGATGAACTTCAGACTTGGTTTTTTGAATCACATCATCTTTCACGTGATATTGATGAGCATTAGTTAACTTCTCAGGTCTAGCAGCTGGAAACACATCAACATTAAAACTTACAGGAGCAAACTCTTCACCTTTCAAGGAATCAGAATATTCCAAGGATTTCGGATCACCACCAAATTTCATTTGACCTTGATAGCTTCTTATAGGTTTGACTCTTTTCAAAGGGGGAACATATTTCAATATATTCGATATTTTTGAAGAATCAATGAACTTTCCATTTTCATAGGATTCAAGCAATTGCATCCACTTCTCTTCATTATGTTTCTTTCGATCTGAGCTTTCAGAATGACCAAAATCAATACCTATCATAAACACATTGATATTATTATTATTCACCGATTGAATACTAGCTTCAAGTAGCGGCGTATCAAAGGACGTTATTTCTTCACCCCCATCGGTTATAAGGACGATGTTCCGTATAAATTTCAACTTTATGTCCGGCTGCATCATGGCAATGGCTACTAACATGGCTTTAACACAATCTCCTTGTTCAGGTTGAGCTTCGGTAGGTTTCAACATATCTTTATACTGTTTCAACGTACCATAAGTTGGAACAACCTTATTACAAATAACATTGATACCTTCAAATTCTTTATTATCTGAAAATGAATTATTGGTAATTGATGAATGACAAGCTATAATTGAAACATAATCGGTCTTCCTAGCTTTCATGATTTTTTTGATCATTGAGTCATAAAAATAGTCCAACCCTGGTATTTCTTCACTCCCAGCATCTTGTTCTGATTTCTGGGTATCTCCCCAAGGTCTCAGAGCCAAATCAATCACAAAACAGGTTATCTCTTTGGACATAATCAGAGTTAACTGCGCGGAAGAAAAATTATCGCCAATTGTTATGGGTGTACCGTACAATCTATATGGAAATCCCCAGTACTATCAACATTATAATAACCAAGAGCTGGGGGAAGATAGAAGATTGAATCCACCTTTAGTCAATCAACCAATACCCGAGAATCAATTGGGCGATAATCGATATTATTATCCCAGATTAGATGGTCAAAATCATCATGGTGAAATTCCGATACAGTCATTTTATACTGGACCAATTTTAAATCCACCATTTCCTAATCATCCAATGCAAAGAGGACCTGGTCAATTGAATGAAAATGTTAATTTTGGCTTTGTACCGATGAACTATAATCAACCCCATTTACAATCATATTTAGGACCTTATTCTAATAGAACTTATGATACTGACCCAAGTAAAGGTGGATATCAACAAATGATGCCTGTTAATAGTGTGATTTATCCCATACCTACTGTGCCTCACAATATTAATCACTTGGGCCCCCAGACTAGTAATAGTTCAACACATAGTCCAACACCTAATCTTCCCAACCTTAATGTACCAACTCCTCCTAATGTTAAACCCAGAGAACCTTCAAATAAACGAAAGAAATCACTTGCAGGGATTTATAAACCCACCAAACCCAAGGAGAATTTCAAGCCCAGGATCAACAAATTGAGTACTTCAGGATTCAAAAATAATTCAAAATCACCTATAAAGAGTTTTGAAAGAATGTCGGAAATTTCAATTGATCCATTATTCCTTCATTTCCAGAATTCCTTGAAGATCTCCAAAGAAAAGCTAAACACTTCGGTACCGCCATTCTTTCAAGTAAAGAATGACTTAGAACGGAAATTGTTCGATTTATTTGTTCACCAAGTATCAAGATGTATGGATATGTTTATGATTAAAGATTTTTTCACAGATATCGTACCCCAAATGGCATTAATGGATGAAACAGGGATGATCTTATCATCAATGTTCACATTAAGTGCTTTAATGTTACAGCGAGTTGATCCAAGTTTAATTGATGAATCAATTCCTATGAATTATTATCATGAAACCATCAGATCTATTAGACATCATATCAGTAATAGTTCCAACACCGATGAAGATGGAGTCATTGCCAGATGTTTATTAAGTACTATATTACTTTGTGTTTATGAAATGTTCTTCTTGGCTACTGATAACACTTATGTCAAAGGAGCTGCAAGTTTATTAACATCCATTATCAACAAATATCAAGATGATAGTCCTTTAACATCATCGCCATTTTTACAAATGTGTTTTTGGGCAATGTTCGTTTGTGATTTGATCTTATCGTTGAAATTCAACTTACCAACAATGTTTTCAGTGAATTCCTTCTGGAGACAAATTGATCCATTATTCATTGAAAACTTCGATAAACCCAAGAATCTTGATGAAATTTCTAATGATCTTTTCTTAAGTAGAACAGAATCCATTTGGTGGTTACATAAAGCATTGTTGGATTTCAGTGTTATAAATGAGTTCAATTATAATCAAACTGTGCAAACAGAAGAAGATTTCAAGAATAATAAATCGTTCAATGATTGGAAATTATTAAATAACAGAATCAACGAATATGGAGATTCCATGCCTTTAGCATTGAAACCATTGATTTACCAACCAAGTTCAGACGATTCATCATATCCAACAATTTATTTCCGAGATGAATTATCGGCTTTAATCCACTTACAGTTCAAACTTTCAAAGATTTCATTATATCAAGGGTTGATCCAAAGAACCGATGTTAATTCTACTGAGACACAAAAGACGTTGAATGAGTTACCTAGTAATCATGCCAAATTATTAGCTAAGGATATAATAGGTATTTTAAAGACTTATGATTTGAACCTCTATTTATGGCCCATTAATATCCATACCATCAGAGTGGTTGCCAGATATTTACATGAAGATGAAGAGGAATATAAGGAGTTGGAATCTTTGATGGAGAGAGTTATTGATACTTGTCATTTCATATTCCAGAGTAAGGTTATCATTGGTTAAATCAGTGGTATTGACAAAACAAACCCAAACAAACCCAAACAAGCCCGAACAAACCCGAACGTCACTGCAATCAAATAAAGTTTAATAGATTTTTTATATTTTATGTACATATAGTTTATGATCTCAAACCATCTAGATTCGAAATAATTGCTATATCGGCAACTTTAGGATATATTCCGTGGACCCTCAAAATTCCTATATCGGACGTTTGACACAATCCTTAAGTCCCTCAACAATTCCACCTTATCTATTATCTTACGATTTCCTCTTTACCACCATTAAACCCCTATCTAATGCGGTGAATTTGGCCTCCAAAAAAAAACGCCATTCGTAAATTCCTTGACGCCTTTTGTTTTATGCAACATTGCAGAAAAACCGCACTGCTTGAAGGCAGCCAAATTTAGATTTAGCATTTGGTCACGGATAGTTTCCTAGATTTAACTGGAATTTTCCCTTTATACTATCATTTGAACGTCTAACCATTGATATTACTGTTGCTGGCATCAGATATTGATATCAAGAATTTCAAATGAACGACATGCTGTGGTATTCCAATGATGGGGTATTGAAATATGATATAAAGAAACTTCGAAGTTTAGGAAAATCTCCCCAATATTGTAATAATGTCAAGTATAAAGAGTTTGATATCATTGTGTCGATATTGTTAGGAGATGACGAATTGTCAATGAGTCAAAATGTTGATATCATAGCTACCATATCCAATATAGTTTTACTTAATAGAGACTTACACTTGAACCACTTTGTACCAGTATATTCCAAAAAGACATTCATATATTGTGATCAATTTATGAAACAGATAGAATTATCTTCACCCCAGAACTTTCAAAATGCTGTTCCAATATTTAGAATCTTGTTCTTGACTCTCTATGGAGGTTTAGATGATATAGATAATGATATAATCGAAGATGTCTTCAATATTTTACTCAAAGGATTCAAAGATTGCATGGTTATCATCGAAGAAGAAATCTCCAATGAATCTTATCAATTAGTATTGATTGAGATTTTGAAGTGCTTATATACATTGAATCAGAAGTATCATCATGGTGTAAGTCTTGTTCAAGATGAAGAATTCACTGATTCGTGTTTGAAGATTATAAATTTGAGTTTCAAGAATCTGAAAGGTGGGAACTTCTCCTTATTAATGAAGAACTCCTTTGCTTTCTTATTAGGATTATTCACTGAAAGGGAAGAATGTAATGCTAAGGAACTTTTCAATGGAGATATGAGAATTTATAAAGATTTCTTCCATTCAGTGAAGGTTTTACTCAATGATAGTCTAGTTAGACTCAATAAATCCATAACACCATCAGAGAAGGAGGATACTAATACATTGGTGATTAATTATTTGGTTGTTCTCATTCATATGTCGAAATCACTTATTAACGATGTTGAAAGTGAGCCAAAAGATCACACATCTAAAGATTCGACAGGCTCAACATCTATAGCTTCAGAGGATTCCACATCCACAGACCCTAACAAAAAACATCTTCAATTATTACAAAACCTATCACAAATAGTCATCCCCAATAAAGAATCTTCTGACATTTATAACGAATTGATGAAAATTCTTGCATCTTCAGCATTTTCAGATCTTACCGAAGGATTCTCATCCATTCAACAATCCTTCCAAGTTAAAGAATTGATCATAAATTTGATTTACAATTCCTGTTATGGTGAACAGAAGAAATTCCTCCAATTAGTGGGATTTTTAAACTCTGAGAGTTTCCTTACTAAGAATGGAATCATCATTGACAGTTCTGTTGATTTGGAAAACTACCAACAACCAACAAGTAAATACCTTGATATCAAGACTTACAATGAGATTAGATCATATGTGTCAATACCTTCCAATAACACTACCCCTACCACATCGATTCATGATTTGACTGATGAAGAGAAAGAAAGAGAAGCCGAAAAGCTATTTAATTTATTTGAAAGAATGGAAAAATTGGGTACGTTTGAAAATTTCGAAAACCCAGTTAAAAAATGGCAAAGAGAAGGAAGGTTTGAAAATCTCGATTAAACCTTATCTTCTAATTGAAGAACTAAAGCAGTTCTAGAAGGAATATAGATAAATAAAGAATTAGCTCTATTATTCCAACTATCATTGTTAGTAAAAAATCTTAACGGTTTACCTTCACCATCAGTTTCACCAATTCTACTATGACCACCAAATTGTTCATCATCAGAATTTAAAACTATCTTGTAAACACCAGGGGTTTCAACTCCAACTTTATAATCAGGGAATGATTGAGTAGGATTGAAATTAATAATGAAAAGTAACCCATTTCTTTCAAATACTACAACTTTATCACCTTCATGTTTCAATGAAACATAAGCTTGAGGTGATGAAAGGACTTTATAGTTTGTATCTAATCGTTGCATAGCACAATCAAAGTTGAATAAAAACTTATAACGTAATAAATCATCTTTAATAAGATTAAATTGTCTTCTAGCATAATGATAAGATTCTCCATTACCAACTCTGGGGAAATCTAACCATTCAGGATGACCAAATTCATTACCTTCAAAATTCAAATAACCTTCACCCCCTAAGGAAAAGGTTAATAATCTGATTAATTTATGTAAAGAAATTCCTCTATCGATAACAGGAGTATTCTCTGTTAACACTGACATGTTGGTATACATTTCTTTATCCATTAACCAGAAAGCTATGGTCTTATCCCCAACTAATGCTTGATCATGACTTTCACAATAAGCAATACATTTTTCTCCATGTCTACGATTAGTTAAAGTATGAATTATATTACCAAGATCCCATTGTTCATCTTGTAAATGCTTTAAAATCTTAATCCACATATCTGGAATAGCCATTGATAATCTGTAATCAAATCCAATACCTCCTTGATTTATTGGTACACATAATGTTGGCATTCCACTAACATCTTCAGCAATTGAGGTGAAAATGAATTTCTCTTCCACCCCAATTTCTTCCATTAATTTATGAGCTAACATGAAATAGTTGATAGCATCATTATCAACCCAATCATGATTAAAGTATTCATTATAATCACCACTAAATCCAAACCCTAAACCATGATGCTTATATAACATACTGGTAACACCATCAAATCTGAATCCATCAAATTTATACACATCCAAGTAATATTTAAGATTTGATAATAAGAATCTTAAAGTTTCATAATTAGCATAATTGAACAATCTTGAATCCCATTGATCATGACTTCCCTTAGGACCTCCATGGAACAAATAATGATCAGTACCATTAAACATGTTCAATCCATCATCAACATTCTTAGATGAATGACTATGAACAACGTCAAGTAATACTCTAATGCCCAATTTATGAGCAGTATCGATCAATTCTTTCAATTCATCAGGAGTTCCGTATCTTGAAGAAGCAGCAAAGAAGTTGGTCACTTGATATCCAAAAGATGCATAATAAGCATGTTCCATTATAGCCATCAATTGAATAGTATCATACCCTAATTGATGAATTATAGGTAAAATATTATGGGTAAAGTTCTTATAACTACCAACTTCAGGATTAGGAGTTGAAATCCCAACATGACATTCATAAATCTTGACCCCTAAATTGTCCTTAAACGCAGGTCTTGGGTGTTTAAATTGATATTGTTCAGATAATGGAGGATTCCAAAATCTTGATTCATAAAGAGAATTCTCAGTTGAAGGAGTACATCTTTGAGACCAAGGACAAAGACGGTAAATGATTTCCCCTGATGATAATTTCATAGCTATCTTATATCTTGAATCATGAGCAATGGCGAAATCTCCATCGATGGTATCAATAGTTAATTTCCACAAGGAATAGTCATTGACCTTATTCAAAGGATGACTATTGAAATCCCAATGATTGAAATCACCTACAATGGACACAGCTTGAACATCTGGGATATATTCAATAATAGTGATTTGTTTAGTATCCCAATTGGCATGTAAACCATATTCTTTATAAGAACTAGCGAAATTGCTCAAGCTCCCTTCACTTGATTTCAATTGATTATACCAATGAGTGAAATGTTTTTGACGATGAACCAATTCTCCTGAGTATGGTTCTAACCAAGGATCAAGATCCAATACTCCTTTGATTAATTGATTATCTGACATTTATCCAATGAGAACGAATTTTATTTTTTGGCAATAAAAAGGGACCCCGACTTTTGAGAATTTGCTGCCATCAACTGATAAGATGGAAGGTTTTTCGCACAACTTGTGGGGGATATAGAACTAGTTTAAGGGGGATAAATGGGTCGATAATGGAATACCCCGGATATTAAGAGAACTTACATATATTACAATTTATCTAAATCTTTGATTTAAAATCCTATCAGCACCAGCTTCTTCATATTCCTCCTTTGTTACCCACATTTGATGGAATGTACCTAATGATGAAAGTACTGAACCTCCAATCCATGCTTGATTAACTCTTTCACTTGAATTACCAACGGCATGTAATCTGATTTTTAATCCTGGATTTAAAGCTGTTAATTCATTATATAATCTTTCAGTCAATTGAGGAATTAACGAGACTCCTCCTGTTATAATTATATTATGAGCAACTGAAGCTCTTAAATCAATATCAATGGTTGATAAAGCATGAGATATTAATTGAGTTAAACCTCTGGTTTCATCAATAATTTCTTTAGAAGGACTTGAAGGTGGTGGGGTGGAATTATTAGATTCGACTTTTCTAGCTCTCTTTAATGGTCTATAATCTTCTTGAGTTGTATCAATAACTAAATTACCAGTTTCGGTTGAATATTTATCTGATAATTGTTTATTTGTAAAATGATAATTGACTGGATCAAATATAGAATCAGCCAATTCAAATCTTTCAATACCTAATTCTATTGATTGACCATTTGGTAATTCAAATAATCTTTTTTGTCCATCTTTTGAATAATATTCACTATTTTCTTCACTGATTAATTTTTCTGGAACTTCTAATAAAGTTTCTTTCATTTCATGGAAGATCAATTCTTGTTGATAATCTTCAAATGATTGAGTAATATTCTCGGGAATATTATCTCTTACGGTAAATTTCGGTTGATCAGGATATTTAGTAGATTCTTTCGATCTTATTTTGAATTTATTATCCAATGTTAAGTTGGGGAATTTGGTTAAGAATAAATCTTTCAATTGGTCACTTAAATATTCACCAGAATAATGAGTTCTTAAAGAATTCTTAATTAATGAAATTCCATCAATAACTGGTGTAACACTAACAGTATTATGTCCGATATCAACAACCAAACAATTGGGTCTTCCTTGTTGGAATGATATACAAGTTGGAGCTCTAGCTAAGTATAATGCAGGGAATTCAAAATGTTCATAAAAATTCTCTACCACAGTTTTACGTTCACTGGTTGAAGTCCAAATAGGTTCAGTTATAAGTATTGGTTGTTCTTTATAATCGATTTTAAGATCGTTTTCAAAGTAATGGGTGTATTGATTGATGGCAGCATCCCAGTCACTGACTACTGAATCTTTCATTATAGGTTTAATCTCATAATTAGATCTTGGTACATTAATACCATCACCAAAAATAGATTTCTTTGTGGTTGGTTCATATGCATAATATGAAGGAGTGATGACTTTAGGGAAATCATCACCGGCATAACCGATTCTGGTGTTTAAAGAGCCAGGATCGAGAACGATGGCATTGATTTCATCACCTCCATAAACGTTACTTGTGGAAGCCATTTGTTGAAAAAATTCGCGAGTTGACGTGAGGTATAAGAGTGAGCGTTGATGAAGAATAAGAAGTTTAGGTGTAACCTCGAGTTTATTGATATTACTTAGAGACACAATGTCACCATATGGTCATATAGAACATAACATCAAGAACATAACATCAAGAACATAACATTAAGAATAGCGCCAAAAGAGATAAGTCAGTCTACAAACTTCTTTGAATAACTACAAGATTCTTGATTCAGATTCAAGGATATCAATTAAAAATTGAACTTCCAAACGTTTTCTACCTTCTTTAACCCAATCATCAGCTAACTTTCTTGGCCACCCTTTCAAATTAGCAGCTTCTTCAACAGCTAAATCCAATTCACCCCTTGATAAATTAGATTCAATTCTTCCAATGACACTTTCAATGTCTTTACCTTCAGGTCTGGAACCTTTAACTGGTAATAATAATTTGGAAAATACAATGGAAGCAAAATGTCCTAATAATCCAGCATTTGGTGGTAATAATGAGGCTGATCTTAATTCTGGAGTTAATTGATCCCATGCATTTAATAATTGTTTAACTGACAATATTGGTGAAGTTAATAATGGTTTCAAATCTTTAACAGCTGTTGAAACTAATTCATCATCAATGATTTTGGAAACTTCATCAATCTTAATTAAATATTGATTCATCAATTTTGGATCAATGGCACTATCACTATTAGCAAATAAAACATGTTTTAAGTTAGTGATGGATTTTGATAACAAAGTTTTACTATGATTTGAACTTAATTGATTTTCTAAAGTGATTGAAAATTCTTCAATCTCTTTTAATCTATCATTTAATTGACTTAAGTTGGCTAATCTACCATTTCTTTCTTTATCAATTCTTTCTTTAACTAATTTTTCAAATTTTTTAGTTTGTTCAATTCTCATTATTGAAACTGCATTAACAGCTGCTTGACTGATAGCTTCTTTAGTAGCATTGATTTCATTCTCTAATCTAGCATTCAATTTCTTTTCCAAATGAGTCTTTTCAGTATTGAATTGATCTAATAAGTTTTGAGTCAATTCTAATTCTTTCTTAGTATAACTTGATAATAAATCGGTTTGACTATCTTTTAATTTCAATTGAAGTGATTCATCGAATTTACTAGTCAAGGATTCAATCTTTGAAGTTAATTTACTAACATTGTCATTGATAACTTTGATCAAAGCATCTTTTGATGATGATCCTTGAGTTCCAATATCAATGGATTTAATTAAATCATTGAATGAATTGATAGTAGATTTAACAGAATCATCAATTGATGAAGACGATACTTTAATTAAAGGTAAATGAGCTGCTGGTTTTGAAACAGTTTCAACTGGTTTTTGTAATTGTTGAGCTGGAGTAGCATTCTTACCGAATTTTTCAACATTAACATTTGGTGGTTGAGTAGTCTTTGGTGATATTTTATTCTTAGCATCTTCTAAGAATTTTTCTCCCTTTTCAGTAATTTCACTGATATCATCTTTTGATGGGAATTTGAAACTAACACCTTTAACTTTGTTAGCTAATTCTTCATATTTCTTATTTAAATCCTCGAGTGATCCATGTTCCATAAAGTCAATGATCTCTTCGTAGAATGGTAATTGTTTGTCAATAACGAAATCGTAAACAGTTTCACTCTTGGTGGCAGCATATAACAAACCTCCATATAAAACACTGGCATAAAAACCATATTTAATGAAGAACCAAGTGAAAGAGAATTTCTTCTTAGGTTGTTCTGGTTCTGGTTCTGGAATTAATGGTACTTCTTCCACTACTGGAACAGGTTCTACTACTGGAACTGATTCAAGTGGAACCCCATCAGCAATTGGAGTGATTGGAGGGTTCTTAGCCTCAGGATTGACAGGGTTTTCAGTAACAATCTCAATCTTAAGATCTTTTGGTGGAATAACATCTTTCTTAAGATCGATTTTTTTGTCATTTGATAAGAATCTTGAATGATGGAATTGACGATGAGTCAATCTTGATCCAATTATGGTTGTACCAACATTTAACCCAAGTTTCTTACTGGAAACTGAACGGATTATTAGTTTATTCATTATGGTGGTCCAATCAAATGTTGAAAGTTTTCCACTGCGAATATCGAAACCTGGAGCGCGCACGCACCAAGGTTTCGCGAAGTTCAACCTGAACTAAGATCTGTGTGTACGATTAACTACAAAATGTCTATTGAACCAATTGAACTCTATCCACCACAGCCGGTTACTGTGAGAGCTCAAAGTACAAAGATAGCTTATGATGCTATTTATGGAAGAATTGCTTATGCTATGGGAAGGTCTATTTTCGTTAGACCAATTGATGCCGATAATGCCAAAGCCCCAGCTTTCCAGTTTACTAAACATACGAATCCTACCACTGTAGCTGCTTTCTCTCCTAGTGGGATGTATATTGCTTCAGGGGATGAAAGTGGTCAAGTCAAAATCTGGGATACCTCAATAATTGGTGATAAAAACCCATTGGCTGAACAACCATATATCAAAAGTGAGTTCCAAATCTTATCAGGTCCAATTAAATCGATTTCTTGGGATGCCGATAATTCAAGAATCATTGCTGTAGGTGAAGGGAAAGAAAAATTTGGTCATTGCTTTTCTTGGGATTCAGGTAACTCTATTGGAGAAATTCAAGGTCATTCAGATGTTATCAATGATGTTGATATTAAGGGCCAAAGACCTTACAGAGCTGCCACTGTAGGTAACGACAAGGCTTTAGTTTTTTATACTGGTCCACCATTTAAGTTTGACAAGAGTATCAGAGATTATCATACTAATGTTATCAGAGGTGTTAAATTCTCTCCTGATGGTAAATACTTAATTTCTGTTGGTTCTGACCGTTTGATTGTGGTCTATGATGGTGAAACTGGAGAATTCATACAAAAAATTGAAAACGCTCATGAAGGTGGAATTTTTGGAGTTTCTTGGTTCAAAGATTCTTCCAAATTTGCTACTTGTTCAGCTGATAACAAAGTTAAAGTATGGTCAGCTGACACCTTCGAAGTCGTTGAAACTCTCAGTATTGGCGAAAAAGTTACTGTGGCTAATCAATTGGTTTCTGTGGTTGTTACTGATAAATCAATCATAAGTCTTTCAGTTAATGGTAACTTGAATTATTACCAAGATGGTAAAGTCACCACCATTGAGGGTCACCAATCCTCAATCACTGCTTCCTTAAAATTGAATGGTAGTGTTATTACTGGTGGATCCAACGGGAAGTTGTTCAAATGGGAAATTGTCAATGACAAATTATCACCTATAGCAAAACCAATTGGTGACGAAACAACTAGTCATGGTAATTATGTTGTTGATATCATTTCCGCCGAAAAACATATTGTTACCATCGGTTGGGACGATAAATTGAAGGTATGGGACGAAGACTCAAAATTCATCACCGAAGTCAAATTGGATTCTCAGCCTAAAAAATTACTCTACAACAATAGTAATGTGACTGTTCTTTTTGAAGACAGCATCGTAAACTATAGTGTTGGAAGTTCTATTGAAAAAGTTAAAGATTCAAAGTTATCTGCTAGTAGTAGTGATATCGATTACATTAGTGAAAAATTATTGACCACCAATTTAACCGAAAATAAAATCGATACCCTTGAAAAGGACTTATCCAAGATCACAAGTAACTTTACAGCCATTCGTGGAACTCCTTCTATCATCAGAGTTTCACCTAACGATGAATATGTTGCATTGGGAGATTCCACAGGTAAATATATCATTTACAATGCCGATAGTTCAGTCAAAACTACTAGATGGAGTTATCAAACCAGTAAAATTTTAGATGCAAAATGGTCGTCAGACTCCAATTTCTTATTAACTGGAGGTTTAGATAGTGGAATATTCATTTATTCCATCAGCAAGATTGCTAAAGTATTGAAATTACCCTTAGCTCATCAAACTGGAATTTCAAGAGTTGAATGGTTATCTTATGAAGATTTGAAGGCTACCATTTTAACTACAGGTTTAGATGGGTCAATAAAGTTATGGAAAGTTGATTTAACAGGATATATGTAATCATCTCAATTCCTATTGTTCAGCTGTCATATCTCAAAAGGGTAATAGAGCGGCCGCACTATATAGAGAATAAATGATCATGAGGTTTAACCATCTTCAAGTCTCTCCTTTTATACCGTGTACTTTACCTGGTATTGCTTCTGTAGCACTTTAAGCCGTATATATTAAGGTTCTAATCAATAATCTAAAAAACCTTATCGGATGGAAATCCCGCATAGAAGCGGCTCCTCGCTTGTTGCGAAAACCGTTTTTAAGTCCTTTTATTTCCATAATTATATATAAGACCTTTTCCTGCCTTTGAAATTGTTTTCCCTTTGCTTTATTACTTCCCAGACTTTCATGTCCATTAACTATTCACAATTGTTAGTTTTTCATTATCAAAATTAGTTTCAGGAGTATGTCAAAGGAATTAGAAGAACAACCAGAGTTGAAACTCGAGAAGAGATGGTTTACGTTTTTATTATCCAAAGAGGTCCCTCCCATCCCAACATCTGAAGAGAGGAAACCTTACCCTGAAAGCACTTCGAATATATTCAATAGAGTGCTATTTTCATGGATAATACCAGTAATGAATGTTGGTTATAAGAGAACACTTGTTCCAGAAGATTTATTTTATTTAACTGATGATGTTAAGGTTGATACCTTAACGAATGATTTCTATAAATACTTCGAGCAAGAAGTGACCAAAGCAAAAAAGAAGTACTTAAAAGCTCAAGGCAAACAAATTGGTGATATCGATGAAGATGATCTCAAGGATTTCGAACTTTCAAGTTTTTTAACTATCAGAGCTTTATTCAAGACTTTCAAATGGAGATATTCATTTGCTCTTATAAGTTTAATCATATCACAAAGTTCCCAAACCTTGAATCCTTTGATTATAAAGAAATTGATCTATTTTGTAGAAACAAGGGCTGCTGAGATGCTGAATCACGTTCCTATGATGGGAGTGGGTAAAGGTGTAGGATATGCTGTAGGTGCTACCATTTTGATCTTACTTAACGGTGTGTTTATGAACCATGCTTTGGTTCAAGGTATGTTGGTCGGAGCTATGGCCAAATCGGTTTTGAATAAAGCCATTTTAGATAAATCTTTCAGGTTACATTCTTCTGCTAAACATGAGTATTCTGTTGGTAAGATCACCTCTATTATGGGGACAGATTTATCAAGAATTGATTTTGCTATTGGTTTACAAATATTTGCATTGTCAGTTCCCGTCCCTATTATCATTGCTATCATAATCTTATTGGTGACTATAGGTCCATACGCTTTGGTGGGGATGGCCCTTATGATAATATTCATCTTTGGGGTAACATTTGCTGTTAGGAGATTATATAAGTTCAGGAAAGCTGCTAATTTCTTCACTGATAAGAGAGTGAACTACATCAAGGAAATTTTGAATAATTTAAGAATTATCAAATATTATTCTTGGGAGCCTCCTTACTATGATAATATTGCTGACGTCAGAAAGAAAGAGATGAATATCCTTTATAAAATGGCCGTTATCAAAAATGTCATTACTGCATTTTCAATGTGTTTGACCTTATATTGTTCCATGATCACTTTCCTTATTATTTATGGGGTTGGTGGTAAGAGAGATCCAGCTTCAGTGTTTTCATCCCTTTCTTTATTCAATGTTTTGACCCAAATTGTGTTCTTAGTTCCTCAAGCTTTGGCTGCCGGTGTTGATGGGTTAGTTGCTATTGGAAGAGTCGGTACTTTTATGATAGCTCCTGAAGAAAAAGAATCTGAAAATTCAATCATTCCTGACGAAAAAACAAAGCTTTTGATGGACTTGACTTCATTGGCTATTAAAGTTGATCATGGAACTTTCGAATGGGAGACTTTTAAAGATGAAATCACCGAACAGAGTGAGAAGGTGAAGTCCGAACAGTCAGTCCAGAGTGACAGCTCGGCTGAAGGACTCGATGACGAAGAAACATTAAATTCGGATGCATTTCCTGGATTAAATGATATAAATTTGGAGATTAGGAAAGGTGAACTCGTAGTAGTAACTGGTCTTATTGGTTCCGGTAAATCTTCACTTTTAAATGCACTCTCTGGTTTCATGAAACGTACAAGAGGTAGTGTGAGTGTAAATGGGTCAATGATCTTATGTGGACAACCATGGATCCAGAATTCTACTGTCAAAGAGAATATACTATTTGGTTCAGAATTTGACGAGAAGAAGTATGCTGAAGTAATTTATGCTTGTTCGTTGGAGAGTGATTTATCTATATTACCAGCTGGTGACAGAACCGAAATTGGTGAAAGAGGTATCACATTATCCGGGGGTCAGAAAGCTCGTATTAACTTAGCAAGATCAGTTTATTTTGATAAAGAAGTTATCTTAATGGATGATGTATTGAGTGCAGTTGATGCCAGAGTAGGTAAACATATCATGGAAAATTGTATCATGGGTTTATTAAGGGAAAAGACAAGAATTCTCGCTACCCATCAATTATCCTTGATCAGTTCAGCCGATAGAATCATCTTCTTAAACGGTGACGGTTCTATTCATGTAGGTACTTTCGAAGAATTACATGCTAATAATGATGGGTTCAATAAATTAATGGCTTTTAACCAAGCAACTGAATCCAAAGAACAAACAGAAGAAGAAGAAGAAACTGAAGATCCGGAAGAACAAGAAAAGGCAATGATAGAAAGACAAATAACTAAAACTGTCACCAAGGAAGATGAAGAAGCTGCTCGTAAAGTTTATAATCAAGATGCTGATGCTGATGGTAGATTAGTGTTGTCTGAGTCCAAAGCCAAAAATGGCATTGATTCTAAAGTTTACAATAGCTATATTGAAAATGGTTCTGGTGTTTTCGGCAAATACTTGGTCTTATTGTTGATTGCAGCTTTCATGACCCTTTCAACTTTCTGTATGATTTTCACCAATGTGTGGTTGTCATTTTGGACATCAAAGAAATTTCATGGATTATCTAATGCTCATTATATTGGGGTTTATGTAATGTTTGTGGTATTAGCCAATGCTTTTTTGATTGTTCAATTCGTTTTGGTAGTTTATATTACCAATAAAGCTGCTACATTCTTGAATATCAAAGCTACTAAGAACATTTTACATTCTCCAATGTCATTCTTAGATACCACTCCTATGGGAAGAGTTTTAAATCGTTTCACCAAAGACACTGACGTTTTAGATGATCAATTTAGTGAACCTGTCAGATTTTTCCTCTTCACATTTGCTAATTTGATTGGTTATGTTATTTTGTGTGTGGTATTCTTACCATGGTTTGCTCTCGCTGTTCCAATATTTATGTCTTTGTTCCTTGCTATTGGACACTATTATCTGTCTTCAGCCAAAGAGATCAAAAGACTCGAGGGGGTGCAAAGATCTTTCGTTTATAACAATTTTAATGAATCCTTGAATGGTATGTCAACTATCAAAGCTTATGGTGCCTCACATAGATTCTTAGCCATCAATTCTTCAAGTATTGATACCATGAATGAAGCTTATTACCTTACAATTGTGAATCAACGTTGGTTGTCAGTTAATTTGGCCATCATTGCAACCTTTTTCACCTTGACCTTAGCATTATTGTGTGTTTTCGGAGTTTTCAGTATATCTGCATCCTCAACAGGTCTTTTGTTATCATATACATTACAATTGACGGGTCAATTTTCATTGTTGATCAGAAATTATACTCAAATCGAAACCAGTATGACATCTGTGGAAAGAATCTGTGATTTTGCTATTGATTTGAAAGAAGAAGGAAGATATCATATCACTGAAACCGACCCTGGTTCTCAATGGCCTTCAGAAGGCTCACTTGTTTTCAAAAACGTTTCTTTGGCCTACAGACCTGGCTTGCCATTGGTATTGAAGAACTTGAATGCCAACATCAAAGGAAGAGAAAAAATTGGAATCTGTGGTAGAACCGGAGCTGGTAAGTCTTCCATCATGACAGCTTTATATAGAATAGCCGAACTATCGGAAGGTAAAATTGAAATCGATGGTGTGGATATCTCCACTTTAGGTTTGAATGAATTAAGATCCAAATTATCCATCATTCCTCAAGATCCAGTTTTATTCAGAGGATCTCTCCGTAAAAACTTGGATCCTTTTGGTCAAAATACTGATGCTCTGTTATGGGATGCTTTAAGGAGAGCAGGATTAATTGAAGAAACCAAAGTTGAAGCAGTTTCCAAACAACTCAAGGGAGATGAGAATCTCCATAAATTCCATTTGGATCAAATGGTTGAAGACGATGGTTCCAATTTCTCCTTGGGTGAAAGGCAACTAATAGCATTGGCTAGAGCTTTAATTAGAGACTCTAAAATTTTGATTTTGGACGAAGCAACAGCTTCAGTTGATTATAAAACCGATTCTAAAATCCAAAACACCATTGTCAATGAATTTGGACATTGTACTATATTATGTATTGCTCATAGACTTAAAACCATCATAAATTATGACAGAATATTGGTTTTAGATAAAGGAGAAATACAAGAATTCGACACTCCTTGGAACTTGTTCAATGATAAAGGTAGTATCTTTCAACAAATGTGTGAAAAATCTGCCATTGTCAGTGAAGATTTTCAAAGAAAAGATTAATTTATCTATTTATTTCAAAAAAAATTATTAATATATGCACGAGAATTATAAGTTTTCATCCCAATATTTCTTAAGATCATTGGCTCTAAAATTCATTTGCCAACCAGTAGTACTTTCGATTTTAGATAATAAATTCAAAACAATCTCATGTTCTTGACTACTACTTAATAATTGACCAGCAATCCACAAAGGTTGTAAGGCATTATTCCAACATCCATGATGTTCATTATGTAAACTTATACTACAAATTTGTTTAGCATGCCAGATAGGAGATTTCATATGCTCTACATGAGTTATAGTTGTTAATCTTGGTTTATTTTGTATTAACAAGATTACAGCCATATGGAACATTTGAATGGCAGATATAGCTGGACCATTAAGAAGTAAAATACCTGGGAATGGTACATCATTAAAAGTCAATACTGGTTCAAATTCTATAGGTTTTTTGATAAACCAGTCACTTATTTCATCCCATAAATATTTCCACTCATCATCGTAATTTTCTTTAGTTTCAGCTATCATATTGACAACTCTTGCGGTCAAGAATACCATATAGTTAGCATACATGTCAACTTTATTACCGAAATTTCCATTAAATAATTCTCTCAGATCTCTAACATTACAATTGTAAGGAATCCAAAATTCTGAAGGGATAATAGTTGGAGAATCATCTATGATGGCACAACAAACGTCACTTCTGGCCATACACCAAAACAATCCTCTTTCTAGATCATCTGAGAATCCATGGATTCCATGCGCTTTGAATAATGCTGCACAACCTTCAAGATGATATCTCCACTTTCTAGGAGATGAACTCATCATTTCGAACACACAAAGAATTACTGTACTAGTAATGGATGAAATATCCAATGTTTTGTTAACAGTAGGAATCAAATATTTCAAAGTGTCCTGATATAACTTGATGGTGATTTTGGATTCATATATAGGATTAGTTTGTTCAATTTGTCTTGACGCTATAGCATAAATGGAATTCAACAATGCTTGATTTTTCTTAGCAAGCTCTGGAATTTTTGATCCAAATTGTTTGGAATGATCAAACATATCCAACCAAGGAGCTATTTCATTCAAATATCGTTTATACAATATCAATTTTTCGTTGTCATTAATAAGAATATTATTATCATGCTGATTATCATATGTTATATTCTGAAAGTAATTGTTCTCCGCCAAAATCTCTTGTAAGCTCTTTGAGGAGTTACTGTTGGAATTATCAGGATTTAAAAATGTGGGTAAAGGATTTTCCAAAATGTTTTGGAAATCTGAATCCAATACATCATTGTTTGGTTGTAAATTAAGATTAGTAAACATATAATCCCTAAAAGTCCGATGTAAATGACTATAAGTTAAGAATGGAGCCATCAAAGAATCAGGAGATATTTCATTATCTTCATCTTCAATGGATTTTCTTTTTGTAGGCGGTATTGGTTGAACCATTACTCTCTCAGCATTTTTAAGAATCCCCTGCAAGGGATCCGAATTCTCTTGATTCACTAAATTTTGCAAATTGGGTGTGGTGGTAGTATTGAAATTCATATGTGGAGATGATTTATTGGAGATCTGACCGTTGGAACTATGATTGGATCTCATCTCAGGGGAAGTAACCATTTCATTACCACTGCTATGACCATCATGACACTTATTTAAATTATTGAGATTATGATTATTCAAAGGTGTAAGGTCATTATTAGTAGTAACACTATTATTTACGGTGGAAGGTATATTAGTACCGAATTTTGAATGGTTTTTAATGATGGCCAGTGGAGAATCATCTTCTTCATTCAAAGTTTCTAATAATCTTGAAGAATATTTTTTCAAATTCGATTCATTGTCACCTTCATTGATTTGAATAATTCGGAATGAATTTGATGTCACTCTATCTCTCGATGGGGGATAAACACAATTAGCACCTTTCTTTGTACATAAACCACAATAAGGTTTCTTTTCATCGCATTTTTTATGCTTTTGTCTACAGGTTAAACAACCTGTCTTTGTACGTCTCTTTATAGGCTTCTCTACACTCATACTATCATATTATTAAAAGATTTGGTCAAAAAGATTTTTAATTAAAGATCGCTGTGCCTTTGAGTACGTTCAATGATCAGGATTTTCCAATGTGGAGAGGAGATTAATTCGGAATAATGAGCATTTCCCGGTGTACAGGTGTGAATTCCGATTATTCTGGGGCTAAAGCCGAAATTCTTCCGCTCGCACTACCGATCCAAGTGGAGTAGAAGGAGGGGCATTTTGTTTACGGAATATTATTTGAAGCAAAGTCGTGTGCATGTACATAAAATATATTAAAAAAAAATCTACTATTTAAAACCGATTACATTTAAAGTTCTTGGAATTCATATTTCAAGTCTTCATCTTTTGACCAATTTGAGTAATACTTATCAATTTTATCAGCAATAACTTCACTATTATAACCAAAATATTCATAAACTTTTGGTCCTGGTAAAGATTTACCGAAAGTTTTCATGTTAATACCTGCTGTGGCATATTTTTCCCAACCATTAACAGCATAGGCTTCAATAATAACTGAAGGTAATTTACCTTGTTTTAAAATTGATCTTTTGTATTCAAGTGGTTGATTATCGAATAATCTTTGACATGGGAATGAGATAACATTAGCTTTGATACCTTTTTTAGCTAAGATTTCTTGTGCTTCCATGGCAAATTGCATTTCAGAACCAGTAACCAAGATATTTAATGCTGGATCTTCAACTTCTGAAAAGACATAAGCACCTAATTTGACTTTATCACGTTTGGATAATTCAGGATATTGTTTCAAATTATGTCTTGATAATGAAATGATGGTGGAATGAGGATAATCAATAGCAGCTTCCCAAGCTCCTGCAACTTCTTCGTTGTCACATGGTCTAATATATAACATATTTGGCATGGATCTGTATAAAGCGGCCAATTCAATTGGGTGATGAGTTGGACCATCTTCACCGATACCAATAGAATCATGAGTAGCAACATGGATTACTTGAAATTCTGATAATGCACCATATCTAACACCAGGAGCGGCATAAAGATAGAACATGAAGAATGAAGATGTGACAGGAATGAAAGTTCCCTTGTTATAAGCAGCAATACCATTAGAAATAGATGCCATAGCATGTTCTCTAATACCATAATGGATATATCTACCACTGTAATCACCATTAATACCACATTGGGTCTTGATTTTTGGATTTTGGAAATCTTTCTTATCTGCCCAAGCCATGTTAACAGATGGTGATAAATCAGCTGTTCCTACCATGAATGAATTAACATTTTTAGCAATGTTGTTGAAAACTAAACCACTAGCTTTACGTGAAGCAGTGGCAGAAGAAGGTAATTCTTTAGGAATTAAATGTTTCCAATCTGGTAATTCCCCTTTAATTCTACGAGCTAATTCCTCTCCTGATTCAGGGTATGCTTTTTGGTAATCAGCAAATAGTTTGTTCCAATCATCGACGAAAGATTCGTCAACTTTGAAGAAATCGTATACTTCAGATGGAACATAAAATTTTTCAGGGGATTGATATAATTCGTGTAATTTATCAACTTCACTTTGACCAAAAGCAGCTCCGTGAGCAACAGCAGTTCCTTCAACAGCCGTATCAATACCAATTCTAGTATTGACAATAATAATAGTTGGTTTTTCGGTAGTTTTACTATATTCCAAAGCTTCAACAATTTGGTTAACATTGTCACCTTCTGAAATTTCTAAAACTTCCCAGTTACAAGCAAGGAATTTATCTTTAATGTTCTCAGTATTGGTTAAGTCCACTGAACCATCACAAGTGATTTGATTATTATCGTAGATAACAGTCAAATTACCTAATCCTAAATGACCAGCAAAGGAAATAGATTCCAAGGCAACACCTTCTTGTAAACAGGCATCTCCAACCATACAGAAAATTTGACTGCTAATAACTGGGAATTCAGGTTTATTGTATGTAGCTTGTAAATTTTTACCAGCAATGGCTAAACCAACAGAATTACTAATACCTTGACCTAAAGCACCAGTGGTCAATTCAATACCTGGATGTTCATTTTCTGGATGTCCTGGACAATAAGAATTCAAATCAGCTGAATGGTAAGTTTTCAATTGACTCATAGTCATGTGTTTATAACCAGTTAAGTGTAAGAAGATATATTGGAATAAACAAGTGTGACCATTGGATAAAACGAATCTATCTCTGTTGAAGAAGTTTGGATCTGAAGGAGCATATTTCATTACATATTTCCATAAACTGACACCAATAGCAGCCATTCCCATGGCACCTCCTGGGTGACCACCATTGAATTGTTGAACTAAATCAGCAACTAATAATCTAATAACTTTCAAAGTATAATCGTGAAATGGTTCTTGTACAGTCATCTCAGTTTTGTTGTCAATCAACAGTGCAAGTCCAAGATATTTTATATCTCATCGTTAACTGCAGAGTGGGGCCAGATTTTTCCAACCCCAGATTTGCGATTAGTCGGGATATTTGTCCTGAATTTTGCGGCTAATTCGCGTTAACCGATAAATGTACGACTGTCTAATGTTTCTTGAATAGAAACATTAAAATATGGGGTATTGTCTGGGGTAATGCGTGGCTTGGTGTAGACTATGTGTAGACTACTGGTAGACGACAATTTTGCGATTCGATTTTTGATTCTTATGCTAGAGTCATCTTTTTTTCTGGGTAGGGAGCTTTTTACAATGCTCATAATTCCTTATAACACTAATTCAACAAAACTCTTTGATATCTGGATTGATCATTTTATCAATACGTTAAGAAACAATAGAGTCTAATAACCAGAGATTTAATTTACACGAGGGAAACCATTTATTAAGCAGTTTCTACATAATCAACTTGAGGTTTTTCAACACTGATTGACTCTGATTTTTGATCAACAAAGATCTTTTTATGATCAACCAATCCCATGAACGCAGTTCTGTTTTCTGAAAATAATTTGTCGATAGCTTCTAAAGTTAAACCTTTAGTTTCTGGGTAGAAGAAGTAAAACATAGGTACGAATGCAAAATTTGTACAAGTAAAGATTAAGTAAGCTTTCCATTGTAAATCAGTAATAATAACTGGGGTGATTTCAACAACGAAGAAATTCCATAACCAATTACTTGAAATAGCAATAGGGACACCGTATGCTCTGGCATGTAAAGGAATTATTTCAGCACAGATTGTCCATGGGATACAATTTCCTGAAGCCCCAAAAATTAATTGATACAAAAAGAAGAATCCAACAGCAGCAGCACCACAACGGGCTTGTAAAGCATCACTACCTTGGATACTTAAAAGAACTGAAATCATTAAGAAACAGAACCCACAACCAAAGAATCCATATACTAAAGGCATTCTTCTACCAAGTCTATCAGTGAGGAAAGCTGGGACTAATGAACCGATGGTGAAACAAACAGTGGAAACACCACCAAGAATCATAGCTAAAGTATGTTCCAAACCAACACTTTCAACCAAAACAGTAGTAATATAATAATTAATCAAATTAATACCACCTAATTGTTGAGCAAACATAGATCCATAAGCTAAAAGAACTCTAGTTCTGGTTCTAGCATGATCTTTCTTGACTAATCTCTTCCATGAATATTTACCTTCAATTTCTTCCAAAGCCACGGCTTCTTCGATTTCACCATAAGATTCAATGATATCTGGGTGATCAGGTTCTCTATCAAAAATGTAACATAAGACTTCCTTGGCTTTTTCCTTTTGTCCATTGATAAATAAATATCTTGGGGATTCAGGGATAAAGAATAACGATACAAGTACAACGATGGCAAAGGGAATTTGTAAAGAAATTGGTAATCTCCAAGCAAGTGGACCATTAGTATAAGATAAACCAAAGTCCATGAAGTAAGCAATAACTAAACCGATACCAACGAATAAAGCTTCAGATGAAACTTTATTACCTCTTGAACTAGCTTTAGACAATTCTGCTTGATACATAGGAACACTAGAAGTTTCCATACCAGTTCCTAAACCGGTTATAAATCTACCAACCATAAAATGAGGGACAGTAAAAGCAGAAGCTTGCAAAGTAATACCAATAATAATTAATATCATAGCAAGACCAATAGTCTTTCTTCTACCTAATTTAGGTCCTACAAAATAATTAAGTATACAACCGAAGAAACAACCTAAAGTATATAAAGAAACAATAATACCCAAATAACTACCAGTTGGGTGACCGAATTGGTTCAAGAAATCTTGACCGAGAATAACTATACCCAAGATACCTTGTTCCAAACCAAAAAGAACAAACGCTAATTCACAAGTAAAGGTAACAGCATTTCTAGCAGGTTTACCTGGATTCCAAAATTGTATATATTTCATGTTAAAATATTAAATGTGTTTTCAATATTATAAATGTTTGCAGCTAAAATTTATTTCTCAAGAGATTTAATCCGGTTTTATAATGATTCAGACATTGTGTATACTGGTAATCATTGACCAGAAAATCATGTCACCAAATGGGCAATTTTACTCGCAGTAGATATTTTTCCTGTAGGAAATCTTGACAGGAGAGAGAAATATGGGGTAACACAATGTACCCCAAACCCTAAAAAAAAATGCGGAATTGCTACGGATGTTGTCATTTATTCGTTGAATCCATAAAAATATCAAATTTCTTCCTTGGTATTAAAACTGTGCATGATATTTTACCGTTAATGAATCGTTTAATTCTGACTTTACCGATTTTTATGGGTAAACTTCAGATTTATTCGATTTTATTCCTCTGCACGTACTCTTTTCCCCATATTTCGTCATATTATTTAGCCCAACTCCGAATCTAATGGTCTTCTCCAGTTATTAGCTCTTAAACGATATGGGGTACTTGAGATATGAATAAAATACGAAATAATAGCAATTGGTCCTATTGAATAAATTTTTTTATTTGATTGTATTCGGAGTTCGAGAATTCCGAATCAATAGCTGTTCGATGTAGATATCGTCTTGGTAGATCCGATCTATACTACCGGCCGAGCGTAAAGAGTGATAGGAATCGTTGAAATCAGGGGTCAAAATAGGTTTCATCGATTTGGTTCAGGCTTTTCGAATTTCGTCATTGATAGAAGCTCGCCAAAAATTCGTCCCAGAAAAATAGAAACAGGAGTGTCTTTACAAATTCACCGAAGGAGGAATTGTCCGAGGAAGAAATCCGGGTTTTCGTGTCAAGCATTGCTGATAAGTTGACAGAAGTCGTACGGCAGTCATAATTGATATAAGATAATCGTTATCATGGGGATTATCGAACAATTTTCGATAAAATTATTCTGATTTGCTTTCAATTGGTAGTCTTAATCTGGCAAGGATTTAAGTGTACTATGTCCATAAGTCGATTATTTACATAATGAACAAAAAATCAATTGAATAGGCCGTCAGATTGAATGCACATTTTTCCCCTTTAATCAACAACTGTGCCTATCCTTTCGTCTCCTCAAACATCTGAACACTGGTATTGTAACTTAAGGATTTGGATTCCCATTAACATTTAAACTTCGTTACACCCATACTTATCTCACAGATAAAATTGACCTGTTCACGTCTTTTTGATTTACCGAAAAAAGATATTATACCAATTTAGTAACTCTACCCTTTAATTGGGTAGAGATTCCTTTTATCACCTCAAATGTTCGCAAATTTTTGGTAACTCCACTACTTGTCAAAGTTGAGATAAGAACTCACTCAAAAAAAGAAACATAGAAAAATTTTTATATATACCCACTAGGATCTTAAATTTGTTACAAGAGGTTTGAGATCTAGGAAGATAAATCCGTTTCATCAAGGTATATTGGGAATATTTAATTAGCCTTTCTTTGATTTTTGTTTAACAGGTTAAGAGAAAATTTTTCACTCAATAAGAAGAAAGGGAAATAATGAATATACTTAAATCAAGAACTAGTGGTGTGGAAGAAATGATGGTGACCAATGATATGGGTCACCCCAATTATATTCCTGGTACTTTCAATATTTACGAAACAGGTGAACATGATAGAAGTATTTCCAAAAATGATTCTGGTGTTATTTTAGTCCCCCAACCCACTGAATCAGTCAATGATCCTTTGAACTATAAACCTTGGAGAAAGATCATGAATTTAACCGTCCTTTGTTTCCTTACGGCTTTTACTGCCGCTACTTCCAATGATGTATGTACTTAATGAGAATAGCTTCGACAATCATCGCTTGCTCCATATTTTATGGTGGTGTGATGATTTTCAAATTCAGTGTTTTGAATACTAACTTTTTTTTAGGCTGGTGCCACTCAAGATTCACTTAACGAAGATTACAGCATTTCCTACGATCTTATGAATAATGCCGCTGGTATTTTAGTATGTATTTTCATCTATTAGAGAGGAGTTCATGATATTTCGCAGCCGATTGGAAGTTCTCCTTTGTCACGTGATTTGTGACTTTTTTTATATCTTCACATCAAATACTAACTGTTTAGTTCCTTGCTATAGGTTTCAATACTTTCATCATGGCTCCCTTGTCTGCATTATATGGTAGGAAATTACAATACATCATCTGTATAGTTTTTGGTTTAATAGGTTCTATTTGGATGGCCAACATCAAAAGACCAAGAGATGCTTTGTGGAATCAATTATTTGTAGGTGCAAGTGAAAGTTGTGCTGAAGCTGCTGTGCAACAAAGTTTAACTGATATTTATTTCCAACATCAATTAGGTCATATGTTGACTTATTATATTTTGGCAACATCCGTAGGTACTTACTTAGGTCCATTAATTGCTGGTTATATCAGTGGTGATGTTGGTTGGGCCTGGGTAGGTTGGGCTGGTGCTATCATATCAGGTTTTGCTCTTGTTTTAATTGTTTTCTTCATGGACAATACTCAATTCGACAGAAGAAAATATTCTAAACCAAAACCTGATGGTGAAGTTGAAGATAATGTCAATAAAAAAGAAACTGCTTCTGAAGAAAATGTCAATATCACTTTAACTTACCAAGGTTCTATTGTCTCAGATAATGGTGCTAGTGAACCAATGAATAGTTATTGGTATGACAAAACTCTTTTCAGAAAAGCTCCACATGTTGTTGGTACTGGTTTCAAACAATATTGTAAAATTTTTTTCACATCATTAAGAGTCTTTGCCTTTCCTGGGGTGATTTACTCCGGTGTTGTTTGGGGTTTACAATCTGCTTTATTAACTTTTTATTTGACTGTCGAAGATGATCAATATTATGATCCTCCTTATAGTTATAGTGATGCTGGTGTGGCTATTATGAATGTTCCTTGTCTTATTGGAGCTGTTTTTGGTTGTGTTTATGCCGGTGTTGTTTCTGATTGGTTCAATCTTTGGATGTCTAGAAGAAATAATGGTATTCAAGAAGCTGAAAATAGATTATATTTCTTATTTTTATCAGGAATTATTGGACCTATTGGTTTGGTTTTATTTGCTGTTGGTACTGATCAAGTTTGGTCTTGGTTCCCTACTTATTTGGGTTTGGTTTTCATTGGTTTCGCTTTTGGTGCTTCTGGTGATGTTGCTTTAGGTTACTTAATGGATGCTTATCCTGATACCGTTATCGAAATGATGGCAGGAGTTGCTGTCATCAATAATATCATTGGTTGTGTTTTCACCTTCGCTTGTTCTCCATGGTTAGAAGCTATGGGAAATACTAAAACTTTCATCATTTTAGCTGTAATCGAATTTGTTGTTGCATTCTTTGCTATTTTCTTTATTTGGTATGGTAAAGCAATCAGAAAAAAGACCACCAAAATGTACATTAACTACTGTAAACTTAGAGATTCAATTTAGTTCTTTTCATAATCAATACATAAACCGCATGTTTTTAATAATTTTTTTTTCATCTTTTTTTTTGCAACCAAATGTGGCTTTATTCTTTTGTCTCACAATTACAAAATTCACGAAAAATCAACTAAAAAAAAATCCGAAAAAAAACTCTCTTTTTCAGAATGACAGATGAAGAGCAAAGAGCTTGTCCAATGGACAGTGGAAACACTGTCATGTGAATGAGTAGGAATAGCGGGAAAAAATTCCTTCGAATGCTCGAAAATATAACGATCTCAATTGCCCATATTGAGTAATCAAACGAGTAACTTTACAAAATCAGAGATTGGGAACTAAGCATACTTGTGCATTCTAGTCTATAAAAAATTAGGATCTCATTCAATGAGATGGAGAGATGTTCAATAAATAAAAAAATAACTAAGAACATGATACAAAAACACCATCCCTAAGTTTCATGGTAGCATTAGCCAGGATTCTTGGGGGGTATTCAGTTTCAAAAGATTTTAAATTAGGGAATAATTGACAAAATCTCAAGATAATGTACGAAGCTTCAGTAATAGCAAATTGTTGACCAAGACAAATTCTTGGCCCTGATAAGAATGGCATAAAACCTCCAGGATTTTTGATGCTTTCCCATCTATCAGGATTAAATTCATTAGCGTCTTTACCGTAAAATCTTTCAGATCTTTGTAAAGAATAAAATGACATAAATACAACTTGACCTTTTTCAATAAATACTTTTTTGCTACCATCAGCACCACCTCCAGTAGGTAAAGTGGTATTCTTTTTGGCACAACGATAATTTTGAGGAACAGATGGATATAATCTTAATCCTTCATTGACAACATGACGTAAGTAATTACATTTTTTCATGGTATCGATATTAATACTATCAAGATCACAATTTTCATTATCACCAAAATGTAAATAAACTTCATTTTTCAATTTTTCATAAACTTGAGGATTTCTAGCTAATTCCAAGATTAATGAAGAAATTAAAGCTGAAGTAGTATTTCTACCAGCTAACATAATGTTTAATAAATGATCATGTAAAATTTTTGGGTCTCTGGTGATTTTAACCAATTCATATATGAAAACATAACCACCACTTTTAGCGATTTTATCCTCAATTTCTGAAGAAGTCATCTTTAAAGCTTTCTCAACAAAAGAATGGGTGAATGTGTGAATTACATCAAGACATTCTCTGAAATCCTTGGGATTGTAAATCCAATACAAACTTTGTAATAAACCTCTAGCAAAGATATACTTTTGGACTTTGTTGAAAGCTTCTTCAAAGGTATAACCACCAGAAACATAATCTTGAGAAGTTAATGAACCCACACTTTCATTAAATAAGAAATCGGTTGATGCATCTAAAGTTAATTTCAACACTAAGTCCTGAACATCAAATTTTTCTCCTTTGAATTCTCTGATTCTGGCAGCAAAGTTCTTCACATGAATTTCTAAGTTGTGTAAATCAGATATTTGATCTCTAGTGAATTGAGGTCTTAATACGGTTTTCGCAATTTTCCATTTTGGTCCTTCGGTTGCAAAAATACCGTCCCCTAAAAGTGGCTTAAAAGCTTCATGTCTATAACCAATGGAGAAATCTTCAAATTGATGGTTAACCACAGCCTTGATGTTTTCTATACTACAAGTATAAATCAAATCTTTACCTAATAAGGTTTGTCTTAAAGTTTCAGTATTATAATCAATGAATAAATTTCTTTGCATTTGTAAATCACGTCCTTCATTTCTGTATGCAAATAATTTTTTGGCATTTTGGATACCGAAGTAATCGTGTTTAATCCTTAAAACTTCCTGACAGTTCCATTTATTACTGAGGTACAAGCTATGTAACTTTTTGACACAAAATATTAAAGCTAAAAGGGCCGATGCTAAAATAATGATGACTTTTTCACTGTATTGATAAATCATTATTGAATAAATAAATAAAAAATCACTGGGAAGTGGTTTTATATATGAAAATTAAGTTTTGTAAAAAGACACAATTTAATTGGAAAAATTGCAGTAAAAAGTTAATTTATCAAAATCCAGGGAAACTTAATTATTTATAGGGAAATTATATAATCGGGATGTTTATGTAAATGGACTTAACAACGAAAAATACTGGAAAAGGAGATAAAATGGCATTTTTATTTTTGAATTTAAACAATAGAGTGGATCTGTAAATGCTAACCTGTAAACAATTAGTGCGCATAGTTAAGGCCAGGAGGGAAAATTTTTTATAGACAGGTTAGATAAATTTGAGGTGAATCTGTGCGTATGTACAGGATAACCTGTAATTTAGATCAATGCCGACATTAATAGGGAAACTCGGTTAACAACCTTCTTCCGTTGAAGAATTGGATCCCTGTGGAAGAAAAACAAAGGATCATATTAGTAAGGATAATTGTTGATGTCGAATTTCGTAAGTCATGAAAATTTATTAAACTTTACGTAAACCTTTTGGAGCAAGATCAAACTTTAAACCCTTTGAACTTTTAACTTTTTTAATGTGTAGGCAAGAAATGTACCTGTTAATGTATGTCCTTGACAACTAGTAAGCAATTGATTTGAAAAATATTCGAGAAAAATCAATAACCTGTAAAATGCTCAAGGGATTGAAAATTAATTGGCCACAATTGATCAAAGAGAGATTGGATTATCCGAAACTCTTTAACAAAGCCCGAGACCAGGACTTATGACAGTCCAAAAAATATTTCTTTTCTGGTAAATTTAGGTCGATCTTCGGTTAAAGTTGTTGGTGAAGGATTATAAATTGGTTGTATATATATATTTTTCTGGTCTGGATCCAAGATCCTTTGTTCCTGCGAGCTCCTATTTACAATCAGATCTCCCCTTGAAGTTCGTGCAAGATACCAGATCTAGCAATTTCTGTTTTAAATAACTCTACATTGACAATAGAACAGGGTATTAATTGACTAAAATTGCGCTTTGTCAAATAAGTTCTATTTAATTGTAAATGGTATAAATTTGGTGGTAAGCAAACCTTGGAAATTGGTTCTGTTGACCTATTCAAGTTGAATTTTATGAATGTAACGGTTTTGGGTAAATCGTTAATCACTTCTAAGTTGAGGTTATTCCGTGAAAGATCTATGAATTTCAAATGTGGTGTGTTCAAGGAGATTTCTGAAATCTTATTGATCAGTATATCCAAATATGTCAACACAGGTAAGTTCAAATGGATTGTTTCAATCGAATTTGATGATAAATTCAAATGCTTTAAGTTGTCGGCCGTAATTTCTATTTTAGATATGAAATTCTGTAATAAATTCAATCTTTTCAATTTAGGTAAATCTATTACCAAATCTGTCAATTTATTCCAACTTAAATCCAACTCTTCTAAACTTTCAGGTAAAGGGCCAAGTTTTTGTAGCCTATCAACCATTTTCAATTTCTTAAGATATTTAAGACTCTCTAATTCAACATTACAATTACAGTTTTTGATCTCAAATTCTTGCAAATAAGGAGGAAGTTCAAATTTATTCAGTAATTTGCAATTTATTAAAGTAAGCTGCTTCAAATTGGGTAATGGAAGTTTTTTAATCAAGCTCCCATTCAAGGTCAATTGTCGTAAATTTGTTGGTAACACACACTCCAAGACTAAATTTCCACTCAAAGCTAAGGATTTCAAATGGGGGTAATCCAACTGTTTGACAACCTCATAGGTCTGACTCGATGTTGCAAAACTGAAATGTTCTAACCTTTTATGACCAAAGTCTCGGAGGGACATGGTATCACCCTCTACAATCAACTCTTTGAGATTATCTGGAAACTGAACGTAAGATTCAACATGGTCAATTTTCAATTTTGAGACACTAGTCGGTATTTTTAAATCAGAACCATACACTTTCCCGACTTCAATCTGCTTGAGCTTAGGAAATTGTTCATAATTAATGATATCGTTAGACTTGACAGAAATCACATTCTCATTACTCATAGACTCTTCAAAAGTTGTTTTGAAATCTGTTACTTCTATCTCCTGGATTTCACTCGATAACCTTAAGTCACCGATTGAACTCAAAAATGAATACAAATGATCATTCTGTCCAACATACAACTTAATTTTTACTTTTCCTGAAATTTCAATAATTTTGCAACCATTCAAAATTGAAAAGCTCTCTAGTATTAATGGCAACATTTCGTGATCGAACGATACAAACTTGGGGAAGACCCTATACTCTACTAGGAACTTCAAAAAATCCACGTTGTCTATGAAAACTTCACCATAGTAATGTTCGACCACCAAAGATCTCAAAACTGGGGTAGACAAAAGTGGAATCAACTCCGATTTAGTCAAGTATCCAAAGATTTCTACAATAAGATCATATGATAAATTCAACATGATAATTGTGACTTCGAAAGCAGTATTTATGTTCAAAAGATTTTTTAAACCAGAAGACAGGTTAGGATGGTAACTATTATGGTTATACCTCACTGGTTGCGAAATGATGAACTTTAAGTACTTCGACTAATCACGGACGGAGATTGTGATAATATGTCCACAATGTCTCTGGACTCCACATTGACGGAAGATTGAGATGAAGGGAGAAACCATTTTTACCAAGTTTATGATACCAAATTGTCTCAATCTTTATACTTCATTGGTACTACGATGGCCCTATGGACTTGATATGTGGTCATGGTTGGAGCTAACTTAGTAGTCAATTGGAGATGGATTGAAAGTTTGGTTGGAATTTTTTGAATGACTAATCAAAGCCACTCGGTGTGAAGATGTCGGCCAAAATCAATATAAATAAAAGATGCTTATAAACGTCTCTAATCGCCGCTACCAAAATATCGCGACCCTATGTCAACAGTCAACTCATTCATTTCCCATACTGACCATCTACCGTCAGATATAATCAGATCACTTTGGCTCCTACAGTCGATCAATGTGTCTCTTGATAAGAATCATGAGATTTTAGGATCACTTCAAAAACAGCTACAAGAATCAAAGATCACCTTGGATGATTTCAAATCTGAGTATAGTAAGATAAGTGAAAAATTGAATCTGTTAGCTGATGAGTCTATTGAAGAGTCTAAAGCATTGAATAATCAATTGATCATATATAATGTTTCGTTGGATGGCGAGATCGGAAGATTGAATCATTGGAATTCTAAGAAAACACGAGATTCTGTGGAGTTCAAGAATCTCCGAGATAAATTGAAAGTCCATTACAAAGAGAATCCATTGACCTCCCAAAGAGAAGCATTGATTGAAAAGCAAAGATATGATGAAAACGAAAAGTTGATCATCAGAATACCCAGTACCAAACTGATCAAAAAGTCACCAAAATCAAAGAAATTCACGTCAAAGCATAAATTGAAAAAGATCACAACTCCCACAAAACAAAGATCGCATAGAATCAAACCAAATGTGGAAGAAATCCAAAAACTGGACATGTTAACCCCACCCCCAGAGCCAGTATTTATTGCACCTCAAGCTGACGAAGAGAAATATTGTTTCTGCAAACAAGGATCGTTTGGAGATATGATAGGATGTGATAACGAGAAGAGTTGTCCAAATGGAGATTGGTTTCACTACAAGTGTGTTGGATTGACCAAAGTTGAGGGATTGAAGTATGCTTCTGGAGGTTCTAAATGGTTTTGTAGTGATCACTGTAGAGAGGTTGTAGAGAATCGTAATAAGAAGAAGAGGAAAAAGAGATGGTAATGAATAACGAAACTAAATTGGATAATGTACATTAAAACTTCATTAAATTGCTAATAACTCTAACATTCCTTTCAATTCATTGGCTTCCTTTGATTTTTTGATTTCGACTTCGATTTTCTTGAACAAATTATTGAATAATTCCAATAAATCACTATTGTTCAAAATAAGATTGTTATACAAATCAAAAATTACTGACAAATAATCGGAAATCAAATTGAAAGATCTGATGTCTTCAATATTTTTACTAAACCACGATAAAATGGTTATTAAGGAGATCTCATCTCTATTTTCTAAAGCTGACTTGATCTTACCTCTTTTCTTTAATTCATTTAAAATGATGATTGTTTGTTCTTTGGAAACACCATTGAGGAATCCATTATCTAAGGCTTCTGACCATTTGAAACCATTTATTAATTTTTCAAAACTTCTGGTAGTTTTGGATGTTTGAGTTTGTGATTGACTAGAATTTATGAACTTATGCTCTTCTTCTCCTTGATAATCCATTCCTCTTAACATTCTACTATATGCATTGGATTTTATTTGTTTTATACCTTGTTTAACTCTAGCTTCGGTTTTTCTTGTTCTAATGGATATTAAACCAGATGTTAAACCCGTTACGAAATGCTTATGATCATTCTCTATTGGTGAAACTCCACAACTTAAAACTCCACCACTACCAAATTTCCAACCGAACTTAACATTCCATGAAGCATTGGAGTCGAAAATTTTAACATGTCCATCTAATGACCCTACTAATAATCCTTTATCTCCTGTATTATGTAAGGTCATAGCAGTTTTAGTGAAATTGTTTAATTCATTGATTTGTTTGTTCATGGACAAGTCCCAAATCTTCACTTGTGGACCACCTGCTGATATCAAAGTAGTGGAACTGAATCCCAAAACATCTTCGATTGGAGCCCCATGATTAAATGAAGTAACTAAATCTTTCGATCTGACATCGAATACTCTGACAATTCCATCATAACACCCGGTAGCTACTAAGTTTGGATTACTTGGAATGAAATCTCCCGATCTTATATAATCTTCATGATAAGAATCATCAAATTCAACTATTGGACCGGTGGTGGTTTGTGAGATGTCATATAATTTTAAGATTCTATCATCTGAACCTGTGACTAATTGGTTACCAATGCTAGGATGAAATTTGGCTAAATGTGTTGGATAACTTGAAGGATTCAAACTCACCAATAAATTTCTTGGTTGGTAACTATCATAAATTGAAACCAATCCACTTTTATCAGACGCTACTAATAATTTACCATCGAATCTGAATTGGCCTGATAAAACTGTATCCTTGAACCTGGAAAAAGTCTTGATAACTTGTCTGGTTTTACTTGAAAAGATTTGAATTCTTGTTGAAGATACTACCGCAAAATCATAAGGAGAAACGGGATTGAAATGTATGGAATTAATAGGGTGATTCTCTTTGATTAATTGAGGTGACACGAACCCTCTCCAGTATCTTTGTTCAGGAGTCGTTTGTCCCGGTAACGTAGCGTTCCTTACTGGTGTAATCCTTGGTTTACTAGATGACATGAGATGAGACTTAATTCTGAAAAATTTTGAGACTTCATAGGCTCATCTCATCACGTGATGAAATATATAGATTCCAATGATTTATTCAACAGAGGTTATAAAGGAGAATGAATACATTGGATATCGTCAAAAAAAGACATCATAGTTGAGTCAACCCAACACTGGGGTGCTCAATCTTCGAAAACCTCTCATTATTCAGCTCTACTGTTGAAAAGTCATTGAAAAAACACTTATGAATCGGATCCAGTTAGTTCAAACTTAATGGATGGTCTCTTTGTGGATCAGACTATCTACACAATCACACATTATGAATATAATGCGTTCCAAATTTTTATGACCACAGAGCCCTTATCCAAATGTTAGTTTTGACCAGAGATTTGAAATATGTCGAAACTGACGACTTATTGAAGGAAGAAGTAGAAGTTCAAGCCCCAATTGCTTTCAAAGACAATGATTTGAAACCAATTTTAGAAAATTTCCAATACGAAGGAGATTCAATCTCTGATGAAGTAAAAAAATTGGATTTTAAGATTGGTGCAGGGGTTTATTTCGATATTGACAAGAACCCCCATGAAGATGAAGAAGAGGACTGTGAACCGGAACCCAAGAAGAAAAAGTTTTGGTTTTTACCATTCTCTGTTGATGGTTCTAACTTAAGAGAGGGGGAAGTTACGACCATGACAGTAGATTCCAATTTAGTTGTTTCTACTGTTGATGAGCAAGGTGGTTTATTCCACTATAAGCCAGTTGACAGCAAAGGATTACTGGGAGCTATTTCAGATAGTCAGGATGAAGAAGAGACAGAAGACAAACAGGAAAAAACCTATTCCAATAAAACCAATGCGACAGTTTTCAGTCAATTCGACCAAGACTGTGATAGTAGAGGTAGTAGACTCGGATTATTCAGCTGTTTATTAATCGGTTGTTTAATGGCACATTATTTATAATCATCAAGATTATATTCTATCAACATTTATTTAGCTTTTTTAGACAATATTATATTGATTGCAAAGGTTTGCTTATTCCTGTAAGGCTTTCAATCGTTCTCTCATTTCATCTAAAGCTTCATGATCTTCTTCGATGTCTTGAACGGGTTCTGGCTCTTCAAATCTAGTTTGTGGTACTTCATTATCGATTTTATTGAACTCTTTAGCTGTCAAATCTTCAATTATCTTATTAATCTCTTCTTGACTTTCATCTTCTAACTCTTCATCCATATCTAAGTCCACCATATCATCCATCATCTCATTTATAATCCCAGATTTCATCAATTCTTTTTGTAATTCTTGCATTGTTCCCGACACAACTCCTAAATGAACCAACGAATTCACATCTTTCATAACAATCGTAGATGATTGCAAAGAGCTGGTCAACTTGTTCATTGACCATTGTTCATTTATGGTCATGTTAATGGAATCGATTCTTGTTTTAGACAAATGTAATTTATTATATTGTTTCTTTATGTTTTGTAACTCTTTGGCATAAATTCTGGCACTTTTCAAATCTTTGTCTTTAACAGATTTTTTTATTAATCCTTCAGTTTTCTTCTTAAGTGGTTGCAATTGATTCATAGAACGATCCAACTCTCTCTTATTCTTTCTTAAAAGCAGGTTTATCTTTCTCATCTAATTAGTTAGTATCGTGATGTTTATGGAAGATGACGTTCTGAATGAAAATCGAAACCCAGCATGACTATACAAGCATCATAGGGATTCCGATTATAACGTTTAATCAAGGACATACTTGTTCTTTGGGGTCAGGACCCCATATGGCTTTCTTTATATAATCCATCAAGGAGTGCGGATTTGAAAATTTCCAGTCATGAATACTGAGTATATCTTATTGATCTTGATTGGGTTCTTTGTACCCCCTGTTCCTATCTTCCTTTTGGATAAGACCATTTTCTCCAAAGAATTTTTAGTTTCAGTACTTTTGACTCTTTTGGGCCATCTTCCAGGAGTGTTATTTAGCATTTATTACATCGTTATTGAATTTCCTAGAAGACATAGACAAAGAGGATATAGAAATTTGGATGAAGAGAATAGAAATCAACCAGAACAACATGAAAGTGAAGAACAACAAAGTCAACCTTCAGTTTATGTTGGCGAGCAAACACAAGGAAGTTACAATGATATTCCAGAACCTGTAGCTGGGGGATCTGATGCTCCTCCTCCCAATTACAGTGACGTTGTTACAGCTGAACAACAGCAACAAAAACTAGTGGATACCAAATCTGCTGACAATAAAATCCAAACTTAGGCCGTTTCAACTTTTGTTGTTTGAGCTCGAAGTTGGAAGGGACCGTGGGACACTTTAAATAAAAGGAGTAAAGGTTTTAGGATTATATATTATGTTTTACAGACATGACTCTCTACTCTTAAGACAAAGCAACCATAGCTTTGGCAGCAAAACCTTCTAAATGAAATATGGATTTAGATCCTAAACTTAAACGATTATCGAAGGTTGACCCAATACTGACTAAATCTTCAATTTTATTACTTTCACAAGATTCGAGTAAATCGAATAACAAAGTTTTCAAGATGATTCTGGCAGGAATGCAGTGGGCTAATAATTCGTAAAAAATGACTCTGATTTTACTCAAGTTGGCTACTGATTGATTAGTTAAGATTAATCTGGAGATATTTTTGATTATAATTTCCCAATCCAAATCGATCAAATTTGTGGACAATTGAATGGTTTCATTTTGCATGGATACGGTTTCAAAACAAAGTAAAGCTTTTCTTAAGTTCTGACTGGAATTGATAGCAATTTTTTCAAACAATTTTAATTTTTCACTTTCTTCATTAACACTGAATTTCAAATTCTCTTTGGTAGCCACATTATTCAAAATCTGGGAGATTTCACTCACTGAAGGAGCAGGTATTCTTACCAACAAAGTTCTTGATTTGATGGGTGGTATTATATTAGATGTTGTATTGGAGATCATAATTAATCTGATATTTGAAGAATACTTTTCCATGGTTCTTCTTAATGCTGCTTGGGCATCTCTAGTCAAGGAATCAGCTTCATTGATTATAACCACTTTAAATCTATGCTTGATACCTTTCTGTTGAGATGTGAAGTCTACTTGTTCAGTCGATGCAATATCTTTCAATAAATCTTGAATGACCACTCTATCATTATTCCCCATATCACTAGGGGTGATCTCCAAATGATAAGGAGAACTCAACACATTAAATTCTAACTTCCTGTTGGATGAAGTTGTGAAAGTTTTAACATCGATCTTTAACTTTTCAACTTGACTGCCGAATAATTCATGTAAAGTTGCATAAACTCTGGTTTTTTTACCACTTCCACTAGGTCCATAGACCAATAAATGAGGAAAGTCTCCAGTACTAGCTAAAGCACCCAAGTTCTTGGTTATAGACTCGTGGAAGGAAAGTTTGTTTAATGTTTTAGGTCTATACTTATCTACCCATAAACTCATGACGCGTTAGGATGGATTCGCTCTGAAAATTGAGACTAAGAGAAAAGTTACATGAAATACTACATTAAACCCAAAATACAAATATCTATAAATCATCGTTCTCAGCGTTACTGGAATAACCAGGGTATACCGTTGAGGTAAACCTATGTACAAGTTGAAATAAGAATTGATGCTAAATATCATTAAGCTCTATTTAGAGCATCTTAGCAGTACTGATAATTACATATTGAACATACTTCGTACAATCATCAGTACTAAACTTACTTTTTTGGTTCAGTTCTGATGAAATGGTTAGCACATTCATAACCGGTAGGGTTCTTTTGTAAATATTTTTGGTGATAGTCTTCAGCATCATACCAAACTTTAATAGGTTCGACGTAAGTAACAATTTTATGGTTAGGATAGAAGGTTTTTTGGATTCTTTCTTGAACGGCCGTAACGACAGTTAAATCTTCATCATTGTGAGTCATGATAACTGATCTATATTGAGTACCGATATCAGCACCTTGACTATTTAAAGTAGTTGGATCGTGCATTCTGAAAAAAATGTCAATGATATCGTCAAGTTTCAATGTGGATGGTTCATAGGCAATTTGAATGGATTCAGCAAATTCGGTCTCTCCAGTACAGACTTGACGGTAATTAACATCACCAATATTTGGTTTACCATTAGCATAACCAACTTTGACATCAACTAAACCTTTACCAGCGAATTGTTTTTGGAAAACTTTTTCAACACCCCAGAAACATCCGGCAGCTAAAGTGATGAGTTTGGAAGTGGTGGTGGTCTTTAAAGTGGGAGATACTACTGATGGAGACATCTTAATTTGAATTATCAGATGAGATTTCTGACTAATTATATATCGCGAATTTGCTGTCATATCACGTGACGATAAACGGAATTGATTCCGAAGGTGAATGATGGTTGATGTTAGGTAGTGCTGATTCAGAGTTAAGGTCATGAAGCCCATATATTATCTATTTACGTTTAAAACCGAAAATCAGTTTCTTTCTTTCCTTTTCTGGTTCCTTCGAAGAACTAGAGCTCAAACTTGATTTTCTTTCCTTTTCCACTTTCAGTTCTCTTCTTAAACTACCTACCCAACTCTTACGTTCTTTTACTTCATTCACAGGACTAGGAACACTTGATCCTGGATTGGAGGGTATGGACAATTGAGGAATGGAAGGTTTTTTGGTAGCTGATGGAGTGTTGGAAGAAGTTGAAGGGGCTGTAGGCGGGATCGATGGCAAATTGGAAATATTGGAAAATGATGACATTGAAGGAGTATTGGAGTCATCTAATTTGAAATTCTTCTTGAACAAATTCTTTCTGTCGTCATTCTCTATTGAGTGAACATCAGCAAAGGGGTTGGGTGAATTGGAGGCACTGTTGACAGTGGGGTTAATGGTGGTATTGGAAGTATTCGAATGATTCTGAGAATTTGAATGATTCAACGAATTACCCGATGATTGACTGTGATTAGAAATTACCGAATTCGAATGTGCATGATAGTCATTACCATTGAATAAATCCTCTACGTTGAAACCAAAATCTAATTTGGACTCTTCACCTTTTTCCAAATAATCACATTTCTGATAAAATAAGATATAAGCACTAGCTAAACCAGGCCCTGTACCAAAGAATTTCATAACGAAAGATTCATCTACCATCTCTACAGTTTCATCATCGAATAACATCCACATCTTGGATTTGACCTTACATAACGATATATAATGTCCATGCATTGGTCCTCCTCCGATATGGATCACCAAAGAATATAACTCATATAACTGGAATTCATCTGACGAAGTGTTGAATAATCTCAACTTCAAAGGATACGATATTGAATCAAACAATTTAACCATCTTATCTAACTTATCGTCATATTTGAATCTCTTGAAGTTGATGATCAAAATCTCAGGTAAAGATTTGATTTTGATAGTCTTAATGGCTTCTTGTAAGGAAGAACATGAATTACAATAGAATTTATTCTGATGAGTCAAAACTTCTGATTTGGAGAAATTGTTCAAGGAATGAGTTAAAGAATTGGAATTAGAATGTGGTGGAACATCTACTGATAAATCTAAGAAAGTCTCTTCCTTGGAAGTGATGGTTTCACAACTCAAACATTTAGTTTCATTAGTAATAACACCTTGGAATAGTCTATTACACCAATTATTACCGAAATCTTCTTTATTCAAACTCTCAATGATTTCATTGATCAAGTAATTACAAAACTCATGAGCATCATGATGCATATTGTTTTGTCTGAAGAGGTAGTTCTTTTCCTTCAACTTATTGATGAAGTAATTAGGAGAAACTACTCCTATGTTAGATCTATTCTCCACCATACATTCGAAAAGATCTTTCAAAGCATATAATAATGCAGAATCATCATTTTGTTCTGATGGCAATTGTAAAGAATGATCTAGATTAATAATAGGACCGTTGATCAATGCCGACCTCTTCCTCTGGTCAGATGTGGGACTTTGGTTGAAAGGATTTATAGGGTTTTGAAGATTGGTTTCCGGATAAGGTATACCAATAACTATGTAACTTGACTGGGAAGAAATCACACCATCATTTTTCGTTTCGTTATTCTGATTGGTTTCACTCAAAAGCATCGATGAACTTTGACTGTAGTCATTCTTAGATGATGCTTGTTGCTTGTTTATGGTATTCTGTGAAGGTCTTGTTATCATGATTTGAAGATTCTGAAAATCTTCATCTTTGGAAACAAGAATTTTCTGTTCATTAGATAAAAATTCACAGTTTTTTAAGTCAAAAATGAAGTTATTAGGAACATTGTTCTCTTGGAAATTTGCCAGACCGTTGGTAGATGAAGCATTATTGAATTTGAGTCCAAAGATCGATCCTTTTCTTGATGATTTGGGTCTATCTTCACTTATAGTCTTTTGTTGTTCTTTCAAACGTTTCTGTACTAACATTTCATATTTATTGGTAAAATTATGAGTCTTTATACCAAATAAGTTGGTCTTTTTATCATGTTCAGTTATTTTGTGGGATATTAACTCTACTCTGAATTTCTCAGTATAATATAGACACTGAAGGATGGAATTACAGTAACATGTATTACCGAAATTCTCCATTCCAAAGATTTTATTGGATCCATCACCAAAGGGAAGTTCGTTTAATTTGACTTCCATTTCAGTTTTAGTCATTTTGATGGTTCTTTCCCCTATCGCTCCAACAATTGAGGTCTCATCCGCACTGACATCACGTGATCCAAAAGATGGGGAATAGGAGAGGATAAGGGGTTGTGGATTGACAAGTTTGATGGAGCTGGTGATGACTTTGACGTGAAGAGGGGGCTAAGAAACAATGAAAGAGTTGATGGGTTTTGATTTTGGAAGATCAATAGGAATATTGGGTTAGAAAAGATGTTCACTCTCTAGGCGGGCCCTAAATATAAACCTCACGATTTGACATTTTCAACCAAATCATTGATCACCTCATATTTCTCACATGGAAGATTCATACCTGTAGATTCAATGTTCAATTTCACCCTCTGGCCGACACATCTCTCCTTATTATTCTGATCATAATGGTGTGAAATGTACATTTGATGCCTCTCGAAACTACGCGAACTCAGTCATGCAAGTACGGTGTTTGAGTTGTAGGAAATTAAAGATAGGGTGTGATAAAGCAAGGCCCAAGTGTGAATATTGCCGTAGTACAGGACGAGAGTGTGTTTATGTTGAAAGACAGAAGAAAACCAAGGTCAAAAAAATCACCAAAGCTAAAAAAAACATAGATAAGATAGATGATAAATTGAATGATATTTTGAGTTGGGAATTACCCGACAATGGATCAATTGAAGACTTTAATCTTGACGGATCGAAATCAGGATCTGAATCCGTCTCAGGATCCGAATATATGCTCAATACAGATTCTTTTGATAGTCAATCGGTATCGGGAGAGTCAGTAGAACTAGAATACTGGAATGATCTAACTATCCCCGCTGTGAACGATCTTAACTGTGGTCATATACAACTAGGGATCCTGAAATTTGAATATAGATTATTAGTGACATTCCCCAGGCTATTGATCGGTGATAAAATCGATTGGGCACCTCATGAACAAATGAATCCTATGGAACAAATATGGCTCACGGATATACCCAGTTTATGGCAAGAGAGTTCCATCATACGAAACAATATATTTTCCTTGACATCAATGATCTTATATCGTCTTACCGACGCCAGTGAATTGATATTGGAAGATTTGGGCCCCACTGCAATATACCAAGGTTTTAAATATGATATATCTGAAGACCAGGATCAAGGATGGAATGGTGACTTCATAGACAAACTAATATCACCACCTGAAAGTCCGGAGTCAATTGGAAGTGTAAAGTCACCCAAAGTCCCAGATGCCTTGGTGAAAAACGAATTATATATCAAGACATTGTCTTATTTCAATGACTCGATTAATCAAACATGTACCACCATAGACCAAATACTAGCTAAAGATGAACTTGAAGTGTTTGAAGCAGCAGAGGTGTCATTTTCAGCTTTGCTTCTATTCACATTCCTTGGTCTTCAAGATTTCAACCTTGTGAAATTAATAAATTTCGAACCAAATCAACCTCTTGATTTAGTAAGTCTTGTGAAAACCATGAAACCAGTGATTGGAAAATCTTTCCCTGTTTTATATAATACCAAATATCATAGGATATTCTATCTAAGTGAATTGTTAAGTCCTAAGATCGATGTAATTGAATTCCCCATCATTGAAAATCTTAGAAATTGGGTTTATAACTTTGAGTTCGATGAGAAGTATAAACAGGCTTTCGGAAAGATTCTTAGGGCCATAGAGATCTTCAACTTGTGTTTAACGAGAGGATTGAAAGAGAACGAAGGTTCATTGGTTGTAAGATGGATATTCTTACTTGATTTCAGTGTTTATGATTTGATGCTCAACCACGATGTAATAGGATTGAAGCTATTGAATTTTTATTCGTTCGTATGTGTAGTGAATGGGTTTCAAATAAAAAGTGGGATTTTCCACGAATATATGGATTGGTATATCACCAACCAAGATTATGATAGTGAAGATTTGATTTTATTCGATTACGTGAAAAAGAATAAAAGAATTACCATGGAGGAATTAACGGAATTCAATCCAAAGCATAGAAGAAGTTAATAATATACAAATATATACACCTATTCTTCCTACTCTGATAAGATTTTTGCAGCATAAGATGTCGCACATTTCGGAGTCAAAAGGTCGAATGGCAGTCACAAGCGACAAAATCTCCCAATCGCCAAAGGTGCGAATTTCAGGTGGGGCGAGACGTGTCGCGGAAGGTCGTGGAAAGATGTAGAAAGTTGCTTTTTTCCTTCCACCTTCTTTTATTATCCCACGTGAGGATAAGAGTCATTAGGGATAGACTTAGTTCAGATCTTAGTGTCATTTACTAGTGACGTTAAAGTTAAAAAGCTCTAGTACACAACTTAGTCATTAAAAACTTTAATTGAGCCCATTAGAACATTAGTAATTTTGACGGTGGGGTGACCGTTGAAATTATCCGAAATAACCTCTTCTCAAGATTATAGGGGGGGCCATGATTTTTTTTTTCATTATCAGACCCTACAAGGTCTTATCTCTCTTGTAGTATCTAAAGATATGACTATATGTCTGGGGCATTGAAAAGGAATTAGAGTCAATTGATAGAGATAAGTAATAAAGGATGTATATCTATTAAATTTATAACATTACATTACAATATTCACCCCTAAGGAGAAGAAACAAAACATCTTTTAAGGTATTCTATTAGAAAAAATATGCTATAATATTACAGTTAAACCAAGAAACAAAATAAGAATATTAATAAGTGGTTAAACTTATAAAACTAAAGCAACTAAACCGGCAACACCAGCACCTAATAAACCAGTTGAGACTAAAGCAGCACCGGAATCATCATCTGATGAACCGTTTGAACCGTTAGAACCGTTTGAGGCGTTGGCAGCTGAGACAGCAGTGATAGCAGTTAAAGCGACTAAGACAGATTTGAATTGCATTTTTGTTGAGTTGTGATGAAGAAAAAATTTTTAACGGGAAAATCTCACCTTTAAATACTTTTCCTCCTGAGATTTTTCCTTGTCGTCGCGACATTCTTTTCTTTTGACGAATTTTACTGAGCCTCAATTTTTATTTACTCTTTTAGACGATGTCAGTATTTGGAGGTAACGACTAATAATGAGTAACTATAAGAATACACAATAATTAACCGAGTAATAATAATGATTTTTTATTATTAAATAAGGAAATTTTCCAAGTTTATGAAAACTAACAGTTTCCAAAGTCAAGGAAAGGTACCATCTAATGTCAATTCCTAAATTGGATAATTAATTGGATGTATTCCATTATTCCCAAATAGGCAATATTTTACATTTTTTGCAACCATAGCAAGCGATGTATTATCTTTTAATTTAATATTACGTAGTGAAATTAACTTATGTAACGGATGAAATTATCGATTCAATAAACATGTTTCTGGTATTTGGACAATGTTCTATTGAAGAAAAACCTTATTGATCTATTTGATTGGTAGTGGCGCATTCATATCTTTGCATGCATTTATTGAAGGGGTAGGTGCATCAAGAAGATGATAAGGGTTTAGGGAGTTAGAGTATCGAGAAGAGTAGATTTTAAGTAACATATAGACATCCCTGTTGGTTACAAGTATTTTTAGATTCTAAGGGTTTACGGACTTGTTCGCAAGGTACAGCCTCCCCCTGAGAGATGACTTTGGGGTCTTAATTTGGGGTCTATATTTGGGGATCTTTTGGTCTAAAATTATATATTATATTTACAAATGCTTAATTCTCGTTATTATTCATGCCAATTACCTTATTTACTTCGTTATTGAAATCCTTCATTTTCTTGTAAGTTAATTTGAATTGGGGTGGTTTTTCATGGAGTTTTTCTCCTTTAAAGATTGAATCCATTTCTCTGGTATGGAAACTTGTTGATTGTCTTGTGATTAAGTATTCTTGAAGTATTTCTTTATCTTGAATAAGATTGACGTAATCGTTCTTGGTCAACTTATTTATTTGAAGTTTTTCGATTTTTCCAATGACTCTTTTTTGTAATGAATGAGAATCATCTCTTTGCTGTAAGTTTGGAGAATCGGGATTTTTATCTAAAAGCCACTTTTTAGGATCATTTATATAATCCAATACCTTTTGAGTAACCACCCATATTCTTAAATTCTTCAAATAAATATAATCCTTGTAATTCTTGTCACTAATGGAATTGATATTATATTCATAATCCAAAATGTTCAAGAATTTATTTGGGATGTAAGTTTTTTGATCTTCGAAATGAACTTCTATCAAGGGACTTATTTCATTAATAGCGGTGAAATGGTTATTTCTACAATGAGCGGCTTCAATATCTTTATATCTTCCTGGTTTATTTTCATCAGTTATAGCTAAACCAGTGATATCAATGAATAATCCAGTATCCACATCAATGAATCTAGCATCGATATTGTTAGCTCCATTACCCTTCTTACGATGAGTAATACTACTACTAACATCAACAAAATACTTAGAATATCCACTATTAACATCTTCTACGATAAGTGATTGATTGAACCTTTCAGATAATTTATGTAATTCTGAAATAGGCATTTGAACATCAATATCAGTGTCCCATGGGAAAATGAGTCCATTCCAATACCATGACAATAATGAACCATGTGCAATCCAAGTAATGATACCTTCGTTATGACAAAATTTCAAATAATTCTTGATCAATTTATATAAAGTAACCATTTGATGATCCTCCCCAATAGCCAAACCATTGAAAAATCTCCAATCATAATGTTCACCTACCCATCTTTCTTCATACTTATTAAGTAATTTGGTTTCAAAGAAATATTTATATGGATCATTAGTTGAAACTGAATATTCAAGAGCTTTTAAATAAGTTTCTTCCACAGCATTACGGTTCTTATCTTTCAATTCCTTGATTTTGTCTTCAGCGTTGAACTTATAGTCTTTTTCGGAGATATCTGAATGCTTGGTAGATGACAGTTTACGGGATTTCTTGAAATCATCATATTTGTTCAAAAGATCCTTCTCGGTGAACTTACCTAATTGGGAATCTTCTACGTATTTATTGTATAATAAACCCTTTTTTATATCGTTATCATTGTTCTTGATCTCTATATGATGATCACCACCATCTCCCAATAAAACCATTTTAAGAGGAGGTGGGAATGAACTGTAAACGTAGGATTTCCCTAAAATTTCATTATTTTCAAGAGTCTGTTGATAAGGAGGGTTGGTAATTTGGAAACCCAAGCCTGATTTCACATCTTTACAATAATCTTCAATAGACAAAACGTGTTCACTGTCTTTTGTTAATTCTTCATCTCCTTTGATATCAAATTGGTCACACGACTTCTTATCAAAAATGAATTTATTTAACTTTGAGAAATCTACCCAATCAGCCCAATGGAAGTCAATAGCTTCCTCCTTATGGAGTAAACGATGTAAATACATCATCATAGTGAATCTAGGATCATAAGGTTGAATCAAAGGTTTTACATGGCCTGTTTCGTAAAAAGACGGTATTTCTATAACTTCAAAGGTATCAGATTCATCTACACCTCTTTCATTAATGTTCACTATAAAATCTTCATCTCCAGCATATTTTGTTTTCATATGTTCTACCATTGATTGGAATGTTGAATCATGATCGAGATCATAATCAAAATGTAAAAAATTTACATAAAAATTATTCAATTTGATATTCAACAGCTTTTCGAATTCAAAGCCATATATATTAAAGTTCTTAATGATCTTTATTGTTTGAACAACCGATGCAATTACCACAACAGCAATAAAAGTCCTCAAGATGTTTTTCTTCACTTTCACTTTCATTGTTATTTACAAAATTGGGAAAAACTTCTTATGAAGTTGTGAAAAGTATTTAAGGCACAAGAATTGCTCGTGTGAGAAGTTGCCAATATTTTATACTCGGGGATCGTAATGCCCCCGCGCAAACATTGTTTCAGAAATCTTAGTGCCGTAAGAGGATAAGAGCGGGAGGTTTAGCGAGTAACGGGGCCGATTAAATATATTAAAGGCGAGATTTAGTGGTCTTACTTGATTAACTTTATCTCTGTGAGGTTGCTATTTGGGCAACAGCCAGAATCCGAAAAGAGATTACATTGTTTCCGAAAGAGAAGGTTTCGTAATTAAAGATAGGGTATAAGGTTTGAAATCCGTGCCGCAAAACATTTTCTGACAATGTGAAATTAGATATCTAATTCCCTATATAGAACACCTTCAGTGCCTTGAGTTAAATATCCTTTTAAGTCCACACTTGGGTTAAGGTAGTTAATCTCTTCATTACCTGGAATATCATTAAAAGTAAATATGGATGAACTTCCTCCATAAACCACATCAGTTTCAATACCTGTTCTATTACATGTTATAACATTAACAGGCCCATACTTAGGTAGCTCATTATATTTATGATTCATGAAGGGGAAAAATCGTAAGATGTGATAGTTGATTGTAGAAAAATCTGGTCTAGTAGCATCAAATTTCCCCAATTCCTCTAATTTAATATTATCAGCCTTGTTGAAATTATTAATGGGAGCATGGTCAAAATGTTGGAATTCTCTAGAGGCTTTTTCTTTCTCCTCGGTAGTGGTTTTGGTTATTGAAGGTGAATATGGTGACAACCATGCCATAGGACATATTATTAAATCGGATCTATTGTAATAACAACCAGAAGAAAATTCGAATTTATTGAACGGTGCCTCAAATTTATATGGATTCAAATCCATACAGATACCAAAATTTACCCTAGTGGTAGGATAATCCTTTGTGGTATCATTTTTCAAATAATAATCCTTATTTAGTATCACATCCACACTACGAAATGATTTATCAGGATTCTCGCTTGCTCCCCATACTTCATCAGTTTCATAAAGAAATGTTTTATGATAATTATATAAGATTTCTCCAACAGGATTGATTAACTTACATGAATTATAGATTTTATCCTCTATCTTTTCAGCTAATCCGATAACGGTAAAACATTGATATTTTTTCAGTAATTCCTTACCGAAGTTACTAGCAATGGGATTATTAACGGTATCTAAATAAGGAGAAATTGCATTCTCACTATTAAAATTGTACCCAGTAATACTCAATTCAGGTAAAACAACCAAATCAAAAGGTTTATTGATCAGGTCAATTAGTTGACGAATCTTAATTTTGTTACGTTCAATCTCCCCTTTCAAAGGATTAAATTGAATACATGCGACTCTTAATTTCATCGAAGGCTGTCAAATAAAAAATATATATTGTCTACGCCTATTTCCCTCAAAAGCTGTGTCTGAAATGCTACTGATTTGACAATGTATGGGGGCTTTTAAGCTCGCGCGACTTAACATGGCTCAGAATATGTCAAAAGACTACTTGCTAAAATCAACGATCTCTGCCTCCTTTTGAAATAAATAGTTCTTTAAACTTGAACAACTACAAGAGAAAGGTGAAATGTTGTTCAGGAAAGTGAGGTGCCTCCTAGTACTTTTGTTTGTCATATTAACACATTTGCTCATTTTAGCTTACATAAATGATTATACAGAAGTTCCATTAAAGATTTCAGTATCTGCCAATAACTTTTGGAGTTTTTTAAATGAAAATTTTAATGAAAAATTCATTACTCCCTTCCATAATCAAAAGTTAGAAGATGAAGATATGGAAAGGATGTACCTTTTATCCACAGAAATGAATGCAAATGTTAATCAGATTTTGGTACCTGAAATTTATTTATCGGACAATCCTCCACCTTTGATTACCTATGATCCAAGATTGACATCAAGTTTACTTTTAAGATTCTTAGGTGACCGATTAACTTTTGATAAAGATTTAAAAAATTTACAGATACCTTATTTCGATTGGAGTGATTATGTTGATTTATCCCTCTTGAATGAGTTGTTGATCAATCCCGACAAAGCTAAGTGTTCAGACTTTGATATATCAACCGGCAGTGTTGATAGAGATAACAGAAATGAGATTATTGATCCTCGTTACTTCTGTATAGATGATTTTGAGATCGATGATCTCTTGCAACAAGAGGAAATTGATGAAACGAAGAAATTCAAAATCAGGCAACTTAAAGATAAACTCAGTCCTGGGTTTCACGTATTCGGATATGGTGGTAGGTCAAAGAAAGATATGAAAATCATGCATTCCAAATCATATCTTTATGACTTCATGCCTACTCCCTTATCTATGGTACTTCTTCTTCCTGTTGAAATGGATGAAAACGGTGACCAGAAATCTTTGAGTAATGCTTTACAAATCAATATCAATCAAGAAGCTTCAGGATCTAAGAAGTTGATTTCATCATCGTTATTCAAAGATTTCCCAAGACAAGAAAAAGACACAAATTTAGATGCTAAAGCCCAATTGGATTATTTCATGGAACAATTGAAATCCACCGACCATAAAGCTAACCAAGAAATCAATTATACAAGACATTTAAGTCATGACTTATTTGTAGATAACTCCTCGGAGATTTTAGCTTCTTTATTACCTTACAAAGATTCTTTGAACTTACAGGAAAGGAGTTACTTGAATACTCTTGATATGTCATTGAACACTGCTTATGCCCATAAGTATTTCTTTGAAGCCAAGATTTCTAAACAAGAATATAAAAATGAGTTAGGTGGTCATTATGATTGGAGATTCTTCAACGGTATAGTCAATTTCTCCCCAGATCAACCTCCTTTATTGTTTTCCCTTATCAAAGCATGGTTACATTTTGTCAATCAGTATAAACTCAATACCTGGATAGCCCATGGAACGTTATTATCGTGGTATTGGAATGGATTAGCATTCCCTTGGGACATTGATTTTGATGTTCAAATGCCAATACAAGATTTACATTCGATGTGTAAGACCTTCAACCAGTCATTAGTTATGGATCTTGGGAACGATTTTGGAACTCAGGAATTAAGGTATTCCAAGTATTTCTTGGATTGTGGTAGTTACATAAGTCAAAGAAAAAGAGGAAATGGTAATAATAATATCGATGCTAGATTCATTGATGTTAACTCCGGAATTTATATAGATATCACCGGACTTGCTCTCACTGATACTGTGAGTCCTACAAGATACGATAAGATGTTACCTTTTGAGTTACGTAAAAATACAAAAGATGAAACCATTAGTGACCTTCAAAGAAATGAACATTTGAAGATTTATAATTGTAGAAACAATCATTTCCAATCATTGGACGATATAAGTCCTTTAAGATTATCTATATACGAAGGGCAATTATCATATATCCCGAATAATTACAAGTCAATGTTGACTAATGAGTATCAAGCTAAAGCTATGCATTTCAAAAAATTCAACGTCTTCACATTCATTGAACAATACAACCTTTGGGTAGTTACAAAAGAAATGATCCTGTTTGTGAAAAACAAGTATCCTGAGTCCTCTGTGACTTTGAGGAAATATCGTTCCAATAACGTTTTGGGCCAACAGAATCCTGATGCTTTGATAACTAAAGAGTTCAAGAGTGACGACGATTATGTCCAATATCTTTTGGAACATAAAGATTTATTGTTTGAATTCATGATAACTGAAAAGATCACCAAATTCCACAATGAAGAGATGAAGTTATTGAATGAAGGGAAACTGACTGAACACTTATTATTCAAAGATAACAAGTTGAACGTTTCATTTAAACCTTTCCGTCATGATTTCTTTACTTTGAGATCTCACACCGAAGGTAAAAATTTCGTTAGAGATAACGAACAGTTATTGAGGGATATAGAGGAGTGGAAAAAGGGGGGATCTAAGGAACCAGTTGAGCAACAAGAAGTCACAGAAGAAATCAAAGAAGAAGTGAAGGAAGAACAAGCACAACCACAAAAGGAAGAGCCAACGGAAGTGGTAAAAGATTCACAATTAGCATCCAATGGAAACCAAAATCAATTACCTAAACTTCCACCACTCCCACTTCAACAGGAAGACCAACCTGACGTTCCTGATAAACCCGTCCCACCACAACCTCTTCAACCCCTCAAACCCAAAATTCAACCACTTTGATCCTTCAAGCCCCGTATTAGCCAATTTGAAGCTTCAACCACATATGACAGTGTATTATAATAGCATACCTTTAGATTAAAGTCTCTCATTTATAGACACCTCAACCCCTCTTACCTATAAACACCCTCAATTTTTAGGATGGCACCCCTAATAATAAATCAGCCAATGTCGTGGCAGTACCTATTCTCACCTCCAATAAAATCCACTCAAAATTCTCACACCATTTCAAAACTTCAGAACTCATTGAATATTCAGTATGTTTAAAAGATTAACTCAACGTCAATTCGTTAGATTCAACTCATTAGGTGTTTCTAAACACATCAATGAAGCTGCATTCCACCCATCAAAAATCAACAAAGCTGCTGGTGAAGCTTTCGTCAAAGAATACACCGAAAAAGTTCATCACTCGGAAGCCGTCACTAAATTATGGAAAAGAATCACTTACATTGTTGCTGTTCCTGCTTTAATAGCCACTGCTATCCCAGTCATCAACATTGAATTAAAACACGCTAAACATAGAGAACATTTAGCTCACCTTCCAGATGAAGAATGGCCAGTTCAATACGATTACCAAAACATTAGATCAAGAAACTTCTGGTGGGGTGATGGTGACAAGACTTTATTCTGGAACTCATCCGTCAACAGACACATTACTGAATAGATTAGGTTAGTATTGCACGAGTAGATGTTAATTAACGATATCGGAGATTTTTGTAAACCTCTTTTTCTTTCCTCTAGCCTTGGATACGACGGACTGTCATTGGGTTGTCACAAGCACTATCAATTGAATGGAAGAGATGGATGTTTTTAGAGACTATCAACCCAGGCTGCCTATTGAGGCTTTTCCTATTGAGGCTTTTCCTATTGAGGCTCTCCATCAAAAGCACCCATTCGAATAGCTTCAAAAAACATAGTAGAAAGTAATTATCAGCAGAATATGCATTAAAGAGTGGAAAATATGAATAAGTTATTCGTTGCTGCTATGGCAACGGAATTCTCCTGAGGATGCCATGATAAATGAAGTATACTCTTTTTGAAATCAATATTATCGAAATTTTGGGATAAATCAAAATTATCATTTATCATTCTACGTCTCATTAAACCATTATTAGAACCCATTTTTCTTGTTTTAAAAGCTGATTTATCAGCAGTTAAAATGATCTCTTCTTGATCTTCATCATCATACTGTGAACTAATTGGAGATTGTGGGAAAGAACCTTCAACATTTGGAGAAGAATTATTTGAAATTTCATCATCTTCATCATCTTCATCATCATCATCGTCATGATTTCTGTTTTTAATATGATCATTCTTTAAATCATTAATATCATCATTATCATCATTATTATCATTATTTCTTTTCTTCCTTTTTAATTTAATAGGTTTCATGGATTTTAAATTACTATTAAAATTAGAATTAACAACATCAGGATAAATCATAAAATTATTATTATAAGAACCTGTCATTATTGATTTATTATCAGGACCAAATTGAACTTCAAATTTATCAAAAATAGCATCATTTTCATAAGTATCACATAATCTATCACTTAAATGTTCATGAACTTTAATCGTTTTTAAAGGTTTTGATTCCATTGCTAAATCCCAAATTTTAATTGTCATATAATCTCTTGAAACTAAATATTTCCCATCATGACTGAATTTAACATCAGATATTGAACTTGTAATTTCGGTAAAGAAATTATGAGATGCAGGGTCAACATATTCTTCAAAAATTTTAGCATGAGTATCACATAAAGAATTTGATCTCATATCGTTTAATTTGATTGTACCTTTTGATGATGAATACATGAATAAATTACATTGTTGAGGATGAAATTCTGCTGAAGTTATAACTTCAGTTAATTCTTCCATATTAGCTGGTTTAATATCAACAATATTAAAACTTTGATCACTAATATTTAAATTCCATAAATTAATTCTTAAATCATCACTACTTATGTAAGTTTCTTGATCGGAATTAACACTGATGGAATTGATATGATAAGCATGAGCATTACTATAAATTTTTTTCGGTTGAGCACTAATTAATTTATCATGTAATGTTAATTTTGGTAATTTTAAGTTGGATAAATTTGTCATTGATGATGATAAATGATCATTACCATTTAAATTATTCTCTGAAACTAATTTAACTTGTCTTTCCATAATTTTCCATAATTTAATGGTTTTATCATTGGTTGATAATAAATATAATGAATTATTGAAATCTTTAATCCATTTGATTTTATTAATCTTTTCTTCAATCTCTAATGATTTTAAATAATCAAATTCTGCATCATGACTTTGGAATTCTGTAAAAAATTTATATTCACATACATTTTTCTTTGAATGATTTCTTTCAAATAAAACAACTCTACCACCTTTATCACCAGTAGCAAGGAAATTCCCATCATGATTGAATTCAACGGTTGAAATGATATCAGCTTCGGTTAAATTCTCAATATCTCCTTTATCACCGAAACATTGGGAAAACTTCCATGAATCATCGTCACTCATTATCTATAAGGTTATTCTTCAATGGATATAATAAATTTTAATTAATTGAATTGGAATCAAAGTTTTTCTTTTGGAGGAGAATAAATCAAAATCAAATGAAAGTTAATTGGTTGATATTACAATGGTTTAAATGATTTAAATGATTCTATTATGATGTTTTACAAAAAGTTCTATCAATAAATATCGTTATTTAATGATTTTTATTGTTAATTGACTTATAATTTATTGATAGTTTAATCCCAAGATTGGATTATCTTTGTCCTCCCTAGAAAAAAAAGCGAAAAACTGGATGGCAATGGTCGTGTAATTTCCGTTATTACCCACATTTTTTGCTACCGATGTTGGCGGTAGATTTACTACCAGAAATTGCGGGATTTTGGCGATAATACCAATGGGTATAAAGATTTTTTTTTTTGCAGAGATTTTTTTTAATATGAAATATTTATTGAATTAAGAATTATATTTAAACTCTTTTAGCAGCATCTTGTGGATTAACTTTTTTGTCAGTGGTGAATCTTTTTCTTTGAGGTGGAGTTCTGATTCTTCTATCAGTTCTTGATCTAACTCTGACAATTCTAGCGTGAATAGCACAAGAAACACAGTAGTGTAATTTGTTGTATAATTTTGGTAAAGCATATTCTTGGTAGACTGAAGCTTCAGATAAATCTCTGACAGCAGCAGCTTCAACCATGTTTCTGATAGTAACTCTTTTAATAGCTTTATCTTTTGGAACACATCTAGCACAGTTTAAACATCTGACTGGTTTAACGTGACCTCTACCTTTCTTATTTCTACCGTTGGAAGCTCTCTTTTTAGCCATTTCTATAATTGTTAGTATAAAATCCTTTTATATTAATCATAAATGTTTACAATTGGAAGGGTTTGTTCATTTCTTGTTGAATAAATCCATGGATTTTGATAATAATTCCTTTTGGCATATTTGGCATATCTTGAATAAATACTTCAAACATCTCTTCGTTATATGTTAAGCTTTCTATTCATGTGGTAGTTGTTCATTAGTTCACTATTTATATACTCCTTCACACATAATTGTCATCATTTAATTCGGTTGTTTTATATGTACATACTATCTTATTCTTATTTAACAGAAAATGAAAAATTCAATGAAAAGTTTTTAAGTGAGATTGAGGATTTGTTTCGTGTTTGGCCAAAAAATGCTGAGATCCCGACAGTCACATAAGAAAACGAGGGCTAAAACCCTGTGCGGTTGCAAAATTGTTAATGTATTTTGAGTTGATGGAATAAAACAAAGTGTCTTAACTGGGGGTTATATTGGGATAAGTGGAATGAAGAGAGATGGAAGAGGATCTAGTAGAGCTTGAAAGTGAACGACGACGCTGTTACGTGGACTTAGTAAGATATTATTGAGATTCGTTGATTAGTTCACTGTGAAAGTTCATAGAAATGCAGTAAGATAGTATTGATACTTTTGTTTGATGGCAGCAATTGCACTAGTGATTGTACACCAAGCCTTTCAAACCATTTGCTTGAGATTTTTCCATGACACCTTTTTACTGAATCTCTTGCCTATAATTCATATCCGTGATTTTAATTCTTCCTAATAATGATTTGCACTGCTTGCCAGTCTTTTCACTTGCCAACAACTTCACTTATTAACCAACTCACTTGCCAACAATTCCATAAATCGTTTCAATGAAGCCTTTGCTTGACTATAATTATTCTTTTACTCTACCATCCATCCTATCCAAATCCCTTGGTTAGTTCCACTTCCCTTTGCAAAAGCAGGATCTAATAATAAGCCCACTCAAAGGAAATTCTAACCTTCAATAACAAAATTTGTGTCTACTAACCCATTCATTTCCACAACATACCCTATTCTTTAATCTCACCTCCTATATCATCTCACATCACGTGCAAACTCACATGACTTTCTCGCTAATTTTTGGGCCAATGAGAAAAATAGAAAATCTCATTGAATATTGTCTGATTTTTCCCATAGGTTTATTTAATTTATTCAAGGATTATATTTATTCACCAAGAAGTATGTATAATGTAACAACACAGAGCTGTTAATTGGCCCGAATCAAGTCCACTCATAGGGTAAATAAAACATTTCCGATATGTTGAATATTGAAGATAATATGATAAGCCAATGTTATGATAGGGTAAGATAATGAAAAATCAATGGAAGTCAATTTTACCGATTCAAACACCGTATGAAACCCCAACAAAAGAAGACCATTTACACATTCAGACAATCAAACAGCAATGAGTTCAAGTTCCCATATACTAACAATTTAGATGTTTTCAAGAATCTTAAAACAAACAGTTTCTAAAAGAACTTTAACTAGTTCATCAAGATTATTCCAAGCTCCAACCAAAGTAAATTCACCAACCGCTACCAAATTAGCTGAAGTTACCGGTCCAGATTCATCATTAATTGGTCCAGGTGCTCAACCAGGTACTATTCCATCAAATTTAGATCAAGCTACTGGTTTAGAAAGATTTGAAATGTTAGGTAAAATGGAAGGGGTTGATGTTTTCGACATGGAAAACCCAATCTTCGAAGGTTCAGGTACTATGCAAGATCCTTACCTTGTTCCAACTTACGTTGGTTACAGATATGTTGGATGTATGGGTAAAAAAGGTGAAGAACATAGACCTTATTGGTTAAAAGTTACTTGTGATGAACCTGCTAGATGTTGGCACTCAGGTGTTGTTTTCTTAGGTAAATATGTTGGTGCTCCAGAACACAGTCATCATTAAATCTAACCCAAAACAACAACGATTACGATCCGAACTTTACGATCAAGTTTAGTTATGATGTTCCGCATAATAAATAGAACGAGTATTGATTATCTATTGAAACTACTTCAATGTTGACTCTTTTCTCTATTCAGCATTGTAATTGCGTATGTAGTTTGATGCCTCACGGCTTCCTCGCTAACGTTAACCACTCGGGTAAGGCTCGAGTTTTTCAAATACGCATCAGACCCTAAAGTTCAATGAAATCAAAAGTATTGTTTATTGGAGACTTGAATAAGAACTTACCTCAATACAAGGAGTTCAGTGAAAAGTATGAATGTTTAGATTACGAAATTACCACTCGAGAACAAGTAATTGAAGATTTTAAAGGGAAATTTCAAGACATTGAAGCCATATATGGTGCATGGCAAGGTTTTGGATACGTTGGAGGATTCAACAAGGATTTACTTGACAATATCCCACCCAAAGTAAAGATTATAGCTATTTGTTCTGTTGGATATGATGCTTATGACTATAAAACCATGGACGAAAGAGGTGTTATATTAACCAATGTTCCTTCAACTAGTGCAGCAGATCCTGTGGCTGACCTTGTTTTATACCATGCGTTAACCAGTTTCAGAAACCTCAGATTAACTATTGATAATTTTGATGCCAGACTTAACCATACTGTCAAAACTAGAAGACTTTTGGAAGTTAGTAAATTCAATGGCCAAACAGGTCAAATCGATAGACTCGATGATAAGGTTGATGGCTATGCTTACGGAGAAACCGTAGGAGGATTGGATTGTCATAATCCAAGGGGCCACAATGCTGTAATCTTTGGATTTGGACAAATCGGACAAACCATTGGTCAAAGATTATCAGCTATTGGTATGAATATTCATTATATCAAAAGATCCAAATTATCTCAAGATGAAGAATCCAAATTACCTTATCCTGTCACTTATCATAAATCATTGGAAGAAGTCACCGATTTTGCCGACTTCTTAGTCCTTGCTGCCCCAGGAACTCCAGAAACCAAACATTCTGTAAATGAATCCTTAATCAACCAATTCTCACATCCTATTAGAATTGTAAACGTGGGGAGAGGTTCAATCATTGATGAAAATGCTTTAGTTAATGGTTTGAAATCAGGTCAGGTTGCTTATGCTGGATTAGATGTATTCGAAGATGAACCTGCTGTTCATCCTGAATTGTTAGGAAGACACGATGTTGTTTTAACTCCTCATATTGGTGCATCTACCGTTGAAAACTTCGATAATACCGCCATTACAGCCATGGCCAACATCGATAACGTCTTATCGGGGAAAGATCCTTTAACTAAGGTTAATTGAGCTCTCAAAATGTAGATAATATACAATTTGGCTGCGAAATTTTTTTTTTTTTTGCAACCACAAATGAAAAGGAAAAGTGAATCCATTGAAGTTTCTGATAAGCCAGGCCACAAGGAGGAAGAAAAGAATACCGATAACTCCAAAGAAAGGTTTGAAAGGGAACTTGCAGTATTGTTCATTGAAAATTCCATTAAGTTTGATACCCTGAATAATTTCCATTTAAAGCGATTGGTCTCACGATTAGCAGGAATCCATATTAATGAAATTCCTTCAGCCCCTAAGTTGTTATTTCATGTCAATGATATGTATAATAACTTCCAAGGTTACTTCAAAGGATTTTTTGCCCAAAATAGAGACAGGTTGTATTCTCTTACTTTGAATAAGTGGAATAATGATTATGGATTCTTTAATATCCAATTCATGAATGATGAGTTTAAGTATTTTGAGTTTCCTTTAGGGTTGTTCCGATTCCAGGATGGAAGAGTCGATAATGGGATTATAAGAAACACCATTTTACAAGATTTGACCGGTAAAATCAATTTCATCACCACCAACTTTGAGTTGGATTTGAAATCTAAAAATATCATCAAATTTCTTTTGAACTCGAACCAGACTGATAAGATTCTTATGTGTTTTCCATCATTCTTGGTAGAAGCATATTTGGATTTCTTGAAGTCTTATTCCAAGGCGGACCTTCAAATGATCAAAACCTTGGATACTATCAATTTTAGTACATTTTCCAACGTTGAGAAGATTAATAGATTTTATGAAACAGTTTGCAAGGAAATGATCACAAAGTTGACCAGCATAGAAGTGGAATATTTGAAGGAAATAGATTTCGAAGAGAAGCAACAATTTTTAAAAGATTCGAACCATCCATCTTTAGTGTTCAGAATAAGAAATATGATATACTTTAAGAAATTCTTGAAGGAATCCGATTATAATCAACTTAATAGTTTTGAATGGCAGTTAATTGAGTTCTTTACCTATATTACCACTATCAATTTGAAATTAGTGGAGTTCCCCAATCGAGTTCCATTGAGTAATCATTTGTTGCAATTGATCAAATATGAAATCTTCTTGATGGACCAAATGTATCAACAATTCCCCTTGAGGTATAATTTGTTATCCCCCGTTATATTCAAAAGCTTTGAAGCCTATTCAGGTAAATTGGATTCTTATCATAGGGAGTTGTCTGCCAAACCAAATATTCTTTTATCTACTTACTTATCACCCCACACCAGAAAGTTCTTGAAACTGGAGGAGATACAATCAATTAGATCACTATTGAAAAGTAGTAGAGAAGTCAATGTTGTAGATAATTCCAATGATACTGAAGATTCTTTCAGTCTTGATGGATTGATCATGGATGCTTTTGAATGTTCAGGCAATATCAACAATGAGGTATTAGTATTTGAAACCATTGAAACCAAGAAACCTCCAGATCTTACAAAGTTCTGGAATACCAACAAGGTTAAATTCCCTAACCTTGCTAAATTGGCTAAAGAGGTATTACCTATTCAAATCAATAGTGATCGCAACAATGAAACTTTCAAATCTAACTTCCAAGATATTCTTGGAGAATTGAAAGACGACATCTGTTCCATTGAAGCTTATTGTTTCATTTACTTCTTGAGTCAAGAGATTGATCTTATTGCTATGGATCTGATGGAGAAGAATATTGAAGAGTTTCAGCATGACGTATTCAAGTCCCATAAGTGTGGAACTTTAGTCAACTCTAGAGACTTGAAGTTACCTGAGTTATAAAATATATCACCTCTTCTTATCTCATTCATAGGTCTCCAGCCTCACCTGATTCGTATCTCTCGGTAATCTCGCAATCTATCGTCACTGTCTCGTCCCAGGGTTGCCTGTCGTAAGCTGCGAAAATAGGAGTCAACGATCCGTCGATTCTCATTCTCAACATGTCTTTGTATATTGGAGTTTATATCGCCTTGTTCGATTATGAACCTCAAACTGATGAAGAATTGAAAATAAATCAAGATGACATACTTTATCTTTTAGAAAAGTCTGACGTTGATGATTGGTGGAAAGTGAAAAAGAGAGTATTACCAGTTGGTGATGAAGAAGTAGAAGAACCTGTTGGGTTAGTTCCTTCCAATTATATCGATGTGGCTCCAGTTTTGAAGACTTGTAATGCATTATATGATTATGCCAAACAAACTGATGAAGAATTGGATTTTTCAGAAGGGTCTACGTTTCAAATTTACGATTTGAATGATCCTGATTGGCTTTTAGTTGGTGATACTAATGGGAAATATGGTTTCATTCCTTCCAATTATGTACAAATGAATGATTCTGGTGCCACCACAGCTCCAGTGAGCCAGCCACCACAATCGAATATTCCTGTTACTCAGTTTGCCCCACCTCCTCAACATATTAGTAGACAAACCCCTAGTGCTACTGTGAGCCAAGAAGAAATCAAACCTCCACCAATTGAGAAGGACCAAGTTGAAGATCTTGATCCTGAAAGTGAAGATGAACCTCCATTACCTTCTAGACCTCAAGCTCAAACCAATAGACCATCACAACCTATGAACATTAGACGTAGTTCTAACGGTAGTGTTAATGATTATGGCAGAGGTTATGATGATGATGAAGTAGCACCTGCAATGCCTTCAAGACCTGATGTTACTCCCACTAAAGGAAGAAGCAGAAGTAGTAGTAAGTATGAGGATGAAGAAGATTTGAACCAAGAACATACTTTTGATGGAGAATTCTTTAAATGGTTCATTGATGAGATCGATGGCAGAAAGAAGAAACCTGTGATGTTGGCTATAGGTAAAGGATTGATTATTTTGAAACCTAATAAGGTGAAAAGTCCTAGTAAGTTACGTTTAAGATCATCATCAACCAGTGAAATCGATAATGAATGGAAAATAAGAGATTTACAAAGCTTTAGTAACGAGAAGAAGCATTTATTCTTGGAATTTAAGAACCCTATCGCTTCTGTAGAATTACATTGTGGATCTAAGGATGTAAGTGAAGCTATCATGTCAATTTTAGCCGATTTGAAAGGAGCTGATAATGCCAAAGGATTAAGAGAAGTTGAAAGAGCTAGTCAATCACGTGTTGGTGGAAGTAACAAAAGAATTGGAAGATTGTTATATGATTTCGAAAGTCAAGGTGACGATGAATTGGCATGTAGAGAAGGTGATGAAGTATATATCCTTAATGAATCCAAATCTAAAGACTGGTGGATGTGTGAAAAGATTGTCAATGGTAGACAAGGAGTTGTTCCTTCATCATATATCGAAATCATCGGTACTTCCAACCTCGACAAATTAACTGACGCTCCTGATAGACAGAAATCTTTGAAGGAGAAGAAAAAAGCTAAAACTCGTCATAGAGATCGTGATGAAAGGGAAAAGATTAGAGAGAAAGATAGATTAGAAAGAGAAAAAGCTAGTAAGAAATCCAAATCTTCACCTTCAAAGAATGAAGACACTTCAATGCCAAATTACCATAGAGTCAGAACTTGGATCGATAGTTCAGGTTCTTTCAAGGTTGAAGCTGAATTCTTGGGTTGTATTGAAGGAAAGATTCATTTACATAAAACCAATGGAGTTAAAATCGCCGTTGCTGCTACAAAATTGTGCCTTGAAGATTTGGAATACGTTGAAAAAGTTACTGGTACTTCTTTACAAGATTATAAAGATGAAGTGAATCGTCAAAACGCCAAAAGAAAAGCTCATGCTGAAAGAAAATCAGCAGCTGCTAAAAAAGATGACTTACCACCAGAACCGGTATCAAAATCCGCTACAGCTGTCATTAATGATGTTCCACCACCTCAACCTACAAGACCTAAATCTTCAACCATAGCTGTGAATGACCCTGATTATGATTGGTTTGAATTCTTCCTCAATTGTGGTATAGATATTGGTAATTGTCAACGTTATACCTTAAACTTCAACCGTGAGCAAATGGATGATAAGATTCTTGAAGATATCACCCCTTCATTATTAAGAACCCTCGGTTTAAGAGAAGGTGACATTATCAGAGTGATGAAATTTTTGGATAACAAATATGGTAGAAAGAGAGACGATATTCCAGTTCAACCAACAGGTGCATTGTTTACTGAACCAACAGGTGCTTTGAAGAATAACTCATCTTCAGATATTCCAAAAGTCGATGCTAAAGCTTTACCAACACCTTCACAACCTCCTCAACCAACCCCTGCTCAACCAGCACCTCCTCAAACCACTTCATTCGAAGATGACGCTTGGGCAATCAAACCTGCAGCTAGATCCAATGAAGATTTATCCAAACCTTCACAACCACAACAACCTCAATACACTGGATCTTTACAAGACTTAGTTAATATCAAGCCCCTCGAGAACAAACCACCACCAGCTCCAGTTCAATCAAATTCTCAAACCCCTTCAGCTGCAGTCATGACTCCAGTTAAAACCGGTAATTTGATTCAACCAGGACAACAATTCGGGGTCCAAAAAACTGGTAATGGAACTTTAGTTTCTCCTCAAAAAACTGGAACTTTAGTACCAGTCCAAAGAACTGGTGGTTTAATACCTGTAATGACAGGAGGCTTGATGACAGCTCAACCAACAGGGTTCATTCCAATTGCTTCTCAACCAACAGGGTTCATGCCTATTCAACAAACTGGTGGATTGGCTCCTCAATTTACAATGGGTGGTACTTTGATTCCAATCCAAACTGGAGGTATCTTTGTTCAAAAAACTGGTGGTGCTATCATGCCACCAACCAGTTTCAACCAACCAATCTTACAAACTGGTGGAGTCACAATGCCTAATACCTCTTTTGGTCAACAGCCAGTGTTTACTCAAGTCACTGGAGGTGCTTCAATGCCACCTACTTCATTTGGACAACCATTATCTTTACAAAGGACTGGTCCTTTGATACCAGTTCAAAAGACAGGTCCAATGAGTCAACAAATCACAGGAGGTGTTCCATCACAAATCACCGGAGGAATGCCACCAACATCTTTCGGTCAACCAATGCAAAGTTTCCAACCCCAAAGTACTTTTGGTCAAAGTTTGACTGGAGGTGGGTTCGGACAAGGATTCCAACCTCAACAGCCTACTGGATTCCAACAACAAGGTTTCCAAGGACAAGGATTCCAACCTCAACAACCAACTGGTGGATTCCCTCAAACTTCCTTTGGTCAACCTAATGGGTTCCCACAAACCTCGTTCAGCCAACAACCAACCGGGGGATTCCAATCTGGCTTCCCACAAACATCTTTTGGTCAACCACCCAACCAACAACCTTCCCAATTCGGACAATTCCAACCACAACAAACTTTTAACAATTTCCAACAACCAAACCAAATGAATCAAATGACCAACATGTTCCAAAATACAAGCATTTCAAGTCCTCCGACCTTTAATCAACAAATGAACCAAATGCCAACCACATCTTTTGGTCAACCAGCATTTGAAGGTTTTAGTCAACCTTTACAATCTCAACCAACAGGTTCAGGATTTGGAAATGCTCCTTTGACAAACCAACCTACTGGCAGAAGAGCAAACTTACTGGCAGCCACCCCCGATAATCCTTTTGGATTTTAATGATTCAAAATGTATACATTAGATTTATGTCGTATCTCTCCCCTATGTCCTATGTATTACCTCTCGCGACATTCTGGTTACACATCCCAGTTTTTTGAATTATCTGATATATCAGATTCAACCAAACTTATATAACAAGGATATTTAACGTGAAGACAATATGACTAAGGATTTCTGGCATGCCGAAGAGTACATGATATTCATTGAATTCTTAAAGACTTATGATAGTGTTTTAAGAGATCCAAGGGGTGGGAAGTTGCAAAATGTGGTGATTTTATTTAATACCTATAGTGACCAGCCCCCATTGACTTTAGAACAGTTTGAACTCTACTTGGATGGTTTTAATAGTATTAGTGATAATGCTATTGAATTCAAAAAAGATGTTTGGGGTCAGAGAATACATTTCGTTGATACTGATAAGTTAGAATTGGTGAAAGCTAGAGTTTCAGGAGTGGCCACCAAATGGACAGTTAAAAAAGTTGAACTTGAAGACAATTTGAGTAACCTTATTGAGTTTTTGGATACCGAAGACAATAGCTATGAGGAAATCATCAATTTGATTAACCAACCAACAGCTAAGATTGTTTTATCCAAGACCAGAAGTAAATTAATGGTCCCTCAACCATTCTTTGAAGTTTGTACGGATCCCCAACATTGTAAGGTTTTAAGTAGAGTCTGTTTGTCAAGAACAGAAATCAGTAGTAATAATCCCAAGCAGATTTTTCCTTCTATTGATGAATGTTATATTTCTATAGATAACAATCGTCATTTATTTTCGAAAGGAATCTATGGATGTTCTAAGTCAAAGATTCATCATCTTCCTATCATCAATACGCATACGGAATTAAATCTTGGAGATTGTTCATACTTAGATACTTGTCATAAAATGAAGAGTTGTAGATATTTGCATTATTTCACTTTATCGCCATCAATAACTCCAATTGACAGAGCTGAAGAACTTCAAAAGGTTAGGAAAGCTTTATATGAACAGGAATTTACTTTGGGATACTGTTTTAGTGAGTTTTGTAAGGAGATTCTTCCACCACAATGGATCAATTGTGATGTTAGGAAATTACCATTCAAGGTCTTGGGGAAGTTTTCGGCTATAGTTTCAGATCCAGCATGGGATATTCATATGTCATTACCTTATGGTACATGCAGTGATGCTGAATTAATGGAATTGCCTATGCATGAATTACAAGATGAAGGGATTATGTTACTATGGGTTACAGGAAGATCAATTGAAATCGGCAGAAAAGCTCTTAGAAAATGGGGATACACGATTAAAGATGAAGTGATTTGGATCAAATTAAATCAATTGAAAAGAACAATCGTTACCGGTAGAACAGGTCATTGGTTGAATCATTCCAAAGAGCATTTATTAGTAGGGTTAAAAGGTAATCCATCATGGATTAATAACATGATAGATATTAATACTATTGTTAGTAACACTAGAGAAACTTCCCGAAAACCTGATGAAGTTTATGATATGGTTGAAAGAATAGTTGGAGTCCATGCTAGGAAATTAGAGATCTTTGGACGTGATCATAATATCCGTCCAGGATGGATGAGTATGTAATTTTAACAGAGTGAAATTGGAATTATACTAACATTTTTAGCTATTGGAAATCAAGTGACTGGAACATCAATCGTAGAGGAAGAAGTATTATATAAATATCATGAAATAAATAACATAAACTAAACTAAGCAGATTTTTTAGTTTCAAATAATTTTCTTTGTTTTGCAGCTTCAACTTCCATGTATTTTTGAGTATCCAATTTGAAACCTAACCAAAAAGCAACTTCAAAAGCTACAAAAAATGGAGCCAAAACAACAGCTTGTAATAAATTATCTAATAAAGCAGGAGCACGATGTTCATGGAAAGCATGGCCATAAAATTGAGCTAACCATGCGACTATATGAGTAATCCAGGAGAATCTAAACAATTCCTCTTTGGTGATGGATGATAAAAGTGAAGGTGCATGGAAATAATACAATTGATTATAAACCAATCCCACACCACCATAGAATAAAGCAGCAGGAATTCCAACTTGCCAGTCTAATAAGATATAATAGATTCCATAAGTTGTTGATAATAAAGTACCAAAGTTGATGAACTGATGAGGAACATAACCTTCAAGTAAAGGAATTGATATTGGGAGGGAAAACTTTGAAAGGATGAAAATAGCTGAAGATAAGATTATTGGAATACAAATTAAATGAATAGTTACATTGGTTTCATTGGAATGATAAGCTCTATAGAAAGCTAAATGACCTTTCAAATCAAAAAGACCTGCCATGATTAATGCGAAATGTAAGCGAGGGGATTTGTGGAGAGATAAATACGGAGTTATCAGAGTGCACCACGCAGAAGTTTACCTTAACAGAAGATTTTAGAGTCCTTACCTTACAGAACTTGTCAGAACCATAACAGAATTCATCAGAGAGCAAACTACTGGAAAGTCGTCAGTAGAGAAAGTCATCAGTAGAGATAAAATTACCATAAGAATATATTAAATCTATTCTCTTAAATCAATTTTTGGCTTTTTAGCAATTCTGGTCTTTTTAGAATTCTTACCAAAAGCACTTGCTTTCTTTAAATCTCTACCTAAATTATCAGCATCTTTAACTTTATAAATTCTTACAATCCAATTGGTACTTGTGAAGACTTCATCTAAAACACTTAATTCAGGAGCATTCTGAATAGGAATTTGTTGATTTCTAACTCTGTCAACAGCATCTCTACCCATGAATAATTCATGGAATCTATAATAAGACATCTTATACATCAAAGATTCTTGCATTGCCTTTGGAGCTTGACCGTCAACTCTGTATTCACCTCTTTCAGTGAAATAATCCCTTTCATGGATTTCATCTGGCCAAATACCTTCACTAATTCTAATCATCCATAAAAATTTATTTATATCATCACCACTAAATCCAATAACTCCACCGAAGATGATTAAAACATAATCAACATCATGTTGTTTTAAGATATCATAAGCAACTTCTTCTGATGAGCACATAGCTTTACCAACAGTTGCAATATGAGTATTATTCCAAGTGTTGTTATCAACTAAAGTAGTACGGTCAGCCATACCACCAATTTGATAACCATAATCCCACCATGACATGACTTTAGCATCTTCAGCAGTATTCATTCTTAACCAATAATAAGCTTCTCTATAATCATCGATAATAGCAGGTGAACCATCAGGATTTTTAGAAGCTAAAACAACTGAAGGTGATGAATAAGCATTGGAAGTTACCCAAGTACAATGATAAACAAAGAAGAATAAATAATAAGTAAATGATGATAAAACTAAAAGTTTTGAAAGTCCAGTAAATAATTTAGTTCTTGTTGATGAAGATGAATGCCAAAATTCTGATAAATCTAAGTAAACATCGAATAATTTACTAATAGCAATAGCAGCTGAAACACAAATTATAGGAGTTAAAGTCAACATTAATCTAACCATAACACCAGCAAAATATGAACATAAAACACCATAAATAATAACAAATAAATGTTCATCTTTCAAGTCTTGGAAACATAAATAAACTCCTACAGGGAATAACCAAATTAACATTGAAGTATCAAAGAAGAAAGCAGGCCAAGCAGTTGGTTGATGTTCTGAAACTGATGCAATGATTGGAATATGGATTTTAGCATAACTAGTATCCCATAAAGAATAGAATCTACCAGTCCAAGGAGCAATCCAACCTAATGCAGTTAAACCAATTAAACCACCAATTCCAAGACCAGCAATTAAAATCATTGAAACTGTTAAGAAGGTTTTGAATTGTTTTTCTGGAATACGTGATTTAATATAATCACCAAAAGCTACCAATTGAATTAATCCAAAGACTCCTAATGCTGCCATATGATCATTTGATCTAATTGGTAAAAATCCAACGAATGGAATTTGCATTGAAGCCAAAGTTCCAATAGCATACCAGGTATTATAAGCAGTATATAATTTATGATTATATCTACCCATTAATAACAATACAAATACATGTAAAGGAATCAAATTGGTGATGAAAACATAACCACCCCAAGCACTTACCATATAAAAATAGAATAAGGCAGTTAAAGTTCCATAGAAAACTGATCCAATTTTCATTGATTTGATCCAAAAGTAAAATGTTGCCATTAATAAAGTAATAGCAATAGCTTCATTATCATAAGAACCAGCTACTGATCTTGAAATATAACCTGGAGCAATTCCCATAAAAATGGCGGCCAATAAACCTGCATTGGAATCTTTCATTTCTGTGGTTAAAAAGTATGTAAAAATAGCTGTTAAACCTGAAAATGCTGGAGCTAATAATACACAAATATTTCTAATATCAATTGGTAAACCAAACCAATCTCTTAAAGTATGCCAAATGACTCCTGAAGTAACCATTAACCCTGGGTATAATGTACCACCCGTAACTCTTCCTAAAGGATACCAAGTTCTATCATCAAACCAATTTAAAAAATCATAGAATGAATGATTGACTAAATATTTGGTAGCTCTGAAATTGAACCATGGATCGAATTCATGAATTATACTTTCAAATCTAATGACGGAGAACAATCTAGAAGAGATTGAGGCTCCAGCAATTGAAATGAAGATAATTACTTGTAAAAGTAACTTAATTGTTTCAATATTGATTCCTAAAACTTTTAGTTTGGTGGTAGAAGTCATATTGAAGATTTTTCAACACGTATGAACGTTTCGCGTTGACGTTGGATGGACCACTGTGAGGTGGTGGTGGGAGACGAGAGTAATTGGGTCTATTTTGGACCTAGCGCGGCGCGGGAGAGGTACTTTTTCCATTATTTTCATAGACTCAATTAACACTTTATATTAAAAACTACTCCAACTCCAATTGGCAGGAACACTTCCAACAGGTTGTTCCTCTTCCAAATATTTTTTATTAACATGCTTATTCTTGGTATAATCTATTTGTAATTCAGGAGTACTGGTTTCCAGTTGTCCTGAAGTTTGACCTGGAGTCATTTGATTAGGAGTACCAATTTGACCAGCTGATCCGAAATAATCAGATTGTAATTGGAACTCATTATGGACAAATTCATTATATTCTTCAATACAATTATCACATACTCGAGATAAAGTACCTCTTCCTCCAGTAGTGAATTGTGCTAAATGATTGATATATAAGAAATGTGATGTATGTTCTTTACAATAAATCTTCCCACATTTCCTACAATGATGTCTTCTTTCAAAGAAGTTGAACTCTTTATCACATGATGGTTCACTACATTGGTAAACTGTTTCATCTTTAATCCAATGTTTTCGAGTAGGGGGTTGACGAAGATAATGTTCGTACGATTTGAATGATGTAAATGGTAAATATGATTTGACTGTTGATGCTATTGAACTGCTGGACATGTTTGAATCGACAGATCTTAAAGATGATGAATCAGTTTGTCGAAGGACTGCTGGTACATATAACGGAGACCTGAGATTTTTTATTTGTTGAACACCATTTTTTTGATCGTGGAATCTTCTCAAAGAACCTGTGGATTGACTTTGTAATTCTGAAATCTGGGTATTTGTTGAATTCAGTAATTGTGGCTGTGATTGTGGCATTGAAGGTTCTGATGGTGGATTTGATGGTAAACTAGAAGGTAAATTAGGTGGTATGGATTGTGTTGTTGAAGGTGTAATTTGATTGACTAAAGGAGATTTCCTTCTTCCATTTAATTCATTCAATAAAGAATTCTTAAAATTCGTCTGTATCTTCAATTGATTCTTTTGTACTTCTTGATGATATGCTGCTTCTTTCCATCCATCGCTTACACCACTCATATTGGTGATAGTATTATTACTGCCGTTACTATAAGTACTTCCTGCTTGTAAATTCGAATCAAATGATTGGAAAGTTTGAGGCTGAGGAATATTAGGTGATACTTCTTCTGATTTAACAATTCGATTAGGTTGTCTTGTAAGACTAGCAAATGATGACAAGTCTACTTCTGCTGGTTGATAAGGTTGTTTCCTAGAATCGTCCATATCATTTTTTGCTGTCACAGGTGTTATAATACTACCAGCACTTTGTTTCCTTTTTAAATCTTGATCTATTTTCGGTAATGGTGATAAACTTAACTTCTTCAATGCATTCAAAGTTAATCTTTGTTGTTGGATTATGGTATCTTCATTATACATGTCATCTCCATTCTGTTCATTATCATCAGTTGGAGGTTGAGACGGTATTTGATGGTTCTGTTCGAACGGTAATTGTTTACCTATTTCAATCTCTGGTTGATTGATACTGGATAACACTGGTGCTTGGATGAAACTTTGGAAATTCTTGGAAGAATTCAGTATAGTACTTCCTTGTCTCTTAGGTAATTGAGATGGTAAGGACTTTAATGAGGCTGTTGATAAAACAGATTGAAATGATTGGGTACGTGGTCTGATAAACTTCTTCTTGAATAACTCCTCTTTATCTTCTCTATCATCTCTGTCATCCCTATCATCTCTGTTATCTCTATCATCCCTATCATCTCTAAGTCTCATATCTTCAACGTCTCCGTTAGTCCTATCTCGACCTCTTTCATTATCTTCATCTTCAATAGCCCCTTCTTTAACCTCATTAATGATGTCTTCATCTCCTATACCATTAACCCCATGGTCCATTAATCTATTATGGTCATTATCAAGATTCATATCACCTTGCTTTCCATAAAAAGGTTCATTCATTTTGATAATTTTGCCAGCAGTGAGAATGTCTTCGTGTAATCACAAGACCTAAATCGGTGATAGTGAGTATTTGAGTAAATGTATGATAATAGAGGTTAATGTGACGTGACATTCGATGGATATGGTATGGGGAATAGCTGATTACGACATTAGGTTGGTGATAGGTGGTTTAGGGATTTACGAGGTTTTAGATAAGGAAGTGAGACATAAGACATCTTGTTTAGAGGTACTGATTGACAAAAAAACAGATGAGCGATCTGCCATTAAGTGTTCTGTCGCCAGTGGTATTACGGACATTATCAGTTGAGTAATTTTTGTGTCAATTATACCTTCATAATTCAGCCGTAACACAGTCTACACCAGTAACTACTCTCATCTCAAGTTCTCCCTTTACCTATTGCCATGCTCTAAAGGTTATAGACTACTCAAGATACCAATACGACCTTGTTTCCTATACTTGAACGACTCCCAGTACCAAGTCTCTCACTCTTGTCCACCAACTCATCACCCTATCAGTATCCAATCCTTCTCATCCATCGGTCCCATATCTGGGGAAGTCACGTGACAAGATTCTCATAAAATCACAATTAAAATATTTCTCATTGGTTGTCCAAAAAACAAAAATGATATCAAGAATCGGGATTAGAAATTTAAGAAGTATGTATTAAAACATCACCCTGGTCTCCCATAATGTTCACCACCACACTCAACGTATAAAAAGGACCTAAGGCAGTTTTCCAGAATATTGAAAATGTTATAAATTGAATGAAATACTAACCCCTTATAGCTCAACAATTAAACAGTTTTAAAACTGTCAGATTCAACGCTATTAGAACCATTTCAACTGTTGAATCAACTCAAGAAGATGCTAATCAAATCTTAGTCAATCAACGTAAAAATAGACCAACCTCCCCTCATTTGAATATCTATCAACCACAATTAACTTGGGTTTTATCAGGTCTTCATAGAGTTACTGGGGTTGTCATGGCTTTTGGTTTCTACGGTTTAACTTGTACTTATGCTGCCACTTCCCTTTTAGGTATACCTTTAGATTCTGCCAGTATAATTTCAGCTTTCGCTGGTTTACCATTACTTGCCAAAGTTGGTGTTAAAGCTTCAATGGCTTTCCCATTTGTTTTCCATGGATTCAACGGTCTCAGACACATTGTTTGGGATTTCGGTTCTAAATTAACTATCCCAGGAGTTTATCAAACTGGTTACATTGTTTTAGGTTTAACTGGTTTAGTTGGTTCTTATTTAACATTTTTCTAAATGCATGAATATTTATTAGAGTTGAAATTTCTATTATCTTGTATCTATATTACACTATAAGACTCTATGCAGAGTACTAAATTTTACCTGCTACATTTACCCTGTTACCATAACCATCTGGTTTTATGATGCTTGATGAGTTGATTCCTCTTTATTTACCTTTCCAAAGCCATTCTTATTCACTCTTCCCTACTCTTCGCTCTCGTTACTGAAGACTTTCTGACTAGCAATGAATATCGAACTATGAACTATTCCTAACTTCTCAATTATCTTATACTGATTAGTAGTTATATTGACAAGTTCATTCAAGTCTTGTAAGTTAGAAGATAACTGAATTATCTGACTATTTAAATGATTCAAATTCCTTTCCTTCTCTGATGACTTATTCATGACGCGATTATTGTTATTATTAAACGTTCAATTCTTCCAATGATACTTAACTATTCCACAAACCCGGTTATATCCTTGTAATACTACGATCTTTATCCCGGTAAAGTTATGAGATTCTAAATAAACAACCCGCACTAAAAATTTTCTACTTATCCATTCTTCCCATTTATGATTCATCACCAGGAACAATGAATAGTCTGATCGATAAAACAACCAATGAACCTTATGCCAAACATGCTAAGATAACGCCCAAGAAGAAACCAATACCCATAGCTGTGTTGCCTAAACCCTCAGTTCCAAAATCCACTTTCAACCCCAGTATTAAGACATCTAAATTAAAGAATGATATTGCTTTAAATATTAACACATCTAAGAAATGGATCTTACCTCCAAGACCTCGTCCTGGTAGGAAACCTGTGGCGGAAGCTACCTCGCCTATGGGTTCAAGTCCAATGGTTTCTTCCGTAAGTAATATATCCACGGCAATGGGTCCAAGTGCTAGTAATGCTTCCAACATAAGTGTTCAGAGTACCTCATCATCCACTTCCAATGTGGCACCTATACCAAATAATAGTGAAAGACCTGAAGATCCGGAGTTACACAAATTAAAATTATCATACCTTGAAAAATTGAAAGAACAAGAACTCATCTTCAATTATATTGATATTATTAATAACCAAATAAACCAATTGGATTTCATTAAGAATGGGTTCATTTCCCATGATACACTTAATCAAATAGAGCACGAGAAAATCGTGGTGGAGAATAATGTAGGTGGTAGAGTTCAAGAACTAGAGAATATTAACAATAATCAAGATTTAAACAAATTCTTGAATTATATGATCAAATCATCAAACTTGATTCATAGAGTTACCAAGAATTATCAAGGGAATATCAATGATCAAATTGACAAATATATGAAATTACGTAAAAACAATTTAAAAAGAGACAATAAGGAGTTTAAAGCCGAAAAGAAAATATCAAAACTTGGACAAAACTTACTCAATGAAGGAAATATCTTCGATAAGTTGGTGATAAATGATGAGTTCACTTGTGGAATCTGTAAGAAGTCCAGTCCTTGCTTTTGCTTAGACATTGACAAAAAGAAATGATGGGAAAATTATGATAATGACGGAAATATACGGTACGGTATTACGGTTCACTGTTTCTCTAATGTTTCTATATTTCTCTGGTATTTGCAAATTGGAAGTGTGCCTATGTGGGGCCCCAAGAATTGTGGGGGTTAAGAGATGCCCTCTCGTGATGGTGTATTCCATTCCTCCGGTACTTGGTCCCGGGTTTTACCTCCAGACTTTCTCCAACCCTAGAACGTAGTTCTTTACACCCACATTAGTTAGGTCGTTCATCTCTAATTTTCACTCATTTAGTAAGTCAGTAATAATCGGGTACTTTATATTTACACTATTTACAGTTGTCTTTTTTCCATCTTTTCTTTGACCAAAATATCTCTTTCTTCATCCAAATATTTCATTTTTTGGTATTCTGCAACACATTGCATTTGTTCGGTGTTGGCAGCTTTACATTTAACCATGGCTTCGATTGGATTTTCATAACTATTGGAACATGCAATGAATTTCTTGATGTATACATCACATCTTTCGAAAGCTTTCTTTCTCCATCTTTGGAAAACCAACTTTTCTTCTTTAGGAGTCAATAACCATATGGGCAAGTTTGGATCAGATGGAAGGTTAACTCCTTCGTATAATGTTTCTTTAGCCATTTCAACGGTGAGGTGATCTGATAAAAAATTCGCACTCTCAACCACGAGATTTGGGCTTGAATAGATGAGTTATATGGAAGTTTTATGATGGCATTTGTGAACTTGGGCTTACACAAGTAGCCATTGATCCTTCACCACCACTTAAAATGGCAAAATCGTAGGTCGTGTATTAACCAACCCTATAGAGTAGAAACTTCCTCAGTGCGCATTGTTTATAATTCTACATGTCTTTATCACAATTAGAAAAGTTGGACCTAATACCCACATCCATCGAAACTCAACAACCCTTAAAGCTCATAGATAATGTCACTGACTTAGCTACTAAATATGAAACCATCAGAAACGCCAACCTCGAGAAACAGTACGAAAGAAATAATTTATTGAAGAACGAGATAAATACACTTACAGAGAATTTAAAGTCTATTCTCAAAGATATCACTGGAACTGAAGATATAAATATTGATTTGAAAGACTATATCAAGAAGAAATCGTTTGAATTAGATTCTTTGAAGTTGAAAATAGGGTCAGATATAACATTGATAGAATCTGAGATAGCTCAATTGAAGTCACATAAATCAGAAAAAGAGAAACTCCTTGATTCCTTGGATAAACAATTGAAATCTATAGCTGACGAAAACATTCTTGATTCTGGAGTTTTCTTCATTAAGCTTGTAAATGATTTAAATGTAGCATTAGGTAAAGATAAAGAAGGTAATGAGCAAATTCTCCTAAATGGATTGAAATTTTTACCTTTGAGTGGATATAATGATTATTTCATCACCAATTATATCTGGGATAATATGTAAGGAAATGGTAGGAAGGCTTTTTGTACAATATAAATTAAATCTTTGACATACCAGAATCTCTTTCAAGACTAACTTTATGCGCGAACTGGTAGAAAAAAATTTTCAAGCCAAACCCATATTTAACCTACAATGAGACCATCTTTAGTAAATTTAGGAGGATACTTATGGAAATCAGCTCCAAGATTATCACCACCTCAAAAGTCAAGGTTAAGGTCAAGAATGAGATTAGTTGATAATAATATTGAAAGCATTTTCGAAGGTTTAGTGCAAGCTAAACCAACCTCAGGAACAATCAACACATCATATATGTTAAATAGTAAAGTTGTTGTCGGAAACAAAGTATCATCACCAAAGATAGAAGGATCCAAAGAATCAAATGGTAATGAAGAATTAACAGGATATAAAAAGATTGATTATTTGAAATATCAATTCCCTAAAGAAAATGAAATGTTACCTAAAGACAAATATACCACATTCGATAAGAAAGCTAAGAATTATAGAAAACTTGTATTCAAAGTACCAAAATGGACAAAGAAGAGTTTCAGAGAAAACCCTATTTATCATTAATCTTGTAAATATATAATAATGAGACTGATACTCTTAATTATGACACTGCTACTCTTAGTGTGCGAGAAGGAAAGGTTGGAGGATGGAAAGTACCAGAATAGTGAGAAGTTACAGTACGGCAAGGACGAGGGGGGCCAGCACTGCAGGAGTGAGGTATTCCAAGAGAGGAAAGAGAGGGAAAGGATTAAGAACTCAATAAAGATGTAAACACAACTATGCGGTAGCAACTGAAAGACTTAAAACATAGCCTAGAGTACTTTTAAATCTAGAATCTAGTAGTTTTATACCTTATGCTTCTACTGCCTACACCTATCTACATTCACTCCTTCAAACATTTTTCTTTTTCTATTAATAACTATTTATTTGTGCGGTCTAGAAAGTTCTCTTCTGACACCGTAGCCGCAAGCCTTGGAGAGACATTTCCCAACAACCCACCAGTATGGCCCCTACGGTAGCATAGTGATGATTATAGCACCTATATACTTATACTTAAGTACACATCAATGTCTTGAGACAGATCGGATGAACAATAGGATCCGATGATTGCTCACAATCAATGTCTCACCCTCTTGTCCGTGAAGAATCCCACATTCGGAGTATTATTATTGAGGAGATTGATCCAAGATTTGGTCATTTAAAGGACTATGCTGTAAGAAACCTTCCCCAAGAAGTGTTCTGGCAATAATTCTCTAAGAAGTGTGATTCTCCAAGGGCTACAAGAAATATCCTGTGATTCCGATGTGCCACAGTTTCTATATACTAAAATGTCTTCTGATAGATTCTTAGTTTTATCTTCTAGACTTTCTAATAGATTGTCTTCTTTTATATCTCTTCTTATACTTTGTCTTGCCAGATCAGAGTGACTCTCATTACCATTATATATTCCTACCTATCATTAATCATTACTTAACATACAAATTTAACCATTTTTTATAGTTATTGGAAGTCGATATCAAACTTTCATTATTACTTGATAAATTATAATTTAAATTTATTTCATCGTTAACTAAATCTTCCATGCTATCAGTGAAATCATGGGGTATTGGTGATAATAATGGAGAATAAGTATAATTTGAATTGGAATACGTTATATGGGAAGCATCATTTGATGCACAATTATTTGAACAGTAGATTGAACTGGAGTTACACAATTTTTCACAATTTATACAATAGTTTTCAAATATCAATTCTGTCATGATTGAAAGTGATGTTGTTGTTGTTGTTTGAATGAAAAAAAAATGGAGAAATGATGTTATTTAAATAGTTGGTTAAAATGTCGCAATCCCACACACGGTTTATATTTGTGTGGTTAATTTTTTATTGACTCATTTGCGAATTGGATTTTAAAGTCCTGACTCATATTAGTCACAATTGTTATTGTGGTGGATGTTTGATAAGTGTGGTTTGTGATAGGATAAGTGATGGGGGTGTATAGATTAGTTTAGGATGATTAGTATAGAGAATATAGATGAATAAACTGAAGATATTTTGAACCCGATGCACCCTCGTGTTAAATGGCGTGGGAATTACACGTTTAGCGAAAACATTTACAACGAATTTCGGTGACTTAATGCGGTAATTCTGGCTACGAACACGGTTTAATAGGAGTTGTGGCTAAACTATGACTGATTTAGGTGGTATGATAAGGTAAGGAGGCTGATAACGCCATGGTTATCTTATCGGATATTTACTGTGGACTGTGGAATACATTATATTAGTCATTGATACATAGACCAATACCAAAACACGTTAAATTACAGTGATACACTGTGAAACACACTCAACGGTGTGGTGGATTAAAATTTTCTCATGTGATGGATGTCGCGATGGACCCTTTGCGATGGGGCCATACTTTGCGTTTAAAAAAACGTAACCACATCTAACACGTAATTACATCTAGAATTCTAGATACTAAGAGGTGTAGTAAAAGGCTATGGATCAAAGGTTTTGCCATGCAATTTCTAGAACTCTTTTTTTAGATTTTCGTGTATTTTTATGTTGATGATTATTTTTAGCAATTTGGCTGCAATTATGTGAATTCTACAAAAAATCAAACACTTTTAAATTTATATGTCAAATTCTTTAACCTATCCACGTCATTAGTATTATGATTGAACGTGTCAAAGATCAAATAATATAAGTAATAAACAGTTATATTGATTATCCAGAAGTAGCTGAAGAAGAATTGAATGATAATGAAGAATATGATTAAATAAGGAGATTTTTCACCCAATGTTTGTTTCAAGTATTTCTTATTGAAGTTATCGAATATCATAAGATTATTGATTACACATAAGTTGATTGAAAGTTTGGATTTGATAAATATCAATGAAATCATAAGGATTGTGATGACAGAAAGGTTAAAGTAATTGACTAGTTTGAAGTAAGTTTTAAAGTCATCATTATTTTCAGTATTGAGATTATTGATGATAAGTAATTGATCATCGGAATCAATAGGTTCGGACAATTGATCTAGTAGGATTCTATCTATTCTCTTTACCATTTGAATGAGAAGTGACTAGATAGTGAGAAAGATTCCAGATTGAGAAGATTGGGAGTGAGAAGATTGAGAAAAGATCAATGAAAATGAGCACTCAGATCTGAACAATAACAAACAATAAGATCGAGAAATGACCCATCGTAATGAAGTTTTTAGTGGATAGTTAAACTGGAAGAGTTATCAGTTTGATCCAGAGACAGTAAGATGTCTCACATAACGTATTTGGCGTATTTGGCGTACAGACACAGATTATTTCGGGTTATTTCATATGAGATGAAATTTGCTTGAATTATAAGGAGTTTAAATTCTGCAGTGTCTAGACATTACTCAGAGCCTTGTGTTATTCTTGTGTCTTAGATTCTTGTGTCCTTATTATCCTCGTGACCTGGACTTTCGTGACACAGAGCCTTGGGAACTCATCTCTCGAATCTAGACTCAATGGGGAATCTCACCCATTTTTCCACCTCTTTTCCACATCTTCCATCAATTAAACCATAATAAACCTCCACAGCCCCCAAATCATAGACTCCTACGTATATCGTCTGTCATCCCTACACCATCCAATACCTTCTAATATCCAATGATCCCAGCCTTACCTGTACTCCATACTATTTTCAGGAACCGTTTCAAATAATAATTTCTCACACGAAATCAAAACATTCGTGTAACAAGGAGTTAACCCAAAGGAGTAAATTACCTACTTGATTTAGACGGATAGGGGGATTTTATCAATTACACAATTGAAATTCAAACTGTACCTTCAAATTATCACTATTGTTTAAACAAACTTGGTTGTTATGTCATTGACAAAAGTGAACACCGTTAAATTCCATATGACTTCTAATATCCCATATATTGATATTCTTTAACTACTTCCAACGATATTCAAAAGTCATACAAACTGTCATACTTTCGTCTACCTTCTCCCACCACTTCTTTCCTACCATCTTTCGCTACCATCTCTCCCTGCCGTCACCGTCTTCGTCACATCGTCGTCAAATTGCCATTCCGCATCCTGCACATTAAATCTCAAAGTTTTAAAAATCAACAACCTCCTCAGCTAGAAAAATTTTCTTAAGGACCTTTAGTGGTGATATTTTAAACACTATCAGTTAATCAACAAGCAAAGGTTGATATTGATAAGTTAATACCCTTCTGCATTTTATTTCTACTAGTCTTTCAAGACTTTTCCAAAACTTTTTTTTTTTGTTGTCATTCATTATACCCACACATTCGTTTTAAAATATGTTAGTTCATTTACTTTTAATAGCTTCTGTCTATGGACAAGTACTTGATATCACACAAAAGGCAAAGAAGGATTTAGTTGATCCCGTGGTCAACTTGACTGAATCTTTAGGAGGTGCCAGTATTGGTATCGATTTAGGTAGTACTCAAAGTATTGGTTTTAGTTTAGGTAATGATGAAACCACTTCCCAAACTCAAAGAGTTGTCAGTGAAAACACTGTAAGTCCCGGTACTGTCAGTTCAGCTAGTACTGTAAGTCCTGGTACCGTAAGTTCAGTTAATGCTGTAAGTCCAGGTACTGTAAGTACCATTAACACTTTTAGTCAAGATCCCTCAACTCAAGATACCCAAACCAAAGATACTTCAACCGAAGATATTTCAACTCAAAATACTTTCACTGATACCACCAGTCAACAAAATACCCTCACACAAAACACCAGTCCTGATGCAAGTACTGTAGATACTTCTAAAAGAGATACTTCATGGTCAGACTTTTTCAACTTCGGAAGTTCCAATGATCGTTCAGATAGTAGTCCAGCTTCAAGATCATCTTCAAGTACAAGTACTACTGCTACTGCCACTGCTTCCCAACAAACTGGTGATAATTCTTTTGATGATTGGATTTCTTCATTATTTTATCCATCCACCAAAGAAGGTTCAACTGTGGGAGATGTTTCAGCTACCGAAACCCCTTCAACCAAAATTACTACTTCTGCTGAAACAGGTGCTACTGCAACCACCACCACTCCAGATTCAACCAATAATGACAAAACTTCATCACCAGTTGATGATGATACTACCACCACAACTCCAACAGTTCCTGATGCTCCAACTTCAATCAGTTTCGAAGATCCAACTACTACTGATATCTCCGAAGACGCTTCAACTAAGGATACTGCTACCACTACTGAAGATACTTCATCTCCAACTGGTACCACATCTCCAACCGATACCACAGGAACTACAACTAGTAGTACTCCTCTTTTAGCTACACAAACTTCAGCCACTGATACCGCAACTACTGACACTGCCACCACTGACACTGAAGCCGGTTCAAGCGGTGTTACTGAAACTCCAAGTCCAGTTGGAAGTGAAACTGCCACTCCATCACCTGCTGATGAAGAAGATACTTCCTTGGTTGATGGTTCAAGTAGTGAAATTGCTCCTGATTCCACCATCCCAACTTCAGCTGAAACAACTACTCCAGCCAGTTCTTTAGCTACACCAACTACTGATGAATTATCTACTAGTGATGCCGATATCGTAAGTGGATCTGAAACTTCATCTCCTACTTCATTGGCCACTCCTACCGATTCACAATTGGAAAGTTCTACTCCAGCAACTAGTTCTGCTACTTTAGTAACACCATCAGAAATTTCTGATTCAGCTGCTGAACCTTCAACTGCCACTCCAACTTCAGAACTTCCAACTTCAGAGCTTCCAGCCTCAGAAACTTCAGGTTCAGAAATTCCAACTTCTGCTGCTGATACCACTTCTTTGGAAACTCCAAGTGAAATTTCTGCTACGACTGAACCAACAAGTGCTGTTCCTAGTACAAGTGACTTAGCTAGTGTCAGTGAACCAGCTATCATAAGTGCTCCACTTAGTGCCACTAGTGAACCTGCTCTTAGTGAACCAACTGCCAGTGAACCAACTGCCAGTGCACCAACCAGTGAAGCTGTTAGTGAACCTACTATTATTAGTGCTCCAGTTAGTGCCACCAGTGAACCAGTTTTGAGTGAACCAACTGCTAGTGCTCCTGCTACTAGTGCTGTTGCTACCAGTGAAGTTGCTTCTCAACCAGTAAGTGAAGCCAGTCAAGCTCCAGAAAGTGAAGCTCCAGAAAGTGCTAAACTTGTTTCTACTGCTGAAGCTACTCAATCAGCTGTTGCTTCAGAAGCTTCCCAAGCTCCTGAATCAATTACCAACGTTGAATCAGCTACTCAAACTGCAGAGCAATCAATGGTAACTCCATCAGTTGTGGAATCAGCTGCTCAATCAGCTGCTGTTGATACTAACTCAGCACCAATTTCAGCACCACCAACTTCAGCTACTCATACTTCTAACAATGATTGGTTACCTTCAGGTTTAATTGTTGAAGAATCTACCAACAATCCTAATCCAACTTCAGATGAAGAAATCACTAGAGCTACTGCTCAAGCTTCTCAAACTTCAGGATTACCAAGAGCTATTACTCCAGCTACTACTTCTGATCCTGGTAGTAACTATGAAGTTGTCTATATTGGATTCACTTCAGCTTTGAATTATCCTTTCGTTGTTGAACATTCATTATCTTCAGCTCAAATTTTCCAATACTTACCTTCAGTATTAACATTCCCATTTACTGCTGAAGACATTTATAATGATGTTTCAGTTAAAAGATTAATTCCTTTTACCGCTGAAGATGTTCAATATACCATCACTGTTGCTGAAGTTTATTTCCCAACAGATTCAGTTCAAGCTTTACAACAATTCATCCAAGATTCTTCTTCAAAATTATATAGGAATCCATCATCAACACAAATTTCATTGGCATCATTAATTGATAAACGTATACCGTTAACAGGATTAGATACTTCATCATCATCGTCAGATTCTGATGATTCTAGTTCTTACAATAATGGATCAATTGATGCCAATTCAAGTTTATCATATTTTTCATCCAATTCTAAAATTGTTGGTATTACAGTGGGAGGAGCTGCAGGTGCAGGGTTATATATTTCATTAATGTTACTTTTATTCAAAAGATTTAAAAAACAAAATTCAATCGAATTACCTCCTAGTGATAGTGAGAGTAATGTTGGAGTTCAATCATCAGATTCTGTTAGTGCTTTGTTCTATAGAATCTTAGATAATGGTTCAGTTGAGAGTGGTAACTCTCCAATTCGAATCAGTGAACCGAAGAATGCTTCGAATTCTTTAGGTTGGACTCATTAATGTAATGTGTATTATACGATAAAATTAAATCTCATCTCTTTTGATATGAAATCTCTTAAACTGTCTTGCTGGAACTTTCAAGGCAAACATTCGATCAAGCTCTTCATATGTTCTTCCTTTGGTTTCAGGTAATCTGAAATAAGCCCAAATCGTCACTAACAAACTGGTGCCAAACCAAATATATGCAGTTTTACCTTTAAGATTCAATTTGGTAGGATTGATGAAATAAGGGTTGATGATTTGGGAAACTAGTTGACATATGTTATACCAGATTCTACCAATAGCGATGGTTTGGGATCTTAAATTGGTACTGGAAATCTCACCTGTGATAGTATAAGCTATGGGGGATACGGAAAGTACATATGCTGCTACCCAACCAAAAACACATCCAACTTGTCCCCACGATACGTCAGGGTTATCTTTAGCCGGTGTTTGGAGAATACCAGTCAAAAGAAGGAAGAGTGTCATGGCACTAATTCCCACTAAATAGATTCTTCTTCTTCCTACCATGGATGAGATCCACCAAAGTGTCACTGTACCCAAACATGCTAGAGCAGTGATAGCTAAATTCAAGTTATAGGTGGTTTCACTATCTAACCCCACCTGACTGAAGAAATATGATGCTGAATACATAAGATTGTTTCCTCCCAAAACTTGTCCAGCCATAACCATCCCAGCAATCTCTGTCCGTCTGAAATCACTACCTCGGAAACATTGGAGATACTTGCCCCATTTTTGAGATGTTTCTTCTAGTTCATGGGTATAAACTATGAAATTCAATTTTTGACTAGCTTGATGATGAATCCGAGGTGATGTTAACCGTTTGATGGTTTCAAGAGCTTGTTCAGATTTGCCTTTCCGTACAAGCCAGTAGGGGGAATCAGGAACAAACCATGTGGCAATGAATAAAGGAGGTAACCAACACCATTGTATAGCGAAGGGTAATCTATAACCCCATTCCGTAGTGTTAGACAAGAGACCTTTCAAGATCCCAGCAGTAATAAGCTGACCCATGGCCCAACAAAGCATCACATATGATGTTAAGAATTGTCTTAAAGTCAATGGAGCTATCTCACTAGCATAAGATAAACCTACTACGGAAATGGTTCCGAAAGGGATCCCATTCAAAACTTGGCCTACAAAGAGCATCTGAATATTTTTAGCAAACACTGTTATGAAGATAAATCCACCGAGGAGTACAAAACTACCCAAAGCCACTTTCCTATGACCGAAAGTCTCTATAAGATAACTGTTGAAACTTAAAGATACTATAACTCCAATAGTTGATCCACAAGCTAAAGCACTCTGCCACAGTCCAGTTAATTGATATTCCCCGGGCGAAATCTCCACTCCATATCGTTTTTGAAAGCTAGGATAGGCAAAAAATGAACTTATAAGAATGATATCATAACCTCTGAACCTGTTAGTATGAAACTTTTGATCATTTCGCTAAATACATACTCCATTATAATACTAGAAATCATTACTAATGAGAAAATGACCGAAGGTCTATAATCTTTGAAACATTGTCTATATGACAGCTGATGCTCTTCAAACGTTTGTTTAGTAACGTCCGATAGCTTTTCAACAGTTATTTCACTTTCAGCCTTGTCCATAAAGTGGAATTTTTGAATTAAACGGCAGAGAAAACCTTCCGCTTTGGGCGCATTTTTTCAGTTTACGAATTGCCCGATATGGTAGAGGGAAGGGTGAGAGGATATACACCGAAGGGAGTGTAAGGAATTGATTAAGAAATTGGCATTATATACATTAAAGATTATTTGGATTCGGAATCTATGAAATCGTTCAACTCTTGAACGAATTTAGTGGCATCTTCATCTAAAGTTTCCACCAAATCCTTATGGTTAAGGTTATTCTCTAACATGGAATTGAATAAGTATTTCACCAACTCATCATCAACCATTCCCATATATTTTTCCATTAACTTTTCAATAAAATCGTTCAATTTGGATAAGGATTCTATTGATAACGAAGAAGTGTCTTTGACTTTCACTTTTTCGTTAGATTCTTGTTTGGTATCTTTAGATCTATTGATATCATCCAATTCTTGTTCCCGCTGTTTATTCAGACGATCAACAGTACCAATAAATCCCATGAATTTCTCTTTCTTGTTCATTACTTCATCTTCATAGTTTTTAGCTCTTTCCACTAAAAGCTTCAACTCTTTCTTGCGGTTCTTTATAGAATTGAAATGACGTAATTTTTCATTGAATGCTTTTTCCAACTTCGAAGTTTCTTGACGTTTGAGTTCTTGTCTATAATCATTTTCACTAATTCCATCATCCACTGGTTCTTTGTACTTAGATCCACTAGGTTTTTCAATCTTATGAGTTTGGAATATTCTTTCTCGGACTTTCAATCGTTCTTTTACCAAGTTATCATTCCTTCTTTGTCTTTCTTGATTAATAACTCTACTACGGAATTTTATTAATTGTTTGACTATCTGAGATTTCATTCTGTTGGGTATATCTATTAACTCATTAGGATCAACGTTATATTGAATATCTGTTTCTTTATGTTCTACATCATCGTTAATGATTTCGTTTGATTTAGTACCTTCAACAAACACAGATTGGTCTTGTTGATAATATAAAATCCCTTCACACTGTGATTTCAAGGCATTGATAATATCTTCATTATGACCAGCTTTAATGAAAATAGTTACTTGATCGTATTTAACGTCACTCCATTGATAATCCTCGAAGATTTCATCCAAAATTGGTTCAACAGGACCTCTCCAGCATTTACATATGATAAGTTCCTGTTGTTCTGATTGGGTTTGTATTTTAAACGCTTCAAACGATATATGATGATTCAACACCACAGGTTGAGGTTTGCTGACAGTAATGAAATCCGTATCCAAATCTTCAGGTACAGGAACCTTCCAATCGGCAGCGGGAATCATAGCATACTTATGACGAGGCTTGGACCTCGTTTTGTTGGAGGTAATTGGGGTTATAGGTTTTATCATTACCTTCCGCGATGCCACCAATTGCGAAAACTATTCATGAACTCAGACCTACCTTCAGATATCTTTAGTGATGTTAGTGTAGAACCTTCTACGATTGAAGATTTCAAACAGGTCAAAGAAGAAGTTATCAAAACACCAAATGATATAACACGATGGTTGAAGTTGTTCGATAATATTGATAGTTTCACCAATACTTCAAATTCTTTCACAACAGATTTCAAAACCTTTGTTACTACCAGTTATAATGAACTCCTTTCAAGATTTCCTTATTTGGTGGCTATATGGAGGAGGTTTGCTATAGTTTCTTATAAGATCATAGGAGAACGAGAGAGTATAGAAGTTCTCGGAAGATCAGTAGTTAATTGTCCATATTCTAATGATCTTTGGAGGGACTACATAACGGCTTTAGAAGTCAGTAAAGATGATGATTTAGACGATTATATACGAAGAGGTATCAAAATGATAGGAAGGCATTTCAACAGTGATTGGATATGGGATAAGTATTTGAACATTGGTGATAAGTGGGAGAAATACCAGAATGTGATAACAATTCCATTGTACGAATATTCAAAGTATTATACACAATACCTGGAACTTTCTCGTGATATGGAGATCGAAAAGGTGGTGGAAGAGACCTACTTAGACACAGCAGTTAAGAAATATGGACGTTCTTTGGATGAGTTGTCGTTAATAGAGAAATCTCAAATCTTAGAAGAATTCAATTACCTGATATTCCAAAAAACACAAGCACTTGTCACTGATCAATGGCAATGGGAGAGTCTCATAAAAGTCCCATACCTTGATCTCAGTCTCATGGACACCATCAAAAGTGAAAGAAAGATCTGGATAGAATATCTCAATTGGGCTATCAATAAATATCAACAAACTCAATTACCTCGAGACCAGGTTATAAGTATCTTTGAAAGATGTTTGATACCCAATTGTTTTGATGAAGAGTTATGGCTTAAATACTTAGCTTTCCTTAACCTCGAACCCGACTTTGAGCAAATGGATTTAGTATACAACAGAGCTATCAATAAGTTTGTTCCTTTAGATAAGAACGTCCTTCGATTTTCTTATCCTCACTTCCTCCTAGTGCATGAGAAACATGCCATGATTAATGATTATATATTCGACTTGATGAAATATTTCAGTGGAGGTAATCATCTTCATAAACCATTCAAACTCCAATTTTTGAAATGTTTTCAAAGTCTACTCCAATGTTGGAACCAGATGTATCCAGACTTCATACCTTACGTTAGATCGGTCATAGATGCAGATTTGACTGAAGGTGGTAAGCTCGGAGAGCAAGTAGATGTCATGTACAGTAACAATTTAATGAAATTCGTCAATGAAGATTCTATTCAAGTGATAATCGAATTTTACCTCCATCATACCGACGACAACAATACCTTAAGATCATTTTTCAATACCTATTATGATTCTTCAGTGCTAAAGAGTTGTTCTGGCTTCTGGAAATTCTTTGTTCAATTAGAATGCAAAAATCTTCATTTCCCTAATCTTGATATGATAATGACTTACATAATCAGCCACACCACATTACCTAAAATTGTAGTAGACAGTTTGGTGATGGAATATTACGCTACAGCCACGGATAACTATTCGTTATTCAAGAAACTTGGCAGAAACTTGATGGAAATCAAATTGTGGACATCGACATCGGTGATACAAAACCCTGGATTATCTTCAAGGTACAATTTGGGACCTCAATGGGGGAAGAATTACGACAATCCTGGTATAATGATAGATCACAAACCAGAGATCATCAAGAGACGTGATTTCAAGATATCGGAAGAGTACGTTTTACCAAGTTTTAGAAACGTCGAAAGAGCTGGTGCTCAAGTACCATATTCAAAAAAATAAAATTCCATTACCTAAACTATTCCCACCCATTTCTCGTCCTGAGAACCATCATGTCCTGGTAACCATTAATTCAAACATCTTGTCCTAGCAACCATCAATTCAAATCACCTTGTCTACCAATGATGATCAAATCTTCTCTAACCTTAGCTCCAAATGTACATCTATTATCCCCGAAAACTTCTAAGACCTTCAATTTAGGACATTTCTTAGAGATCAAGTTAAGCACCTGATCATCAACTGATCTGACGAACCCTAGATCCAAAGAAGTCAAATTTGGGAACGACAATTCATCGTAAAAAGCTTTTGGACTTTCATCATCATCTTCATCATCATTTTCACTTTCATCATCACTATCGGACTTCAAGTACCTTTTTTTCAACTCATCATTGTTGGGAGTGAATATCTGCCACCAGAAATTCTTTGAAACTGGCACAGAGTTCAAGCATAGCTCAACGAGAGTTGAACAACTATGTTTTAAGATCGAGTACACTGAAGCTTCAGACAATTCCACACATTTATAAAGATTCAACGATATTAATCCGTTGTTCTTGAAGTTAGTGAAATCGAAATCTTTGATTTGATCAAGATTTTTCAATGATAATGAAGTCAATTTATCGAGATTGAATTTGACCATTTCTTGAGTGAACAGATCAGTCAAATCAGAACATCCATCGAGATTAAGGCTACTTAAAGAACCTTCACACATGGATAAAACGTTGATAATAAGTTCATTGGTGACGAGTTCTTCTGATTTGGGATAACTGATCTCCAAAGTTTCAAGACAATTCTGTGTAAGGTAATGAGGTATAAGTTCATACATGGCAGCGGAATCAATACCATCTAAACGTGAAAGTTTCAAAGATTTCAAACTAGATCCACAATTTTCAAGTAAACTAATCAAAGAATCATTACCGAATCTATGAGTGTTCCTTATTTCGAAATTTTCAAGGTTTTTACCACCATTTTCGAAGAATTCTTGCCACATAACATCACTTATTAAGAACGGACCATTCAAATTCAATTCATTCAAATTCAATTTGTCACTGAAATATACAAGATTATCATTATGGAACTGTCCACACATAAATAATGTCAAACTAGTCAAATTTGGACAAAAAGAAGCAATCTTATTGAATGAATCACTATCAACATTGGAACAATCCCAGAATTCAATCTTTGTCATGTTAGGATTCAAGAATAACGCCATAGTTGAGTTATCCAATGATCTGTTCTTCGATAAAATCTTAGAAATTTCATTTAAATTTGATGTTCCTATATCACCTAAAGTTTCAACTTGGTCAATATTGGAAGTGATCACCTTTATACAAACATCTTGTAATGAAGGAATCTTAACAAAAGATTTATCCAATAACGCCTGGGCTACCCTTTTACGTCTCCTTTTGGCACTCATTTGATTCTTACGTTTCTTACGTTCTTCTGCCTTAATAAGTTCATTACAATCTTCACATAAATACCCTTTACGTAACTTATCATAACGGGAATACACCGACAATTTGAATGGTTGATGACATTCTATACAAGTATCTTCTTCTCCTTCGATTTTATATTCATTTCCAACAACATAATCTTCATCATCACTGTCTCCGACGTTATTGCCGTCATCTTCATCATCACTGATTTGTTCACCAGCAGCCCTTCTTTTACGTCTGGCGGCCAACCTAATCTGTTGAACATCTTCATCTTCTTCAATATCTCTTATAGTTGATCTAGATCCTGAAGTACTAGCTTCAACTTCAGTGTTATCAGCAGTAGTTGAAGATTCATTAACATCATCAGAAGAATCTTGAGTTAAATCAGCTATTTGTTGTTCAGTTTCTCTCTCTCTTCTTCTTCTGAAGTTTTCAGTAATCCCTTCAACCCTTAAGAACTCAGTCAAAGCGGAATTGGGACCTCTTACATTAGAAGCACCTCTTCTTCTACTCATGGTGATTTTTTGCAATCAGATTTGTCGCGAAAAGTTTTCTGTTGAGTTATCGCCACCATGCAAATAATCTTCAAAGACTTTAAAAAGGAGAAAATTCCTATCAATGTTGAATTATCCGAAACCGTATGTTATAATTAAGTTCTGTACAACATTCATGGAATTTTAAAGCGAAGAAATCACGAGGATTTCTTATAAAATCAATGAATGTTTTGATAATAATAATAAGGGAGATATTAACGTCTTTTTAGGTTATTGAAGCTAAAGAAAAATTAGCTAAAGAAAAGGATTGTGAAGCATCTCAAATCAAATTGGTATATTCAGGTAAAGTTTTGGCCGATGACAACAATTTAGAATTCTATAAGATCAAAGAAGGTGATTCTATTATCTTTATGATCTCTAAGAAGAAAGTTGTGGCTCCACCACCTACTGTTCCTGTAACCAAAGAAGTTAAACCAGAAGTCGAAACCACTTCAGGTTCATCAGCATCAGCACCAGCACCAGCACCAGCACCAGCAGCATCAGAAACTACTCCAGCACAATCATCAGGTTCTGGATCAGATTTCACTCAAGGAAATGAAAGAGAGGAATCAATTAAGAATATAATGGAAATGGGTTACGAAAGATCTCAAGTAGAAGCAGCATTGAGAGCAGCATTTAATAATCCTCACAGAGCTGTAGAATACCTTATTACTGGAATTCCTGATAGTTTACAAGCCCCAGTTGCTCCACCACCAGTATCAGAAAGTGAAACCACTACTGGACCAGAAGCTGAATCAACAAATGCTAATGTCACAGAAGATAATGATGAAGAACATGGTGAAAATTTGTTTGATCAAGCAGCCGCAGCTGCTCAAACTGGTGGTCAAGCTAATGAAAACGCTGGAGGTGAATTAGGTGATGATGCTCAATTGAATTTATTAAGAACTGCTTTACAAACTAATCCTGAATTAATTCAACCTTTATTAGAACAATTAGCTGCATCCAACCCTCAAGTTGCTCAATTAATTCAACAAGATCCTGAAGGTTTCATTAGAACCTTCTTAGGAGGTGGTGATGATTTAGGATTTGAAATTGAAGGTGAAGGTGAAGGTGGTGATGCCATGGATGAAGGTGAAGAAGGTGTTAGAATAATGTTAACTGAACAAGATGAAAGTGCCATCAATAGATTATGTGAATTAGGTTTCGATCGTAATTTAGTTATACAAGTTTACATGGCTTGTGATAAAAATGAAGAAGTTGCTGCTGATATTTTATTTAGAGATCTGTAGTTCAATGGTGTATATTAGTCATTTCTATTCTTTTTCACTCTAATCGAAAGTAAGTTCATCTAATTGTTTGATCATTCCTAGTTGGGAGATGTCGTCTTGGGATACGATATTATTCCCAGGTCTATCAACAATTAATGAATTCATTTTGGCTCCAACAGCAGCTTTAACTTCGTTGACGTTATCACTGAGAAAAAGAACTTTCGAAGGTTTGTCAGCATAACCAATGTCTTTAAGAATACTTTCATATGATGAGGTTTCTTGTTTGAAACCTGAAGTAGTAATATCAAAATATCCTGACAAATAACCATTCAAATCCACTGATCCTTCTTCTGACTTGACATATGCAAATAAAAGTTTTTGGGCTTTGATACTACCGGAGGAGTATATATAGACTTTACCTTTGAAATTTTTAATGGCATCTATAGCATCATCATAAATAGGTGCAACAATTTCACCTTTTTCATATCCCAATTTCCAGATAAATCCTTGCAAGGACTTCAAGGTTGGATCTTTAATATCTTTACTGACCAAATCATTTAAATGGCCTATCAAAGTTGTAGCATCTTGAGTAATTGATTGTGGAAATCCAATCAAGATATTATTGATCTGAGATATTTCATCTTCGCCAGATACTTTTTCAAGAGGATAAGTCAAGGATTTCAAGATCTCAGGGGATTTATTAAGGAAATAAGGGAATAATTCATCTTTAACGAAGGAGATCGGACATATAGTTCCTTCAATGTCTAATAATAAAATATCAACGTTAAACTTCATTTTATTTCTGAGACCCATGCGCATCAAGGTTTAGTATTGTCAATGGTGGAGAGAGATGGTGGGTGAATTTTGGTGGGAGCTGATTAATGGACTTGGAATGAGCTGGCAGATAACCAACAAACATTTACATGATCAAACCCAGTAACAGGGGCAATTATACTTTAGGCAGAACAAGTAAACCTTCACATTTTGGTTGATTACATAATTGATTACGTAATCAAACAACAACCCAGTATAGGTGAATAGTGAAGACAAAACTGAAGGGACATTGAATCAAGCGGGGCCGATAAATTATCTGATCTTTTTTCTCCTTCATATGCTACAAATACGACAATACCCAAATTAAGTTTAAGACATCAGATTTACCCAACAGATAACGGGCGACACACGACATTACCTTCAATTGCAGCTCGCGCAAACCATATTTGCATCATTCTTATCAGCACTTGCTTAAGTTAAACACCGGGTTTAACAAAACTTGGACGGACATTCATAGATTTTAAGCAGCATTTGCTAGATTTCGAAACAATATGGATCACGAGACAGAACCCCTTTTCGAAGAAGAACTAGATTATGTAAATGAAGACCACATCCATGCATTCGCTAAAGCTTTAGTATGGGACGAAATGGATCATGACCCTGCACCAGTGAGTAAGTTCCCCGAAGATGAAGTGGAGTTAGCTACACAAGAAGGGGTTGAAGGTAATGCGGTATTAACACCAGGAAAACCAATCAAAATCACATCTAAGAGTGATTGGTATCCTGTTCATAGAGAGATGATACGAAAGAAAGAGAAGCTGAAAAAGAAAGATAGAGTGGCCAACGAATTTAGAGCTAGCATAGGTTATACATTATTGAGATGGCCACTTCTAACGTTTGTAGGGATGTGGATCATATTTCTATGTGTATTATATTCCATAGTAAGATTTTATGTTGCATTGTCAGAATACTATTTAACCTGGATAGGACAGAGGAAGAAGCTCAGAGATAACCTTAGGAATTCCAAGACTTATGAAGAATGGGTAGAGAATGCCTTGGCTTTAGATAGGTATTTGAATCTCGATAAATGGTCAATAAACTCCAAATTTTCATATTATGACTATAAGACAATCCGTTTGACTATTCTGAAATTGAAAGCCCTCAAGAAGGATAGTCTAGATCATGAGCTTTTGGTATTTTTACAAGGATGTTTAAAGACCAATTTTGCAGGTATTGAAAATAGACAATTATATAGTCACCGATATTTTGGGACTAAACATTTGGTTGAAGAATATGTTCAAGTGGTCACCGAATGTATAGATCACATAACTGATTCCAAAAATATCAATATTGGTACTAAACGAAAGTTCTTCCGTATAGCTTCTAAGAATTATGGGAAATCAGCTTTATGTTTAAGTGGAGGGGCTTGTTTTGCTTATACTCATTTTGGAGTAATCAAAGCTCTTTTAGATAATGATTCCTTACCTTCGATAATATCAGGGACTTCAGGTGGTGGTTTGATAGCTGCATTGGCTTGTACACGTACAGATGATGAATTAAGGCAATTACTCGTACCCCAATTAGCTAGAAAAATTACTGCTTGTGAAGATCCATGGTATATATGGTTACCAAGATTTTGGAAAACCGGTGCAAGGTTTGATACCATTGCATGGGCTAAGAAAGCTCAGTTTTTCACCAGAGGATCTATGACGTTCCAAGAATCGATGAAACGTTCAGGAAGAAAATTAAACATTTCGACAGTTCCTGCTGATCCTCATTCTCCAGTGATTTTATGTAATAATATCACATCCCCCAATTGTATAATATGGTCAGCATTACTTGCGTCATCGGCAGTTCCTGGGATTTTGAAGCCGGTGGTTTTAATGATGAAAAATCCAAATGCTGATAATGAAATAATCCCCTTCTCCTTGGGTAACAAATGGAGAGACGGATCTTTAAGGACCGACATCCCTATAGATTCGTTGAATACCTACTATAATGTGAATTTCACTATAGTTTCTCAAGTCAATCCCCATATTCTGTTGTTCTTCTATGCTCCTAAAGGGACTGTTGGAAGACCAGTAGCCATCTCAAGACGTTATACTCATAAACAACAATTTGAATCCTTTAGAGGTGGATTTATTGGTACAGCTATTGAACAATTATTAAGATTGGAAATCACTAAATGGTTGAAGATTATCAAATCTTTGGATTTACTTCCTCATTTCTTAGAACAAGATTGGCTGAATATTTGGCTTCAAAGATTCAGTGGATCCATTACAGTTTGGCCCAGAAATAGATTGAAAGATTTCTGGTACATTTTAAGTGATCCTACAGAAGAAAGATTAGAGGAAATGTTAATGAAAGGTCAAAGATCAATGTTTCCTCGTCTACATTTTATTAAGCATAGATTGAGCATTGAACGTGCTATTGAAAGAGGTAGAAAAGTTGCTAAGCTCAGCAATAACATCAAACAAGATTCACCTCAGGAAGGACCTAACGGAGATTTCAGGGTTCATAACGTTGAATACGATGATGATGAAACTGATTCTAGTGAAGATGAAAGAATCGGGCCATCACCTTTTGATAAGAAATATGGCGATTCAGACGAAGAACCTTACCTCAGTGAGAGTCGAACTGCCAGCCCCGAATTTGCTGGATTCAATCCTGGTGATTATGATTCTGATGACACTAGAGATAGAAGACGTTATACTATCTTTTGAAAATTTAGGCATAGGACTATTGAAATGTATATTGTACTCATGAATGCTTGGAAAAATATGCGTTGACTTTGTTGGTATCACCAACTTCTCCTTCAACCTCTAATATATAGTCTATATAATCAATAGCAAGGGGAATCCCTTTCGATTCTAAGACTTCCTTGTCTTGAAGTCTAAATGGTGATAGCACCCAATCAGCCATGGTGTCCCTTGTGGCATTAGAAGGCTTTGGACCTATACCAACTCCTAATTTATATACATTATCACCATTCTTCATATACTTCAGTACGCTCTTTATACCATTATGTGATTCATTCTTTTTAAATTTCGAAATCTTTACTTTCCCCAAATCATTTTCGAAATCATCATAAAGTACCACCAATATCACCTGATCAGACGAGATCTTGTTTGATTCAAAAAATTTCTTGAGAGCCTTATCTGATTCATTCATATAACTATTAGATTTGACAAACACCAAATTCTCTATGGTTGATGAAGAATAAACCGACGATTTAACAAGTTGCTTAGCTCCTAAATGATCCATTACTGACTTCAACACCAAGTGACCCACGGAATGTCTATTCATGGGCCCTGGATTACCTATGGAAAATATCACTATCATGGCTGCAATGCGTATTTTTTTGCGACAAAACCAAAAGTCAATGAGTGAAGCAAACCAACCGTCCATTGACGAAGAAGAATTCGATGATGATTTTGATGATTTTAATGAACCAGTAATGGCAACTGTTAATGAAGAAGAAGATGACGATGATTTTGGATCGTTTGATGATGGAGAACACGTAACGGATTTCACATCTCAAGATGTTGATATTGATCTGGTAATCAAATTCCAAAATATAGATGACTTTGATGGCAATTTAACTACAGCTATTGATAAATTGTTTGATTTAACGATACCTGAAGGTGATAAACAACAAGAAGGTCAATTACTTGATGAAAGATCGGGTCAAATTTATCAACAATTATCCAAATTACCACATTTAAAACCTAACAATTGGTTAAAATCAAGAATACGTCATAATCTTTTGATCAAATTAGGTATACCTGTAAATTTAGATGAAATTGTAGACGATAAAAGGGATACTTTGGCTATACCAAAAACCCACCAAAGAAGAAAGTCCATTAACGAAGAAGACATCATATGGGAAGTTGAAATCCCTGATCTTGAACAACTCAATATCTCCAATGATGAAAAGGACGAACTTATCAACAAAACCAATGAGATATTATCAAAAATTGAAACTGATAACTTAAACAATTCATCTCAATCATTTATGCAACAAGAGAACGAAGAAGAGTTAAAGAATAAATTACTACAATTGCGTGAAAATCATCAACAATTGATAAAAGTCAGTTCAGTATGGAATCACGAATTCAAAGAATGTAAGAAGAATTTCGAAATTTATGAATCAGTTGTTCAAACATTTATAGGGTACAGTCAAAAATTAGAAAGAGATGCTTTATTGAATAACATTAAACATTTAAAGAGTAAATCTAAAAAGTCTTTATGGAGATAACCCTCATGATAATCACGACCTTTTTTTTTTCTTACAGAAATATAAGATAGCTTAAGACTTCAAAGTTTGAAAAATCTGAAACAAATTATGAAATTTGAAACAAATCTGAAACGATTATGAAATCTGAAACAAATTGCGAACCCATCTCTGAAACACCTAAATTACATTATATACATATTTTCTTATTGTTGGAAATTGAAAAAAGATCCAATATCATCTGAACCAAAATTGTCAGCTCCTGAATGTAAATTCATATTGATAAAAGTATTATCAATAAAATTGGTGAAAGTACCACCAGGAGTTTGAGGAAGATTAGTATCAAGATTAAGATCTCCTCCCATATTATTGTTGATAACATCATTAACGTGACTAGGACTTTGGGTTCTAGTAGGAGGTAAACTCAATTTTATATCAGGGAATAATTGAGTAGGTTCAAAATTTTCAAAGAAATTTTGATTTGTGGGCATATTTTCCGTCACCAAAGAGATGTCGGGGAATGAATCGTGAGAAGAATTTGGAGAAGTGTCACTTTTCTTTTGATGACTGAATTCTTCTAATGCTGAAGTATTACTCTCCACACTATTAGGTTGTAAAGGTTTTTTCATTTCATGAACCATTTTTTCGAAAGGAGTTTTGGTAGGATCAGGATGATTGATATAGTTATCACCTCTTGGAGAAATACCTGAAGCAATTGAATGAGTTGGAGAAATTAAATCTGAAGGAGGAGTTCCATCAGCTCCATCACCATTGAATTGTGATTTCCCATAATAAGCTTTTAAATTCTTTTCAGTAACTGCAGCTCTTCTGGCACTTGAAAGTTCTTGATTCATTGCAAGTCTAGTTGATCTTTCAATAACTTCAGCTCTTTTGAATTTATCACTAGCATATTTTTCGAATAATTTATGTAACACTGAAGCAATGGAGAAATTCTTAGATAATTCTTTCAACACATTGGTTAAAATAACTAAGGAATCGGAAGCAGTAGATGAAATCAATTTGTTGGTTGAATCCACATGATAAATTAACATCAATAAAGCACTGTAGATAATATAAACAAATACCACAGGACAAACTCCAATCAATTGTTTCTCTAATAAGATTTTTGCAATAATGGATATCATTCTAGCAGCTTGGAAAGAAATCCCCCATGAAGGATATTTATAATTGTTTGGATTGGAAGAACTTGATCTTGCCATTCTAATCAAATTAGATCGATGAATCAAGTATAATCTATTATAATATTGAGCATTCAAAAGACAATTATAAAAATCTTGTTTGGATTCATCGGTGACGGAGAATGTCAATTGAGGTGGAAGATTGGTAAACCAAATCCCCATTAACATATCACAATGTTGAATAATCGAAAATTTATTCTTACGTTTCATTGATTCAGCTTTAACAGTATATTGATGTCTAACAATAATACCGGTAATTTCTGCCAACTTAACTAAATGAATAAAATAAAGTGCTGCTTTTTCATTAAATGGGTATGGCGAAACGATACCAGTCTCGTCATCATTTTCATCAAAATCTTCCAATGTCAACATAGGAACATCACAATCATTCAAATCAATAACTGTTGGTCTACCAAAGGCAATGGCTACATTACGATCTTTTTCAAATAAACACCACCAGACTCTTCTCCATATTTTCTTTTCGTTATTACTCAAAGGAGAATTAGAGACATCTCTGTGAATACCAAATCCTTGAGCCAAACCAATTGCAACCCTAGTCCAATAAAATGAATTCTTAGTGACATCTTCAGGTCCTTCCCAGTAGGTACCAATTAAAAGTAATGTTTGAACTATGGTTATTGGATCACTTTCATAATTTGTCTCATATAAGGCCTTAGCTCTACGGAAGAACGTCAAACATGCTAAATTATTGGAATTGTTTGAATCTAATAACAAAGGATTATTTGATACTCTACAACCACACAATAAAACTGCTTGTAATAACATCAAGGGTGGGTTATCATTAGGATCATTGAATTTGGCCATAAATTCTGTACGATTAACACAAGGTAACAAAGGAGCTGCTTTTTCAAAGTAAGTATTAATCAAATCCAATGCTAAATCTTTATCAGGTAAAAGAAAGGCTCCTCTAATTTTCAAAATTTCTAATTCTACGGAATCTAAAGAATTTTCATTAACATCAAATACATCTTCATTTAATTGAACATGGTTATCACCAACATTTTGTGCTACAAGACCAACCGACGTTGCCCCTAAGAACGTGAATGATGCTTTAGCTTTACTTAATAATAACTCTTTCTTATGAACTGAAGGACGATTTTTATATTTCGATGTTAATGATGGTGGGATACTAACTCTACTAATATTCAATACAGGTTCACTGGAACTAACTTGAGGTTTATCCGGACTTACTTCTTTAGTGAAATCATCGTCTTCTAATTTGATATGCAGTTCTTCATTTTTCTTTCTTTTAGCTTCTACTGATCCATTACCTCTTTTTTTAGCTGCTGGTAAAACACAATCACATCCAAAGGTTATACAGTTGGTACAAGGAATATGAATTTCGGCATCACATCTAACTTTCCTCGATCTACAAACCACACAAGCTCGAGAACCTCTGGGTCTTTTATATTTGATGGTGAATGCCTTAGGTTTGGCACTGTCCTTTTCTTTTCCAGTACCTGACATCCTTTAAAAACTTCTCCAGATAATGTGTGCGAATCGACGTTTATTTTTCTCGGAGTACATTTCAGGGTATGGGTGTACTGATGGCACGCAGGGACTGGAGTTTTCCAAGAAATGGTATGGGAAATTGGGGTTTCAAGGGTTGGTGGGACAAGATACGCTAGTGAAGTTCCCGGAGGTGATGATTTCGGACGTTTTGATGGTAATTGGGGAGTTATGTCAAAACATGAGAATAACCCATCGTACATCAACACGTATGACCTAAGATGAGCATGAAGAAGGATAGATGTAGAAGGAATGTGCAGGTTTGGAGCCAAGAGAGGTACAAGAGACTGGTCAATAAGGGGACGGTGTGAAAGTTACCTATAGACGAGTTGACGTTAAGAAAGCTACTAATGACAGAGAAAGATGGTCAGGATCAAAATCCCAATTTATATTCCTACTTCCAATTTAATCCAGCACTAAGATTAAGGAATATGTGTTCGTCAACAATCTCCCTGGCTTGTAATCCTCCGCCAAAGAAATTGGAGTTGTAATCATCATCAACAAAAATATCTATCCCTTCCATATTATAATCTAATGGAAGTACGTGTCGATAGATATAAGTATTTTCAGCTTCAGCTTGATTCAATTGATTGTCTATGGATTGAATAGTCTCTATTGGTGGTTGAATGAGTGGGGTGACATTATATGGAGAATCATCATAAACATATTCTTTCTTATCATTGACCGATGTAGTAGATAAATTATCCGGTGTAGCCTTTTCAGAATCTGATATTGAGGACGCTCCTGATACGTTTGCTTTAATGCCATTGTTATTCTCCAAAAGCGGTGAAAACAATTGACTGGAATCAAAATTATGGAAGAAATCATCATCAAATGAAGGTAAGTCATAAGTTATGATGGTGGAAAAAGGTAAATCCGGATCTTCATATTCCTTCCTGGTAATTTTGAATATTCTATCACTATTGCTCTTTGAATTCAATAAAGCATTGATTTCCAATGGTCTTATATAATTCATAGTTGTCCAAACTTCCTGAATTCTGGAATTTTCCTTGATCAAGAGATTCTTAGCAATCTCCCCTACTTTTGGATCAACTTTCTTATTCTCTACAAATGCTCTTATGAGTGGTACAATACCTTTCCAATCATTTTGAACCAAATCAAGAGTTTTCAAACATGATTTCAATTGTTTTTCCGAAGTTTCTTTGACCACCAGTACATTGGATTCAATATGAAACTCTAAGAATACAATGGCCAATGAAATGTTATAAACCATTGTTCCAGGAATAAGTATTGAAGGATTTTTCAGTTTCAATGACGATGCAACTTCACCAATATGTGAAATCATATAAATACTTTGGTATGAAATCCCCCAGAATTGAGTATTGGATTTATCTGTCAATCTGATTCTATTGATATGATACAAAGCACCATAGTAATTAACAGCCAATACTAAAGCAAAGATGTTCTTGGAATTAGGATTATCGATAGAATATCGAAGAAACGAGGGTAATTCTTTCATGTATAATCCCATCAAAAGATTTATCTGTTTGATCTTACAGAATAATCGATGATAATAACTTTCCAGTTTATATTTTTCATTGATCATTAAGTATTGATCTCGTACAACTAAAGCCATGACTTCAGCCAATTTCAATTGATGAACATAATATTGTCCTTCAACATAATCTTTGGTATTAGTTTTCTTCCAATTATATTCGTATAACTCATAATCTTTGATGGTGATTCTTTCAACATTACATTGCTTAAGATCAACCAATAATGGTCTTCCAAAGGCTGTGGAATTCAAAATATCTCGTGAATACATGAACCAGAAGATTTTCCTCCATATAAAGAATTGTCTATGTTTGATATTGTCGAAGACTTCTTGTTGATGGGGAGAACAGTATTTTTGGAATTGGGCATCAAAACATGATGTGATTTTACTGGTCTTCATATCAGAATGTAATCCATAGGCAAATGCCAATAGTACTCCTGATCTTAACCAGAAATAAGGACCTTTAGTGAAATCCTCAGGTCCATCCCAATACATTGACAAAAGTAACTGTGTTTGGAGGATAGTAGTTGGATAATTGAACATAACATAACCATCATCAACATCATATTTATCATCATTATTATAATTTCCTATGTATTCGAAAATCAAACTGGTATCAATCAATGCTTTGACTCTCTTGTACATGATTCTATTTGCAGTTGATACCGATCCATCACTATCCAAGACAGCTGGATGTTTACATAATTTCAACCCAGAAAGAAGAATGACTTGTATTAAGATCAAAGGAGGTCTTTGTTTAATATCTGGGTGATCAAAATGTCTCAAAAATGATTCTTTTTCAATGATGGGAGCATGTGGATGGAAATGTTCAAAAAATGAACTAATCAATTGTCTACAAATGAATTTAGAAGGGAGTTTAAAGGCACCTTTAATTTTCAAGATTTCAATTTCTTCCTGGATCTCTTGAGCCGTCAATTGATTTTCTGGTTTATTAGTGGGATCACCAGTGCTTGACCACGGACCTGTGACATCAGGAGCAAAATATTGATAATATGAAGGTGCACTATGATAAATCATCTTTGAATATTCACTTCTATTAGCTATTTTCAACCCATTACTCGGTATGGAGAAATCCGATGCATCGAAGTTGGGAGTAAGGTCAGTCATTGATATATTGGCACAGGCGTTATTGGGGATGAAAAATTCATTATCAATATCCCAAGGGGAAAGTTCCAAAGGTGATTTCTGTTCAATTTGAGGTTTTGGGAAATTTGGTGGTGGGATGGTGATTTTAGTGGTTCTTGGGGGTTGGGATTTAATCACCGGTGGAGTTTGTCCAGGTGGTGTTTGACCTGGTGGATTTTGACCTGGTGGATTCTGTCCATGAGGCGATACTAAAGGACCTTGTATGGGAGGTGTCAAATAAGTGATGGGTGAGTAATAATTACCAGGATACATTGGATGTTGAGATATTTGCATCGGAAACGTTGGTGGGACCTGATTTATAGGCGATGTGTTGGTGGATGACATATTTGGATATTGGCTTTCCACTGGTGGTGGAACGGATTGTCCTTGGTTCTGTGGTAAGGAGTAATTATATGAAATTTGTTGGGGATAAAAATTATTCAATCTTTTCTCTTGTTCCAATTGTTCATTAACTCTGTTAGTCAAGAAATCATTGGAGTTCTTAATAGGGCCGCTGTATCTCCTTCGTTTCTTTAACTCTGGGAATTTACATTCACAACCAAAAGCCTTACAGTTGGAACAAGGCATTTGAGTTTCTGCATTACATCTAACTTTCCTATATCGACATACTTCACAAGCACGGGAACCTCTTGGTTTCCTGAATTTCCAGGTTCCTGAGTTGGTATCAGTGTTGGACATTCTTAAAACAAGTCCAGCCGTTGAATATTTATTGACACTTTATGTCTCGATCAATGGGTTTAACAAATTCAGATGCGATATGGAACGAAATGTGCGTCAGAGAAGATGGTGCTGTAACTGCCCTATTGGGGAGACATTTCGCGCACCGTTGAGAGATGAGGATTTTATGAATAATTCATTTAGAATATCTTTAGGTTTAGTGGCCATTGGGTTTTTGGTTAAACAATTGGTCGATTATTATACCGAAGAAAAACTCACCAAATTACCTCCTACATCTCGTGGTATTGAAAGTCTTGTTGGGAATACTCCTTTAATAGAGATCAAGTCATTATCTAAATTAACTAATTGTAAGATATATGCTAAATTAGAATTAAATAATCCTGCTGGAAGTGCTAAGGATAGAGTTGCATTAGCTATCATCAGAGCTAATGAAAAACAAGGAAATCTTATACCTAATAATGGAGATATCATATTTGAAGGAACTTCAGGCTCAACAGGTATATCATTTGCTTTGTTATCTAATGCTTTAGGTTATGATACTCATATTTGTTTACCAGATGATACTGCTGAAGAGAAAGTCAGATTATTGGAAAGTTTGGGAGCTACCATCGAACCTGTACGACCAGCATCTATAGTGGATCCAGAACAATATGTCAATGCTGCTAGATCAAGAGCCGCAGCCATTAATGATAAATCCGATGGCCAAAATGCTATATTTGCTGACCAATTTGAAAATGATTTCAATTGGAGAGTTCATTATGAAACCACCGGTCCAGAGATTTATACTCAATTGAATGGAGATATCGATTGTTTCATAAATGGTTCAGGTACAGGAGGTACAATAGCAGGAGTTGGGAAGTATTTAAAACAACATAAACCTCAAGTTAAAGTGGTGTTGGCAGATCCTCAAGGTTCAGGATTAGCTAATAGAATCAATTTTGGGGTTATGTACGATAATGTTGAAAAGGAAGGTACTAGAAGAAGACATCAAGTAGATACTATAGTAGAAGGGATTGGATTGAATAGACTTACCTGGAACTTCAAACAAGCAGAACCGTTTATAGATAAAGCCATTAAGGTACTGGATTCACAAGCTATTAAGATGGCGAAGTTTTTATGTGTTAACGATGGATTATTTTGGGGTTCATCAGCAGCTATTAATTGTGTTGCTGCCGTCAAAATGGCTTTGGAAATGGGTCCTGGTCATAACATAGTCGTTGTTGCCTGTGATTCTGGGTCAAGACATTTATCAAAATTCTGGAAGGAAGCTAGAGCTGTACCTAATGATATCAAATTGTACGATGTTCTTGAGTAAGCAAGAGCTACACCTAATGATATCAAATTATATGATGTTCTTGAGTAAGGTATTCTACTAATGTATATATTAATGCACTAATTTACAACGTTTTTCTTATTAATCTTCTACTTCCCGCCAATCATCTTTCTTCTGGTCTCTCTATATATCTTATATGTACTCAAACTGGCAGCACTGATACCAAACCATATTTGGAAAGTATCAAAAGGTAATCTCCAATTGAATACTGTATAACTATCGAAAATGAAATCCGATATCCATTTATAAAGATCAAGGTAAGCATTCATTTTCTTAAACTTGATTTCTTCCAATTCTTTTGAATCTCCATTACTGGAATTTTCATTATAATAGTTTATAAGAATATTATTGGATTCATTTCTATGACCCAAAATTTGTTTAGATAAACTTCTAGCTTTGTTTTTAACTTGAATTTGGATATTTAAGTCCATTTCCTTTTGTGATAATTTATTAATATTATCCACAGCATTATAAATACCCAAAATGGAATCGTAATACCATGCTAAAGATTCATGTCTACCAACAACTTTACGGACACTTTTGTTAGTTAAAATCCCCAATTTGAACATCAATAAACATTCATCATTGATACCGTAATAAAAACCAATAAGTTCACCTAAGAATTTTCTGGTCAAGAGTTCATTAAAATTACCTGATTTTTGAACTTTTTGCATCTTATGATAAAGATCTCTTATACGGAAAGGAGTTTTACCAAATCTTAAAAATTGTCTATATGTTGATAATCCGTTAACCATACCTTTGAATCTATCATTGAATCTTGAACAGAAAAGTATAACTACGATTTTAGCAAAATCAAAAGGATGTTTGATGAAATTCCTCAATAAATTCAATTTTTTGGTTCTATCATTATACCTCCCATTTATAATATCGATATTTATACTATCATCAGAAAGATATTCTTTGGTTTGGTTAGCATGATAAAGAAGTAATCTTAAAAGGTATTGACCAACTTTAGCCAATTTATCTTTACCTGTAAGATTATTTATCATGGCAAAAAGGATGTCAATAGAAGACACATTGGCGATTTCTTTAACTTCTTTAATGTCCTTAGGTTTTTGTTCTTTCACAAGATCAATCTTTTCGTCAAATTTATTCTTCCCATCAGTTATGGGAGTTATGTAAGATTGGAACTTTGACCTCACGGGAGTTTCAAATTTAGGTTCCACTTTAGATTCTTCAGTAACAGTAACAGACATTTTAACAGGACTTGGAGAATTTATTGGTGAATCTATCCACTGAGAATGAGTTGGGTATATTTGTTTATCTATGCTATGATACTTATTTGGCGTCACAGAATGAATACTATGAAGATTATTAGTTAGTGGGGTATGTAACCTAGGAAGGCTATCTCTTAGTGGTATTACCGGTATGGAGTCAATGGTTATGGAATAATCAGTCATTAGCGGGATTATTGTTTTTATATATCTCGGTGCGGAAAGTTGATGTTACATATGATTTTCTGTGTTACAATGTTACAATGGAAGTAAACGATGAGATGGTTCGCGAGGTTTATAGAGTAAATGGTACTAACGATGGTAACGGAAAGATTCGCCGATGGTGTCTAACCTCATGTCCACCAATCAATTTAGATAGGGGTTATTTTTTCTATCAACATGGCTGGCAGTATAACCTAGTTAGGAATGGAGAGGAGAGTGAAAAACTTTTTTGGGATTAGAACCAGCATGCATATGACTTAAAATTTGAATAAATAATAGATAATTTCGGACTTTCGAGGTATAAAGCCTTTTGGCAATACATCTTATCGATCACCTAATTGAGTAATGGTAGCCGAGGTGTTGGGAAATTAGAAGTGAATGTCGTTAACTCATAAATTTTTAACATCAGGTCCATTAGGTCCCATCATAAATGCTCCTACGGATCCTAAATAACCTTCATGTCTTAAGAAATAACTTTTCATATCTCCCTTTGACCAGAAATTCACCGCATAACTTAATGTATGAATAGTTTGTTTATGACCTGAAATATAACTTCCACCAAAATAAATCCTTTTTAAATCGTATTTTAATGCATGCAAGTAAGATATTTGTCCGATATTATTGGAAACGGAATATAACAATGATCTTGCGATGTCTTCGGGTTTAAATTGGGATAATTTCTCTGCGGCTGTCATATTTTTAGAATTATTGAATCTTAACTTTTTGAATACTTTAGCAAATGAACTAGCAATATGGGATGATTTTAATCCGATTTTATTATAATTGGTACCATAAATATCACCCACCAATAAATCAATATTTTCATTATCACCTCTGGAGGCCATTTCCAACATTTCATTATAATCTTTGGCATCAGTTAATAATGATAATAATCCCCATAATGTACCTCCACCTAATGATGAACCTCCGATTCTTTCAAACCCCTGAGGTCCTGGTCCTACAACTTTGATCATAGATACTCCACTTCCGATGTTTACTAATAAATATGGATAAATTTGATTATCTTTGGTGTATGGACTTGAAATGAATTTGGTGGTATTATCTTCCAAATCATAAATAAAGATTTCGTTAGGAATTTTCGTTATGAACCAATCCAATCCTTTGATCAAACATTCCATTTCATCTTTAGCTATGATCTTCATGGGTAATTTGTTCTTGGAAAATGTCTTTGTCATTAAATTATAAAATTTTTGACTTCCACCTCCAGTAGCTATGATATAAGTAATTGGAGGTAATTCCAATTTATTGAATGAACGTCTTATTAATCTTATCATGAACTTTAATACTTCATTAGGGAAATTTTCTGTTTGGAAATCTTTGAAATGTAATTTTCCTCCTGTAAGTTTATCATTGACCTTTTTACTTTTAGTGAAATAAACTAATTTGGTTAAAGTTCCACCAATATCAACAGATATGTGAATCACTTCAGCATTATGTGAAGGTAAGGTGATATTCTTAGTCAAATCATGTTCATCATCTTCTTCTTCACCACCATTAGATTCTCCTGTACTTTCAGTACTATTACCTAAATCAATATCAAGATCTTCTTCAGGATCACTATTTTCCGGACTGGCACTTGAAGAAAGGTTATTTTCAATACCTAAAAGATGATCATTAGCTATATAAGCACCTGAAACATCTAATTTTATCGTTCCAATGTCTACTAAATCTAAATTTATATCCTCTGACATCTATACCTGGGGATTTTTCGGAGTTTTAAAGGATGAAAATTCAATATCAATTGGGAATTTTTCCAGTTTTAACAAATCAATGATGTAATTTATCTATACCTCTAATTCCTTCTAGTGAAAGTTTCGTTTAAAATCTCTTGCAAGTGAAAAAATTATTGATTTCCAATGAAAAGTAGATTTTCAGTCGTATAAAAGGAAAATTTTTTGTTGGGGTTCGCGATCTCATTGAACAGGTGGGTGCAAACCTTTAAAAACCTATATACCGGTTACATAAGCATATTTCTGGTGATCATTATATTATAGAGGGTAGAAGAATGTCGGAGTCACCATTGGTTTTAGTGAATGATTATTTACCCGAGGAATATCACTTGGATTTACAAATCTCGTCCATAAAACCTAATTTCCAAGGGTATTTAAAGTTCCCCTTAAAACGGGCCAGAAATGATTTTGATCAGTTTAAATTAGTCTTGCATGGTCATAAGTTGATAATATTGGAAGCTCTTGTAGGGGGTGTTAAATTAGATGTCAAATATGATAAACCGGCTCAAAAAATCGAATTATCAACTTCTCAACCCATTTCCCAATTTGATGTTACTATTAAGTATGTTGGTAGTATACAATCTCTTGATACCATTCAACAAACAAGAGGTGTGTTCAGATCTCCAGGTGATAAAGTAATAATATCAACTCAAAGTCAACCTATTTTTGCCAGACAGATCTTACCTTTAATTGATGAATCAAATTTCAAAATTCCTTTTAAGTTGACCATTACCACCGAAAAGCATTTCAAAGTCATTGCTAATATGGGATTAGAAGCTGAATCTGTTAATGGAGATGAAAAAACCAGTGTTTTCAAGAAATCCCCTCCTATCTTACCAAGTACTATTGGTTTCACTATAGGAGAATTAGAAGGGAAAATTATTCAATCTTCTATACCTATAGGTGTTTATGGTACCAAAGAAGATATGGAAAGTGTCAATATTCCATATATCATGAGTATTTTAGAGAAAGTGTTCCCATTGATTCAATCAAAATTAGGTGCTTACCCATTGGATAAATTGGATATCATTGGAGTTCCTTATTTGACTGAAGGAGCTATGGAGAATTGGGGGATGATTACTGTTGTAAAAGATCATTTGTTTAAAGGTCATGAATTACATATTAAACAATTGTTATCCCATGAACTCATTCATCAATGGTTAGGAAATTTAGTTTCCTTCGATAACTGGAAATATTTATGGTTAAATGAATCTATGGCTACGTTATTAGGTAATTATTTTGTCTCCGTATTGGATGGTAATGATGAAGCGTTCAAGTTAGATCTTATGACTATCAATGAACGATTATGTAATGATGATCATCATAGCATTGAAAAGTTCATGAATTCTTTAGTTATTAATAATGATATAACCACCAGTTATCTTTTCAACCATCAGGTTTATGAAAAGGGGATTATAATCCTCAGAATGTTAGTTAATGTTATTAGTGATAAAGTTGATGATTTTGATAAATTTTTTGAATTTTTAAAAGATTTCGTCGAATTTTATAAATTCAAATCCATCAAACCTCAAGATTTATGGACTTTTATCTATAAGGATTTGTCAGTAGATTTATTAACATTCGTAAACATTTGGATCCGTTATGATAAGTTCCCAACCTTACAAATTACCATCAATGATAACCAATTGACCATTGAGCAAATGCAAAGTAAAGTATATCATTTCCCCTTGATTTTGAAAACTTCTAATGGATCTAAGAAAGTTTATATCATGAACAAAGTGACAAAAGTAGAAATCTCCGATCTTTTAGTTATCAATCAAGATAAAATCACCTTGTTTAAAGGAGATATCTCCAAGAAAATCATTAAAACTATCGATATCTCCCAATTGAATAAATTAGATACCAATGTGTACTTAATTGATTACAAAGCAGGAGATTTCAATAAGAAACTTCAACAACATGTAAATAATTTGTAGATAGAAAATATAGAACCAACCTTTATTAATCTATAATGAGAGTAACATCAATAGCAATGATTGATGATGGATGATATGAAATGAATGGTTAAATGAATTGAAAAGGGGGACTTTGATAAGTCAATTATCAAATATTCCAGTTAACTTCTCGTTTGTTATAAACGAAATCTAAGATATTGTTAGCGAAATTATCAACGGAATCAACAGAATTGTTCTCTTTTTTTAAATTTGAATAAGATTTCTGATTGTGTACATGCTTTGAAGTACAACCACATTTACAATCATGTGTAAGAAGATCTTCTTTGTACTTTTTCTTTCTATTGGGGTTTAAATTGCTTGAACTAGCGAATTTTTGGAGTCCTTTGTGAGTATAATTGGAGGGAGTGTTGTGGGATGAATTGTGGGAGGAATGTGAACTGTGGGAATGTGAACTGGAGTGACTGTGTGAACTGGAATGACTGTGTGAATGACTGTGTGAACCTGAATGACTATGACTGGGCTGACTATGACTTGAACTCCTGGATCCACTAGAACTCTGTGAACTATGACTTCCCTTACGACTATTATGTCCTAAATGAGAATTACTATGCACTAAACTTGGTCTGGTCTTGGAAGTGGTAGAATTGTTGGATGTATTTGACGATGATCTGGAATGATTTGAATTCTTGGATTTTAATGAGAAGTTAGAATTCACTGATGATGTTCTGGTATGATTATCTTCTTTATCCTTCTTCTTGAATCGAGATTTCAATTTACTTGATAATTGTGAATCCATTGATAAATTGTCTTTAATGACTATAACTTCAACTGAAAAAATCTACAAACTGCCCCAAAATTTTTAACTTTTCACTCAGATCAAGGCGTATGGCAATGAAAATTATCGATAAGATATGTTTTTTCCAACAGATGAAAAAATTGAAAAGTTTGAAAATTTACTTATTCAATGGTAATTGCAGCCCCTTTATTGAAAATTATGGAAAATAAAGTAAAAAAAAAATTTAGCACTTCGTACCGTGACATAGACATAGAGATTTTAAAAAGGGTTAAATAGTTGACTACGCAATTGAGACATCTGATTTTGCTCTTAATCATTTTCCACTTCACAATGTCACGAGATCTACAGGGTATGGAGATCTGATGACATCAATAATTGGATATTTGTACCGGTTAATATCAACCAAGTAAATAATATATAAGATCAACTGATCTTCAAATCCTCGATCGACTCCTTGCCTCAGATCATTGCAAACTCCTTACCTCAGATCATTGGAAAGGGGATGTTTCCGGAATTAATAGTAGTCTCAAGGTTCAATTTCTATTATACTAAAGTTTTGATCTTCCTCCGGCTTATTATTTGTTACAAATATTATGTAACATGAACCCTATTCCTATTGTAGCGTTTTGAAAGGAAATTCTCGTGTCGAGTCGCCATTCCACTCCACCCTTTTTTTTTGCCATTATTCCCCGTAGGTTGCCTATTGGTCTAATGTTGAAAAGAAACTCAACTGAGATTTAAAGTTATTTAGTGGTCTTCGCCATGACTTGACTACATCCCTTGAAAAAGTTAATTTTCCATTCAACGGTAAAAATGTGTGAATGCAAAATGTCGCGTTCTTATCCATCCCTATGGAGTTATATTCAAATCTAGATCGTTAGATCGTTATATATTGATATATTTACAAGTTGTTTTTTTCTTGGGGTATTATTCCTTATCAGCTTCTTTAGCTTCTTGCTCTAATTCTAAAGTTTCTTGAATATTCCATAAATTAGCATATAACGAATCTTTACTTAAAAGTTCATAATGGGTTCCTTCTTCTTCAACACTTCCTTTATTCAAAACAATAATCTTATCACTATCAGCAATAGTTCTTAATCTATGAGCTATTGAAATGTTTGTGTAATTGGAATCTGCAAAAACTGTTCTGATGGTCTTCAATAAATTCTGCTCAGTGTGAGTATCTAAGGCACTGGTAGCTTCATCGAAAAATGTTATAGGAGATTTCTTTAAAAGTAATCTTGCAATGGCTAACCTCTGCTTTTCACCACCTGAAATCATCATTCCTCTTTCTCCTACAATAGTTTCAATACCTTCAGGTAATTCTTTGATTAACTTATCTAATTGAACTTTGGCAATGATATCATTAATCTCATCATCTTTTGCTTGTAAGTTCCCATATCGGATATTTTCTCTAATAGTTTCATTGAACAATGGGGTGTCTTGAGGAACAATACCGATATTTTTCCTTAATGAAGATAATTTCACATCTCTGATATCTTGTCCATCGATTAAAATTCTTCCTTCTGTAACATCATAGAATCTAAATACCAATCTCAAGATAGTTGATTTACCACTACCACTTGGACCAACAATAGCGACTTTTTGTCCTGGAGGAATTGTGAATGTGGCATTTTTCAAAATTGGTCTATCGGGATGATACCCGAAAGTAACATTTTCGAATTTGATTTCTCCTGGTTTTGAAGAATTTAAGATTAATTCTTTACTTTCTGGTTTATCAACAATTTTGATTTCATGGTTTTGTAATTGGAATAAATTCTCCATATCTAATAAAGATTGTTTCAACTCTCTATAAACTGAACCCAAGAAATTCAAAGGTAATGATAATTGGAATACCAATTGATTAATCAACACCAAATCCCCTACACTTAACCCACCAGTAGCTACACCTTGACACCCCATATACATCATAGCTGTTAAAGCAGAAGAGAAAATCAAATTTTGACCTGAATTCAAAAATGCTAATGAAGTAGCTACTTTGATGGATGCATTTTGATAGTTAGTTAACGCACTATCATATTTAGCACTTTGATATCCTTCATTGTTGAAGTTCTTAACTGCTTCAAAATTAATCAATGAGTCCAATGCTACATTAGCTGCTTGATTATCAGCATTGTTAGCATCTCTTCTAAATTTAGTTCTCCAAGCAGTGGTTCTAATTGTAAAGATAGCATATGCTAACATAGTAAAAAAAGTAACCGTAGCAAACTGTACACCATAATTATAAGTTAAAACTCCACAAACAATGGAAATTTCAAAAGTTAAAGGCATAATATGAAATACTATAGCATTTAAGACATATGAAATCCCTTTTGTACCTCTATCTATAGCTCTGGTTATACCACCAGTTTGTCTTGATAAATGGAATTGTAAATCCATATTCAATAAATGTTTAAAAGTATTCAAAGCTACTCTTTTAATGGCAGTTTGAGCTACTGATGCAAATATAGCATTTCTTAATTCACCCATTAAAACAGCTCCAAATCTTGCTCCACCATAAGCAAAAATTAAACTTGCAATGACTGTTCCGGTAATTCCTACACTATCACTCCAATCGACGTTCATACCATCAATGATATTCTTGAATAGAAAGGGTACTTGAACGTTTAACAATTTAGATCCAATCAATAATGATAAAGCAATGATTACTCTTACTTTGAAACCCAAATTATTTTTGGGCCATACCGTTGCCATTAATGATTTGATCATGTTCATTTGTGAAGTAGAGATATTTCTACCAAATAATTGATTCTTTTCATTATGAAGTTTAGAAGTATTGTGGAATCCTCTGAATGATATTTTACTGAAAGATTGCTTCGGATATTGAATAAGCTTGAAAGAATTCACACTACTGATTCTAGATGATGGTAACCTTGGGAAAGTCCTGGGTATAGACTTAAAGGGAGTTAACCTAAACATTATCTAACAGTTTAACTGTGTAACTTTACACTCGCACTATCCAACCGAATCGGGAATATCATGGATGTCACGTGCAAAATCTCAATCTGACTAAGGCAAAAAAAAAAGTCGTGTCGATGGTTGTTGATTTTTATCATCAGGTGAAACCCATGTGAGGAAAAAAAACTCGTGATAACTACCTGATAACTACGTGATATAGTTCGTGATATAGTGGTGATAGTTAACATAAACAAAAAAAATTAATTGAATCATAAACAACTAATTTGCTAATTTATTTGACAATATGAGTAAAAGAGTTAATGAAATGGAAAACGGAGGTTTGGATAAAAAGATGAAAACTGACAATATTGATAGTCAACTATTAAATCATAATAAGAATGATAATGCGGCTGAAGTTGAAGACAAGGGTAGTCTTGCCGCATCAGTTGCCAGATTAGATGAAGAAAATATGAATGAATCAATGATGGGATTACAACAATCAAGTAAACCTATCCATGGGTCAGAAGAATGGCATAAACAACGTAAAGAAAACCATAAAAATGTTGAAAGAAGAAGAAGGGAAAGTATTAATGCTGGTATTAAAGAATTAGCTTCATTGATTCCAACTTCTGATACTAATAAATCACAAATCTTACAAAGAGCTGTTGAATATATCAAAAGATTGAAGGAAAATGAAACCAACAATATTGAAAAATGGACTTTAGAGAAATTATTAACTGAACAAGCAGTTACTGAATTGGATAATTCCAATCAAAAATTAAAGGCTGAATTGGAGAAATGTTATATTGAAATAGAAAATTATAAGAGGTTATTGGAGAAGAAGTAGGTTTGTATATTAATGTAGATTGTTTTGGATGTGAAGGTCTGAAGATGTCTGGAGTACTTGTCTTCTGGAGTACTTGTCCT